TGCGATTTGGTTCAAAGCAGAAAGTGCTGCTTGGAATTGAGCCGTGTAATCATCTCGCTTCGTGTTTGATCCTTGTACATTTCCCACATTGATATTTTGACCCAGTTGGTTGAGAGCAGATGCTGCACCGGACAATTGACTAGTGATTTCATCTCGCTTGAATGGCAATGGCAAAGGTGATGATGAACCATCTGTGTTGCCAATGTTCACGCTTTGCAATAAACCGTTCAAAGCAGAGCCTGAAGCAGCGGCTTGTCCAGTAACATCATCTCGCTTTGTGTTTGCTCCGTCTACGTTTCCCACATTAATTGCTTGTGCGATTTGGTTCAAAGCAGATGCTACACCAGAAAATTGTCCAGTAACATCATCTCGCTTTGTTACTGGGATACCGGTACCTTCCAAACCGGCAGAGGTGGCTACTTGTGTTAATCCACTTGAGTTTTCGAATTCCTTCACGGATCCTTGTGCGTAAGCATCAATTGCGTTGTTAGCTGCAGTAACGCCCGAAACATCTGCAACTCCCTTAGCTCCGTTTCCGATTTCTTGAACGGTTTGACGTCTTCCGATTGGGGAAGCGTATGTTGAGTAGGCCAAAGCCAAAGTGATGAGTCCGACAGAAAGACGCATTTTGGTATATATGATTAAAAGAAGGTAAGGAAGTGGAAGGGGGGACAACACACGCACAAACGTTGGAAGATGATGGAGAGGTAGTAAGGAAAGATTGTATACTTTCCGAAAAAGATGATACTTATATACCTGTTGCCAATGTAAACAATGAAACGAGGATCTTGTTTCAATTTTGATTTGATTCGCTTAAACTGTGCTGTCAATCAGCATCAAAGCAGTCAAACCTGTTTCGGTCTAAAGTTGGATGTTTATCGTATGTATGCAGATACTCTGGCATCATAGAACAATACCTCGGAATTCATCTGGAAAAAGGTGATGTAATGATCGAACGCATGTGTTCAGCATGATTTGAACGGAAAGCCTTCGATCAATTCACCGAGCTGAACACCGTTAGGAGAGAGTCATATGCAAAATTATACCAAAGACTGTTCTAAAATCGAAAGATCTGATCATTTCTCTCACATTCTGCATGCGGTAAAAGGAGCACTTTAACCGTAAAACAAAACAGCAAGCAGGAACAAATTTGTTCAAGCTTCGCTTATGATTATTTGCTTTCCCAGAATCTTTCTACCACTTCTCCGCATAAATGAATGACAGCTGATCGAAAACATGGTCACTTTGCCTGTGATAAAAAATACATGTTATCCTAGCGTAAAGTTTCAACTTCTCTTGTGCTTTTTGATCAATTTGGAGATCTGATCATACGTCGTCCTGCATGTTTATGGCGTAAAAGAAGGACGTCAATCTGTTCGGATGATTTTACTGGTGTAAAAGTTTGTTCTTTAGCGTATTTATTCGAATGCCGTTGAACAAATTGGTGAGTTTACAATTTCATTTATCTGGTATATATCTCGTCAGATGGGTTTAACATGAGATAATGTGCTTTAACGAATGAAGCGGAAATTATCGTAAGAAGTGCATTAGCTTCATCTTTTGGTAGCCATCAATAAAAAAATGCCGATAAAATACGCTAGTCAAAATCCAGGCGCGTACAATGCAGAAAATCTTAGTACGCTTTCGCACGATCAAATACGCATTTGCGTTCCACAGTTTACGCTAATGGCAACGAGAATGATACGTTGGATGATATATATCATAATGAGTAAGCTTAGCGTAAAGCATAAAACGCATTGGGTCTTAATCGTAATCAGAGACATCGCAAAAGGCTAAAAGATCAACAGGTGATGACAAACACACAACACGCGGTGTTGTGAAGATCACATGATCATCAAAAGAGAGACAATGAGCACACGTGTTTCTTTACTCTATTCGATTCTATTTATGAATATTCTGTTCTATTTCTTAATTATAATTATAGACGTACACATTAAAGGCAGTTCTTGAATCTACTGTGTCTTTTTGGTATCTGCCTTGACTTGATCCCCCTCAGGATGAACCTTTCCTTTTTGGACAGTTTGACCTTCCTTTGTTGCTTCTTTGGATTCCAATACTTGCCCAAATTCGTTAACACGGGTAGGATCAACGCCATAAATCCATCTTTGATATAGGAAAATCATAAAAACGATATCATCACGGAAACATGCTAATCGATGTAACCATGGTTGACGAATTGCAAATGCAAATAAATCATCAACAAAAGTTCCTAAAATCTTGTAAACAAACGTTTTTGAATTCATTCCTGCCGTTGATTTAAGCTTATAATTCACAATCAATTGTGGAATTAAAGAAACGAAACCGAAAGCATAAACAAACGAACACAACGTTCCGATCACGAAACTCCACCATCCTTTGTGTGTTTGATATAGGGCAGAATAAATGGTGTATGCGCCCAACAGAGGTACAGCTACCATTGCTACCAAACGGAAGGCAAGTTTGTCAAACTCTTGTGTCTTCTTTTCTTCTTCGCTCAAAACGTGTCTATCACGAATGTCCAACCGATAAGGTACCCATTGCAAATAAGACTTTCCTTCTCCCTTTTTGCGTGGTAATACTGTCACCGTCACAGCTTTCGTCAATTTCCATGCTTCGATCACAATACCGACAGCTTGCGAAGCCAGAATCATCCATGATGTATCTTGCGATTGATCCAAAAGGTAGAGTAAGATGATGAGTTGAACGATCACATTGGTCATGATCGAACCCAATGAGACTCCAGTCATGTTGTCCTTCTTGCGCCAATGTGAGACATCGGAACTGAACGCCAAAAACTCGAACAAGCTATGCAAGATACTGACAACGAAAGTCAAACCTAGGTACCACGGGCTGTTCTCCAAAAGTGTCAACTTGATCAAATCCATCTCGTTGGCAGCCATACCTGCTTGCTTGTCGAATGAATCTGACATGGCAGCCAACATCTGAAACTTGAAAAAGGATGTCATGTAGAGAGAGACATGCAACGGCAACGTCTCATGGGTAGAATTGATCGGGTGCATATGCTCACGTAAATGCCAGAAATCATTCGGGAAAACGACTGGATAATTGAAGGCCGCTTTCTCTGCCGGTGTCACAATGTTTCCTTCCTCATCCTCCAAGACGTGCAAATGCTGTAAGAGAGGTGGTGGCATATTGCTCAATGGCAAGCCTGTACCATGTGGCTGCTCAACGACAGCCAAGGTGAGATTTCCGTGCCACCATGAAATCACTTTGGCTGGCTCCTTGTCCAGAAAAGGAATCGAGATACCAGCCGATGAATCAGAGCTCGATTTATCAAATAATTTCTTCTCTTGTCTTTCCTTTTTCTCGGGAAATAGCCGGGTCAAAAGCTTCCGGCTGTGCATTCTCTTTGATTCGACTAGCGACTTGCCAGACGGAACTGCAAGGATATCTGCCCAAATGCTTCCATTTTGCGATTGAACAACACTCGGAACGCTGATCGTCAAATCTGCTTCACGTTGCAACTTGCTATCGTTCAAAAGAACATTGTTCCATCTCAAAGCGCCAAGTATATTGTCGGATTTAGTCTTTGGGTGCCATGTCTGACTTGGGTCCGTGCTGATGGGAGTCAATAAGTCGGCGAATTGTTTGTCCTCGAATTGCAGTATGCTTCCTTCCCGACCTCCTTTGCCTCCTGGCACCAAGCGAGATTGTTGTGATGTCAAATCATCATGAGAAGGTGCATCACCTGCTGTGATAAAGATGTAAAAGTCTAGCGGAAAGTTGGGATCGAACAAAGCCTGAGAAGTTGTTCCAGGTAAGAATTTTGTCAAGGGTTGTGGTGGTGATGGTATCTGACTTCCAAAAGGCGTTTGGATATTACCATCTGAAGGTATCTGAGTAGAAGCTCCATCACCTGTCTGAATGTCTGGCTGTTGTTGGCTTGCAGTTTTACCTCTGTACCAAGCGATCAAACCATTTGGACCAGTGACTGCCGACATGGCAAAGTACAATAGAACGGATCTTAGAATTGTCTTCTTCCAGTCATTTTGAGGCCTTTCTCCATCACCTGTCCCAGCTGCGGCTCCCCCTGCTCGTGCTACTGGTGCAGCAGCTTGGCCATTAGAAGACATGTTGACGTCTCTTTTTGTGTAATGGTGATCAGAGCATGAATGCACTTTTAGAACGTGTGTATACCTTTGAGGCGTTTTCCGATTTTTGCTGAAATTGCAATTGTGCCCGTGCGCGGCGTCAAATTAGTGCACATACGCTGTCTTTTCTCCCTTGAGAATATTTTTAGCCCTTGGTTTTGACAGAAGGGGGACGCGATCATAATGTATACCAATTTATGACTTCATCATCCCATTCTTCTCCATCACCCAAAAGTCATCATGTCAAGAGCTAATTCACCGCCAAGCAATAGCACTGGCTCCAGCAATGCCAGCGAGAATCAAAACAAGTCTCGTTCTCAAACACGATCTCCAATGTTACCTTTTTCTCGTTTACCACATGCTACCATCAGTTCTTCAGTCTCACCAACAGGTACTCCAACATTACCCGGTATGACGCCTACAAGTTCTTCACAAAGAATCACGCGTGGTGCAAGTGTCATCCCACCCGCCGCCGCTCATTCCAACACAGCACCTAGCCTTGGTAGATCCACATCCTTGCATTCACGATCATCACAAAGATCCATCAATTCGGCCACCTCTTCACCGCCTTTACAACCTCAAAATGCACCGCCTCTTTCCGGTAAACAATCTCGTCATCTTTCTCATGGCGCTCAAACAAGGCCAGTTCCTCAACCTACAACTCATCAAAAAGATGCATTTGATATGGCAGTAGCTTCTTCAGCTTTGTCTAGTAGCTCAGAAGGTTTACAAGCCTTATTGCGTGATCATCCTGAATTGGTCAGTTCAAGTTTAAGTCGTGCTGCTGGTCCAGAGTACAATGAAGTAAGCGAAAGCACTCGTGGTAGTCGTGGAGGCAGTCAAAAGGGTAGTTTACCTGGAACGCCAGCAGAGGAAATCGCTGCACCAACAAACATGAGTGAAGTATCGGTTGCTACAAGTGACATTAAACCAAATTTGGGAGCAACAGGTAAGTATAACAGTGATAAGAAGAGTCTTCTTTCTTCGAGAAAAGCTTCAACCGGCTAGAAGAAAGAAGCTTACGTACTTCAGCTCCGGTCTTGCCTCCGCTCCCGGCTCACCCGCATGTAAAGCGCGTGAATCTCCGAAGGGGAACAAATACACTAGTCTTGTGCCTGAAACATGAATCAAACAAACATGCTGACAATCATTCTCCCTTTCCCTTTACCCTTCTCTTTCATCGATTGCTGTCGCGATGGCCATTCAACAACATGATCCCTCCTCGTCACGATCTTCCACTTCTATCCCTGCATCACCACTAATCGATGCCGGCGAACAAGGTGCGAAACCGGACTACTCACAGGCAAAGATCGTCGTTGCAATGGTGGGGTTGCCAGCGCGGGGAAAGAGTTATTTGAGCAACAAATTGATGCGATATCTGCGCTGGTTGGAATATGACGTCAAAGTGTTCAATGTAGGTCAATTACGAAGAGCTTTGGCAAAAGCAAAGCTCAAGGAATCAGGACAAAAAGAAGATCATACAGCAAAGTTCTTTGATCCCCACAATCCAAAAGCTTACCAGTTGCGTACACAAATGGCAGAAGAATGTTTGGAGCAATTGATTGTTTGGCTTAAGAATGGAGGAAATGTGGGAATCCATGACGCTACCAATAGCTCTAAAGCACGCAGAGATGCAATCGCAGCACGCATTGCCAAGGAGCCGGATCTCAAATTGGTCTTTTTGGAAAGCATATGTACCGATCCTGCAGTGATTGCAGCCAATGTGGCCGTCAAAGTTAGCAGTGGAGATCCAGACTATGCTAACATGAGTCCAGAAACGGCAAAGAAAGATTTCTTGGAGCGAATCAAACATTACGAAGAAGGTTATGAATCAGTTGATGCAGATGGTACTGAATCACATCTGAGTTATTGCAAGATTTACGATGTGGGTCGAGCGGTGACTGTGAATCAAATCCATGGATATCTGGAAAGTCGAATCGCGTTCTACCTGATGAATCTGCACATCACACCGAGAAATATCTTTTTCTCCCGCCATGGAGAATCTCAGTACAACGTCGAAGGAAAGATTGGAGGAGATTCAGACTTATCAGAACGCGGCTGGCAATATGCAAAAGCTTTACCGCAATTGGTCAAGGATGCCGTTGGCGATGCACCTTTGACAGTCTGGCATAGTACGCTGAAAAGAACAGCGCAAACGGCTTCATTTTTGCCTTATCCGAAGTTGGCCTGGAAGTCCTTAGACGAATTAGACGCAGGGGTCTGCGATGCAATGACGTATGAAGAGATTGAACAATATTACCCCGAAGATTATGCAAGTCGAGATGAGGATAAATTCAATTATCGTTATAGAGGAGGAGAAAGTTATCGTGACGTTGTTGTTCGTTTGGAACCGGTAATTATGGAATTGGAAAGACAGGAGAATATTTTGATCATTGGTCATCAAGCTATTTTGCGTGCTCTTTATGCTTATTTCCATGCATTAAATCAAGAAGATTTACCTTATATCAAGATTCCGTTGCATACTTTATTGGAATTGACTCCTGCCGCTTTCGGCACTCGTGAAAGAAGATACAAAGCACCAATCGAAGCTGTCAATACACATCGTGATAAACCACCACAAAAAGAGACAATCGCACCTGACAGTCCAGTCAGTGCGGACGAATCCACAGTTTCGAAAGAATTGATGGATGCAGCCACTTCTTTACCTCCTAGTCAAATTGATCCTTCGGGAGGTCATATTCTCGACTAAATAGACCTTATCCAAATTTCGATGATAATCACCACTTTGTATTCTAAGCATTTTTATAAACAAAAAAAAGAGTAATACAATTTCAGCATTTCTTCTTTACCTTCACACAATCTTATACTGGTCTCGCGAATGAGCTGAAATGTATGAGTTCCGTTTGAAAGAATCATGTAGATATATGAGAAAAAGAAACAAAAATGGAACAAGAATAAGGAGACTACAGTTCATATAGATTTGCAAAAGAGAGAGAGAGAGAGTATTGAGAAAGAACGTGAAAAACAAGTGGTAACCAAAAAAGCTACCTCGTGTAAATTCTCGCAATTTGTGCTTAGTACGGAATCTTGAAAATATTTTTGAGAAAAAAAAAAGCGTCCGTGTTTGATAATGATGTGAGTGCATGTGATTTCCTGGCACCAAATTGAAAATGGTCAATGATTGGGCAAGTTTATTTGACAAGGGAGAGTAGGAAATGAGAAATAATTGTTCGTGGAATCATTGATGTCTACTAAATCGATTAGTACCACCGTTTGCCGGACTGCCGGCATTGTTGCTTGACGCACGTCTTGCACCTCTTGTCACCATTCGTGCTCCTTCAGCAGGTCCATCATCCACTAAAGAGAATCCTCTGCTAGCAGAATTTTGTCTTGCTCTTTGCTCTCTTGGGGTACCATTTTGACCGGATGGTTGACGATGGCCATCAGCGGAAGAGAATACTTCTTCAGGCTCAGCAGTGAATCCTTGAGCAAACGTTGCTTCGCTCAAATGTGGATAACGTTGTTCTGAAACAACACTTCCAAAGCTAGGTTGACTGCCTCCACTGATACCATGTTGCGAAGATGATGCAGCAGGTGATAGTCCCGCAGGAGAATTGAGGTTGTTGTTACTATTGCCTCCCCCATTGCCTGCTAATGCTGATAAAAGTCTATTCGTCGCATCATGATTTGAACTTGATGCATGAGAATGAATGGGGGATCCAACAGAAGAAGTAGCGGCCGATGTAGAATCGTATGGAGGCTTTGCCACAGGACTTGAATCACGCGGTCTGGGGATAGTGATGCTACCTGGCGTCATTGTTGTTCCTCCAACTGCATTCACTCTTGGCTTTCCACCTGCGTCAGGTCCTAAAGGTGCAGGAAGTTCGAGCAATGGAACGGTGTCCAACCTCGCACGAGCGCCTTGAGAACCAGATTTGACATGACCAACATCTGATCCATCATATCCACCTTGATTAGATAGTAGTCTACCACTTGCGTCATTCAATCCGCTTGGTTGAGATTGGAAGGTATCCGAGCTTACAACACTGTAACGTGTACTTCCGCTACGTTCAGGACTTGCACTTCTGTGCACAACATCATACGTTGAATCGCGAGAGTGCGTTCCAGACTTGAATCTGCGTTCACGTTCAAATTCAGCCCAACGTTTCATGATAATATTGGTAGGATCAAATTTACCCTCTGCATCACCATGACCTCCGCCCTTTTTGTCACCTTGAATTTGACGGGTAGCACCCCAACTGAAATCGTCCATATGCCAGAATGCGTATGCAGGGAAGGCAAAATTCCAAATTGGTAAACTGCACAAATAGATAAACATCCAACCGACATAACTGAGTTTCCTTGAAGTAACAACGATCAAAAGACCTGGCAAACCCAAAATGATACCCAAGAGAATCAAAGGAATCATGTTTTGTCTGGCATCACCTTTGATAGAAGAAGCAACGACATAAATCGTAAACGCAATAGCTGCAGGAAGCACCAAAGTACCAACCAAATCCATAAATACGACGAAACGCATAGAGAAACAGAATGTACCACATAAATCATTGACGAGCAGTAATTCTGCCAAATTGTGCACGGTTGAATTAATCCATCTTCTACGTTGAGATAAAAGAACGCGGAATGTGTCTGGAACGATTGTCTTACAAACGGCTTGAGGTGTGAACATCATCTTACGTTTGGGGAACGTCTTCAACATCAATGTTGTCAAATAACGATCTTCTCCCAGAAGTAGCAAGTTCTTTTTGTGTAATGTGTCAACAACGTTTTCGGAGTAATGTTCCACGATATCTGGATTTGCCAAGATGGGTACCCAATAACCGTTTGGTCCTTTGGGTGCTTTGATACGATAGGAACTGAAACAACCGGGCAAACATGTAACACCGCCAAAGCATGCTTCGAATGCCTTGGTTTGATGATGGGAAATGTAGTATTCGAACACTTGAATCATCGTAACCCATGTTTCTGTCTTGTTAGCAATCTTTGTTTCACCGCACAATCCCATAATTTCGGGATCTTCAACCATGCAAGCAACCATTCTGCTCAAACTGTCTGGGAAAACCTTTGTATCGGCATCCACCATGAGAACGATTTCGTATTGATCCGGACTGACACCTGTAACACGCCAAATTGAATTGAAGAATTCATACTCGAGTAAAGTCATACGTTCATCAAACATAACTTTTTGCATGAATGCCATCAACAAAACTTGCGAATCACGTTTACCTCTGTTACCTGGTTTAGCACTATCGGCTTCCAAAGGAGAACCACATTTTGCTACCAAGACCATTGGAACACGTTGTTGCTTGCTTCGTTCAACAGTTTCATCATCATAATCATAGAAACCTGCGTAAACCTTTGCCATATTGTGACGTTTGTAACCATCTGCAATTGCCACGTACGAATTACCTTCAACTTCTTCAGGAGGAATGACGAATTCCTTCATCATGGAAAGACAAATATCTGGAGTTGACATATCCGAACCTGCACCCTTGACGATACCATCGCAAATGATGAGAAGTAATTTATGACTGTTTGGATAATCAGTTGTTGCAAGACTGTCCAAAGTTGTACGTAAACCTTCAAATGATTCACTGTAAGCTGTAACCATGCAAATGGAATGGGCCAAAGGGAAATTAAATGGTTGGTAATCCGAAGGTGGTTGAGGAACGACGTTATTGAGAGGGAAAGGACAAGCGCCCATTGCACCGATATGTGCATTACTCGAAAGATCATTGCTGAACGAAGAACGACGAGAACTATGGCTATAAGCCTGAACATCTTTTCCAGCTTGAGCCAAAGATGTAGAGCTACGAACGCCGCGTAAGCTTGGAGAGCCTGGAGGGCTGCCAAGTGGTGATCCGACACCCAATCGACTGGAACGCATTTGCGGACTGCGAGATTTTTCAGAAAGGGCTCCTGTTGTACTACGAGGTCCGGCGCGCTTGGCGTTTGCACCAGCTCCTGCTTGTGACAAAGCATATCCTGTACTGAAACGACTGGTAGTAGGCAAAAAGCTACGATGTTTCTTTGCATTAGGGCGATAAGAAGCAGGTGCAGGTCTATAGATATCTTCTGACCAATCTTCAATTTCAGCAGCTCGTTTCATTCGTTCTTCGTATGTTTCATTGCCGTAATTGCCCAATCTCCATCCTAAGAACCATCCAAAGATGACTGCCATGAAGAACTTGATTGCTACAACACCAATAATGAAAACCAAGGAGAGATACAATTCTACCTTTGAAGCAACACATCCAATCGTTTCAGAATCGATAAAACCGACACGGACCACATCCTCTAAACAGTCAAATTGCTCGTCTTGTCTAGTTCGTAACACCATAGCACTAACATCACGACCTGCATAATCAGGGTTACGAGAGCTGGATAATGTTTTGAAGAGAGGATCTTGAGTAATCGTTGGCAAGATTGATGAAAGTCGACTTAAGTCCAAAACCGCACCTTTCCATACAACCAAATTCTTTGTCGGGTCCTCAATTTGTGACCAATTGTATGAAATTTGGCCTGCTACTTTGGCAACCGTTTGTTTTGGATTATTGACAAACGAATTGACAACACTTGGAGGATGGCACCATGTGGAATTGGTTGTGGAAAGTTGACCAGATTGTAGGTATACGTTGCAAGCGAAATAACTGGTAGGTGCAGATCCGTTTGCGTTTTTGAGATAATTGTTACATCTAGGACTTGTTTGAGGGAAGAGATTAGAGATATCTTTTCCTCCCGTCAGCCAAGGTTGAGAGTAAGCCGGGTTAGTATGGTTGAACTTTGTATCCTTGCCGAAAATTCCGACTTGGGGATGGAAGAAATCTCCAAAGCTGTATTGATAACCGTAAAGGATGGAAGAGCCGGCATTCACATCTCCTGCAGCTAGACGGACTTCTCTTGTTTTGCAAACGGCTTTAGTGAAACCGAAAGTAAGGAAACCGACAAAAGCCATACAAACACCGACAATGCTCATGATACCAATCTTCTCACGCCAAGCACGCTGTTGCTCAGGCGATTTGAGGCCAACGATCTTGAGACATGGTGAAGGGAAACAGATTGTCAAGCAGTAGCAATAAATCATCCAAGGGCCAACAGGACCGGGTGCAATCTTGGAAGCATGGGGAGCGTCGTCCAATTCACGTGGAACTTCTTTGCGATCCTTTTGACTTGCACGTCTTCTTAAGCTGACACCACGTTTGAGAATATTGATGCCAGATTCGATTTGATCTTCATCACGTCCCAATATGGATTTACCACGACGTAAACCGGTTGCACCTGGTGGAGCTGGTCGTCCCAAACCACCGGGAGGCAAATTGGGTGGACCAGGTCTTGGCAATCCTTGACCTGGTGCCATTCCCAAGCCACTCAAGCCTCCTCCTGGACCTTGCATACCAGCAAATGTGCTACCATAGGGTGCTGCACCATGTTGTGGAAGATGTCCGGTGGTAGAAGGCATATAGCTGAAACCTGCTGCGCGTCCGTTTGCATCAATTGCGTCCATATTAGCAGCATGGTTGCGATAATACCATTGTCTATGCGAAGGATCCATGCGTTCACGATCTGGTCGAACGAGACTCTTTTTTCGTCTAAAGTTTGCACCTGAGAAACCTGTTTCTGGATCGGAAAGAAGAGTGTTCGTTGCTGCTAAAGCGCTGTTTGTTCTTTCGATATCGGGAAATCCAGGCGAACCAGTTCCATCACTATCGCGTCGTGAGAAATCCTTCTTTTGCACTGTATCTGCGGAAGCGGAATTTCTTTGAAACGGTATCCTTGATGGTTCTTGAAAAGAAACGGAAGGCATTCCGGCCGTTCTTGTTGGATTTGCATATGCGTTGAAACTTCCGCCGGCAAAATAATTATCTTGTGCTGGCGCGGGCGGGGATGACAATCTAGGATACTGTTGTTGAGGCGGTGAGCGCATTGATGGCGGCGCTTCGTCTCTTGGTGGGCGTTGAAAGGGGGAGCCGGGTCCATCCTGACCGGGAGGACGGTAGCTCATAATGAATATGTGTGGCGGTGAATGAGATTGGTATAATAGTTGAGCGTATTAAAAGCAATGTCAATCTTCCTTCGACCTTTCTCGCGTTACTGATACCACCTGTGATCCGCACTCGGATATTCTGAGTTCAGACAAACCACGAGTTGCACTATTTGTCTTGAAGGATTGTCGTGAGCAAGAGAGGTGAAGTGATATGTACAATGAGCAATTCACGAGAGACACGGTCGAACTTGATTGCAGTCAACGAAGGCGAAGCTGATCAAAGAGCCGCGTTCTGTTTTTTGGGAAGAGGACGACTTGTTGACCTTTTGTCTTTTTTGAATAAGCAAGGAAGTGTCGATCTCTTCTTCCTTTTGCTTATTTCTTCTCGTTGTTGCTGTTCTTGATTGAAAAAAGGATGATGATCGGAATAGCCATTTGAATAACTTTTTGAGAGAAAATGGATTGCGCCGGCGCCCAGGCGTGCTTGCAGGACAATAAACACTGCAGCAGGCAGGCACTATTAGCGCGTGCGTGTGTGTACGTGCGTCTTTTGGCCGGCGAGTGCAGTGAGCAGGCAGTGAGCAGCAGCAGCAGCACAAAAGAAAAGAGAAAGGGAAAAAATTCGCGCAACTAAAGGGTTTTGGAATTTGAAAAAGACTGATTATGTTCCCTCAAGTGCAAAAGAAGAATTCAAACAAATCAAAAACGTAATCAACGGCGCATCAACAGTTTACGACACGGCATTCAACGCTAATTTTATATCCAATCATCAAACTCTCTTCGCTCTCTCGTTACACAGCCTTGGTCACCGGACCAAATTGTCACTTTTGAGTTGATGATTGGTTGATATGGTTTTGGAATATATAAATAAGTATATTTTATATCTTTTATTTTTCATATTTTATCTGATGATTATGAATATAATACTATCCTTTTACGACAAGTGGATATGCTGTTTAGGGGTATCTTCCGAATTGATTCCATTTGCACATAATTCGAATCATCAAAGCTGAAAAAGGGGTAAAGTTTTTCTAACAGAATCGTGGCATTCCTCTGGCTGATAAGACGCGCGTGTGTGCCTGCCTTGTTAAAACCCTTATTATGATCTATCGGCTATTTTTATCCTCTCGCTGGCTTATAGACCGGCTATGCATGCAATCAACATTGTGCATAAAACGATCAACAAAAAGCTTACAGATCATTTCACTTAGATGCTTACAGGGTCTACAATTGAAATTCTACCAAAAGAATGGGGTGTATTAGAGGATAAATTTGATGGTCATTATATATTCCTCTTCCGATATCGGAATTGATCATAAGAAACAGAGGTGCCGAGTTCATATACAATTGTGGCGTGATAAGGATTATAAAACGTAGGATTACGTCTTTTTTTAGCAGGCTAGCATAGGAACACCGATGCAGGAAAGTGCTTACTTTTTGCAATTTCGGCACGCGCTACTAAAATATCCGTGTTGCTTATGTAATGAATTTCATCACATTCTCGAAAGTCGACGAGATCGTGAGATATATTCGTGTTGTAGGATGATATAGGCTTGCTATAAGATGGGATTCTGTCTGTATAGTCCGGTAAAGCACTATATAGAGCTCGTGAAATCACTGTCGCCTCAGGACTTATTTATAGAAGAATTCTAAGAAACAAAATTTTATAGATAATAATTTAAAACCCACTTAGGGTTCGGATTGCCTTTTTTAATTGACATGATTCTTATAATAATGTGACGTATAAAAAGGTATAATCGATCTGATACGTTCTGAAATACTATCTCAAAGTGTGACGTCCTTGAACTATGTGGCTCGATCGAGAACCCAGAAGATACAAACTCTCTACCTATTCGATAAAAACGTCGATATTTTCTATATAAATATGATTTGTTAACTTTATATTTTTTAAGACATATAGAGTGTAGCCGATTCCTTGTGTAATGTAGATCTACCTTGTAAGTGATAAGGTTATAGAGTAGGCGTTAGTATTAAAAGTACAGCTACTCAATTCTATACCAGTTCGAATTATAGTATGCTAGAGTTTAGGCTGTAAAATTCTAGTTGAAAAGGACTTTCAAAGCAGTCGTCCTATACAGAGCTAATGAATCTTTAATGGACAGTGTAAGATCAATTTCTACACTTAAATTATCATAAATCTCCTTCAAGTCACATATGATCACTTCTCGTTCATGGTGGGAAAAGAACTGATCATCCCAGGCTGAAAACCTACTTAGTTATCCTAACCCTAAGTAGCCCTGTTACCATACTGATTGGCTCTATCAAAGGCGGATGTAGACCACTTTCATGACCAGATATCCTTATGTACGCTTTATCGTTCAGATTATTCGCTTTCATACAAATGAGGAAGTGAAGCAATAATGATTTTACAGAAGGATAAGCCGATTTGCTTTGATATCATATCTTAAAGTGCTATAATTTGGTGATGTTTAGACAGATGCATGGTGGCTTCAGCGTTTATAACAATGAAATAAATATCCATTACGACACGAGCTGCCGTGACGATAATCTTTGGAAGGGATGATGAATAATTATAGCTCTGAGCGTGCAGTAGTGCGTGTGGGATTGTGGGTTAGGGATGCAGCGTACTTGCATATTGACGCGTAAGCATAAGCACTGAGACACAGCCCGAATTCCTATTTACCTGCATAAGCCCCAAACTCAGCATGAGGTCAATGAGCAAGGCATTGATTGTAAGCCATATATAAGCCTTAATAATGCAATGAGCCGGATCGATATTGCCAAGAAACAAGAGACAGACAATACGCCGTTAAAGTGCGCGTTTTGCCATTCCTGAAAATAGCATATATCACACACCTTTCAATCTAATCATCATCTCCTTTTCCTTGAGTATACCCTAGCATCCCTTGCAACGACGACATCATCATCGTCATCACTCTTTTCAATACAGATATAGCCCTTCAGGGTGATCTGGATGAGATTATAGAGTAAGGTTATCGGACAATTTCATACAATCCACTTCGCCACCTTTTGCAAGTCCAACAATATGCCAACTCAACCATTCCCAGGGGCTTCTTCAAGGCCATTGTTGGGCTCATCCTCCCAAGGTAGACAACAAGGTACAGCTAGAGATCGTCAGGCCGAATTGGCTGCCGCTTTTGGAGGAAGTGATGATGAAGATGAGGAGGAAAATTCTTCAATGTATGGCAGAAGTGTGGATAGAAACATGATCGATGATGCATCCCGCGCTGGACCTTCTTCCTCTTCGCCACCTCTTTATTCCTCTTCGCCTCTTCAACATCCTCGTCCACTAACACCCACTGACAGTGATGTCTTCTTTGATGCAGGTGATGCGATCGCACAACAGCAGTCTAATGATCCTTTGGGAGCAGAGCGTGTCAATGCTGATCAAGCTCACACCATCCCAGAAGGATCCCATCAATCAAACAGAACAGATCGAAATCCCTCCGATTCTGATGAAAGGCAAAGGAGCTCATACGATTTCGAACAAGCATCCTACTTTGCACCTCACAGACCACCCGTTTCTAGACAGTCAAGTATGTTGCAGTCGCAAACACCAAACGCAGCTTTGGAGGGCAATCCAGTCGAACAAGAAGCTCATGGAGATGTGAACGGCTTAGGCCGTGAAGGCACAAGTCAAAACAATATCTCTCGTTTTCGTTATGCACTCGGACGCTTCGGTCGTTTTGTTGGAATGCGTGTCCCTGGTGCGACGTATACATCCTTGCACGGAGAAGAAGATCATCCGGCTAATGCAAGCAGAAGACGAGTGATGGGAAGTGGGATCGGTCAAGATGGTGTGTTTGCCAATCTGAATGCCAAACCCGAAAGAAGAAGAAGGCGCGGAGAGAATGGAGAAGATCGAGGAGAAGATGACGATTTGGCGGATGATGTCTTGCCGCCTGCATACGAGGTAGCAGCTGCTGATGCTGCGCCTCCATACTGGGAAACGACCATCATTGGTGGCCCTGGAGGATTTCATCCATTGGCTCCTGGAGGAGCAGGCTGGACACCTGGAGGACCTCATGTTGGTGCATTGGAAGATTTGATCATCGAAGGATTGCCATTAGGAAACTTCTTTGGTCTTGCATGGAACTTGCTCGTTTCGATGAGCTTCCAGTTCATCGGTTTCTTGCTCACCTACCTCCTGCATACCACCCATGCTGCACGGTGTGGATCGCGTGCCGGTTTGGGTATTACGTTGGTTCAATACGGTTTCTATTTGCGTACTCGTGCTGCTCAGATAATGGACGGTACTTTACCGGATGATATGATGGGACCAGGAGCAGATCCACCGCTTCCTTCTGAACAATCGAACAGGGTTTCTTGGTGGTCCGAATCTGCTGGCATGCAGCAATCAACGACGGATGAACAGAGCGCACCTCCTTTGCTTGCACGTGGTATCCACTTCGTATTCCGACGAGCAACTGAAGCGACTGCAACTGCTACAGCCAGCAATGGTACATTGGCAGATGCTTTAGCAGCTGATGGAAATACGGTCACCCTTCCTACGGCTGAAAGTATGAGCGCAAGTACGGAATGGTTAGCATTCATTTTGATGGGTTTAGGATGGTTTATCCTTCTTACATCGCTTTTCAGTTATTGGAGAGTTCATAGATGGGGAACTCAATTGGTCGAAGCTGCAAGACGAGAGAATGAAGGGAACAATGAATCAAATACCACAACGGGCAATGAAAATAACGAAGAAACTACGGATGATGCACCTGTTGGATTCTTGTATACTCTCCGTCAAGCTCTTAGAAATACACGTGAAGCAAGCAGATCAAGAAGACAAGGCAGAGCACATTCAGCCGAAGATTGGATCATCTTTCCTGGCAGACCGAGAAGAGATTTATTAGATATACCCGAAGGACATCCAGATGGTCAAAGTGCGGATTTAGAGGCGGGCAATTTATCCGCAGAGGAACGTAGGTTGTTGGAAGATATGCGAAATGTTGGTTTGGTTTGATAATGATGTACATTTAGATGTTATAATAGACGCAATTTGCGGATATTCATACAATACAGCGTATATAGTACAAGATGCGAGCGAGATGTGGGAGATTTCTTCTTTGCAATCATTTGCGATAGAACATTCTTTGAAAGTTAAAGTGTAATTGTAAGACACCCCTTTCGAATACTGCCTTGAAACCTCTTTGATGGCTCATATTCCACGGCTTGTTCACGATTCGGAAAGCGATTGTTTCGTATGGCGGACCCGCTTCGAATATGATTAGACACGTTTCATCGTTGCCCTTCTCCTTCACGATTCGGAATGTTGGCGGTTTAGATTTGTCGATGAGATCAGGATAGAAAATGTTGAACTTGTACCCTTGAACTTGTTTTGGAGGTGGATTATCATGGTCATAATGTGTTTGATTGTATTTGTTCCACTCGAAACCGGTATGCACTTTGTTGAAATAGCGTGGTTTGCGAGGTCTATATTTATCTTCCCAAGAATACACATTTGACGTACTTGAGTCTTGGATTGCTGCCAAGTCTTCATCTCTACTGGCGAAAACTTCTTCGTCTTCCTCCAAAGCTTTGGCAGCCTCTTTGGCAAACAGATCTTCACTACCGTCATCGTATTGTTTCTGTGCTTCGCGTTCAGCTCTACGACGAGCAGCTTCTGCAGCTTTCGCAACCCTTTCTTCTTCAATTGAGGGTAGTCCAAGTCTTGTCCTGCGTTCTTCTTCAATTCGTTGTCGTTGGCGCAAATGCTCCAAACGGTTGCTCAAGATGACCTCATGCAGATCACGCAGCTTAGCTTTAGCACGCCAAACAACGATCGCTTTTAACAACCCTTCCCAGTATTCAACGTCGATAGGCTCGTGACTTCGCAACTTAGCTCGTACTTGCTCTTGCAATTCCAACAATTGTGCTTGTGACTTGCTCGATAACATATTGTCCATCTCAGACTTGACGGATGGATCAATTCGTGATCGAACGCCGGCCTCGTTTGTGCTTTGACCTGCAGCAGCGCGCAAGTCTGCCAAAGTGTCATCACATACCACAATCATCGATCTCCAGAAATCGAGGTTTTGATCGTTCTTCTCCAAGCTGAGATACATTTGAATGTCCTGATACAGCTCCTCCGTTCCTTCCAAATCAAGATTGTCAAAGAGCAGATAGGGCTCTTCCAGATCGATCTCAAGATCGCCATCTTGATCATCGTCTTCTTCCATTGATAGGTTTTGCTCGGCAGGGTGCAATGAATCCGATTTGGCTTGAGACTGTTGATCATGAGCAGATGGAGGGTTGATCCATTTCAAATTGATGGCAAGTAAGTCGATAGGTTTTGCACGGTTTTCACGAACTCTAATCACAGCTCGCTTTCTCGATTGTTCCAAATAGAAATCATCCTCTTTCGCCACCCATTCTGCCATTGCTGCACTTTCTGCTAATCTAGCCATTCGCGATTCCTCCTCTTCGCGTATGGCTTGTTCTTTTTCACGTTCAGCACGTTTTTGGTTCAAGCGTGCGATTTCCTCTTCTGCTTCACGCCTTCTTTCTTCATCTCTCTTTCGAGCTTCGGCGGGTGTCATGCCCATCTTACGTTCCCTCTCTGCCTTTTTTGCCCATGTGAATGACTGCAAGCCATTTGGCCCATTTTCATTTCCGGTCTTCTGGGTATCATCCGTTTCTGTTGTGTACAGCAAAGTCTCCGCAGCTTTTGCTCTTCTTTCCGCCTTTTTGTCATCATCCTCATCGGATCCATTGCGATGCCTTTTCGAAGACTTTTCCTTGTGTCGCCTTTTGCGTTCTTCGCGTTCTCTTGATGTCTCTCTATGCTTTCGATCATACTCTCGGTCCTTCTCTTCCCTTTCTCTCCTCTTTCTCCGCCTTCTTCTTTCTTCATCGTCTTCATAATCATCTCTTCGCCTTGAATCGGAATGTCTATGTTTTCTGTCAGATTCATACCTATCGTCATATTCTGATCGATGGCGCTTTGAATAGCTTTCATGATCTCTCTCCTTCATCCTCTGACGATCATCTTTGTAGCTTCTATCATCATCTCGATGCCTATGACTTGATGAAGACGCTCGAACGGGTTCGGGTGATGCTGATCGAGGCATCACAAGGGGAAGGATATCGTGGTAAATGAAGAAAACCTAAAAAGGTTAAACCTAAAGTTAAGAACAATTTTTGTTACGCGGCAGAAAGACTTGCATAAGGCACTTTGTCACTGTCCGTATCTCTATACTTGTTAGTTATGAAGTTAGGACGGAAATACGCGTTTGGCGTGGTTAATTCACAGACTGTGCCGAATAAGAGCGTGTGAAGCACTATTGTGAAAATACCCTTTCTGCCGCGTAAGAGTAAACTAAGCCAACCTTTCGGGTGTGCCTAGCGCCCAATTCGAAAGCGGGCTATTTTGCACATTCGACCTAAATTAACGTCCTAAAGCGTGAAATAGGTTCATTATAGCCAGCAAATGCGCTGCGCGCGCTGTGATGAAAAGTAGATGTGTTGTTAAATAAACACTTCACTTAACCTCACTTCACACCATCACAACAATTCACTATATCCCGCAATCCACAACGAACCAGTCATGAAGAAGAAAGATATGATTTTTGACTTTTATATTGATAAAAGTGAACCAGGAAAACCTTTGAGGGTATGCACATTTTGTAAAGATAAATGGAGAAATAATGATAGAAGACGATTGATAGATCATATGATCGGATGTCCAAAAGCACCAAAAAGGTTAAAAGAAGAATTACTTCAAAGGGATAAAAAAGATGCATTAACTAAACAAGCTGCAACTCAACAAAAACAAGCATCTCAACAAATGGCATTTAGAGCAGAAGAAACAAATCATAGAAGAAGGAGCAGGAATTGGATTTCAAAAACAGAAGAAGAATATACACAAAGGTCTTTCTCGGATGAAGAAGAAGAACATGAAGAAGGAAGACAGAGAGATACAATCACACGAGAAGAAAGGGAGAATCTTGATCGATTACTCATAGAAATGATTTATCAATGTGAACTACCGATCTCGCTTGTCATGCAACCTTCCTTTTTGGCATACATTAAATCTATTCGCCCAGCTTATTATAACTATGGATTGCCTAAAACAAATGACATTGCAAATGCTATTGTGGAAAAAATAGAACAAAGGGCTAGAAAGGTGCGAAAACAGATAAGAGGTGTAGATTTTCTCGGTGAACGTTCACGTAGTCAAGATGCATCCTTTTATGAGCAAGAAGGTGGTGGTGGTGGTAGTAGTAGAGAAATTTCGTATCGTTCCCAAGGATTATCTGATCGTCAATCTCGAGACTTAGGTATCGGACCGAGCCGTGATACTAGGAATCTGCCATCGCCGGAATGGGTGATAAGAGAAAGAGAAAGAGATAGAGAAAGGTATAGCTATCCATCCACAGACCCGGAAATTGCTCAGAGTCGCAATATTGTCAGTCAATCACCATCACCGGAGCGGATTCTAAGAGCAAGAGAAAGAGCAAAGGAAGCAAGAGCAAAAGCAAGAGAAAGAGCAAGAGAAAGGTCAGAACCATTCTCTGATCCGTCTGACTTCATCTGATACCCACTATTCTAATGAGATCTTATGACCAGTCAATCGCGAGTGAAATGATTAAAAGATGCGATTCGTATTTGAATACAACGATTTTGGGTAGGACGCTGAAATAAATGATCCTTTTTGGTGGGAAAGTTTCCCAGATTAATAAAATACAAAGCAGTAATAAAGGTACCTCCATGATGTGTATATGGGGAAAGTCTATATGTGTGTTAAAAGTCTATGAGTGCAAGCTTATTCAGCGCACTCTAATAGAAATACAAGTAGAAAGAAGCGAAGAAGAAGAAAGTTTTGACCAAAAAAAATTGCTCAACAATTTCTTTAAGCCCAATTGACGGAAGCACCGTGTAATTCACCTGTGCTCAAACTTGCCAATTTTGAGAAAGCACCTTTTGTAAGATCGATTGCGGTTGATGAACAACCTTCACAATAGTCAATTACCTTAACTTTGACGGAATTTCCTTGGTAATTGATTCGGATATGATCACCACAGCCGAAACGACCGCCTTGTTGAACGGCAGCGATCATTGCGTTGTTGCTTGGTGTGGGACCACCACAGGCTGGGTTGTCTAATGAACCACCAGAGTACCATGTGATGCGAGAAGATGTCATTCTTGCTTCTAATGGGCTTGCTTCTGATTCTGGAACAGGTGCAGATTGAACTGTAACCATGATAGCGAATAAGCTAATCAAGGCAAAGAAGAGTGTAAATGAACGCATCTTGTTAATTTGTTTGTTTGTTTGTTTTTTCTCAAAAAGGAAAGTTGGGTTGATAAAATAAACAAACATTCCAAGGATCAAACTACCTTTTATATATCCTATCATGAATGAAGAAAATCTTTCTACAAACACCCTCTTTAACTATCATCAAATCATAAAAAGAGGATACACCCTAAATTCGGGATTTGTACAGCGAGATACAGATGCCATTATGCAATTTGTCGATCATCGATGCATAAACAGTGATCATGTACCCATACTAACGGTCACTTGTCATCGATCAAAAGCTGCCTTTCGCGGCAAGATTGCATGTGATGGAGTGATTCATATGCGAGAATATGCATGGCAAAGAGAAGATATACACCCCACTTAATTTTGAACGGAAAAGCAAATAACCGTCGCCTAGGAACATATCCATAGAATGTATGTGTGTCTTTTGACAGCCTGCTCTTATTCGATCTCCGAATGTGAATTAGAATTGATGAACATATTATGAAATGATTAGATTAAAGCCGATTGCATGAAATTTTTGCACCCTATTCTGACCGTAATTGCAAAGTGGGTCGGCAATTGGGGGGGATGGACGTGAAAGAAAGAAAGAGAAGTTCTTTTATTGTTTCAAATAATTCGCTTCCGCCCGTACGGCCTTCAAGTTGTGACCCCATTTGGCAGTTTACAGCCAGTCAGCTTCTGCACGTATGACTTTTTCTCCGAATGAAGAACAGTTTGCATTGAATGAAACTCTTGTAATAAAAGCCGAATCGGCACTTTACCGGCCATAGGGGAGTTTTACACTTTACGCGCGACGCGTTCTTAAACCGGTCAAAATTCGGTCCCAAGCAAAAAGAGAGAGAGACTGAAAGTACATCCATCCATCGTTCCTGATCGACCGGTTTGCTTTATGCGTTGCGCTGCACAATCAAAAACCGGAACAAAAGGGGGATCATTGATCAGACCCTGTTTCATGAAAAAAGAGGGTGTACAATACAGTATACATTGTAACCCTGTTTCTAGAATCTTATTAGTGCCTTGGCAATTCATTCATCCACTTTCGGCCGGTCATAATTCATACACTAAGTATAAGCTGGGTTTGGGGTTGCACAGTGGCTTATATGCGAAAAGTTTATGGAAAACCACATGAGATTGCCGAGATTTTACAACTATACGATTATCTCAGCTTTCAGCATGAATACTTATCACGTGTCTCGTCGTCTCTTTTCTCATGGTAATCTTGAAGGTGCTGAGACTGTTCTTGTGTATCAGTGGTCATTACAGAAAGAGAAATACTCAGAAATGGTCTAAGTAGGGCTGGAATCGTGCATATCGCCGATTCATAAATGTAGAAAATGACTTGAATCTAACTTTTAATAAGTAAGCTAAAAAGTCATTATTTCATCCAATTACTCAATATATCAGAAGAAAGATTCAAAGAATATCGTAATTCCTGAGGCAAAGTAGCAACAATGAGTTACGATGGTCTTGACCATGGTTCTGCCAAAGATTTATAAAAAAGGGGACAACTATAACAATTCTACAAACATTCAAACTACTTTCGCCGTTGCAAACCTGCAAGCGCATTTCAATACAAAGTATGCTGGTAAGTGTTTGAAGTACCTCTACTTTTGTCTGCAATAAAGAGCAGACTTTGACTGTATTTCCTACACATTCATTTCACGGGGAGATGATGATGGCTTTGTGAATGCTGCTATGCTGACGCGCACGTGGTGAATACAGATTAGCGCCCAAAGGGACAAGTGTACGATTGGCGTGTGTCCAGCCAAGCACTGTGCACTTACACAACGCGGAGAGAGGGAGAGCCACTCTAGATTAGATCTGTGTTGTTAATGCTGTGGTTAATTTTAGCTTTAGAAAGTGTGTGCATTTGTTGTTTGTACCCGCAAAGTGTTCCTTCCATCATATCCTTCACAGAGAGGCATTGCAATAATGTCAAAGCAAGGTCAATCAAATCCTACTACGGGAGGAGGAGGACAGAATAGAGGGAATACAGGACAAAACAATCGACAACAAGGGCCAAGACATAGTCAAAGTACAGGTCAAACACACGGGTCTGCACCACCACGAGTGAATGCAGCAGGACAACAGAATAATAACAGAACGAGTAATGGCAACGGAAAAGGTGCAAATGCAAAACCATTAGGTGCCAATCTACCAGCAACACCAACCCCACAAACAAAAGACGGAATCAATCCAGCCGTTCTAACGGAATTGAAAGGTGCAACTTCTCAGCCTGTTCGACTACACTTGCAAGGAGGAGAAACACAGACCGGCCTTTTGTATTCTTACGATGTAGGAATGGAAATTGTGGCATTAGAGATACCAAAAGCATTCTTGAAAGCATTAACGGAATCAAACAAGTCAGACCCTTCAGCATACCCTTCCACAGCAGCATCCTATCCAACCGCACTTTCTTCTAGCGTCAAATTGGCCGCTCAAGGTGGAGATTCAACAAGTGCAAAGACGAATTTTGAGATCATACCACTGAGAAGGGTACAAAGAGTTGAACGATTACAAGCAGCAAATGCAGCCAGTGCGAATGGAAATATCAGTCAAACTGCAATGCAAGCCTTGCACTCTTCGAAGTTGACACCGGTCAAAAAGGATATCAATGTTGCCGCTGCTGAAGCACGAGAACGGGCAGCAACAGCCGAAGCATCAAAAAGAGCAGCGAAGATTGGTGTTGGAGTGAGCAAGCTTGGTCAAGATGTGTTTGATGGATTGAGCAAGACCCTACCGTGCAGATGGGCAGATCGACATATCATCGTGATGGATGAATTTGCCATCTCGCCAGACAAATACGATACAGCCACAATTCCAAACGTACCTCTTACCACTTTACAGGCAATTGCAGAAGGTAGAGAAGTTGAAGGAGCTCCGGATGAAGCACGTGGTCAGGCAACAAGATGGCAAAGAGTGACAAAGGTATTGGAAGGAGAAAGAAAGAAGATTTTGGCAAATGCAAATGCAACAGTAACAGCAAAATAGAGGAACAGGAACAACGAAGCTCTATCAAATGCATCCCCTCATCTTTACACTATTTTTCTGCAAGAATATCAAAAGTTTAAGTGCCATTGTCTAATTTACAGCACAAATGTATAGTATCAGTCTTTTTCAGTGAATACATTTCACACTCAACTTCATCCAGGTATATTCTCTCGTGATCAGGTCGAACGGATGGCGGGCGGGCAAGACTTAGTTGCATTTCTCCATCGCCACAGAGGTACTGACCTGGTAAGGCTCTGACTACAATCTTGACTTTCACTATACCGCGATTAGGAAAGTACAACAGAGTTTAGGCTAAATTGATACGGAATTGCTAGAGTCAAGCTAGTGGGATACAAAAGAGACAAGAGGCCTCTTGAGCAGAAAGAGGCACAATCAGTAGACTTCAGATATTCTCTTGCATCCCCGCTCTCTTCCTACGGCCATCCCGATCAAGGTTGTGAGTAGTAAGGATGCGCATTCATCTTGAGAAATATAATCCAGGCCGGAAAGAAGAGTTCAAAGTGATCAAAGGCGAATTAAGTGAAGCATTACACGATACACCTATTCTATCGATTGAACATGTTGGAAGTACGTCAATCGAAGGATTGTATGCAAAGCCAGTGATCGATATCGATATCATTGTGGAAAAAGAGAATGTCCAAAAAGCCATCAATGCTTTAGTTGCAGTAGGGTATACGGATTTAGGCGAGATGGGAATTCATGGTAGAGTTGCGTTACGACAGCCCGGATACGGTAAAGAAGATCATGCGACGGGAGAAGCGTCCAAGATAGTCACAGGTACGCCTTTGAACATGCGTAGAAACACATATGTGATCGAAAAAGATTGTTTAGCGTTGAAGAATCATATAGACACCAAAAGAATATTAGAGCAAGATGAAAGTTTACGACAAGAATATATCAACGTCAAACAAACCTTGGCATCTAAGCAGGTCGCCGATATTGCAGAATATGCAAATGGAAAGAATGCCGTATTGGAAAAAGTTCTTAGAAGGGCAGGATGGACGACAGAAGATTTGTATGAGATGCGAAATGGAATAAGGCCATCTTCATCATCACTGGAAGATGATGTAGAAAAGAAGAATTGATTGTATGCCGCATAGTGACAGACTTAGTCGATGTCCGATGGTGATATGAGTGTCATAATTCAACATGAATGCTATGAATTGATCATAGACTGAGAGTATCACTATCCTTGTCTACTGACTTTGAATTGTCTCCGGTCTCGGTCTATAAAAGCTAAGCGGGGACGTGTCTGTGTGCGGCGCCTGACCAGTGTATGAATTCCGGGCCACACAAAAGACCTTGTTCCGGGCTTAACTGCTACCCCACGCATATATAGGCAAACACATCTTCCCTCTCTTCCTCAAAGCAAAAATGGCACCCTCTTCCGATGATGGTCATAACGGCCAACAATTTGGTAAAGTACGACAAGAATTCGATGAAGGTTCGTTGGCAAAATATATCGAATCACATGAATCGATCAGAAATGCAATCGCACTACCGATCGAAGTTAAACAAGCAGCATTTGGACAATCCAATCCAACAATGCTCTTAATCGATGCAAAGAAGAATAAATTCATCTTGCGTAAAAAACCACCAGGAAAACTGGTTAGCAAAACTGCACATGCTATCGAACGAGAATATAGAATTATCAAATCGATCGGACAATATAATGCTTCTTTACCCAAAAAACGTCATGATGAAAAAGCAGTTCCTGTTCCGGAAGTATACTGTTTATGTGAAGATGCAAGTGTGATCGGAACGCCTTTCTATATCATGGAATTCATCGAAGGCAGAATCTTCACAGATGCACGAATGTTGAATCTACCAAAGGAGGAGAGGAAGAAATGGTAAGTAGAAAATAAATGCAGTCTGCCAACAACTGACACTGACAATATCACTATTCCAATCTTACAGCTGGTTCTCTGCGCTAAAGACGTTGGCAAATATGCATAGAATCGATCCCAACAGTATCGGATTGAAAGGGTACGGAAAGGAGAAAGACTTTTATCCTCGTCAATTACGCGGGCTATCAATGGTATCATCCATGCAAGCACAAGTGAAGGACAAAGAATCGGGAGAAGAAGTTGGCCCGATTCCTGATTTCGATGAGTTGATCGAGCTACTCGGTGAAAAGATGGTCACCGATGAGAACGGAATCGTTCATGGCGATTACAAGATCGACAACTTGATCTACCACCCAAAAGAACCTCGTGTGATCGCAGTGATCGATTGGGAATTGTCTACTCTTGGTCATCCACTTTCCGATTTGGGTAACCTGTTACAACCTTTCAGCATGCCTTGCCCAAACCCTGAAGGTATCAATGATATCGAAGAGGTGAAACGTGCTCAAGCAAGAGGAGAAATGTTTATGTTGTTGGGTGGATTGAGCGAAGAAGTGAGCCCGGTACCGCAAAAAGAAGAATTGATGAAAGTATATTGTCAAGCTGTAGGTCGACAGTATCCTATTGCCAATTGGAGTTTCTGTGAAGCTTGGGCTTGGTTTAGAGCAGCAGTGATTTCACATGGAATCGCAGCCCGTGTTGCACAAAGACAAGCAAGTTCAGCCGAAGCAAAGCTTTATGCTACTAAATTTCCACATGCAGCCAAAGCATCTTTAGATTTACTCAGAAAGCCTGTTCAAGCAAAGTTGTAATCGTATCCCTTCCATTGACATGATCAATAGTTATATCATCTTTTTTGACATAATCCGAACAATTCCGTTTGAATGTTTAAAGTGATTGCGGGGTATGAAATTCAATTCCGGAAGAAATGATGCCGCTAAAGCCGACAGACGCGCCTTGTGCTGAATAAAATACAACAACACCAGATTCAATTCTGTCTTCCTTTCTACCTCCAAGGCCTTTCCCTTTGAATTGATAGTGGTCAAAATTGCTACGATGAAGACGATCATCGCAAGAGCATCGAATACAATGCCAATACGGTGCAATGCTTTCCCGCTTACCCCAAGAGGATTCTCACAATATCGACAATTACATACCACATTCATCCGATCTTCTCAACCAATCAATCATGGCCAAAATCATCCAAGTATACCACCTCCATTAGCAGGATTGCGGATCGTTGATTTGACTCGTGTATTGGCTGGACCATATTGTACGATGTTATTGGCAGATTTAGGAGCAGATGTGATCAAAGTGGAGAACCCGGTCTCAGGTGATGATACACGAAGTTGGTCACCTCCAAATGCGCCTTTATTACAAACGAAAGATCTTTCAAAAGAGATCTTACAAACACTTTCAGAGCGGAAGAAGAAGTATTGGGACTCTCTACCGGCTGAAAGCGCATACTTCTTGAGCGTAAACAGAAATAAACGTAGTATAACGGTCGATTTGAAAAAGCCGGAAGGGAAAAAGATCGTTGAAGAATTGATCAAATCAGCAGATGTTGTTGTGGAGAATTATCTTCCTGGGAAATTGGCAAAGATGGGATTGGGGTATGAAGATGCAAAAAGGTTGAACCCATCAATCGTCTATGCTTCAATTACGGGATATGGACAAACGGGACCCTATTCTAGTGCTGCTGGGTATGATGTGATCATTGCTGCTGATGCAGGTATGTTCCATATCACCGGAGAAGCAGATCGACCACCGGTCAAGATTGGAGTCGCAATGACAGATCTAACGACAGGTCTGTACGTTCATGGAGCAATCATGGCAGCTTTACTCGGACGTGGAAAGACCGGTCAAGGCGTTCATATTGATGCAAGTTTATTCGAATCTCAAATTGCATCTTTGGTAAACGTTGCTTCGAGTTATCTCGTTGCAGGAAAAGAAGCAAAACGTTGGGGAACAGCACATCCTTCGATCGTACCTTATCAAGTCTTTGCAACGCAGGATAATTTCTTGATGGTAGGAGCGGGAAATGATGGACAATTCCGCAAATTGACAAAAGCACTTGGTGAACCTGCTCTTGCAGATGATGAGCGATATGCCACCAACGCACAAAGAGTTGCTAATCGAGATGAATTGATTGACAAGCTGAGTGCCTTGTTCTCACACAAATCAACCAAGCAGTGGTGTGATGAAATCTCAAAGCTTGGAATTCCAATCGCACCAATTCGAAACATTCAAGAAACATTTGAACATCCTCAAGCTGTAGGAAGAGATGTTGTCTGTGAAGTTGATCATCCTCGGGCCGGTAAGATTAAAATCAATTCTCCTGCCGTTCGATATGGAGAAGGAAAGATGCAGGTTTTGCGTCCACCACCGGTCTTAGGTCAACATACCGAAGAGGTCTTGGGTGAATTAGGATACGACGAAAGCAAGATTGATCAGCTAAGAGAACAAGGCGCAATCGGACAGTGACATATAGAGAGAAAAAATCATCAATACACATTTTACAGAAAAAATTGCAAAGAGAAAAAAAGGCCACTTGTTTTTATAGATCTGCCCTACCAATCTTAACCATACATAGCAATATACAATATCCCTACATTTGTACCAATCTTCTAATGTATATGAAAACACAACAAGGAAGACGTTCTTCTTTCTTGAGCTTGAGCAAAGGAAGGAATGCAAGATGCTTTGAGAATGGCTTTGATGGCACATTGACCTGCTTATTGAACAGCAGTAGCTTGATTTCCTTGTTGACCTTGCTGTGCTTGAGAATTTTGAGCAGAATTTGTTCCTTGCAATTGCTGTACAGAAGAAGTTTGTTGTCCTCCTTGTCCAGATGCAGAATTGGCACCCAACAATTGTGCTTGGTTGACATTATTGCTACGGTCTTCCAATGCATCATATGCCAACACGAACTCCCTGCTAATCTTGCTCCAGCTTGCAGGATCCCAGAAGATGTAAACACCCTTTTCAGCACGCAAATCTTTGTGTGTCGGTTGTACATTCTCTTCCTTCGTTAGCCACATGTTCAGGCCTCCTCTGTAGAAGCGCCAGTTGCGGTTGTACAATTCTTGAGCAGCAACTTCTTGCAAAACATCTCTTGGTGTACTGTAGAAGATGAAGAACAATGTTTCATCGCTGAAGCTTGCAATCTTGCTCGATGCTGGCGGTGGCGGTTGAACATTGTAACAGCTTGGTAGGTGGAATTCTGGCTCAACTTGAAGTGCTGCCGCTGCTGCATTGTCGGACCATGGTGTGACAAACGAGGCTGAAAGAGAGTCTTGGGCACCCAAATTCAATCCTAGCGTCTGTAGATCACTACCCATCGCAAGCATACTTAGATCTGGATCTTGCATCTTGATGATGTTCAATAAGCCGACCAATCCAAATCGATCTGCTGGACTTGTCAAAACTTGCTGTGCTGGCGTTTTGGCGATTGCTCCTGCTGCCTGGGATTGCGTTCCTCCGGGTGCTGTCCCTCCTCCAACATTTGGCAGCATCAATCCACCACTTCCGACATTTCCTGCTCCTCCCTGCTGTCCATCTAGCCCTCCTTGTCCTCCTACTCCGTCTAATGCCCTATTGGCAACTTGGTTTGCCAAAGCTGGTGATTGTAGCGATCCTGCTCCTGTTGGTGCAGATCCATTCAGTCCAGCTGCCACTGCTGCTGCTCCGCCAAAGTTTTGCGAAAACCAATTCTGAGCAGCTGACATTCCAGGTGGTTGTTGCATTCCCACCTTTGTAGCATAATTTCTATCAACATCACCGCCAAATCCGCCCCTTGCTGCATTCAATGTTTGCTGAGAAGGATTTTGTTCTCTTGCTAGCCTTTGATGCTGTAGAGTTGCTGCTGCACTCGCCTGTTCTTGATTTGCCTGTTGTGATCCTACTCCATTTGCAGCATTCACACTGAAGCCATCAGTCAGAGATGGAAAATCATCTGTATTTAGTCCTGCTTCAACTCCTGCTCCGTTTCGATTGCCAACAGTGCTGTTCGCATAACTCATCGTTCCTCCTCCAATGGAAGGCGCTGAATTGAACGATCCTCCTAGTGCAGGGAAGTCATTAATATTCAACGATCCACTTTGCCCTTGTTGTCCTGTAGATTGTCCTGCTCCAGCACCACTTCCAGCTGAACCTGCACCTGCAAAATTTGCCAAATGAGGCGGTAGATTTGAAGCACCAAAAGGGAATCCTCGATTGAAAGGAGTAGATCCACTTCCTGCATTCGCTCCAGGTGATGGTCTAGGTAGATAATTGTAATTTGCCGGCGAAGGTGCTCCTCCGGTTGTGCCTGCATTCCCACCCGCTGAAGCACCTGAAGCTGCACGATTAAAATTGAGAGGATTCATTGTTGAAGGTCTTTGTGGTGGCGGTAGTCCCGGTCTCTGCATATCGTTGTGAACTGATGGTAAGCACAAATTAGTCAGCCTTTCTTTTGTCGTCGTTGTGAGCAAAGGGACAAAAGCTGTAATACCAACCTCTACTTCTCACTTCTTTTCTGCCGTCCAAGATTCCACCCAAGTTCTTTTGTGTCTCTTTCGCCTATGACACAGAAGACAACACTAGATGGTAACCCTTTTGACGATTCCTTCTTTTTCCTTACCAGAAATGATGAAATGGATGGATGTTTCGTTCCTCCTCCATTCTCCCAATATATGTTTTAGGATAGCGTACGCATTGGCTTGCTTGCTATCTTCTCTCTCTCTTTACAGTTAAAAGCATCCGTGTCCGCGTTTGTCAATTCATAATGACCTGTGCACAATACACTGGTGAAGTGCTCAAACACGACAACGCGGCGCATCAGTAGTGCTTATTACACGTGATAAGTACTGAATTAAGTAAGCAGGATCTATAGGAAAAGTGAAAAGTATGGAACTTAGAAGCTCTTCCTTCTCCTTTCACCACCTTCGTGCAATGATTAAATCATGAGATTATAACAATGAAACCATTTATACACAATACATCTGCTAGTCAACCAAACAGAGGGAAGGGAAATTTGACAATGAATGAAGCCATGGTATACCAAAAAGAGAGAGAGAGGGAATAGAAGAATGGATAAGATACAAAATAAAAAAGGAGAATAAAAAGGACCACGGCTTTACAGCTTTTCATTACTGAATGAAAGCTGGCGGTAATTGTAACATGCTAATCACTTCTCCCCATTCAGGAGCAGAAGGTTCTTGGTGAAAGCTAAAAGGGCTAAAGTTTGGATTGGAAGTATTGCCTACGCCAACACCTTGTGTAACATTGAAAGCTGGCGTGGTTTGATTCGAGTAAGCCGTACTACCGTTCGTTGATCCACTGCTACTTGAACTTCCTACAGATCCTGGAGCAGAAGTGATAGCTTGTGCAAGGATTTGCAACCCTGGACTGTTTGACAAAGGTTCTTTTGCACCCATTGAACGCATACTGGAAGGCGTAAGAGATGGCGGTCCCATCGCGCCTTGCTGTTGCGCTTGTGCTTGCTGCTGTTGCACAGAAGGTGAAGCAGAAGTGGGCAATTGTGGTGGACCGTAACTGGCAAAGTTGGCATAATTTGACATGGCAGAAATGGCGCCAAATGTGCGAGGGGTAAATTGCATTATGTTTGCCATATTGTTGTTCTGACCATTAGCAGAAGAATAACGATTATTTGTACCATTATTCGCTCCGGAAGGTGTCAGAATGCCCGTGCTACTTGAGCCACTATTGGTCTCCTTTGGTCCCAAGAAAGGTGTCAAACGGGTAGCAGTCTCATTCCAGTACACATTTTCCATATCGAAAATATTCGGAGCAAATTCGAAGTAAGCATTGAGAGATTGTTGTGGTGCGATAGGAGCCGAGAATGCATTCACATCTGGCATAAATTGTTGACCCATTGACATGGACATGCCACTCGATGATGGAACCATTTCAGCATTGCCATTCTCTGTACCATCATCGAAGTCGCGATTGGGACCTTGCTGCATCTGGGGAGTAAAGGGTTGTTGGTATTGCATCATCCTATGTTGCTCTTTCTGCTGTTGCAGATATTGATCGGCTCGTTGTTCATAAGATCCAACCTGCATTTGCACACCATCAGGACCTCCTTGTTGCTGACTCCATTCACCTTGTTGTGCAATATTTGCGAGACTATTCACGATCGATCCTCTTCGTCCAACAAGCTCATTCGTTTCTCCAGTCACTACGCCTTCTGCAACAACCGTGAAACCGTCCAAGAGCAACTTATGAGCACTCGCAGATGGCCATCTCTCCGACAATTTTCTCAACCATTCTTTGCACATGAGGAATTGCTTTCGCGAATCATTTGCAAGTTTTTTGGCATATGTTGTTGAATTTTGTGGTGATGTATAGCCGGGCACAATCACCATCTTTGGGCTTGATTCGGAATGTGTTGCGGAATTGGGTGTATGTCCTAAACGTGCATTGAAGACAAACATAACAGCAACTGTAAAGATGATATACGCAAAATCGGTCGAGAGTCTGTCGACGCTACTTGCTTTCGATAAGAGCAAGAGCATATCAAACAAAGACTGAGCGACTTGTGTGCATTTTTGATGATATTTATCGCTTAACAGTTGCGATAAAGAGATACCTTCATCTTGCGGAATAAATGGTCGATGCAACAACAACTTTGCAGTATAATACCATATTTGCACGGCAACAAAGCTTGGAACAGGAATCTCGACATCTTTAGCATTTTTGCCACCATTCAAATCTTCCGGAAACTTGAGAAAACCTGGCAGAGAGCTCTTCCAGGTTTCTAAACTTTGATCAATCTCATCCACCAGCTTGCCGATAGCCTCGGTACCCATCCTTCGTAGAGCAGCTTTGCGTCTAAAGCTATGCACTTGCGTCAACACAGTCTCAACGATTGCAAATAATCTTCTTGAGCTGTTTAACAAACTTGCAGAATGCAGTTGTCTGCCTTGTGCATCTGTTTCAAATTCATCCTTTTCATTCTCGCTCATGGGCGGAACATCAATATCCTTGCTACGAAGCATTGGCGGTCTACCCATCTCAGAGCTGAGAACAGTGCTCAGGATATAGATGCAGTGAATGAGCCGGTTCCGACTTTCACGCTCGATCAGATCATGCTCATATTGATGCAAATGACGGTGCAGACCCAAGTCAATGGCCATTGTATTGGCAAGAGAAGACAGGAGGTATGCTTTTGAAAGTTGTCCAGCGCCTTGATGATAGCATGACAGCAAGAAACAACTCTGAATCGATGCAAATGATGGCGTTGGCATACCTTTATCTCGAAACAAGAATTGCTCGGCGACATTTGCAAATACTTCTGCAGGCGATCCTTCACCGATCTCTGCTTCAAGTTCGCCGTCAATCGAAGGACAAGCAACACAGACAGCAATGGTATAGATGGAAAAGATCAAAGCTGTGTCCAAGGTTGTAGGCAAATGATCTACTGAGATCTCATCCAAAGCAGGCTTGTATAGAATTGGCCAAATAGGATGGAATCCCGTCCAATAATGCTGGAATAATTTTTGATTCATCGCGGAACTTAGTTTGTATTGCTTCTCCGACAGAGTTGAAAAGCCGCTACTCGAGAACCCATGCGGTGATGCGTTTGAGACCGCAGATGGACTTCCGTGCACCTTTGTCGGATGCGTAATTGAGGGCAATTGGATAGGAGGATGAGAAGTTCGAGGCGAGAATTTTGGTCGACCACCAACACTATCAGAAGGACTTCGAACACCAGAATTGGTGATGAGCGTACCTGCATGGTGATGATGCGTATTTTGATGTTGCAATAATTGGATGCCAGAACTTGATCCAATATGACGAATCGTGCCTCCTTCATTAATCCCAATCACATCATCATCCGAATCCTCACCGCTACCCGATCCATCAATACGACCTGCGGGTGCAGACGATTCCCTCTTGATTTGCCTTGCTCGTTTGTTCAGCGAATCGGGCATTGCGATTGCAATTTGATCTGCATTTATTCCACGTTCGTTACTGATTCGAGCAATTTCTTTTCCCGTATCATCGTGTCCCATATGCAAAACGAGATCGCGAATCGTAGTTTCCAACGACCTTAACATTTTTGCTTTTGCACTTTCTTTTGGACCTGAACGGAAACCTTTTGGAGGACCACGTTTTAATCCTCTACTTTCGTATGAACAAGGCGTACCCAAAACAGTGCACACCTTGCATTCTGGTTTACCACCATCACATCTTCGTTTTTTGAGTGAACAGGTGACACAAGCTTTTGAAACGCGGGCAGAATTTCCTTTGTTGGCTGCTGCTGCTGCCGCTTTTGTGTTTGGAGGTGTTGATGCTGAACCGCTTAATTCCATCGTTACATCATCTCTGCCACTTGATGTACTACTATCAGCTCTTACAAAAGGTGATTCACTTTCCCGTATTCTTCCACCAACTGCAGAGTGATCAAATAAGATTCGGTTAGCCATGGCTCATGATGTGTGAATTGTAGAGGAAGGGATGATGACATTGCTAAAACAAAAAAAAAGAAAAAAAGGTGCCCCGTGGCATCATTTCTTCTTGTTACGAACGGATAAACGGCGTAGTACACTATCTTACATTCAACAAAATAAAAAGCCACCCTGTTAGTGCCTCTTCATGCGCAGACAGAAAATCAATTCAAATAGCGTAAAATCGGACGGTCTTTGGTGCACGTCCACCACAAAACAAAAAGTATGAACGTGCTGATAATAGCGGCGCATTTATTGAAAGTGAACATTCTTCCGTTTTAACGGTTCCGCTCACCATAATTTCAAATAAAAAAGATATGATTACGCCTTCGCTACGATCATCGAGTTGACTTGACATCGGATTTTAGGGGAGATGATCTTGACAAAAGAGCGTTGCAAAGCTGTGACACGGTTACATATACTCCGTCGGAAATGCAGTTACAATCTCGGAAATCTCCGGTACACATGCTATTCAGCATTTAATCGGTCAAAGTGTCAATCTCTTCATCACATCTCGGAATCTATGCCTCCATGGTCATCTTCAATTCAATCTCATTTAATCCCCGCTTTTTGAATATCATGCCGCGGATTAGCGGCAGAATGACAGTGCGGAGCTTTACCTTAGCCTAATGTACCAGAGCACGCAATTGATCAATCAAATGTCAAGTCAGAAGAGATGCGGGAGGTACATTCTGTAATGGCTCGAACACAATTTCCAGTCAGTCAGTCTAGATCTCATGTCAAGATGCTTAGAGTGAGAATGAGAGAATATGTTACAGACAGGCTCGCATGAGGGTATATCCCATCAGCATATATTGTGCCTCTTGTGTATTAGCTTTGTGCTTGTGTGCCGCGCCGGGCGTGTGTATTAATATACGCCTCTTTTTATCCAATGGTCGGGCTATATCATGTTGAGTGTACTTCGAACGCGTTTATTCATCTGTACCTTCCTTTCTTGAGAACAACATCAACACCCAACACATATGTTCTATGAATAGAATTGCTGCAAGAGAATACCAATTTTGATCCTTTAAAGAAAGGTGAATGACGATGACTGGCAGGTATTACAGTAGAAGTTGGTCAGACCTTGGCCTGAATTAGCCGGCTAAGCTGCCTAAATAGGTGGATCGGACGGATTTTACCCCCTCTGCATAGCTGCTACTGCCTTTTTCTGTGTTGATCGGCAGATTGACAACAAAGGCTATGAAACATTATTACCAGAAAGAATAAGCTTTTCGGGGTCAGAAATTGAAGCATCAGATTGATATTTCTGACTATCATCATCTCTGATCACTGAATCTGAATCGAATCCCACTCAAAACCATCATTCTCCTTTCCCCTTCTCTTGCTAACTCTATCGCCTCATCTTAAAGTCCTTCTGCTTTTTCTGCTATCGCCTTGCCATATCAACCACCAGCTCTCAGAGCTCTTCCCTCAAAACAAAATGTCAGGCTTAGGCATCGATTTTGGCTCGCCAGCTTCATCCATCAGTTCTGCAAGTCGTAAACAGCCTGTTCATCATGGTCAACAAAAACGTCCAAGATCGATGCAATTAACTGAAAGTTTAAATCAATTCAACGATATCAATCGTCGATCCGTTCCATCCAAACAAAACAACGGAAGACCAATGTCCGCAATCGATCCAAAATCTGCCGTTCATGATGGAAAGACGTACTCTTCTGGTCCAATGAATCGTAATACACGCTTGGGCGCTGCAGTGGCCGCAATGGGCGATCGTGATTGGGATAGTACAAGCAATGCAACACCTTCAGAAATGTATTCTCCAACATCTTCTTCGCCCAGTACAGAAACATCTGCAACATCTTATGGAACTTCTGCAGCTGGCGGAAATGGACTCAAACGGACACAAACGGTACGCAAACAAGTATCACAACCAAACTTAAGTAGATCATCAACAATGGTCAAACGTAACACCACAGATGCACCATCGCAACAACAAAGGATCAGTAGAGGTCCACCTTCTCCTGATGATCATGCACGCGGAATGATTCGCAGCAAGAGCAGCATGTCATTGGCATCTCAATACCGCACCAATCAACCAACACAATCTTCACTCAGTCGATCCACAACTTCAGGCTCTACGTCTCTTGGTCGTACTTCAGAGATTCCAAGAAGTGGTAGTCGAGCAGCAGCCGTGCGTGGCCGTGGTGGTTCAATGAGAGGTGGAATGGCATCCAACAGACGTACAACACTTGATATTCAGCCCAACCAACAAGGAGCCAATGCAGGCGATATCATGGTGATTGACGGAAAACGTATGCAAGCGGATGGCTTTGGCGGATATACTGAAATTAAAGAATCAGAGCCGACAATTGAATCGCCAAAAGGAACCAAACATGAATCAAAACCAGCAAACGTTGAATCTCAACAAACGCAAAAGAGACCTAGTCTCGCTCCTGCTCAGATCCCCAAACCAAGACCAAGAAGTTACACTATGGGTCAGTTACCTCCTCCTGCTGCCCTTCGCGTTGGGTCATTCTATGGCCCAGATGGAGAAGAAAGAGCAAGAATCGATGAAGACGGTCGATTGAGTCAACATGACAGTCATCGTAATAGCGTTTCAGAATCGTCTGATGGACCTGCCCATTCTTCGCATCATTCTAGTAATGCTTCCGGCCGTAGTGCTGGACCTAGATTGCAATTTATGAACAGTCCTGGCGTTTCTGCACAATCTGCACGCGAAGGTACAAGTGTAGCAAGTGGAAAGAGTAACGCTCATTCTAGTACTGCATCTGGTGATGGAAAAGGACAACTTCATAAATCAGTCTCGATGCGAAGTGCTCATGGCTTCCGTGGTTTGGGCGCGGCCGAACGAGGTGAAGCGATGGTGAGCTTGGACGATTTGAACCGATATGCCAGCACTGGATACGAAGAAGGCGAATATATCCTCCCAGGTCGTACAAGAACTATGGATGATGAGAGTATTTTGCAATCTGTTCGTTTGGACGCCAGACGCGAATCAGAAGAAGATTCAAATCAACAACGACCAAGACCTGGAAAAGGTCATATGCGACAAGCAAGTGCACCTGCAGGTTTACATAAATTGGAAGATGAAACAACTGTTCGTCGTCAAAATGCAACACAACTTGATCGTCACGGTACACTGATCTCTTCTGCCAGTAATCCCGCACGAAGGTCAAAAGATCTCAATAGACTTTTGGGTAATCATAGCGGAAAGCTATCATCTTCAGCAAGTAGCGATGCAGGCTCTTCTCTGTCTTCTGCTTCTGCTATGAGCAAACGTAGCAACACAAGCAATTCAATCATGCCCCAAGCTGTTTTAGAACAAGGAAAGTCTGGAAAAAGCAGAGTGGACGTAGACTTGATCCTGGAGAGCGAATTGGTTGTTGAAGGTGGTATGCTGACGGGTAGATTGGAAGTCAAAGTACGCAAGAACAACACAAAAGACGGTCATTTGATGTTAAGTCAACCAAAAGTTCGCGTTGTCGGATTTGAAGAATTGGTAAATGATGATACCCGTCATATCTTTTACCATTATGCAACCGTGATTGATGGATGTACAAAAGTGGGCAAAAATGTTTCACAACCGTATGTATTACATGGATCGCCAAACCTTTCGCCTGAAGCAGATAATCGACAACCTTTGGCTTGCTTTGCTTCTCAACCTGATTCTGAAGGATACTCTGTTGCCAAAGAAGGTCAACATTCCATTCCTTTTGCTTTGGAATTGCCTGTAGGAAAAGGTGCAAAGGGTACATACCGTGGAAAGCATGCAGTTGTACGGTACATCGTGATCGGTTCCGTGAAGTTGAAGAGCGAAAACGGATCAAACCGCTCAATCGCACACTTTTATCGTCATATCGATCTTTACCCTTACCTCAACCCCGCAATCGTTTTGGCAGGTTCTGGCAAACCAGTTCAAGCCAGAGGAAGCAAAGGTCTGTTCTTGGGAGGATCCGGTAAGGTACACTTGATTGCATCTTTGCATCGAAGCTCATGGGTCGCAGGGCAACGTCTGTACGTGCACTTACGCATCGATAACGAGACCAGCAAGAGAGTCAAAAGTTTAACTATGACTTTGATACGTACAGTGATCTTGTACAGACCAAGACCGGAGTTTGACATGGCACTCTCTGCACCGGATGATCCAAGTGAGACATACATTGATCCTGATGCATGTACAACATCCACAAGTCGCAAGAAGATCTGCGAAGACGTGTTGGAAATGGGTCAAAAGGGAGCAAAAGGTACCGTCACTGCACGAGGTTGGTGGACCGGTGTAGAAGCAGGAGAGGCTGTTGAACTTTCTCACAATATGAAATTACCAGTTGATGCATTAACGATCACACGTGGTAGACATGTTGAAGTCTCTTACTCTCTCAAGATATCCGTTGGAAGCTCTCTGTCTTCTGATGTTTCAGTCGAGCTACCCGTTCGAATCGTCAACTTTGTCTCGCTCGACCCACCTCCATTGAAGAGTAGTATCAAACATGTCACTCCAGCACGTATGAATGGTCGAAATGCAGTTTCTGATTCTGAAGCTCCAATGATTGCCCGTGTTCGTTCAATGGAAGCACTGAAGAGTCCTCAAAGGATTGGAAATGAATTCACAGGTGCCAATGACGGAAGATATCTCAATGTTCATCGACATGTTGATGCAATGCAAATGACAAACAATCGCACAAATCAACCAAGAAACTTGTTACCCGAAGATCCAGAAGCAGCTCGTGCAAAGAAATTACAACATCAAAAATCTCTAGATTTCATCAATCATGCAATTCGAAGCGCAACTGCTCGTCGTGTCGGAAGCGCATCTTCTAATGAACCCAGTCCAACAGGATTGGGAATTGAAGTGGACGAAGCCAGAACTCCATTGGCGGAAGAATCTTCTGGTGCATCTTCCATTTCGGATGATAGCAGTAGCTGTGTGAGCAGTAGTGGGGCAAGTATGTCAAGTGCAAGCGAGGCAATTCATCCATCTTGCAAACCATATCAACACACAAATAACAATTATCCACCTATCGTTTCATTGAGCGGTGTAGTCGGAGGACCACGACCGATCTATATGCCTTCTCATTCAATCTCTGTCGATGATGCAGATGATGATTCTGATGAAGAATATGATGCAGGAGAACAGACTTTGATCTTGAACGATGATTCTGTTGCTGATATCGATATGGTGATCGGATCTGCCCAAGTTGATGGTGGTGAATCATCTCCCGAATTTAGCCAAAATCGTGGAATGGAAGCATTCGGAGGTGATGTGACTATTGGAGGTGAAAGTGAAGGTGATATTTCTACTTCGACCATCACAAGCAATGATGATAACTTGTACAACCATCAAATGGAAGACGAATTTGATGAAGAAGAAGAGCGATTGAACGCAATGCGTCAAAGACAAAACCAAGATCAAGATGATGGCCCCACACCTTTGGCAAGATCACCACCTAAGTTCCAAAGCAACATTCCTGTTCGTCCACCATTGAGTCGAAACATGGACTCTTCTATGAGCAGTCCTTCCGACGGCAATGTGAGTGACACATTGAGTGGATACGCTTCCACCGCTTCTTCTACTGCAATGAGTACAAATTCGGCCAAAGAGTTGGCAGAGGCAAAGCGTGAAGGTAAAACAGTTGTTCGAACGAGATCTGATTTGGAGAAAAGATTGGGAAGAAGTTCGACGATTATTCGTGGTCCCAGTACTGCTTCTTCTAGACCTGTTTCACCCAGCAAACAAAATCCAACTCCTGCTAAATCAGCACTCAAGACCAAGTCAAGTTTCACTTATGCCACTGCCGAACAACCCATCAAACAACAAACAGCAAAGACTGCACCTTTGACTATGCCTGCCGCTTCTGTACGTGCAAAAGTTGATCCTCACAAAGCATTGACAGCGCACAAGAATCCACGATCATCCGCACCGATGAAACAACAACAAAAGCGAGTTCAATTAGCAAGTGACTCAGAGATGAGCAGTGCTAGCAGTGAAAGTTCTACTTCACCCGCAACAAGTGCTTCTGCTCTCACACCTCGCGAACAAATGAGCGAGTTGGAAGACGGAATGCCATTCGATGCTGACAGGACGATTCACGCATCAGACTTAGGTGGCTTGGGACTGCAATTGCAGCCAATCGTTCAATCTGTTGCCGTTGAAGATGGAATGCCAAAGTCCAAGAGTGTTTCAATGATGGACAGATCAACACGACCAAAGAAGGCATCCATCCCAACATCCGTTTCTACCCGTAACGCCAACCAAAATTCCGGTGTTGTGGCTCCATCTGTACGCGATAAGATTGCCATGCTGGAAAGTCGAAAGAAGGCATTAAAAGAATTCACAACTGTTGGTGGAGGATTGGAAGTGCCAAGTAACGAAACCGTTGGCACACCTCCTGCTTCTCGTAACGCACGCTTGAATACGACACCAAACAAAGATCCTGATACTCCAACCCGAGTACAAGCTGCCGCAAAATCCTTCTTGGAACGCAATAATAGTATCGTTTCTCAAACTTCTTCTGTCGCCACTTCCGTTCAACCAGATTATTTACGCAATATGTCAAGCGTTCAAAGTTTCAAAGCTCCTCTTCTTCGTGAGAAGTAGAGGCATCTCTCCCAACACATCTCACAGCACGGACTTTATTTTTATTTTTATCTCTTTCTTCTCTGACTTGATTTGACACATTATATTCTCGTATTTTTCTGCTTTGCCCATTCGATTCTATCTTCTTACGCGCAGCTCAATGAGCTTGCTTGCTTGTTTATATTCATGACCTTGTTCGGAGATTTGAAATGATATGCCATGACAATTTGATCCCAAAAAATGATTCAAAATTCAGATAATTTGCTTCTAATCTTGTTACCCATTTCAACATAAGCTGATTCAATAATTTCCTCGACTTTGGACAATTTTTTGTGCTTGAGAATCTTTGCCGTTTCTTGTAATAACTTGTCGGTCAGTTCTTCGTGCTTCTGTTGACCTTGATTGGCATCTTTGACAAAGTTGTTACCTGAGGAAGGCAAGCGATGGGACTGAATAAGGTGAGTAAGTCGTGATATCAAACGTACACCAACATACGCACGGATAGCTTGCAATTCATTTAGGTATGCTGCGCGATTTTGCTCTCGGTGTTCCACGGTTGCTCTGAAGCGGGGAAGGAGGAAATAGAGAAACGTTACCGGTCTCAGCATTCTGGTTTGAATCGACAATATTTGACTATGTACGCACTGAATTCGTCTGATGTAAGTGTCATAATACTTCAAAGCTTCCTCGAAACTCTTTTGTAGGCCTAGCGTCATCTTGAATGCTTCTTCCGTAGCTTTGACTTGCCCTGACATGACACTTTGAGAGATTCGTCTGCATCGTACCGCGGATGAGTAAGAAGAAGGACAACATATGATCAGCAATCGTCACCAAAAGGTCTGCTTTGACAGTCAACGATGTCTTACTGTAATTGCTCATTCTTCTTCAATAAATCTTCGATCATTTGGTCAAAATTCTTTTCATCTTCGATATGATCGACAATTGCTCCATCTTCATCGTCAAAGTTGATAGGTTTTCGTAGTTGAACTGTATTTTTAGGGTGATCGACAATGTTGAGCTGATTCCGACACAATGTATGCGCATGCTATATCGTGCATATACTCACCTCCTAGCTTCATGATTAGCATTTCGGTATCATAGCGTGTGCGCATTTCTTCAAGATCTTCTTCGTTCGTGATTCTTTGTTTGACAGACTCGAATGGGTTAGTATCAGGACACAAATGATCGTTTGATCTTCAACTCACTTTTTCATTTCTCCGAATAAAGGTTGGACCTTACTGACTTGAATACGCTCAGCTTCACGTCGAGGCTCATTGCACAAGGTTGCACTACTGGTCACCATGTTGAGTGAGGGAATAGCTCGGGATACTTTTGAGATCAATTGGCCTCAGGGATGCTGTTGTGGAAGCGAAGGAAGCAAACTGAAGAAGACCGTGATAGTATTTTATTAAACGCTTCTGAGTGTATGTACAATTTTTGGCACATGCGGCCGAGTACAGTACAGGCCAAAAGCCCGCGTTTCAGTCCAACGTCCGGGCGTATTTTGGCAGGCTCTTTGAAGCCATTAATCTTTCTTGCTCTTGCTTGACTCATATTGCACAGCACGACGATACAATTCATCTTCCACGTATGGACAACCTCCCAATTGAACAATTTGAGAATGACCTTTTCGAACATGATGACAATCTTTTGCATGTTCCCAAAAGTAGCGCTCTGGCACGTTGACCGTTGCATCACGTACGGACTCCATATCGATAAATTTTTGGCAATTATGGCATTGTCCCTGCAACATCCATTCTCTTCGTTTGTTGTTTCTTTCATCCCTGACGATCTTTTGCTTTCTGAATGCAACTGGCGGATCAAAAGGTAGACGACTTTTGGGTGAGATACCATGAAAAGTTATCAAATGGAAGTTGTATTGAGATTGTTTCATTTTCCTCCAGAAAATGCGTCCTTCCTCATAGCAAATCGTACATAGAGCTTGCTTGTTCACTCCTAATCCAACCGTATAGCGTGGGGTGTAGAGATCCAAGAGCGATTTAGGTTCATTGAAGACTGCAGGGAATTCCTCCAAGCCTCTGATTGCTGCTTGACGAAAGGTGGCGTCGTCAATTTTGCTGGCCTCTTCCACGGTAGCAACTCCAAAAATCTTAGCTTTGGCTTCTTCATCCATCAGAGATGGAACTCGAAACTTGCGATAGAACATTGGATATGCTTCCAACATCTTCACACCGTCGAAATCCATCGGAACGTCGGGAGGGAAAGAGCGGATGCCCGTCGCGGACAATGGAGGACGATGAGGCGGATACTTCTCATCTGCCACAATTTGACTTCGTTCACTGAATTCAGTCTTGATGTCGTACATCTTTTTTGGTGCTTCATACTTGCGAAACGAGATGCTTGAGAATGGATCAGTCTTCACAGAGGAAGCTCTTTCACCTGCACGTCGAGCAGCACGCTTTGCACGACCTGTTGAAGAAACCAGACGAGAAAATGCGAGTCCATCTGCCCGACCATGACCAAGAGACATCAATACATTTGCACAATTGATGCTTTCATCCTCCTCTTCACCCGTTTCTGCCTTGTATCGTTCCGTTGAGACCCCTTTGTTGCACTCATTCTCTGAACCTGAATCTGGTGAGTCTGGGACGTGCCTGCGTTCGTACGAGACCTTGGTTGCAAAGTCCTTTGGTGACTTTCTTGCAGACCTTTTTAGAACGATTCTTGGCCTTTTTGAGCGTACTTGCAGTGCCTTGCTGTCAAAGATGTTATCTTTATCAGCATCAACGGGTTCCTCATCTTGGTTTGAGCCTTGCGCATATGATGAGCATGTGGTGGAGGACAATGGTGACGAACCTCCCATGAAGGAGGCAGTGACGTCCCTCTCATTTCCATTTGACTGCGAAGGAGTTCGCTTTCTTTTGCACAAAGTCAAAGCCTGATTGAAACTTGGAGTCTGTGGTGAAGAACGTTGTCTGTTTGGCCAGAAGTGCGTTTGAGAAAGTGGAGAATCACCATCACTGTCGCGCGCAGTTTTCGAGCTTCCGTGGCTTCCAGAGCTGGGAGGATCCGGGACTGGAAAGCTTTGGCCTGCCAATCTGTGGTAGGAAGCAGAGATCTCACGAGCATAATGTTGTTGGGAAACAACTAGAGGCGATGATGAAGGTGCATGGTACAACGACTGCATCGCCGGGTACCTTTGACTGTGGGAAGATGAAGGTGTTTGAGGAACTGAGAGCAAAGAATCTTCTCCCAAACGCGATTGCTGTTGAAAGAAAGAATGAAGAAGGTGCAAGAAATAAATGAGAATCAGTACGATGCGAATATTCAAGCATGAGTGGGAAGCGGATATCTTTGCGAGGGCATCAATTTGCACTTTTTGTCTTTTGTAGTTGGATGAATGCACTCAAAAGGGCATTTCCATTTTCCACTCCGCTGAAGCCAAGTGAAGCGAGCATTATGCCTGAACAGAATTTGACGGAGTGCATTGGGTGCAATCAAAGAAAAAAACATCTTCGGTTCATAAAGTGTAGCTCTTCGGCGCATGAAGGTGCGGTAAAAGTGCCACAAATTGACGTGCAAACTGAAGAGGCATAAGAAAGCATTTTTACTCACAATTGGTGTCATGAAGGTCGAATGATCCATTCTTGAGACTCGTTTTGGGGTAATGGTTTGGCTACAGGAATGCCACGATTGCGATTGGGAGTCAGTCATCGCGTAGGATGTATCGTGGGAGAAGGGAAGAATGTTGGTTGGGTTCTGAATGAAGTCCTTTTGAATGTTTCCATCGAAATTGCTGACAAGTGATGCTTGATAATTTGTGTGTGCCGGCTTGGAAACATCATTTGAGCCAAAATTGTCACCTGTTTGCTGTGACCAGGATTGAACCTCCGACGCCTTTGCAAATTGAGATGGCAAAGTATGGGTTGCAGATTTAATGACATGATTCGAAATCGCGAAATTGACATTCGAATATTGGCTGTGAGGAGGATTGTGTTTGTCATCAAGACTTGCTGAAAGCTCATTTCCCGGAATCGGAGGATACATCGGTTGTGCGCCCAAGTAACTCGGTGTATTATTTGCGAATTGGAAAGACGTATTTACGCTTTGCATGCTCGGTGAAGTGTATTTTTCCGGAGCGTAAGTTGGTAGATGAGCCGGCTGCTGAAAGGAAGAATTTTCCTTAATCCGCTTATTAGCGGCGGTGCCATTGTCACAATCGGCCAATTTTTTGTTCGAAGGGAGAACTTTGTTTGATGTGCCAAGAGTGAGATATGACTGTGGGAGGTCAGCTTCATTACCCTTATCAACTTGTACTCCTTTTACGACATTTTGATCACTCTGAGTTTCTTGATCGAACTTGAACCCATCATTCGAAACTTTGTTCCAGAATTCCTCCGGTGAGAAGAAATTACTTGGCTCGTTCCAGACCAAGTCCCGATCTTGAGCGCAATCATTGTTCCAATTTTCAGCCAATGTCAAATTGGCAGCATCAGAATTCGCAAATGAATACGAGTGAATAGTATTACTGCCTTGTCGGCAAGGAGCGCAATTTCCCTCTGCATGGGCGTGTAATGTTGCAGGAGCCAGCGATGCACTTGTAAGGAAATCATCGTGTCCTTTCAGCGTATTGTAACCGTTCGAATTGCGATCTCGATCATCTTTCAGCATCTGATTCGATCTTTGGATCGTGAAAGATGAGTTGTGAAAGCCATTACTCGGACCGGATGAGGATGTGACTGGCCAGTGAGCATTTTGGACGTTTGCCCGATCACGATGGCTGAGTACTTCTCCTTGCTCGATCGGCCATTCAAGTTCACTGAAAAAATGAGTTGGAGAAAGAGTGAATACAATCTGTCAGGCTTCTTTCAGACTCGTAAATGTTGCATGCCAAGCCATCACTCGGCATACAACGTAAATAAAAATCACCGGTAATAATAAAAGAATAATAACTTAAGTCATAAATAATAAAAGTTGCAATGAATCCAAACTAGGCAAGTTGTTGCCTTTGAATAAAAAGTTGATAATAAAAAACCGGTTCATAAAAATCATTGTTTCTTGTTGCTTGAGTCTTACCAAGTATCCGTCTTTTTCTTGTCAGAATGGCTCTGATCCTTTTCTGGGTTGTCCATCTCAGGGTTTAGGCTCTGATCGTCGTCCCACTATCTCGAGAATAATTTGGGAGAGTATGTTAGTATCATTAGAGAAGATTTGTTGAATATTTGCTGAATGTATGCGCCCCCTTCACACCCTTGAATACATACCTCAAGCATTTTTACGATATCGTCCAGCGGATATGAAGCTAATTTGACCAAAAGATCATCTTGCGTATCTGTACTTGTGCACATACTGCTCCACCGCTCAAGTCTTTATGGACTTGATGATGAATATATGCGGTATTGGGTGAATGTATGCGGTATTCTGAATAAATGCGGTGTGTGGAATGGTGTGGAATTTGAACTTGTTTTTCTAGTTTACCTTTCTCTTGCCTTTGAAGAAAGAGAGTTTTCAAGTAAAATTGGGTTTGCTTAGTGAGTGGGAGTAATGTCAGTGAAGAGTGTGATGATGTCGGGAACAGAACATTTGAACCTGCTTGCACTACAATTTCTCATTTTGGGAATATGCGGGCGGCGTTGAATTTCACGGCCAGAAAGAGCAGCGGCGGACATTTGATTAGAAAAGGCTTGACACTTTGTACCAAATACCCTACGGTAGGACAGGCGCCGCAACAGTGTATAAGCACGCATACAGCCGCGTCTACTTTGACCAAAAACAAACAAACACGTCAACACAAGCGTTTGCATGATTCAAGACCGCACACACTCAGACATGACGGCCATCATCGATCAAGAGAATATTCATTAAAGAGAGCAATTAGACAAAGAGAAATAGATACGATATGATAAGACAGGATACAGTAATAGAGAGCTGAAAAAGGAATAGTAAAACAAAAAGACGATGAAGACGAAGAATTTGGGAATGATACAAACGAAACGATAGCTGAGCCGATTCTATCTGTGCAGGCCTGGAACGCGAGACATACGTTCATCAATACAAATACAGATAGCAACCATCAAAGCTGTATCAACGTGTCCAGTAACCGAAAGCGTATAGTCGTGGGTGTTGAATGGGTATTTGTACATCGTTGCAACATCACGATTAATACGGGCAATCGTTTGACCGTGGGAATCTGTTAAACGAGAAGCAGCCGCGTACATATCTGCTCCTAAGGTCATCTTTGTTTGTTCACCTGCTCCGGCCGTGTTGAGGAATTGAATGCCTAAGCCACCTGCTGGTCCATCACGTCCACTGCAAGTAAAGATTGTACGTTGCGTCATCGGATCAACTCCGATATAGGCATCACGTAAGAATGGCAAACCTTTTCTTCGGATCTGGAAGAGGAAATTGCCTTGGAAGTCAAAAACGTTTTTCTTATCGGCAACGCTGTACATTTGATTCTTTACGGTGAAGAGTGTTTGTCCGGTTGCATTATCAACGACTGTGAAATGATCACGATGTTTTGAAGTGGATGGATCTCTCATTGTGAGAACGACTTCATCAGAATGTTGTGCATATGTCTTGTAGATGCCCAAAGGTTCAGCTCTTGGCATCAAATCTTCGTAGCCCATTGGAGCATATCCATTTCCGAAACCTGCATTGGATCCCATACCGGCTTGTATGATTCCACCGTTGGAAGGCACGAACCAACCTCCATCACTTGTACCCCAAAAGCCGTTATTGCCTCCCCAAAATCCGGATCCACCTGATTGATACATATTTCGATTAGTTGACATCAAAGATGGGTTGGCACCCGGCATTACACCGCCAGCCAAGAAATTCATGATGGATTATTTTTGTTGTTTTGCAAGGTAGGTGATGATGGTTACAACTCGTTGTGGAGTTGGATAGAGGGTGAGTATTTATTGCTGACCAGGTAGTCTCACGATCAGACCATAACCCTTTTGTGTCTGGAGAAGGATTGCTCAGCATCCAATTAGAAAAATCCAATCACCGGGCTATAATGTGATCGGGCCGAAAATAACCCACAAATGGCATTGATTAGTGGAGGCAGAAGGGATGGAGTGCTTTTCTTTTGTCTCTGATGATATTTGTACGAATGCAGATATGCATGCACAATACCAATCAAACAAACTATTTCCTACTCAAAATAAAGATTTAAGCAGTGGTATTCATGCAAGGTCCCTGTCGAAGTGGCTTCATTCATGCTTGAAGGATAGTAAACGACAGTAAAGATGAGGTCATTGATTATATGTCCCGGCCTTGTTTAGTGTCAAAAGACAACGATTAGCGTATCTTTTATTCATGACCATATCCTTTTTTTAACGCTAAGAGCGTCATTTTTACCCAAAAAGGCAATTGGTCAAAGCCTAGACGCCGGCATTCTCAATTACCGTAGTAAATTGGATTTGGAATTGATGTCTTGCTATTCGCTCATCATTCTTGAACAGACGGATCCGTATGAGTTGTTGGCTAAGCAGTACACCGAGGATTGCGGGAAGTTGACCATGATGATGACATAATCAGATTGCCAAAATTGATTATATAATGCGAGCGCGTCTAAGAAGATTGTTTCGGGCGAATGCGTGTGTAGAGTGCAATGCATGAATAAGAGACAGGGCTTGTGCGCGAATGCATTTCGAGTCACTTTTTAAGAAGAATTGAATGTACATTACAAGAAGAAACAATTCCAAGCTTCCTCTCTACTTAATCACCATATCAAATCTCTGCCAATCATGTCAGACACCACACAATACAAGCAACCCTTATATCTCCGATGTGAGATGAAAAAGAGCGAGCATCGTGCTGCTCTTACTCCAACAACTGCAAAGAAGCTCATCAATGCAGGTTTTGAAATCACAGTCGAACGTGATCCTCAAAGAATCTTTGATGATGAAGAATACGAACGTGTCGGATGTACTTTGGCTCCTCATAATACTTGGGAATCCCTTCCGCCAAATGTGCCAGTGATCGGTTTGAAGGAATTACCTGCACCCGGACCTCCAATTCGTGCAACGCATATTCAATTCGCACATTGTTTTAAGAAACAAGCAGGATGGGTAGACGTCATTTCCCGATTCAAGCAAGGAGGCGGTAAACTGTACGATCTAGAATTCTTGGAAGATGCAAGTGGAAGAAGAGTGGCCGCTTTTGGCTGGCATGCCGGTTTTGCAGGTGCTGCTTTAGGTTTATTGTCTTTGGCAGAACAAGTACAAGGCAAGACTTTAGGCCCTCAAACTAGATACCCTAATGAGAACGAATTGATCGATCATGCAAAGAAGCAAATTGAAATCGTCAAAAAGTCTCGTCCGGACAATCGCGTCAAGGCATTGGTTGTGGGCGCTTTGGGCCGCTGCGGTCGCGGAGCGATCAACTTCTTGGAACGTGCAGGCGTTCAATCTGATGATATCGTTCGTTGGGATATTCAGGAAACCAGTGCAAAGTCTGGTCCATACCAAGAAATGCTCGATGTTGACATCTTTGTCAATTGCATTTACCTCAACAAGAAAATCCCACCTTTCCTATCCAAGGAATTCATCGAACAGGCTGGCGAGAAACGTCGTTTGGGATGTGTAGTAGACGTTAGTTGTGATACCACAAACCCAAACAATCCTTTGCCGATCTACGACATCAACACAACCTTTGATGAACCAACCGTTGCAGTTCCTCTTAAGTCTGGTCTCCCATCTTTGACAGTGATCTCCATAGATCATTTGCCAACTTTGCTCCCTCGTGAAGCATCAGAAGGTTTCTCGGAAGATCTCTTGCCATCGCTTATGCAATTACCGTATGTCTTGCCAGGAAATCCAAAGACGAAGGTAGAGGGTGCCGGTAAGGAGGAAGGCAAAGGAGCAGTTTGGACACGGGCAGAGCAACTTTATCGTCATCATTTAGCAGAAGCCGAAAAGGAAGGAGCATGAGAAATGTAAAATTGTTATTTATACAAAATAGATGAGATGATCATGATACAGATGTGTGTGTGAGAACGTGAAAGAGAAAGTGTGGTTGAGGCTTATTAACGTGCTTGATTCATCATTACTGGATTCATTGGCCTCCCTGTAGGATCGAGTGACATGCCCATCGGATGATTGGTAGCCGCGGCAGCAGCAGCCATAGCAGCAGCATTCACAGCGGAAGTTGGTACTTGAGGTTGATATGCGAAATTGGCAGCATGTGTTGCCTTTGCTGCACTTCGCAAACCTTCACGAAGTAACTCTCTGCAACTGCGTAAAGTATGTGCTCTATGAGTGTAAACGCCTGCAAAGCTACGTTGAGCAAGCGGTAAGATTCGTGTTCGTTCATTCTCAACAGCAGCACGGATTGCGCTGACCAATTCAGTGAATTCGGTATCCACTTCTTCATCGTTGAAACCCAAAGTGTACATATCGCTGTTCGGATCTTCTTGTCTCTTTTGAGCGGCAACGGCAGAATTAACTTTGGATTGTTCAGCTTGTTCTGCATTGCTCATCGGTACAGCTTGTCCATCAGGTCCGAGTGTCATTCCAGCTCTTGCCAATTTCTTCTTCTTCTTTTCCAATAACTTACGTTGTTTACGTTCTGCTGATGCTGCTTTTGCTGCTGCTAATGCACGTTCTTTCTCTTCCAATTTGGCCACTAAAGCAGGATTATGAATCTTTTGCCATTCCAGCAATAGTTCATCGTATGGTTTGCAGCGTCCCAACACTGCACGTTTTGCACCCATCGAGTGAGATTTGCACGTCAACGAACGTGAACAAGGTAATCCTTTATCATTGATCACACCGCATTGGGTATCAACATCCGGAGCACCTTTCTTTCGTGCTGCTAATGAATGCTTTTTCATTCGTTTTGCTTCTTGTGCTTGTATTCTTGCTTTCTTACGTGCTTCGATTTCTAATCTTTTCTCTGCTTTCTTGCTTAATTTCCCGGTTTTCTGAACATCGCTTCCACTGCCGCCCAATGCATGTTGTGCTTGTGATATGGATGAAGCATCGGATACATCCGAGTCCCTTCTGCTTCGTAGTGTTCGTACCTCTCCTTCGATGATGCTAGGTGACAATCTACCTTCAGCGATATCCCGAATCAAGCGACAGTTCTCCTGATGAAATCCTAGTGCGTCCCTAAGTACAACTTTTCCACAATCTCCGCATTGAACGACTTCTACATCATCATCCAAGCGTGAGGGACCGAAATCCGTCACATCTGCATCGTTTGAATGCCATCCAGGTGCATTTGAACGTGAGCTAGAAGGATCAGGAGTTGCTACAAGTGATCAAAAAAGGGTTAGAGATTGAATCTATCACATTCTTGATTGAGACACTTACGACTTCGTACGGATTCATATATATCCGCCCACGATGGGTGTGACATGATTGTTCGCTATTCTTCTTGCTGCGATCGTTGTAGCATATGTTGTTGCTCCACTGAATGAATGAATGCTAGCTGATTGACCATCAAAGTGAGTTAAACTGATCGACAATCTGATTGGCCGCGTCGCGCATTTACCATTCAATACAAAGAAACTCCCCGCGTTCAAAGCCTACAATCGACCCCCACGCGTATCGTACATTTCTAAAACTTAGGAAAAGTTTGGTAAAGCTTTCTAGAACAAAAACAACTAAAATTTTAAGGTGAGCATCGTTTGTTTATCTGTACAGATCCCCAACCATTTCCCGAAATTTGTATCTGTTCAGAATGACTTTTCTCCTGATGAAATCTCGCCCCACAATATAATGAGTAAGAAGAAAGGCCCTTTTCCCTTGATCCCGTCGGATGAACGTCGTCTTGTCTCGGTCAATCTTTTGGGTGTATCTCCTATAAATAAAATACACTGATCAAATGCCAACGATTCCCACTTTAGCGTGCCTCGCTTGCCTGCCCTTTTCTAAAGCACACACACATCAGCGCACGGTGCTTTTGCTACGTTGCAAGAAGATGGAAAGGGCGGATAAAAAACACAACACTGACGATGTGCACTCTGGTGGCGTATAAGTGCACTGTCAACTCATTCTCCGCATATACACACATACACTAAGTCCTTCTTGGAAATTCTATTCTGGTTCAACACACACACACACAAACACAAAAATAAACTTTCCTCCTTTTCCCACCATCATTTCCTGTCTTTTCCATCAATATACGTAGATTTGATCTTTTGTTCTCTCTTCTACGATATACATTTATAAACCATCATGTCAAACCATCTTTCCACACCTTCTAATGGGCCACCAATCAAGGCATCGCGCACTCGTGGCGCTTCGCACATTGTGAGTAGAACAAAACCCACTGGCTAGACTCGTCTTTGCTGACATTTCTGCCTTTCCCAATATTTTGCAGGACTTCAAATCAGCCACAACTGGTGTGGCAGCAAAGGCAATGCGCAATGAATTGAACAAATTGGTCGCTGGCATCGAAGAACCAGTGGCTCGCAAGGCATTCGATGCAGAAATGTCATCTTTCTTCACTTTGTTCAACCGTTACCTTGCTTCCCGTGCAAAAGATGAGAAATTGGTCTGGGACAAGGTTAAAGCACCTGCACCACAACAAATCACACCTTACGAGCAATTACCTCAAGCAAACGATCCTTCTTTGTTGAACAAATTGGCCGTATTGAAATTGAACGGTGGTTTGGGTACAACAATGGGCTGCACAGGTCCAAAATCCGTCATTGAAGTTCGTGAAGGAATGACATTCTTGGATTTGAGTGTTCGTCAAATTGAACATCTCAACTCCTCCCACAATGTCAACGTTCCATTCATCTTGATGAACTCTTTCAACACAGATGACGACACAGCAAGAGTCATTCAAAAATACGCAAACCACAATGTTGAAATCTTGACATTCAACCAATCACGTTACCCACGTATCAACAAAGAGAGCCTTTTGCCTTGCCCTCGCAGTGCAACAAGCGACAAGAGCCTTTGGTACCCACCAGGACACGGAGACTTGTTTGATGCCATGTACAACTCCGGTCTCTTGGACAGATTGATTAGCGCTGGAAAGGAATACGTCTTCGTTTCCAACGTTGACAACTTGGGTGCTGATGTAGACTTGAACATCTTCCAACACATGGTCGAAACTCAAGCTGAATTCATCTCTGAAGTGACAGATAAGACAAAGGCTGACGTCAAGGGTGGTACTTTGATCGATTACGAAAACACTATTCGTCTTTTGGAAATCGCTCAAGTTCCAAGCGAACATGTTGAAGATTTCAAGAGTGTGAAGAAGTTCAAGATTTTCAACACAAACAACTTGTGGCTCAACTTGAAGGCAATCAAGCGTGTTCTTGAAAATGACGAATTAGATCTTGAAATCATTGTTAACAACAAATCTTTGCCAAACGGAGAGGCTGTTATCCAATTGGAAACCGCCGTTGGTGCAGCTATCAAGCATTTCCGTGGAGCCAAGGGTGTCAACGTTCCCCGTTCTCGTTTCTTGCCTGTCAAGTCATGCAGTGATTTGCTCTTGATCACATCTGATCTTTACAGACTACAGCACGGAAGCTTGCGCAAGGACCCCTCGATCGAATTCAACACACAACCTGTTGTCAAATTGGGACCACATTTCAGCAAAGTTGCACAATTCCAATCAAGATTCAAATCTGTGCCAAACATGAAAGAATTGGATCATTTGACCATTTCTGGTAATGTGACAATCGGCAGAAATGTTACCCTTCGTGGAACTGTGATCATTATTGCGGTTGAAGGATCTTCAATCCACATTCCTGATGGATCTATTTTGGAGAACAAGCTATGCTCAGGAAACTTCAGCATTATTGATCACTAAGTGGCTCGCAAGATCAGCTTCTTGTGTTCACAATTTCTTCCGTCTATGACTCTTTTTTCTTAACTTAGAGTAATGTGTCGAGATAACTTTTATCGCATCAAATCAACTCTTTTCTATAAAGCATACTGTTACATACATATATATATATATCGTTCATGATTGATCACGATTATACTTCCGGGAGCCCTCGTTTGATTTAAGGTTGTTCGGATGTTTTAATACGCTTTGTTGGCTGTCTGACATTTGGTAGCAAAGCGGCAGCAACCATTCTCTGTTCTTCATTGAGCAAATTGTACGTTGAACAAGCGTTTCGCGTATCATGAGCTTCGATTTGAATTCCAAGACTGTTTAAGTATTTACGAATTTTGAGTGGTGGTGGTAAGACAGTCTTTCCCGTTCCAAAGATGATAATCTCGGGTCTTGGTTGAGCAAGTTCAAATACACGCCAAACATCATCATTCCAATCTTCCCATCCAACACCTGATGGCATAACAATCGCTTTTGCATCTTTATCATGCGATAAAAGTGGTGCATCCCATAACATGACTTGCTTTTGAATCATTATGATTGGAGTTCTGCATACGAGACCGTCTGAAAGTGTAAAGTTTGAATCTCCCATACTTCGAACAGAAAGTTGTGGATCATCAGATGCTGTGATATTGTTAAAGTCGCTGAAAAAGGAGAAAGGCGTTCAGTATAATCGGTTCAGTCTCCTTATCTCTCCAACATTGACACTCACTCGTATACCGTTCTGTAACTTCCATCGGTAGGGATTGGTTTTCCACCAGGATCGCGTTCGTCTCTCAATGCTTTTGAACTGGTATGGATCTCTCTGCCATAGTTTGGCCAAAGTGAGCGACCTAGCCTGCTCGTTGCATCAGCTCCTTTGCCTGCTGTGAATGAGCCGACAGACCTTGTACATATCTTTTGCTGTGGCAGTATATTCCTACCATTCCCACGAATAGCAGCTCTCAGAAGCTGTGATTGTCTTGAAGCCATCTTTGTTATATCTTTTGTATGATCGAGATGGTGATGAGAAAGGGAGTTGTTTGCCTACACTTCTTCCTCGTGGAGGCTTGCTTGCTTATTAATCACCTTTTTTTTATAACCGTACGCCCATAAAAGAAAACTCAAACGCGGGGTGAAATTCTCCCTTCCTTCTTACGCCTCTAAGCGGGCATTCAGAGGAGAGTAAGCATCCTCACACCTTCACACCCTTTAACCTTCTGCTGTGATTGACAGTTCTTGAATCAATCAGGGATAGCAACAATGATGAGTCTATATCAGACAAGAAGAGATATATTGATATTCTAAGTACGAAGGGAAGAGATTGTATATAAATGAAGAAGGTATCGAGAGCACGATTAAGACCGAAAAAGAGGGTAAATGGGACAGCAAAGACGAGACCATCCATTGCAATCCTATGAGGGACTTTGGATGACCAGTAAGGATCAGCTACAGTGTTTGCAGCATATATCTCCAGTCGAACATGAAAATCTGCATGTTATTTCTGATCCGGCCTTCGCATCGCATTCCTTTTTAGTCATGCAATTTTGCCTGAATAAGTGTGAAAAAGGTCAGTGAGATGAATATCATCATTTTTTTTTGTGATTAAGTCTAGATCGGAACTTACTGTAAAGTGCATTGTCCGAAGCCATCTCGTTTGATCAAAATATTGTAAGGAGATCTTTTCGAGACTTTTAACACGTCCGAAAGAACCATAGTGCAGCATGTTAAGAACATCACCAGCATGAGCAATTGACGGTTGGCTGAGAATGAAAGCATCTTGGAAAAATTGCGAAAGGTCAAATTGGATGATGGATGGAAAGCAGATCGTTATCAAAGTGAACATTGATATCAAAAGAATATTGCCAAGAAACTTTCAAACAACAACAAACACGTTCGATTTACTCCTGCATTTTTATCCCTTAAACGCCATCAGATCATTTTGGCGTAGGACAAGAAGAGACCGAGATTTCCATCCTTCAGCCTATCAAAGGGGTCACCAAATATCAGGATGCAACATTGACAGACAGTCTCCACGGCAATTATCAAAAAGGAAGCGCTGTATCATTTCATTTCTTTGGTATAGTAACACGAATGTGTATTAATGAAATCCTTCCGTACATTCCGCCTATCGAATTTGTCAAGACCTTTGCGAGGGCAGGACGAACGCCATCGCTTCTCAATACCGATAAGGGGTCGATATCTTGACCATTAGCAAGTGCAGCAAGTGGTATAATGCTACACGACTGCTAAACCTTGTCTGTCAGTAGACATCCTGAAAAAGGCTTGGCGTTGGACATTCTCAGCAGCTCTCTTGTGGCGTTGCTCCGATCAATCAAAGCTTGACTTTGCTTCATCATATGGGAGATTTTGGCGATCTGAACCGAGACTATAACGCATTTGACTCCGACAACGCCCGTTTGCCCCAGAGATTTGCTTTTTTTCACACAGATCACAAGACGACCTGATTCGGAACATCCAATACCTTCTGTAAAATCAAATTTTCCCTTTGCGGCCCGCTGAGCTCCAACCATCATCAAATATTGATCCCGCTATGCAGACGATCGTGCACGACTTCCTTTAGTATTGGCACTTTGATACCTAAGCTACAAGCCATTATGCCTTGGGACTTGTTTGTTTACCACCCGCTCCAGAAACGTCTATGCCAGGCCCTCTTTTCCTTTGGAAATCTTCAACGATGACTTTCATTCGTTTTGCTTCTGCTTTACGAGCAGATCTACAAGTTTCAAAAGAAGCCAAAGTAACAAAAACGCTTGCTCCAACACCCCAATTTGAACTTGATCTTAAACCTCTTCTTGCTATCATTCCAACGGCAAAGACAATACCTCCAGTTCCTATTCCTAACAACAAGCTATTACGTTCACATGGAATCTTTCCTTCTGTTAACCGTTTAAATTGATTGGAAATCGAGATTGATTTTAGTGAATCCCATGTGGAAGACGGAATGGCAGGTTCGCTTTGTTGTTTAAGTAGCTTGGAAGGCGAATCATCTGCCGGTTTGACTTCTGTAGAGGGACTTGCCATGTTGAAATTATGCCACCTTCTCTCTTGTGTGCCACAAGGCTTGATTATGGTATGGAAGAATGATGACAACATCAAGTTTAGCAAACCTCCATTTCTTTTCCCCTTTGTTCTTATTTTCCGAGAACGCTAAAGTTAACTTCTGCTTAAATGCACGCGTACAAATATAGAAGACAAGCCACTCTGCATACTCCTCTCTCCCTCACTGCTTCAACACAACCTATATGATGATTAAAAGGGACAATTGATAGTGTACACACAATTCATAAAAGAGTAGCAATAGAGAGAAAATGTTGGATGAAAGGGTATTGAGAATGCATTGAAGAAGTCTAGTGTTGGAATCCATGTGTTTATGCAGTACCTGCATCGATCAATCCGCTCAATAAAGCAGCAGATAATTTAGCCAAAGCAACCCTTCTTGCTTCTTTCAATGGAATAAAGCTACCGCAATCCAAAAGGCAAGCATATCCACTTTCGTCCAAGTAAGCTTCTGCTCCTCCTCTCCTCTTGGTTTCTTGCACTTGTAATTGGAAGATTGGTTCGGATGTTGCAATTTGAGCAATCGTATCAACCGATCGAACGATCAATTCATTTTGACTGTTCAAATACACTTCTCTCATGCTTGGCAATAAGAAGTCGTACAAGATTGAAACTATTGCCGGAACTTGACGTGCACTATCGGCCAAAAAGTTGAATAGCAATTGTCTCTCTGCATCGGATACACTGCTTTGTTGCAACAGGGCGGATAACAGAGTGACGACTAACAAAGCGATATTGTTCTCCATCGGTGCAAGGTATTTGAAAAGACCGATGCTACTCTCTCCTTCAGGCGAAGAATTTGGCGATGTCGTCGAGGTGATTCCCACGTCCTTTTGTTTGTTGGAAGAAAGCATAGGGTAGAAGTTACTGTTCTTGCGTTGTTCTACAGCTTGGGTTGCTGTGATCTCAGGAACACCTGCCATTGTTAGCAGCTTGCCGAATTCCTCTGGTTTAGTAGCAGTAGGTAATAGTGCGATGAAGATTCCAAGTTGTTCAATCGAAATTCTTCCGCTCAACGATAAAAGCTTTCCATCAGCATCGGTAGCCATATTGCGTAACATGGTCTGCAAAAGGTCAATCGTTGCATCGCACGTAGACGGATGTCTCAAACCCTTGACCAACAAAGCTGCAATACCGAATCCGAAATTGATCTCAAAATCAACACCCGTTTCATCGTCTAACCGACAAGCTGATTCTCGGAAATCGTATCGCCCATCGAGCAAAAAGCTGATCAAATCTGTCTTGTATTTTTCTGGTAATTTTCTCGAACAGATTGACTTCACCGTTGCGTTCATCAAATCAACACCAGACTTGAAAAGAGGAATGTGTCCATATTGAATGATCGACACACCCAACCAGAACATTTGAGCCAAATAGCGTGATTGATCTGGTAAAATGCGAACCACCTTGCTCAAACATGTCACAATGCTCACAATCGGCGAATCATTTCCTATCGAAGACCATTCAAGAATACTTCCACGAAGTGATACCAAGATTTGATAGAGTAGATCATCATCCACCTCGAATGCTAGAATGGTTGCCGCTGAATCTTGTGGCGATAAGACGTTCTTTAGTTGAGCTTCAAGCATCGATCCAGTCAAATCAGCCAAACATCCTAATAAAATGAATGCCCGTGCTTGAATGAGTGGATTGTATTGGAATGCCTTGCTGGTCACCAAGCTCGTCATTCTTGCACGCCAAGCGTTTGCTGTATCGATGGTAGGAGCAGCCAAATCAGTGATACCGTATAGCATCATGGCCAATTTACCGATCTCGTCATTGTTGGGGCTGTCTCGGATGGCTGTTGGAGATGAATCCGATGTGACAGCGAGCAAAGCGCCGTCGGCAGGAGGCAAACCAAACAACGCTAGGCAATCATTGTCGGACAATTGATGCAAGAGAGATTCCATTTTCGTCGTTGCCTCACTGGTCGATTTTCCCACCAATGGAGATTCGACATCACTTTCTTCTCCTTTACGTGCTGGTGTTGTTGAAGCAGCAACGATGTTCTTCTGATCACGTAATACTGCATTCTCGGTGCACAAAGAGTGAAGAAGATTGACCACTGTTCCGTGCACAGCAAATCTGGTCGCATTTTCTCCTATACCAGCTAGCAACAGAGTGACGTGAAGCAATTCAGGCAAGTAAAGTTGAGTCTCAAGCTTGCCGCTGAACGAAAGGACCATATTCATTCGCATCAATGTGGCGATTTCCTTCCAGGCCGGATTCTCATGTAATTGTCCAGCTGTGGCATTTTGAGACGTCTTTGCGATTGCTCGACGTAGTTTTGCCAACAACTTACCGCGCAAGTTGATAGATGAAAAGGAGACCATAGTATCCAATACTGCCTCAAATCGTTCTGTGTGCAAGCCTGAATCCATTGCAGCTTCTGAAAAGACATCCAAAATGATAGGAACCAAATCGTCAAGCTTGCTGAATAGAGGCCAGACTGTACGCTGCATGACCGCATACATATCGCTTTCCTTCACTGTGATTGCGATCAGTTGGGCAAAGATCTCTTTGATGCGTTTCTGATATTCACGTTGCTGTTCCCGTCCAGTATGCACAAACATAACCAAATTCGATAGCCACGGCGCCATATATTGCAAACACATGATCTTTTGTGATGTAGGAGAACGCTCAAAGCCCTCAAAGAAGGACAGTAGGAATTCCAAAGTAACCCCAGGCGCTGCAACAGAGAAGTCTTTGCTCAATTCTGCAACAAATGTCATCGTGTTTGCAGATAATGCAATGCCTTTGGCGCTCAACAAACGTTTTCTTGCTTTGCTCTCGCCAAAATTGAAGCTCGACGATAAAGCACACAATAGATCGTACGCACTTGTTCGCAGTTGCATATCTCGCGACATGATGTTCAACATGGCCATATTTAGCAACGTTCCTGGCACATCGCTTGGCAAGAGTGTTCGATTGATCTCTGTTCGGCTTGCTGGGCTATCGTATCGGGAAACTCTTGCCCTTGCTTGTCGCAAAGCTTGTACAATTTCACCTCTGTTCGGAGAATTGAATAAGAACGATGCTGATCCACCACGACATGTCACAAAGAAGGTATTATCATCTCCCCGGATTGCGATTGCTCGAACGTCATCAATATCCGCTAAATGGAATACTTCATTCATCAAGCCTGTAACTCCTTGCAGAAGAGTTTGGTTCTTCAAGCTTTGTATTTGCAAATGACTCTCACTCAGTTTGAACGTCACTGGAATTAGAGATCGGTAATACCATACCATGGTAATTTGGTCAAAGCTTGCTTCTTCCTTGGCAGTACTGATTGCGACCGTACTAGCGTCCAAGGCGATATTGCGTCTGTCGATATGTACCTCCAAATCGGACAAAGACCGGCAAATGTATATGGCTAGATTAGACTGCACATTGTGAACAATCGTGTTGCGAGGTGCGCTGGCAACTCGTTCCTTTTGCGCTCTCCATGGTCGGCACCAGAGCTGACAAGCGGTATTGACGTTGAAGCTGATGCAAGTACGAAGATTTGACGCCAATTCAGGCGGTACCATTGTGGCGAAATAATTCATCCATTGAAGCGGGATCATGTTGGCAGGCGTAGCTGATGTGTGATCGATCACCAAGTCGTACGGCTGATTCAAAACGCTTTGCAAGGTTGTCATCAAATAACAAATGAATGACTCAAAATCGAATGTTTGTGAAGCAAGGTGGCTGATGGTGAAGTAGAAAACTGGTCTTCCAGCTTTGCTCGGTGGGCCTTCGCGGAACAATTGTCGATAGACCTCATTGTCAACATTCTTTCCTTGGAATTTGCGCATGAAATCTTGCAAAGTCTGTCGATTGTTTGCTTCTGTTCCCATCCCCGTCATATTTTCCTCAACGGATTTGCAATCACCAAGTTCGGCCAGCACCATGCAAAGTTGCTCGTAGATCTTCTTGCCATCACCTGAAGGCAGAGAGGGCGAGTCAGATCCATCAGTCGACCGCTTTCCGTTGACCGAAGGTGCGGGACTTGTTGATGCTGTTCCAGCTGAAACAGATTCGCCATTTTGTGGGTTTGTTGGCGTTCTGGTTAAGAGTTCCTTGCCAATCTTATCCATACTCTCGTAAATAAAGCGATGCAATGTCGTTTGATCTTCATTGTCGATACCATAGCCGAACGGATGAATACCAAAGCCCAAAGGTTGATCTGCTGCTGACAATCGTTCGGGATCTGTGCGTGAATCAGATACTTGGTCCAAGAATGTGGTAATCTTCCATACGTTTCGCTTCAAAAAGTCGTTGAGACTGGTCATAAACGGTTCCTTATGTTGCGGGAAGAGGGTATTGCTGGCTAATGTTTGTAAGATTTTGCTGATCAGGAGTAGACCACGACGCAACTCTTTGCTTGCATTGGTCACATTCACATCAATGATTTGAGGTGCCACCACTGCCGGATTGATAAATCGCAAGAAGATAAAACCGCCAACACCCTGATATCGTGAAGCAGGGAATCTTCGATCCATCAATTGTCGAATATGCCGGCACAATTCTCGCAATACCGCTGGGACACGATGTGCACTTGAACAGATCTGATCGATGAAAGCTTGTGCCATTTCTTCCAATCTATGCTGATTCACCACCACATTTTCACCTTGATCAAGCTTTTGTGAATCAATCTCAAAAGAGTATCCACGAGGTTTGTTTGCCATTTCATTGATCAAAGGGGCGATGATTGTGCGCAAATACTCATACCCATGAGTACGTCCAAAGGTGGACAAAAGATGCGTTCGGAATGTGTTGGACCGGAAGACCATCTCTTCGGATTGTGTTCGATCAATTTCTTCGCGCATAGCCGATTTCAAGAATCGAATGATTCCACCGCGACTATCAAAGATGTTGAGTAAGATGCAGTCCATCCCGCCATCGTCGTAGCCTTTGCAAACATTACAGATCGATAGCGCAAGTTGCAAGTCCGGCTCACAAATCAAGTCCACCAATTTATTCGGCTTTTGAGTAGCTGTCAATCGTTCCAATTGATCGAATGCTGTTCCCTGATTGAGAACGTTTGTCATGATCTGCATGAACGCCGAGCGCAATTGAACGTCTTCTTGATAAGCCAAAGGCAGCGATTGATGTAGACCCATCTCAATATTGGATGCTAGCAAATTCGACAAGGCCAGAATAGCAGACCTCTTGAGTCTGACAACATCACGTAACCCTCCATCTCGGCTGCGTAAAGAGGAAGCAGTTCCGTATTCATCTGGAGAGACATCTTCAACTGCTTTAGCTCGATTGAGCACTTTGATAAAGTAGGAAAAGTACGTTGAAAATTGACGGGATTTTGCCCATTCTACTGTTTCATCCAAAAGTGGGGTATCTTCAGGCAAGAGCAGTGGTAACTTGTCCAAGAGGATCGACATAGTTCGTAAACAGACAATGTCCAATTCTCGTTGCAAGCGCTCAATTTTTTCAGATGGCTGTGATTCGTCGATTGATTCAGTTGTCCATCCGGACAGCACTTGGAAAAGTCGGTTTCTGACCCGAACTTCGTTGGCAAAAGTAAAGAATGCTTTCTTCTCCATAAAGCTTTCGCATAGCAAGCACATGGATGTGCGAATGCGTGCGGCTTGTTCGCGCTTAGTAATTGCGTTCAGATATTCGACATATAGTACCATCAAGGCACCGACATCTACATTGATTGTTGATTCATTCGGCTCCGTCATTCTGCCCAAGACCATTTGAATAACAGTGATGGAGTGCTCGACAAAGACTGTGTAAACGTCACTTGGGCGAGGCTGGCCGGTTGCTTTATCGAAGAAGTCGCTTAAAACTGAATGAATCATTCGCAATAGAACACCGTTCAGTCTGGGCGAGGTATCTGAACCCAATGTCTCTTTCACCTTTTCGCGTACCCAGATCGAATCAGAGACGAGCAGATCCACCATTTCTTGCACAAAGGTTTCGATCAATTGGAGAGGTGAATCTTTTCCATTGCCACCTGCCGAGCCGTGTTCTACTGATGGCCAACTTTCAAGAGCACATGCGCCTCCAAGCGATGCCAAGAAGCCGGCAAAGTTATGCCATTGAGCTGCCTTGTCTTGCGCACTATCATTCGTTGCATCAGCAACCAAAGGCCGAGCAACGACCAATGTCAACGCACCCCATCTTTCATAAGCCTCTCGCCAAGCTTGAACGATCGCATGGGAACAGAAAGGTGCATCTCTCAAACAAGCACCGATGCGCTTCTGCTGTGCAATTCTCCCAGGCTGACCCGTATTGAGACTTCCAAGTTCCTCGTACAACTTCGTCCAATCTTCGCTAAACGTATACAAAGGTGTTGCCGTTCTTCTATACTTTGCCAAAAGAGCACAAGAACGTAAACCAGCAGAGCAAATACTTGTCTCAACAGAACAGATCGTAAGCAAAAGTGCTCTTTCTAGCGTTTCTTGTTCCATCTCAATCTCTCGAACGCTGGGTAGGTAAGGTCGTGTTGCAGGATCGTCATTGAAGCTTCTCGCTTCCGCTCTGCTATAAAGAATAATCTTTCTGGCTAGAGCAGCTTGAAGGAGAGGTAGCCAATGCCGTTGTGCGACAGGCGAGCTGGAAGAAGCTAAGTTCTCGGCCAAGTGTCTGCTGAAGTCGGTAGTGATCGCCAACGAAGCCTCAATACTCTTTCCTGTCCTGTTGGTGATGAGCGAGTTGAGCCCTTGATCAATAACATCGCTTGAACGAGCGTGCATAAACCACAAGTCATTCGAAAGCGTTGAACGGGTGATTGCGTACAAAAGCGAAAGCATATTATCGATTTGAACTGCATTGCGGAAAATGGTTTCATCGTCAAAGACGCTTCCTCCTTTGGCCAATGAAGAGAAATGCGTCGCTCCATCTTCTCTCAATCCGTACATAGATGCATTCAGATCGATACCCCAAAGTTGTAAGATGGACGACAACAGCTCCAGTCTGGCCGCACTTTCATCTTGCATCGAAAACTTTTGCTTGCCCCTTCTTGCGATGGTATCAGGTTCCCCTTTGCGCAACTTATAAACCAAATCTTTGAATGTGGCACGCAAAGAGACGCTGATGTGAGGATACAAGAGCGTGATCTCCGGATGCCAAGGAAGATGTCTTTGTTCACTGGCAAGTTGTACCATGGATTTTACCAAAACGATTTTGCATGCGATGGGCTGACCGTCATTCATCAATTGATGCGCCAAATCTCGCACAATTCTTTGAGGATCCAGACGGAAGAAAGCAACGAATGCATCAATCATCAGAGCAGTATCGATTGATTGAGATGAGATACTGGCAAATTTTCTGTTGTCAAAGATGCGCTCTTGTAAATCTGCTTCGATGTCATTTGCGATAATTCGAAGTCCAGCGTCGGCAAGTGTGGTACAAGAGGCTGCTTTGCAGATATCGATGCAACAAACAGCCGAAATGTCGTTCAATTTGCTATTACGCAGACCTTTGCGAATAGCATCGAGGAAAGCGCCCTTTTTTCCAATATTGCTGCTCTTGCGTACATCGCCATGTGCAATTTTGTTGATTGCGTCTGGGCACAAGAGCAAAAGCGACGTCAACATAGGCCAAAAAGCATGCTTCTTTTTCGTGGATTCGGCCAGTGGATATACGTGATCGAATAAGACGTCAGCCCCGCCTTCTAAGCGTTTTTGTGAGCTGTGGATAAAGGCAAACTCTGAAGGATTGTATTGAATCCAGGCCCAGATGCCTCTTCGCAGAGCTTGAGCTAACATTTGTTGAGCCGGCTTTTTGAGATGTGTGAATGAATTGCAAAGTTCCTGCAAGACGGCATTCAATCGACTGCGCTGTAAATTCGAGCATTCAATCAATCTCAACTCTGTTGTATTGGGAGCTTCTTCGGAGGTCGTGCTTAGGTACGTCAATCGATTCCGTATCCTAGCAAAGACCACAGGCCAATTACTTGAGCTGATGAAGAAGATCACTTGCGCTGCTTGCCTGTATATGTTTTGAGCATAGAGCGACGCATTCTCCGATTGATCAACTTCGTTGACAAATTGGGGCGAAATGACACTTTGAGATGCATTGGGAATGAAGGAGGGCAACTGGGTATTGTCGCTCTTCTCATCGATCTCGAACGGAGGTCGTTCGGCAGGAAAGGAAGGATGAAGGACAAACAAGCCTGTCCCATGTGAAAGACATAGATTGAGGAGCAATGTAGATTCCACTGACCCTTCGGTATCATCTTCTTTACCCTTCAATTTCTCGAGCGCAGCTGCTCCTCTTCCTTCTGTCGAATGTACAGTAGTACTGAGATCTTCGCGAATGGACATCTGCCGTAGATAAAATGTCATCACTGCCATAACCTGTTTCGCCAAAGCGTCATCCAAAGGCGGGGGATCTTTCCAGCCGCGTCGAATCGGATCAGCTTCATTTTCGCCGAAGTTTGCTTTCTGAGTGGGATCTTCTTGAATAGACGCTTTCCATGACCGTATGAGACACGATACAAGAACTTCCAACATGAACAATTGTGATTGCATCAATTGCAAGCCTAGCCTGTCATCTGCGATGGTCTGTGATGTTTTGTTGAGCGATTCAAGTCTTTGTAGAATCTCACGCAAGACGATTGAGATTTGAAATCGGCTATGGCTTACCAGATTGGCCACACTTGAACGTATCAATTCATCACGCTCCATTGCAACAAGAGTTTCTCCCGTTAAATGAGGAAGCCGTTTGTCTAGCCTTTCGACTATGCTAGCAATTAAAGTTTGGCTTGTGTTGTTTCCAGTTTGAAATGATGTTCCCGTATTGCCGGTAGCGATGCTTGCTCCTGCCCCGACTGCTCCCGCACCATTCAAGCTGCTACCTCCATCGACTACCAAAGAGCTCAAGCTCTGTCTTTGGCCGGTAGCATAAGCAGACTTTTCTTGTATGGAAGATGATCCGATAGAATATACTCCTCCAATTGTTCCTCCGGTTGAAGTGTTTGATGGATTGTTGTGCATCATGGCGGAAGACATTGATCCTTTTCCGGAATTGATTGATTGATTGGCGTGATGGGAATATGAGTAAGAGTGTGAATGCATGCCGGACGAATTTGCATTCATTTGAGCTTGATCGTTAGGGTATGACATGATGATGAAATGGGTATGAACCCCGATGCGAGAGGAGGGTTGGTATGATATTGCTTGTGCTAAGATGTGCTAGTGAAAGTAGATGGCAGAGTTGATCGTGGGCGTATTTGAGACCAGGATTGGAAAGGCTAAGGTCCGATTTGGTTTTTGTTTTGCGTCCTTTGCTTGTACCCTCTTTGACTTTTAATGGATTGCACTTTCCCACTCTGTGTACTCAATCCGGGTTCACGATGAAAGTGCAACCAAAGTCATCGAAATCAAGACGAGAAAGGGGAGAATTACCACGAACATTCACTCATTCATTTCTTTCCATGTAATCAATCCATGTAACAGCGGCCCAAGCGAGGCGAGAGGGAATTGATTGATTGATTGACGCGCTGTGTTGCCTGGAGCGGGCGCTGGAGAAGGAGACAAGTGTGTATGAACAGAAGTGTTGTATAAGCTGCGTATACAATTAAAGTTCATGCTTGTATAGTACAGCAACAGTTATGTTATATTCCCCGCCTTAAAAGGATAATAATCTTATTTCCTTAAAATACGCTAAGCCATACAACAACATCACGGCACCGATACCATTGAGTGCAATTTAATAACCATTAGCGATAGGGGATCATATGGATCATTTTCGGACTTAGAAATCCAGACGGGCATCATATGTTTGTGATTGTGGTTTGAGAACAACAACAACTTCCAAGTTATGCTGTATGAATGGCGTTCGCATGGTCCAAAGCCGCGGACATAGAGAACTCATTGCTGGACGCATTTACGCGTCAATCTGCCCAACGTTCTTCTTGATCTTCATCCTTCACCCTGTACAATCACCCTTGATCAGGTATACAAGTATGTCTACCCCTAACAACATTCAACAATCCGGCACTTCTTCTCCATCAGGAGGTGGACGATCGAAAAGGAGATTGAACAATGATTTATTGAGGAATTATTATGGATTGGACAGTGGATCAGTAACACCAAATAGCATCGCATCAGGAACAGGTCCGATGGGAATCGACAATACAGCACTCGGCACAACGAGCAGTGACCCTCTAGACCCGGACGGGACTTCTTTCCAGGTAGATCTAGCATTCAAGAAGATTATGCAACAGAGATCGCTCTCGCAATTGTTAAAGGAAGAATCAGATTTGTTAACAGAAATACGCGAATTGGACGGAGAAAGACAAAGTTTGGTATACAATCATCATCATGAATTAGTGTCTGCAAGTGAAACGATGAAGAATATGAAAGAACAGGCAGATGCTCTGTTACCAAGTATGAATGCTATGCAATCTTCTTTGCAATCGATTTCATCTACTTCCGAATCACTCGTTCTACCCAAGGAAATCACACAATCACTCCGAGTCAAGCAGTCAAGCGCAAATTCGAGGTCACACTCAGATATATTGGCAAAGGCACAACCTGTCATTGAACTACCACAGAGACTAAGAGATGCTGTTCTATTGGGTAATGGGCAAGAAGGACTAACAAAGGCACAAGGATTATGGGGTAGCCTAGAATCAGTCCTAGCCAATTGGGACGAAGCGGGCGTAAAGGGGGCTAAAGAGATCATGAACGAATGCAGACAAGTGCTTCGTCAGGCGCAGCAGAATGTGAATGTTGGATGATCTTGGTATCGTTTGATAGAATTACAAATGTATAGTATACAGCAATGTAGAGATTAAACAGTATGTTACAGCATAGACACTAGCCAAGGGCTGATCTGTGAAAGTCGATCAGTCGAATTCTGTTCGAATCACGAGGATGTTCGATGGCTATATTGGCACGTAGGAGGAAGGCTGAAATGGCAGGAAGAAAGCCGTCTGAAATATCGACGTAAGGGTCAACTGGCGTATCCCATGCTTTGTTAATCAGACCCTGCAAGACGGATGAGACGAGGACATCAATCAGCATAACGAAAAGAAGACAAGCGATCACAACTATACTCACGTCGATCAATAATCGCAATTGAGCTTGTTGTACACCTTCTTCATCGATTAAAATCTTGCCAGTAATGTCGATCAAAGATCTAAGAAAATGAGAGAGTTCTTTTTCCATCGCATCTACTCGTTCCATCAATTTTCTGTAAAGGAGGATATGTTAGCATTACGCATTTGGCCGCTTCTTCCTTGATCGGATTGTACTCACCCTTCAATTGATGCAAAGTCCACACTATTCAGTCTTTCCTTCAAAACGGCTTTTCGTTTCTCTAGCCCTATGCGAACTTCTCCGATATCGTGCAACATCTCATCATCTTCCTTTCGTCTAGACTTTTCTTCATCCAATTCTCGTTCCAAAGAAGCAATAGACGCTTGATATTGCTCTACTGCAGAAGCCAATGTTGCTCGTGTCAATAAGGCAAGAATTGCATCACTATGAGGAGGTTCGAGGATGGTGAGATCTTTTTGTGCTTGTTCGATCTCGTAATCGAGGTATTCCAACTCTATCCGCTTCTTTCGCATTCTTTCTTCCTTTCCCTCATTCTTGTCTGTCTCCAGTGCACCTTCATTCTCCCTACCATCCTGACTTTGTTGCTCTGTCAATCGATGTGTCCTTTCGCGTACTTTAGCCCAAGCGAAATCATTTTTTGCTTTTTCTTGTTGAAGTATCTCCTGCAGTCGATCTACATCGATCATAGAAGCATCTTTGGCATTAGATGCGGTTGTTATTTGCTCAACACCATCTTCTCCCGTTTCACTTCCACTTCTTCCTCTTCCTCCTGGCTGAGGCGAAGATGATTGACTCTTTTCTCCTAATTCTTGTCGTCTTGCTGCTTCTCGTGCTGCTAGCCTTCGCAGGATATCCAGCTGTCTTTGACTTATGTTAGAAGGATCACGTTGATCTGACATTGTGTATTGTCATCGTATGGATGAGAGGATAGAAATGATAATCTTTTGTGTGTTGTTCTTTTGGATTGAACGCGTACTTTGTCTCTCTAGTATTAAGCGTACTGCAGTCGTTCAAACTCTAAATTTGCATTCATCCGTTTTTCCGATCAGGCTAAACATCAAACCACCACATCTTCCCCTTCAACGATGGACTCAAACGATCGGCGGCACAATATAAGAGGCTCATCAATCACCCTACCAGGACCCGAAGAAGATGCAACGCCATGCGTGATCCGATGTTACGTCAGCCGAAGTTCATCCTTTCGTCTATTAGGAGAATTCGAATTGGATTATAGACCATTATATGAAGAATTCAAATTGTACGTTTGGAGGACGATCACCTTACGGGAAATTGCAACATTGCTATTCATTCGAGATTGTTCATTCAATCCGTCACCGCTCTCATTGCATGCATTCAGGATCATTCGATTTGATGAACGAAATGGATACTTTTTTGCAGAAAAGGCTTTTTACGATATCACCAGGATTTCATCAGTGCAATTCTCTGTCGCCAAAAAGGAAGTTCGACAGCTACTTTTCGGCGAGGATATTCTCGAGGCAAACAGTACTTTTGAAAAAGTCATGCAAGAATTCACACCTCAATTACCGAAAGGAGCGAACGAAGATGCAGCAAAAGAGACGTTGGATTCGATAGGATGGAGAGATGGCGATATTCTAGATTGTATACTGTACGAGCCAAGTAATGAGCCTGACAGGCGGCGTTACCAAAAGCAAGAACGAGGCTCAAATGATCAATCTCATCGATCACGTAGGAATCGACATCAATCAAGAGATGAAGAGGCAATGAATAGAAGATCATCTGAGCATCACAGAAATGGCAGAAGAAGTCCCAGTCCTCGTTGGGAGCAGAGAAGTAGGCGAGATTCGACTTATAGTAACAGAAGGTCAGCAAGCCCATCCAGGGGTGACGTAAGCTGAAGGCTGTTAATTGTACAATAATCATATACCCCACATTTTTAGATTTAATCACTTGCTCCTCAGAGCATACTCATTCTCGCAAACAAAAGAAAAGTATGGGTTTTAATAATTTGATTGAATACGAAAGTTACACATAGAGGTCAACAAAAGGATTGTTGAAAAATGGATATCATCCTCATAGCGATAGTAATAGGCTAGGCAAGAACTTGCTTAGTTTTGTGCCTTTTGCTTGTTCACTTCAGCAGATGCGTTGTGCTTGCTTTCGTCCATCTTGTCACTGACAGCATCCTTTGCTGCTGTAGCACGGGTACCGAGAGAAGCGTTTGAGTCCTTGGCGACTTCCTTGTTGGCTTCCTTGGAGGCGGTTGAGGTGGCTTCCTTGACGGAGTCAGAGACGTAGTTACTGTGTGGTGGAGTAAGAGATGGGGATCAGTAAGGATTGAAGATGAAGACGAGGATGGGTTGTTGTTGATGCTTACACTGTGTCCTTAACGGTTTGCATTTCGAATGAGTTCTTAGCTGGTAAGAGCGAGGTTGATAATAAAAAAGTATGTGATTGTGGGAATTGGAGACAGAGAATGGATGGAAATGGCTGCTTATATAGTTTCACATTCATTACTTTTTTTCGCTTCGAATATGATCCACAATAGAATGTTCTGGTGCCCCTAACATCCTACGTCATAAATCAGCATATACTGATGATCCTCTCTGTCTTCATCCCGATCCACGTAATCAATAGAAAAGCAGTACCTAAATCGGCAAACAAAAAGGATCTAGTATAGAACATACACAGCCACGATGCTTAAACTGGCCAGATCTTACCTGTCACACGTTCTGGACCTTATAATCCAGCATTAAAGTGGAGGTGATAGTACTGTACCCACCCACCTACATCATCATTATGTTCATCATTGCAACTCGGAATGATCTTTTCGGGATGCCTCCACTGATGATGTGCACAGAGGGTAATAGAATAGAAGTTGATCCGAATAAAAGCGCGTCCCTAAAAGCAGCACTTTAACTGAGACACTAAGCAACACTCCACTCTCCCATAAAACACACAAGCTAAATGCATGCAAGCGTCATCAGGGCGGTCTGGACTCCAGGGTGTTGCATTAATACTACTTTGATTAACACACGAAAGAAAAGCTGGGGTAAATGACCGAAAATGGATTAATGAGGCTGAGTACGCAGAGACCACTTTCGTCATAAGGGTTTGCATGCAGCAACTCTAGGCCAACAATGATAATGTCTGCCCCTGACTATGATTCTATAGAAGCATCCATCACTGATCACTAATAAAAATAAAGATATTTAGGCATTATTTGAACTCAATAAAAGGGTCTGAAATTGTCAATCTTTGATCAATAGAATGATGATTTGTTTAGACAGAATACACTACGGAGAATAAATCTATCAATCGAGAAATGAAATGAAAGCTATGATTGCCGACAAGATTGCATTGAATGACGTAAGACAATGGTATGATACAACGGGCGTTACGCGCAGATACCCGCACCTGCATGTTTCCACCCTCATCATTCCCGCACTTTGGTCGTGGAATCGGCCGAGTTCAATCCCACGAGCAAAGGAAGAACATGCTTATGTAAATTGATACTTGCTACACACGATGATATAATCAGTACGACTTGTAGTGACCACATTCCGTGGCTTCAACCTATATAACAGGCATACAGCATCAAATGAGTGTATCGCTGCCAGAAGAAGTCTTTGTCCCTTGCATGAAGAATACATACGTTTTTGTTTCTATTTGCGGGAGCATTCTTCAGGTACATACACACACACACGCGTACAATTGACGCGTTCTTGCCAAGCTAAACCATCAATTTGAGTAGTCAGTCCTACGGCACGCGCTATTTGTGTTGGTGTTGTTCTTCCCTTCAACCACACACACACACACATTCCATAGATCGACATCTTGCATTTCCATATCGGCAATTCAATCGTACACCACAGCATACTTGCACTACGCTAGATTTAGAAGGTATTCAAGCAATCATACCCCGGTCATTTCTTGATTGGGAAGGTTTTTCTTTTTTGTGCATAGGCTAAATTATCAACCATTATCTGGGTCGTGCTTTATTCTGCTGCAGCCACATCTTTATTGGAAATAATCAATTTAACTCACTTTCTGGCTTTAGGTCGTGACAAAACCCCTGACATGTGGCGAATAATGTTTAAAGCCATGTATGTATGTATCTGCGGTTGCGAATATACATAGTATGTAGCATGCACTTACGGCTTGTTCTAAATGTACTTTGCATCGGGCTTGATTGGATTGAACAAGTGTCACATCTAACCAATACGCGAAGACATGGATCATCTGATAGGTTATTATGCTCAACAGGTTTACCCAGCACGCGTTAGAACAAGATTGTCAATCAAACAAAAGTTTTCTCTTCCATCACCATCACCATTCATCTTTCTTTCGGCCTGATCCAGACCATCTTTTCTGGCGCGATTTGATTCGTATCCGTTTCACTCTCTCTCTCTCTTCCCCCAAACCGACACCGTGGTCACCTACCCTTCTCACATTCGTTTCACCAAACCGTCTTTTCGTCTTCCTTTCACTTTTCCAACCCGAAAACCCGCTCACGCCAAATACATCAAACTCGACATATAACTGTATCCCTATACTCAATCCGAATGTTTCAGCAGCTGTTCCAACTCTAATCATCCACAGCACACCATACAAGATTCGCCTTTCGGATCGATCATTATCACACACAATAAACGCGAAAAATGGCATCTTTTTCGATATATCGTCAGATATTTCTGACAATCACTCTTGCTCTAGCATACGGCACAGCATTCATCACAGCTGATGTCTCGATATCTCATCCTATATCATCTCAACTACCTCCGATCGCATACGCCGGCAAACCATATACTTTCTCCCTAGCGCGAGATACATTCTCATTTTCTGTTCCAGCCGACGCAAAAGCACCTTCTTCGCCTCCTAGCATTGCATATAATGTTGAAGATCTACCTTCATGGTTGAAGTTTGATGCGGCTTCTTTGACATTCACAGGAACACCGCCAGATCAAGATGCAGGAAAAACAGTTCAGATACCCGTTGAAGGTAGCCTAACATCATCAACAGGAGGATCGAGTGGAAACACTTCTGCTACAGAAGATTTTGATTTGCCAATCATAAACGAACCTGCACCGGTTGTCAATATTCCGATCGTCAAACAACTCTCTTCTGCGAGTTCTTTAGGTCCTTCGAAAATGCTTGCTGCGGACACAATTCACTTACCGCTAGGATGGTCATTCAGCATTGGTCTGCAAGGTGATACATTCACAATCCCCACCGGTCAAAGAGTGTATTGGTCCGCCAATCTTGCCGATGGATCTGCTCTACCCACCTGGCTGACCTTTAGTGCGGATTCATACGACTTTTACGGTGTAGCACCAAACAATGTTGGTCCACAAGGCGAAGAATATGATGTTGTGATCACTGGATCCAACAGAGCTGGCTATGGAGGAACAACGCAAACGTTCAAATTGGTAATTGGCTCAAATGCTCTTGGCTTGATGAGTCAAACTTTACCCGCAGCCAATGCAAGTGTTGGAACGTACTTTCAGTACCAAATTCCGATTGATGGACTGAAAAGTCAGGGCAGAAAGTTGACAGACAGTGATTCGCTCACGGTCAATTCAACTGTGAGTTCGGATTTATCTTGGCTCACATTCGAGCAAAGCAATCGTACCTTTTACGGTATACCACCTTATGATCCTTACGGTAACGCTTCTTCAGTGACAAACGTTCAAATACCAGTCACTTTCTCGGGTACGAATTCCACTGATTTGACCGTCAATCAAACGATCAGTATCCAACCATCTCTTTTTACGGCGCTACAATTGCCCAACGTCTTTATCGGACAAAGCTCAACGGTGAATATCGATCTATCACAATATTTACGCAACACCACTTCTGCACGTAAACGAGGAAGTAGCAAAAGATTCGTCAGAGCAGTCTTGGCAGCTCAACCAAATTTCGCCACACCAAATGTATCAGTAAGTTATAATCCGGAAAATACGTCTTCTTGGTTGCATTACGATGCAAGTACGCTCACGCTGAATGGACAAGTACCAAAAGGTTGGACAGATCGCTCTCAAATTACCCTTGAAGCTCCTGAAAATGGTAATGCGATGAGCAAAGCTTCATTTTATCTCGCTTTCCAAGGCGATAACGCCATGGGTGCACCGACCAATGGAAAGGGTGGAAATGGCGGAAATGGCAATGGAAGCGGCGGATCTGGCTTGAGCAAGACGGCAAAGGTTGCAATCGGTGCTTCGTTGGGTGCTATTGGCGCTGTTGCTGCTTTGATCGCTTTGTTTGCTTGTTGTCGTCGTAGATACGACAATGACATTGATCAATCAAGACAAGAAAATTTCTCACGTGCTCCAGAAGATGACGAAGGCACACTCACTGATGCACCAAAGACCAAGAAATGGAAGAAAGCCATCGTTATCGGTAGAGCAGGCGTTGGTGAGATGGGAACGCCCAGTACTGCAGTTCCAAGTCCAATGCCAGGATTTGATGAAAAGATGCACGAGAAGAACGTTTCACCCAATCAAGGTGATTTGCATAGCGTTGTCGTCGTTAGCCCTAATGGACGAAGAAGAAATGCAATGGAAGAAGCTGAAGCTCCAATGCAAAGTCGATTGATCACTAATCTATTCGGAGGTCATGGAAAAGAAGATGGCCGTTCAAAGAAGCGTGGCAGTAAAATGTCTCAAGCAAATTCAAATGGAACTGGACTGGGTCTCAGTATGGGAGATTCAGGCGAAATTGATCCATTTGCTGCAGGACCTGAACACGGTAGAATTCGACATCAAAGAAGTCGTCAAAGCGTAAACAGTCAAAGATCAAGTTGGGAAAGCGATTTGTTCTACGAAGACGCTCCTTCGCAACAACACGGTAGCTCTGAACAACATGATGGACATGAAGGATTGACGATGCCATCCAGTGAAATGGACGATATGCCAAGAAGACGTGGTAAGCCAACGACAAGATCAGGAACTGGCTTGAACGTTCGACACCGTAATACACACATCAACGAAAGTCCAGCTTTCAGTGCACCTGATGCGTTTGTGGCTGAATCTATTCCAGGCACCAACAGCAGCAGAAGTAATCTCGATGGTGTAGGAATGGCAGCAATGGATTCAAATTTCTCCATGGAAGGTGAATATCTAGACTCGCAGACTGGTCAAACACCTGGAAGATTGGGCGAATCAGACGCACGAATCTTGAAGGCTCGTGTGATGCAAGTTCAAAGACATTCGCCTGTCTTACATCAAGGATCGAACAATCCATTTGCAACCCCTAGTGTTGGCAGACAAGGTAACAATTACTCATCTGCAAGACCATATCACGTTGACGGTGGAGAAGCATTTGATGATGCAGAAGATGATGACGAATGGCCAGCATCGGAAGGTCATGCAGTGCCCGTGAGCCGTCAGTACAAACAAGGAAAGCAAAACAACCGAAACAGCGTGATGAGCGCAATGACGGATGCTAGTCAATTGGCAGGCGTTCGTGCACATTACGCAAACGAAGCTGCAATGGAAGCCGAAATGGATGGTGCATCAATCTCAGCTTTTGATCCTCGTGAGACTGTCAAGCCGGTCATGGCACGACCTCAAACACCTCCTCAGCAACAAAATGCTACGAGAAGCGCACAAAAGATCAAAATCATTCCCACAACACCCAAAACGCCCAAACGTGCTCCGGGCTCATCAGGATCAGCTTCGGGTAAATATTTGCCTTGTCCACCTGTTGAAGCTGTCATTGGACATCTTCTACGATTCCGAATGTATCCCAACACACCACCTCCTTTGGCTGGCGCTCCAGGATCGCCCGGCAAACGATCAGGCAGAACGGTTCGATACGAGCTCACAATGTTGGACGATAGACCACATTTGGCCAAATATAAAAATCAATGGCCAGTGATGATGTCTGATTGGCTTTCTATCGATACATCAACTTTTGAAGTTGAAGGAGTTGTTCCAAGAATTGCAGAATTGGAACAATTAGGAGATTGTGAAATCGGTTTAATCTCTACAACAAGAATAAGCGGAAATCCAAATTCACCCGAACGTAATAACAATACCCCACAAAACAAAAGAAGTAGCGTTTCTTCCTATGAAAGTGGAGGAAGAACATCAATCTCAAACGACGAAGAACGAACGGTGGTAGCACGAGCAAGGCTGGTATTCCAAAATGCTGCACCTAGAATCTTTGTTCCAAAACATGGTCACGCATTCTGAACATCAGGATGACACAAATTTTGTATTTATATATTTTCTCATTTTTCTCCCTATTAGCACTCAACACCTCAACCTTTGGGGGTTAGCACAAACGAACTATTCCTGTATCCCACTTTCTTTTATACACATTGCCGCACAGATTGAGTTGAATCTCGTCCTACATGTGCAGAGCATCTGCTCCGTCTATCTTTTGTATTTCTTCTAGCTTCTACTTTGTCAAATAATCACATCGTTTCACATATTTATGTATTAATCATTTTCTCTATGGGATTATACATTTTGCCCTTACAAATGCGAGAGGACGGATAAGGATTGTGCAATTTAAGGATGCTTTAATTAGTTGACACAGAGTCTAGATGATAAATGATAAGCTCTTTCGACAAAATGAGAGAGAGCTCAGGATTGGAAACGAACACGAGAAGCACCTGGCGTGCCTGGTTGACTCATAGTTCGGGTTTGCGTCATAGGGATTCCTTCCAACGCAGAAGGTCGGGTACGTAAAGGACCACGTTCTTTGCCTTCACGGATTGCCTCTTCACGTTCACGTTGTAATTCGCGTTGCAAAGCAGATTCGACGCTTTGTAACCAGGTGTCTCTCTTTTGATCAGATGTACCTTGTTTGTCTTTGAGATCAGCAGCATGTTCCGGCTTTTGCACCACTTCAGCAATCTCAGATGAGGGCAATTTGCTGGGAGCGCTTTGTGCAGTATCGACAACTTGGATCCCAGCAGACCCGGATCCCTCCTCAGCGTTGCTGTCGCTTGAACCTTCGCCTTCGATTTGATCTGGCTCCATCGAGGCCATTTTGGTGGCTTTGATCGGTCGGCTGATCTTACTCTCTTTGAGTAATCGTTGTTGTCGTTGATGTGCATTCTCTTTTCTCCAGAAAGAGTCTTTACGCCAAAACAAGGCGACACTTTTTAATCCATCAGCCAGAGCGAAGAAAGGGTTCCAGATCGCCTTCTCGGCAGTAGTTGCGACTGAAGGGTCGGCCTTGACATTGTTTCCCGTCTCTTGAGGTGAGATGGATGCCGCTCTACTTACAGGACGGGATGTGAAGCTGATCGTACGGCGTTGGGAGAATGAAGTGGTTCTTCGAACAATATTGGGATAGAGCTTCGCAATTGGGATAGTGATGCCGTGAGTCAAGACACTGGAGAATACGCAGAAAAGCACCACAGGCGCATACACTGCACGAAGTCTATCACGAGTGCCATCGTCAGGTATCTCACGCAGGGCAACTTGAATGTAAAAGACTGCCCCTACACCAATAGGACCGAACCAGCCCGCAAAGAGTGCTTCGGATAAATTCGTGATGGCGGGAATCACTTTAGCCAAGGCGACCACCCATGGAAGTCTGCGCAAGATGAGGACTGTGAGACCGAGTACCACAATTTGCCATGGACTGATGTCTATCGATTGTCCGCCTGTGCTGTATGCATTCCATGGTATGATGGCACCAATGTAGATGAAAATGGCCGCATTCAACAAGGAGTCAATGATGTCTTGAAACGTATCCTCTTCTTCTACTTGCGTTCGAACGCGATACCAATCTTTCCATGTGAATGCATTACCTGCAACAAAGCATGCAAGAATGTCATCTGAACCGTAAAGGCCAGTTGTTCCCAAGGTGAACAAGGCCAGACCGAATCCATAGGCAAAGAAGTTATCACGATCGATGTAGCCTCTTGTCTCTGCCCATTTGAGCGTCTTGTGGGCTAATACACCGATTACAGCACCAACTACACATGATAGCAAGATACGATAAAGCACCACACCGTATATCCAACGGCCAACTTCTGTGCCCACGCTCGTGCCGCGATCTTCACCAGTTCGAGCGAGCAAATAGAGAGCCAAGAAGAGAAAAGGGAATCCTAGACCATCATTTGCACCGCTTTCTGCTACGATTATATTTCGAAGGTTGTACGGGACATGCTTTTCGGCAAATCGACCTTTGGTGATGCTATTGGCGAGAACAGGATCGGTTGGCGTAATTGCTGCTGCGATTGCAAGACTTTCGAGATAGGTCAAATTTGGAATGAGACCCCAGATGAGTAAGGCAGAGATGAACCAAGCGACTGTCATTACGCCAGCTAGAAGGACGAGTAAAGAGAGTGCCTCTCTGCGTAGATATGCTTTTGGTAACGAGATGCCGGTGAACAAAACTTGCACACCTACGACCAGGCGAGTCAGCTCATAGGTGACATAATTGGTCTCTTCGGTTGTACCCCAAGAGAGTGGATCAACCCATCCTAGAACATAAGGACCGGTGATGATACCAACAGTGACTGCGATCAAAGGCTCGCTCATATAGAGACGATCTTTGGCCACATAACTTATAAGACCATAAATGACAATAAATCCACCGAGTACAGCATATGCCTTTGACACATTACTGATATCGGTGGAAATGACTTGATCTGGCATTTTTGTATTATTTGTTGAATAATTTGGATAGGCTTTGAAAAGAAACGAGGCAGCGACTACCTCTCTAAAAGCCAATGTTATTGATCAATGGCAATAACGGAGAGGTAGCGCAAAGTAGTTGTGCGACCGGAGGCGAACATATGAGCGATTGAAAAGGACGAAATGATATCTGATGCCTTATTGCCAAACTCCCGCAGTGATATGGGAAAGGACCGATGCAAAAAGGACGTTTAAAGTGTGACTGTCGGAAGGAATATGGAGTGAAGCTTACTCCATCAGATCTTAACTTTCAGATTTGAAATTCACTACATGTCTGGGCGTGTAATTATATAATCAAGCTCAATTCCACTCCCGTAGGCAGGGCGTTTGCTTTGGCGCTTTAGTTGCACGCACGCGCAAGAGCAGTATGAACTGTAAGGCGTAACAAACATCTCATCTTCCTACCATATCAAACGGATCTTCTCCTCCTTCCGATAGTATCAACACAAACACAAAATGCCTGTTCCATTCGAAGCATTTATTCCTATGGGTCTAGTTGTCGTCATGTTTGGCGTCACAGGTACCGGTTTCAGTTTGGCAAAACGATTGACAAACGAAGGAAAGGTAGGTGGAAATTTTGAGATGCTAAATCTGTCATTGGATAGCATATACTTGCAAAGGTTCAGATGCTAACTCTTCATATCCCCCCTTTTCTCTCTTATTTCTAGCCCGCTCGTCACAGTGTCGATGATTGGGACAGCATGATGATGAAGCGAGATGAACGGTTAACGGGGACGGCGCGAGGGCAGGCGGTAAGTTTGAACTTGTCAAAATTCGTTTAAATGACCTTGATACTGATAAATGCAACACCTCTCCGATATCTTCTACCCAACCAGACGGATCCTATAGCGCCCAAAGAGTTTGCAACAAATAGTGTATGGGGAACTGAAAAGGTTCGATGAGTTAGATTGTCTATATAGTAGTGCAACACTGTACATTTGACGATCAATCAATCAATCGACCAGTGAAGAATACCTAGTGAAGTGATACGGATCGGAAACAGCCTCGGAAATGATATCATTTGCAGGTATGTGCCGATCTCGTAGGACGGCAAAGCAGTACAATCGGTACAGTACAAATCGAAAGAATAATATGACAGAAATAAAGCAGAGTAGAACACTGAAAATATCGGTAGAGAAAAAGAAGGGAAAGAATGAGACCAAAGACCACATCGAAAAGGAGACGGAAAGGGGAATCGGTATCGAGGATATAATCAGTAGCGCTCATCAACAACGGAAGATCTTGAATATCTGGGCATCTCCATCAAACTTGTTCGTGTTGGTTTCTTGAGTTGCGCTTTTCGGTGCATTTGCAAATCTTGCGGCATGGCAACGATGATATTGTTAGAAGATCCAAATGCGAAATTATCTTCGACAACGGTATCGCCCAATTTGCGTAGAGTGTACACATCCGTTCGACCTTTCTTAACTTTCTCCATAGGCCATGAGACGATATAAGAACCCGTTGCAGAAACGATTGAAGTCTCTCCACCATCTGGAGGGGTGTCAAATCTGGCAGGTGTAAAGCTGACTTCCTCATCCATGTATGCAACATGATGCGGCTTGAGTTGAAGACGACGTGGGATCGGCTTAGAGTCTGAAGGGAAGGCCCGATCGAAACCTAAAGATCCCTTGTAGCGACCGTCACCGATGAGAGTGTCGATCAATAAGAGGTAAGTTTTGCAAGTAGCGATAACATATCGACCATCAGCAGTGACATCAACACCAATGATCGGATCACCCAAAGCGGGAAGGGCTGTCTTGGCATTCTTGCCGATTTGGTCAAATAGACGAATGTCACCTTTGTTACTTGCAACAGCCAAGCGACCGGAGCTGTCAGTAGCGGCAGAGCTGAAATCATTCTTCGTTGTATACAACTTGAATTGCGAATCGACCAATTTCTGACCGGCTAAACGTGGATCGATACGGTAGATGCTGTTGTGACCGTGTCCGATTAGGGTCTTTTGAGCGGTCGTTTGTGCATATTTGCTATCGGGAACAACATTGTCCACAGCAATGTCGTCATGTACTTTCCATTCATCAACGACTTTGCCGTATTCCAAGTCCATTCTGTAAAGAGCATGAGTATTGCTAGGATCCATCATCACCATGGAAGAATCCTGGTCGTGCAGCATGACTTTTCGTGGATTGAACACTTTGCCATTAGGTGCGGCCACGTTATTGATGGCCGTAGCGAACTCCAATTGATCGTCATCAGTGTGCTTGAATACACCAATCTTGTTTCCACGAACAACGAAAGATCTGTCAAACTTGTAACCAACTGTAAGTTGAGAGTTCGTGTCTCGATCACCTGCTTCGATCGGCATAACGGCCAAGTTGTCTCCCTTATTGCCCACATCATTCTCCTGATCTTCTTCATCCTCTCCTCTTCCGCTCATATCACCTAGCTCTGCCGCGACTTCTGCGGCTTCTTCATCGTCCCGCGCGTAAGCTTCTCTGTCCTCCTCTTCCGCATTACCCATTTCAACATCATCATCTTCATATGCTTCTTCGATATAATGCTTCTCGACCTCTTTGACCTTTTCGAATTTCTCTTCGTTCAAAGCTTCCCACATCAAACGTGCGAATCCAGCTCGGAAAGCATCAAAGCTGGCTTTATCGCCGAATCGGATTAGCCATGAGTAGACGTGGCGTTCGGTATCGTAGAAGTTCCAGACGGCAGATGCATTCTCTACGGAGAAGTGCATATTCATTGAAGATTCGAGCTGTTGAGAGAGCCATTGGCGTTTGGATGAGGTGATTGCAAGCCAGTCTGCGGGTAAAGGTAGTGTCAGATAAATCCTGCTGAAGTTTGTGTAGGGCATGTCCACTCACATAAGAATCGGCCGGCTTCAAGAACCTTGACGTCAACACCCTTTTCTTGGGTCATGAATAATCCAGAAGCTTGATCGTAGAGGTATAGGTCAGCTTTTGCCTCTAGCACCACATCAGGCTCTTCTTGACCGGGCGGTGCAGGTACGGCTTCACTTGCAGGAGCGGGAACCTTTGGCTTCTTCGGTGTTGTCGCTTCACTTGCTCTTCCTTTGGCTTTGCTACCTTTTTCGGCATCCTGCGATGTTGTGTTTGTAGCAGATCTGTTGTGTAGAAGGTGAAATGTTCGTGAGGTCAATCATCGTGGTCATTCAAAGCTATTTCTCGTTTCTGAATGCTTACGCATCGTTGCCCTTGTATTTCAACGCCTCAAGATCTGCATCACCGGCCTCTTCGTGACTACGACCAGTCTTTCTTTCAAAGCAACATTGCAAGAATGTGACCTCAAAAATACTTCTCGTCACAGCATTGACTTGAGCACTGTCCATCACGAATTCAAACAGGTCATCCACGTCACCATCCAAATCGCTCCATTTGAACGATGGTTGACCCTCGCTGGATGTAGATGGGCGGAAGTTGAGTGAGACATCAATAAGGAAAGAACGTTCGTCATCGGCTGTAAAGAAAGGGAGCATGGCGTGTAAGTATACATTTGCATTTCCTCGGTCTCGGAATCCACTCACTCTCGTCGTCTTCTTCGAGCAACTGTTCTTCACCCTCTTCATATGCCCGAGTGATGACCAATTGATAATTTTTGTCTGTAGTTGTTCTGCGGATTGTTGCAACAGCATCTTTGTATCTGTTTGGAAGAAAGAGCGGTCAGTACTCAGAAACAACGGTGCTATGTCCCATAAAGTAAGGACTTACATGCATTCCCGAGATCCCTTGATAGTGCCTGGACGGACCAGGTATAAAGCGCCGGCGGGAAGTTGAATCAATTCGGCATTGTTCTGATCAGACCAAATCTTTCCAAACACTAGTAGAAGAAGAATTAAAGTAGGGTTAGATCTGCTAGAATTGCAGCAACGCTTTTATGTACTGCACACTTACAGCTCTTTAGCATGAACATCTTGGTATGTCTCGTAGATGGAAGAGCTCTTGGTTGATTGTTCTTAGAGCGAGACCGGCCAGACTATTTTTGATCACAGCAATATCTCTCCTACAAGATTGCTGAAGCCTATAATCGCCTTGAAGATGGCGGATGGAAACAAGCTTGATGATCGTGATGATGGTCTGTGTAGCAGTGGAGTGAAAGCAACACTTATGTACGCGCTTTACGCAAGTGTAAAAACATTAACGGAGGGCGTTTAATCAGTCGTTGTCAAAAAGTCAAGAGATAAAAATTGATCAAATCAACCACACAAATTAAAAAAGATAAAAGCAGAGGCGAGGCTATCATAAATCCACAATCAATAGAAACGCGTCAATAGAGATCTGCGCAAGCAGACCAATCAAATACAAAAAGCACGTGTAGAGCGTACAGAGGATTTTTCTCACAGTGAGGATTTAAGCGTGCGCATCAGGCAAAGGGAACCAACCATCTCAACAAAAGACGGGAAAAGTGCCCGCAGCCTAGCAGTGAGATTGCCATCTTCCAATTCTTCTTGATGGAATTAGAAGCGCAAGGCGCGCGCATGAGGAGAAGAAAGATTATCAATTGATACAACTTCACCTTCCAAACCACATCGATATCAATTCCAGCTCGTACGACTTCGAATCAAGATGGCAAGCTTTTCATTGCCAAGCTTACAGGAAACTCCTGATATGTGGGGCCCACCCAGTATGGCCTCTTCATCTGGAAAGAGTACCGAATCAGTTTTACCAAAAGAATTTCGCGAAATTCCATTCACACCTTTTGCAAAGAGTGATAAAATTGGTCGTTTTGCTGATTGGAACAATGTCTCAAGCTCTGCAAACCAAGCAGAAGGTGCAAGAGGAGCTGCCGCCCAGGCCGGTGAAGATGGTGCTAGAGCAGCAAACGGAACCGCCGTTCGTGGTGCCGCTGCTGGTCTACGTGGTGTTGCTGGCGGTCAATCAGGTGGACGTCGTGCTGATGGTTCGCAAACATTGGGTGCAGGCGCAAGTACGTTCACTTACTTCCACGGAAGTGATGAAGCAAGCTTCAGTATCGTTGACAATACTCGTGCATCTGGCGCAAAACGTGGTGGTGCTGCTTTGAGTCAAATGACTCGCGGTCGTGGTGGTGCTGCGCGCACTGCTGGTGGCCGTCAAGGTGCTTTGGGAGGAGCAGTGGCTGGTCGTACAGGCGCTGCTGCTGGTCGTGGCGGCCGATTGGGAGGTGCTCAACGCGGTGGTGCAATGGGTGCTGTTGGAGGTGCTCGTGGCGGTCGTAGACCAGGATGGCGTGATTGGGACAGACCACAAAGGACTCGTGATCCCTCTGTGGTCGTTGGACCTGATTGGGAACAAATTGAAGAGATTGAATTCAGTCGTTTGGCTAAATTGCGATTGGACGTTGGAGAGGGTGAAGATATTTCTCAATTTGGCTCTCTATTCGAATATGACCGATCGTACGACCGTATCACTAGTGTCCGATTCGAGAAACCCTTACAACCAATGGACAGAGTTCGTTACAATCCCACAACCTCAGAAGACCCAATCCTACAAGAGTTGGCTTCCAAACCTGTTGAAAAGCTACACGAAACATCCACCAAACCACCTACCAGAATTCTTGTCACTGATTCAATCTTGGCTATGCTTATGTGCTCTACTCGTTCAGTCTACCCTTGGGATATTGTGATCACACGAGACGGAAATGGAAACATCTTTATGGACAAGCGTGATGGAGGAGCATTTGACTACGTTACAGTCAACGAGAATGCAGCTGACCCACCAGCAGAGATTGAGACAAAAGAAGGCGAAAGCGTTCGCGATAAATCTCAATTGATCAACACACCTGGCAGTCTCAGCTTGGAAGCAACATACATTAACCAAAACTTTGCCTTCCAAGTTGTGAACGAGAAGAAGGCACACAAATTGCCCAATGGACCCAACCCATTCTACGACGAAAGCACAGAGAAGGAGCAATTGGCCAGTTGTGGATACAGATACCGCAAATTCGACCTTTCAACACCCAATCATGATGTCGAATTGATTGTCCGAACTGAATTGGACGCCATTTTGAAATCCACCACAAAAGGACAACCTGATCAATACATCACCATCAAGACTTTGAATGAGTTTGATAGCCGAGCACAAGGAGCTGGTGGTGCACCTGATTGGCGTACCAAATTGGACAGCCAACGTGGTGCAGTTGTTGCAACAGAGATGAAGAACAACGGTGCCAAATTGGCACGATTTGCCGTACAAAGTTTATTGGCAAAGGCTGACAACATGAAGATGGGTTATGTATCCCGTGTTTCACCTCGTGATTCATCTAGACATGTTGTCTTGGGTACTCAATGGTACAAGCCACGCGATTTTGCTGCTCAAATCAATGTCAACTTCTCCAACGGATGGGGTATCGTTCGTACGGTTGCTGATTTGGTCAGCAAATTGAAGGATGGAGAAGAAGCAAATTCGCCTGCTAAATTCGTTCTTGCCAAAGATCCAAACAAGACTGTCATTCGTCTATACCGTGTCCCTCTCACCTGGCCTGCAGATGAAGATGAAGAAGATGGTGTTTTGGTCGATGGAGCATCTGTTCCAGCAGAGGCTTAAGATTAGAGTGTAGATTTGCTGCACAACCAAAAAGCATGTATACAACTCATTTGTGTTGAGCACTTAATATATACTGCATTTATCGATTGAAACTCTGACTTTAGATCGTGAACAATATTTGCCTTTGTGATGAATCATATCCTTGACGTTAATCAAGCTTGCGAACAATCTGCAAGACGAGAGGACCCTTCTTGTTTGTAGCGCCGTACGATTTTGGAACACTGACGATGGGCCGCCTTTTTGTGTTATACGCCTCCACATCAACAAATGTTGTTGTTGGAAGAAAAGGAAGACATTAACATGATTCAATCAATCTTAATTACCCATTACCATCATCAACACTTTATCTAACGTTGTTGCTATCCAAGATGTCAGCCGATAAGAAGCTATTGCCAAGCACTTTGTTCGATTTAAAGGACAGAGTTGCAGTAATCACAGGAGGAGCAACAGGAATTGGCTTAATGCAAGCTCGTGGATTGAACGATGCAGGTTGCAAAGTGTACGTTATCGGAAGACGAGAAGAAGTTTTACAAAATGCGGTAAAAGTTTATGGATTTGCAGGATACGTTCAAGGAGATGTAACGAACAAAAAAGAAATTGAAAAAATGGTTCGCGAGATGGAATCAAAAGAAGGAAAAGTGGATATCTTGATTTGTAATGCAGGTGGTTCAGGACCAACACATCATGGTGCCGATACTTCTTTCCCTGATCATTCAAACGATCCGGCACCAGGTGGAAAATTGGAAAAGATGAACGCGAAAGATTATAAAGATGAAATTCTGAAGAATAACTCATTCGAGAATTGGAATGAACTCTTTATGATCAATACTCATCATATCCTGTTTGTTTCAATAGCATTCTTGCCTTTGTTGGCAAAAGGAAGTGAAGAAGCTCAAGCAAAAACAAAGAAGGAAGGCAAGAGACCATTCACATCAACGATCATCACCACAGGAAGTATTAGTGGAGTGGTAAAACAAGGACAGATGCATTATGCGTACAATGCAAGTAAAGCTGCAGCCAATCATTTGACAAAGACGTTGGCTTTCGAAATCACCAGCACGACAAATGCCAACGTTAGAGCCAATGCTATTCTACCAGGTGTATACCCGTCTTCAATGACAGCGGGTGGTATTGATGAGAAGAATCAATCAGATCTTTCCGATAAGATGCCAACCATGAACGTGCCAGCCGGAAGACCAGGTGAAACGGAAGATATGGCTCAAGTCACACAATTTTTGGCCGCTTGCGAATTCATGCATGGTCAAACAGTAATTTGCGACGGTGGCTTTACTCTAACAGCACCTTAAAAAGATATACATAGAATAAAAAGTTGAATTGCAGTGAATGTTATAAAATACAAGATGCAATAAAATTAAAAGAATTTGAGTTGCATTTCTGCAAAATTCTGGTATGTACACTAAGTGGCACTGCCACCATTAGAACCAACCCATTTGTCTCACTACTCATTCTTGGAGCCAGCTGTTGCTGCAGCAAGTGATAATTGTGCTTTTGAGGACTTTGGTCGCAATTGCGGAGGACGGGAAGCGGTTGCTGAATTGCTTGTCACAGTCGGGTTTGCTGTTTCAGCAGCTGGAGAAGTGGCACCGAGTAAACTTCCGAATGCTTTCGTGACGGATTTCGTTGGAACCAAACTGCCAAGCAAACCTCCTCCGCCGCTGGAATAAGTTGCACTTGGACTTGTTGATAAGGCACTTTTAGTACCTGTATCCGTAGAAGAAGCACGTAAAGACAAAGTGGAAGGAGTGATCACACGTGAGAGTGCGGCTGGCGTAGGCGCTGTGGTGGCCATAAGTCCAGACATTCTTGGCTTGTGCTCTTCGGTAGAACGTACTGGTTCATCATCCAAATAGGTGGTGTGCATTGATGAATCGCTCAAATTACGTGGTCGTAATGTTCGCGCTCGGTTTATGGTACCTTGATGAATACTGATTTCATCATCATCCACAATACGTGAAAGTCTACTTCCTTGAAGGCTGCTGTTCGTTTGCTCTGATGGCATTCTACTGCGCATGCCTCCTATCGAGCCAAAATCTGTGCTACCCGACATTGAGCCAACAAACAATCCGCTCAGATTACGCGATTGAACTCTTGACAAGCTTGGCTGTCTTCTAGTGGCCTCCGGTCTTGCATGGCTGGGTAAGTCACTGAATGTTGTTTGTTCAGGCTGTGGACTTGTTCCACGACTACCACTACCGATCGAACCATTGTTGTCCATTCCGCCTTGAAGTTGCGCCTGTTCTGTAGCATGCATACCTTTCACTTCAACAGCAACAGCACTAGGTAAAACGGCAGCAGATGCATAAGCTACCCCTGGTCGTTGTACGCTAGATGCTGAAGAACGTTGAGCATTGTTTGGCCGGGCATTGCTAGCATTCAAGGCAGAGAGACCAGCCGCCGCTGCACTTGGTGATGTACCCTGGGTTGTATTGGAGGAAGAACCAGAATTGCCTGTAGTTCCGGGTAAGCCAGTTGTGGATAGCAATTTACCAAACCATGCTGTCACACCTTTGTCTTCGCTCATCTGTACGCCCAATTGCTCTTGCAAGATTCGTGATGCTTGTTGTGGTTGCATACTGATCTCATTGATTGTGTTCCGTAATCTAGCCATTTCCATGAACAAATCTTTGAACAATTTGATCAGAGCAAAGAACTCTTTACGTGCAACCAAGCTGTCCGATTCAGCATTGGAGTTTGAGCGATCATTACTCTTACCACTTGTACGGGAATGCAGGGAAACATTATCCACTTCACGGCCTTTAGACTCATTGTCCATCGCTCGGCGGAAATGGTCCCGCAAGCCATCGATATCACGCAAAATTCCATTCACCGTCGTACGGGCCAAATGACCAACATCACCTGCTAGCTTTTGCCTTTGCAGCCTTTTCGCCAGAGTGTCGACGTCTGCTGTGGATAATCGAGAGAACAGTCTTTGAATCATGTCAACTAGAGCATTCAGTTGGGCTGTCCGTGTTTCACGTTTGATCGCAGAAGATGTTGAAGACGGATTGGCTTGAAGTGCAACGGTAGTCTTGCTACTGAATTTGCTTCCGGCCAAATCTGTCTGTGAATCTGCCTCGCTGGTCATATTGGTAGAAGTAGATCCAGGTCCAGAAGGTAACATCGTATTTGCCATTTGAGGTGAAAGCAATGAAGGAGTTTGATGTCCGTCTGTATAAGATGCTGATCTGGAACTTGACACCTTTCGATCAGTCGAAGACGGATGTCCGTGTCTGATGTCTACGAGTTCATCCGCAAACGGTACAGGAGCAGAAGAGTGTAGATCGGATATACGCAAAGGCGAACTAACGTCATGGGATGTATTGGCAGAAGAGAAGACGTAATCATCCTTTTGACTCAAATCTTCGCGTAATTGTGCAACTTCTTCGTTTCGACTTTCGAGTAATTCCTTCATCTGTCGTAGTTCTTGAGTCAAAGCATCGTTTTCGGATACCAAAGATTCCATCCAATCACCACCTTCTCCTTCAGTGGAATCCTGTCGCTGTGCTGCACTATTCTGCCCAAGTCGTGCTTCCACCAGTTTTCGCACTTCATCCTTCCTTCTCATTCTCTCCTCTTCGGTAAGCTCTTTTCGGCTTCCTTCCACCTTTGCTATCCTCAATTGACCAGTGAGATCTTCTGTAATCCTTTCAGATCGCTTGAGTCTCGATTTTTGTTGTTCAGATTGTTTTCTCTCCTCTGCCAATTCTTGGCGAAGGTCTTCCAGCTCTTTTTCTGCTCGTTCGAGCTTGAGCTCTAAGCCTGAATTACGTACATTTGATCCTCGTGCTTTTGTCAAATCTCGCCTGCCTTCCTCAATCTCTCTCACAAGAGCGCGATTAGATGCTTCGCATGCCTCCAAGTTGAGCTCACTTTGTTCTAATCGTTTCTCCAAGTGGGCAGCTTCCTTGATCGAAGATGTGAGCTTTTTCATCATTGAATCAAGTCGAGTGCCGTGCTCTTCCTGTTTGTGTCCTAGTTCAGCTTGTAATGCATCACTTCTCCTTAGCAAAGCCTGTCCGATTTGTGCTGCTAAACGTAGATCGCTTTCCATTTGACTCCATTCTCGTGTTGCCCTTCGAGCACGTTTACATCTTCTCGTTCCTCTTCCACAGCAGCATGTACAGCGTACTCTTACTGAATGTCTAGATGGGTCATCGTTCCCCATTAGACCATAAGGAGATTGTGATGCAGATAGTGTTGGTGACATTCTTGCTTCATCAGGATCGCCAACCGATGATGCCTCATAGCTATACTGACTAATAGTATCGACGTCCGCTGAAGATCGAGCAGCATCAGCGGTCAAGCTTGCCATACTACTTCGTATCCTTAGCTGATTTTGGTTAGAGGCCGATTCGCCGTTGTTGTCTCCTAGGACCCTTGAGCTAACCCCTCTGAAACTGCTTGCGCCATCTCCACGAATCTGTGTTCTCTCTCGCTCTGTTCGCCATTCAGCAATGATTCTTGTAAAATCATCAATCGTTCTTGATTGTTGAATGATACTCGATTCAAGATCTGCGATATCTTCATCATCTGCATCGTCCATTTTCATTTCCGGTGATCCAAGATTGAAATCGTGGTCTTCCGGGTGAGATGGTTTGTGAGTGGAAGATGATCCATTCTGTGTTCTCCTTTTAGCCGGACTATATTGAAATGATTTTGTCGGGCTAGGATTGCCTTCGTTTGCATCGATGATTTCCACGTTTGCCATCTTGTCAAGCAATCTATTTGAGTTTTATTGAATTGTAAGAAACTCAATCGGGCATTGCTGAATCAGAGTAGCAGTCGCGTAATCAGGGCTGTAAATATCTTGCTGGAATGGTGATGGTTCTTAATTACCCAACGAGTATGATGAAGATGAAGATGTGTTGTTTATTGAATGCATTCGATTTCCGCGGTCGATTTCAGTCTGCGACAGTGCATGTGCCTTTCATTCAAAGAAACAAACACAAAGCGTTAGGAGGTCAACCTAAAAACAAAAGAGAGTTCAACACACACGGCGGCACTTTTGCCCGAATCTTGCCCGCGAGAAAGAAACAGGCGCCGTTCCGAAATAAAGAGTAAACACATACAGTACGCGTAAGAAGTGTTTTTCTGTCTGCACCACCGCGTGTGTTGTTGTGTTGTTTGTGTTAATGTACCAAACATACCAAGTGCATACCTGTCAACTGAAATAGCTTCCGTTCCTTAAGCGAGAAGGCATCTTTCTACAACACAAGGTGAGGATGCAAACAGCCAATGATGATGATGGTCAAACAGAGTCAGATTCATCATCGCCATTATTCACACCAGAAGGTTCTCCATCGCCTTCTCCCGCAAAAGAACATGTCAAGGTAGCCTTACAAGAAGCGCCTTTTGTTGAAGGTTTATTTCATTTTAATCAATTTTTATCATCTGAAGAATGCCAAGAAATTGTGGAAAATGTGATTGATTGTCATTATTTCAACACTGATCAAGGTCGTGATCAAGCTGTTCTATTTGGAATGCGGAATAACAGCAACAGCAAGGAACACGATGAAAGTCAACCCAACGGATTGCCACATTGGGCACAAATGCTATTAAGAATGATTGAAGAACGCTTGAGGGTAACATACAAGGATACAATAAACAAAGATATACTTGATATCTTATACAACCCTTCTCCCGAAACAGAGTATACAAGACAAATGATCTTAAACATTTATACTCCCGGTCAAGGAATTGCAGATCATATAGATATTCCACATAGATTCTTAGACGGGATAATGATTTTATCCTTTGGCAGTGGAATATCGATGGATTTTGCTCCAACAAAAAATAAAGATGGAGAACAAGCATTTAGCCTTTATTTACAGCCAGGTTCGATTTGTATATTGACAGGCAAAAGTCGTTGGGAATGGACACATGGTATTCCCGCACAAACGTACGATCTCGTTCATAATAAGCAAACGGATCAAGTACATCGAATCGAAAGAAGTGCTCGATTCAGCATTACCATAAGATGGCTCAAGATTCAACCAGAATCAAGCACTAACACTAATGACGACATAGCACAATCAAACCTTCGAAGTCATCAAACGTAAATTGTAACACTACTCAATCTGTACTATATACATGAAGAAATATGATGAGATAAAAAGAAGGTCAAACAGATGAAGTTGTTGAACTCTTCTCGTCTTCGTCGAAAGATTCTTCATCTCCACTCTCACGGAGAAGTCCCCTTTCCTCTGGCGGTGTTGCATCGAAGTGCACTCTGCGGTCCGATTTGCCCAAGCCGTGTCGGATATGGTGCGGGTGATGATGATGGCCATGAGAGCTGGGCCAGGCCTCATGGTCATGTTCCGGTGGTCCATTGTTTACTCGTGCTCGCAATGCCTCGTGCAAAGAAGTTTGCCATCTTGCCATTCTGCGTTTGCGTAATTTGACATGCATGGCAGTCAGTAAGAAAGCCGCAAGAGCACAATAAAGTAAAACGCCAAACGTTTGAGAGAATGCGATAGGCAAATAAAGGATATGACCAATTACGCCCAACAAAGTTGTGATGGGTTGTGGCAAAGCAGCAAAGGCTTTTTGTAATGCTTGAGCAACGGCTTCGCTATGAATCCATAACATGGCAAACGTAAAAAAGATCGTACAACGTATCAACGCTTTACGGAAAAGTTTACCCTTCTGCTTTCGACAACGGCTTTTGCCGCCCATTCCACGGCCTCTGCGACAACCACGATCGCCAAATGAACGCATGCTACTGCTACTGCTGATACAGGGATGCACGACTTCTTGATGATTTACTGCTTGTGTTGTTAAGCTTGATTGGCGAGTATGTTGAATTGAATGATGACCAAGAACCGTTGACGGTTGTTCTGAATGTTCGTTCTGTTGTACTTGATTGTTTTGTCTAGTGTTCGTCCAGAATTGATGAGCTCTTGTTTGTTCAGAGATGTAACTTTCTTCTTGTGAAGGTTGATGATGTTCTTCGTAATCTATACCCGGCACAGGCAAACGATATGGCGGTGGGGGCGTTCCTTGATTGGATTCTAGATCCGAATCTTGTTGTTGATGTTGACGTTGATTACGACGACCACTTTTAGCCTCAATGTCCTTCGCGGCTGAAGTTGAGATGGAAGAACCTGGAAGGAGAACCATGACGATCAGGGAATTTATATAACTTTCGAGAGAGGAGGATTTCTTTAGACCTTTCTATAGGACATGCGTATACATATACAAGAAACAGTAATCCTTCTTCTCCTCGGTTGCTTTCAGAGCTGAAATGCAGAAGCAAGCCTTTGAAAAGGGGAGAAAAGTCCTGTCCAAAGGAACAAAAGTCAATAAAATTGACGATTGATGTATAGAGACAGAGGAGATGATGGCACTGCTTCCCCTGTTGTCAAAAGCATTGCTCAGCATTTTTTGGCCCGTTGCTGCTCCTGCCACGACTACGCACACTGCATTGGCGCAGCGCTGCGCAATTGGCCCTACCTCCCCTTCATTTGGGCTGCTCAGCCGTCAGCCAAAAGCATCATACACAGCTCGGCGCCTTTTCACGGCAACTCCTCACGCAGGCGTACAAAAGTAAAAGACAAGGAAACACTAGATAGAATTAATACTATAGATACATATCAAGAAGAAATGGTAAGAGCAAACAAAACATGGTCTCATTAAGAAGCAAAAAGAAAGAAAAGCAAGAGGAGAAAAGAGCATATTGTAAGGGTTGCACCTTTTTTTTAAACGGCATTATTTGCACAAGTGAAAGGACTTTTGACACTTCCGGTTGCATAACTTTGAATGATGGCTTCTACACTGGTATACGTTCCAGGACCAAAGATGAACAAACCAGCAAGGGCAAGGAAAACGTTAAATATGGTTTCCAGTTTACGAGTAAGTTTTTGTCCTTTCCATAATTTACCATGATTCAATTCACGATAAGCGGCTGCCCAAAAGATGAAACCGAACCAACCATCGAACAAAGCGCTCATCAAACTGAGTAAAACGCCAAAGAAAGGTACTGCTTCACCAATCACCCAACCAAAGATCCAAGTAGATGCGCAGCATAAAGTCCAAATCGTCCAACCTCTAACGGTGTTGTGGTTATAATGACGGGTTCCAAATGTGATTCTGTGGAACATATATTTGACAACAACTGCTGCATAAATCACACCAATGATAATCGTCGTCGGTAAAACGAAAGCAAAGGAAATTTTCTTGAAAATTGGACCCAAGTTGGCAACGGCAGGTGTTTGCGTGTATTGACCGCAATAGTAGTAGACCACGATTCCGGTTAAAGTGAACAAGACAAATTCAGCAACTGTGACTGCATAGAGCGCTTTAGGGAAATCTTCCGGATTCTTCATTTCAGCGATAAAGCTTGGATAACAGATTTGACCAACCCAAGTGAAAACGATGTTGAGGAATGCATTAAAGCCGTCGACGAATGTGGTACCTGGGGGAGCAAAAGCAGTGATTCGAACTGGCTCAGCAGGATCAAATCCAGCAGGTTCTTTACCTTGGATACCTGTGAAAATGAGCACGAGCAGGATTGCGATACCCATTGAAATTGCAGAAACGATTCCCATCATTGCAACATTCTCCATTTTACGCGGTAAAGTCAAAAGGAAGCAAAGGAGCATGATCGCGATACTGAAAACGAGTGTACACGTTCCATGTTCGGACAGCACATTCAAAATTTCACTTCCGGTTAATGTATGCAAGCCTTGAATGAAGGTATTGTTGAGGATGAGAGCGATAGCGGTTAATTCGTATGCGATCCATGTTTTTCCGAATAATTGGTATCCAAAATCGGCGATATGCAACATGTGAGGATGCAGCATACAGTAACGCCATAGGGTCATAGAAGTATACAAAGCGATCGCTCCCATTCCCAAGGTGGCCAAAATTCCACCTGCCATTCCTAATGTTTTGAATGCCCAAGGGAAACTCAAAATGGCCAAACAAACATATTCTCCGAACAAGATTGCAGCGCATTTTTGCCATGACATCGTTCTGTACTGAATATCACCATCATTCTGTTGGGCCAAAACGACGTCGACTTTTGCTACATCATCGGATCCGATACCATCAATACCGGCAGCTTTACTTGCAGCTTTTTCCAATTTGGCTCCATCAACGGCTGAAGATCCAGTTTTTTCGGGAATACCTCCGCCTGCAACGGTGTCAGGATGACCTTCTGGTGCACCCAAACCGGAACCTGAACGAGAAGAGATTGAACTACTTTCTTGATCAACGCTACGTGAACGACTTTCGTGGGTTATACCGACCGAACGTCTGGCACGGGCTAAAATTGAAGACATGATTTTGTTCCTGTTCCCCTTTTTGTTCTTGTTATACCACGATAACAAGCAGAAGCGGTGCAAGCGGAAAGGTGAGAAGAAGAAGAGAGGGTATGACCTGTGTTATCCGTCGTCATTAAGTGCAGGCCCCGATAGAACCTTGATTGAATGTGTATGGTTAGAAAATATAAAGTTCCTTGGAAAGTCACGCCTTTTTTGAAAAGGATAAAGTTTTGAGGGCGACTGAAACGATTGATAATGAAGGGAAGAAGGATGGATACACAATTGCTCTTGCGAATAATCATAGTAGTCAATCATCTAGGCACGGACGAGTAAGGGTGTGTGCCTGTGTGGATATGGAAGTGCATATCTGGTGGTTGAATGGGATAGTGCAGTGCATGCTGCAGACCTGTAGTTCATATTTGGTTGTGTGTGTGACTATCCGTACTGTGCCACTGGATTGGGATGTGTAATTACGTTCAACTCTCGCTTGCATTGCTCTCATTACCTTAGACTCTCTTACTTCCTCCTCCTCCCTCCTATTTTTTATTTCAATATCATCACTTCATAGTTCTACAGTTATCCTCCCCGCTCACGCCGCCGCCTCCGCCTCTTTTTTCCTTTTCTTTTCCACCCGCTCTGCCGCCTCCCACCTTTCCGGCGATTAAATAAAAAAAGTCAGCTGCCATTGTATGTTTGTGTGTTTGTGTGCAGATAGCCAAGAAGTTTTCAGTAATTCGGATTAGCGTATAAAATTTCCATACGGGCTTTTGTTCGTAGTACACAGACGATCTCTTCTACACCTCAACTTTGATCGAGTAAATGCATCATGCACTGCACACACAGCATTGAAAAAACGCATGAAGGGTTGATTGCTGTTGCTGTTGGCGCAGCGAGTGTGCAGATTAGACGTCAATTCCAAAAAGACCAGAACGCCGATCAAGTGCGGAGGTGCCCGAACAATCAAACAAAAGCAATCATACATCATCAACCGGCTTGTTTTAACCGCACAACCCTCAACGGACAAACAAGCGAACTATTGCGTGCTTTGGGATAATGAACACAGGCCCTTTTGACAGGGGTCCAAAGATTCCCCCTCTACAAACTATACTTCATTCTGATTTCCCACAGTTAGTCTTACCGTACCTACATGGCTAGCCTAAATTTAGCCACACTGTATTGTCAACGTCTTTTGAACTTGCCAGTGACACTTAAAGGCAATAGCAACCTCCAGCTTCATATGAACAATGTGTACCATTAACATAAATACGACGAAAGATTAGGTGGCTTGCTAGTAATGCGAATAATGTTGTTGAACAGATTAGAGAAATGCTTGCTCGCTTGCTTCTTTGTTTGACTGCCTTGGACCAGCCCAAGGTTGATTATGATGACGATGCGAATACTACAAAAAATGCGTGGATAAAAAAGTACAATAATGTGTTGACAAAAACAGATGAAAGATTTGAAGCTGCTGAAAAGAAAAAGAAACGAAAGATCGTCCAAAGAATGGCGATTGATAAAAAAGAAAAAAGAACAAACTTTGATATCTTATCAAAAAGAAAGGAAACTGAATGCTGACCTGCTGGCCATTATTAGGAATGAAAGAATGGCTGATGTGTGATGATGGTGCCTGGTTGCATCATCAAATTGTCTCTCAGGGTCACCGGTTGAGGTACCCTAGAAACATTTCCGTTGATCGAACTAGACATTTGCGAATGTCCAGTCGATGGTCTTGAAAAACGAGCGATTGAATTGCCATTATCAAAATAGCCATCATAAGTCACTTGAAATCCTTCTGATCTTTGATGAACAGTGCGTGAAAAAGTAGGTGCACATTCCATCGTTTGACGGTTAATTGCTTCTCCTTGAAATGCCGTCATGGGTTTTAACAACATACTCGGTCCATCAGAAGTATAAATTGGAGGGAATAGAACCGCTGAATCACAAGGAGTCGTTTGTTCGTACGTCTCACATTGAATCGGTGGCATGATCGGCGCCGTTCGTGAGGGTATAGCATCTGGGATCGGAGCCGAATAAATTGGTGCATTCAACAGCCTTTGTACATTCATCGTATCTGTATTCTGTAGGACAGCTTCCATCACTTCTGCCATTGTGGTGAGCAAGCTTGCTTGACTTGAAGCTGTGTGACTTTCGATAGTCTGTTGTGATTGTGGCACTTGATCATGCAATGCTTGATGGATGGTGGGTGAAGCAGGACTGCTCATCTCTGTGTCTTGATTCATTTGAACACCCATGCTTTCATCCGATTTGACTTTGCTCCACAATCTTGATGGCATGATCGGCAAAGGAGGAGGCAATTCAGATTCTTGCACGTTTCGCATATCCTCCAAATTTGACAAAGATTTACTCTTTGCGCGTACGTATGTTTGAGGAGAGAAAGGGTATGACGTATCAGTTGCGTCAAAAGAAGGAATGTATGATGACGATGAAGGAACGGGCGCGAAAGAATTGGCAATGAATGTCGGTAAAGAAGTAGTCTTGATTGGCGTTGGAGGTTGGAAGATTGGGGGAATTGTATCTTGCAAGAATGTCGTATTTGATGGGCGCAAAGATGAACAAGATTCTTTACCTGTCACGCTGTCGATCGCAGGAACGTTCGGATTTCTAACTTGCACCGGGGTCCCCGCATTTGAATGCATCCTTTTCATCTGCGTTCCTGAGCGGGGCAAATTGCATTTTATGGCCTGTAATTCATGCTCCAGCGTATGAACTCGCTCTAAGATGGCATCAAAGGATTCTCTTGACACAGGTTTCCTCTTGGATTCTTGTCGCGGTTTATCAAAAATGCAATCCTGATTAGCAAGTTGACATCGATTACATGGTCCGTCAATTGGGCCTTCACAGCGCATCTGCCGAAAATCAAGGGAGAAGGTGTCAAATATCATGCAAGCAATTCTTACTTCTCTTTGCCACTCACCTTAGCTCGCCTGCATGCATTGCAAGCCCGATGAACCCGTGATGAGACACGTAATCCTTTCCTCATTGGCGTGGACTCATTTGGCTTGCCATTCGTGCTGGCATTCATTGTACCTGTATAATTTTGGCATGCCCGTCTTACCTGATGAAAACGACAAACCCAAAATTGAGCAAAACAGAAAGTCGAATGGAATAAAATTGGAGAGATGGAAGTAGAAATAGAAGAAAGTGTGTTGTCAACAATATGTCTTTTTCGTGCATGCGGTTTGAAGAGAGAATACTTTTCTTGTAAGACTCAGCCTAATCAATCCAAGCACACCATTCTCAAATGGCGTATGTTTGATGAATTAACGCAGGAGCCACCTGTCGCTTCCGATGGAGGATACATTGTACCAAAAATATATTAGCATGAAAAGTGAAATTGAGTTGATTTAAAGTGGGGGGGGGGGTAAAAAGAGCCATGTGGAATGCCTTCTCCTTGAGTTCAAGTAGAGGAATGCATTTATTCTCCTTTGCTTCCATCACACACAGACCAACTCTTTCCCAATCGATCTCGGCCTAGGTTCCATCCACGGTCGGAGTGTTATCAATGGCGTTTTCTCCATGGGACATCAAGGCACATCGACCTGAAAACTTTAAATCAGCTGGAATGTCGGAGTTGTGATCAATGTTGAGAAATCCGAAAAGAGTGTATTAGCGGATGTGCGTGTGACAAAATCGATTCTTGGCTTTTAACCGCATATGCAAAATATGTTAAATTCTCCGAAATGAACAGGAGCAAAAGTCAAATCTCAAAGTGGGGCAATCATGAGGCGATACAGACATGTATATGGAGAAGAATACGGGCACCATAATATGTCAAAAGGTAGAATTTGCTTTCCATCTATCAATTGTTCTTTTGATCAACAGAATGCTCCTTCTGTTGTTCCCTTCACTGTGAATGTTGGGAAGCATTTGAACAGATCGGAGAATTTTTTGAGACTCAAGCGGCCTCCTTCAATTGTCATCAATCGTGGCTGAGAAAGACGGAACGAAGTCACCCGGTTTGATGCATTGACAAGTGTGAGTTGGACGCCTTTCTTGAAGAGAGTGTTTGCATGAGCGGTGCTTTAGCGTTACGCCTTCCGTGCATAGTCGTAAGCTTGTAATGCAATGACACACACACACACGCGTTTAACCCGATTTCTTCTTTTTCTTTTTGCTCTTTATCCTCCACCATCAAGAGGTGATCACATTTGAACAAAAGGTAGGGCGGGCAAACAAATACAACTTAAACCTTGGCCGAATCTTGCTCAATAGTAAGACTTGCATTTCATCGGCTACTCGGATTCAATTCATACATACGAAACACTCTCCTGATTCACACTTTATGCGAATCGCTTCCTTCAAGCTAGCAATCTGATTGTGACTTTGTTGTTATTGGCCTTTTCGGCTTTGGTATTCTTGTACCTGTGGACAGAAGGTAGATTGAGAAAGGAGGAATCACCTTCTAAACGCACAACGCAAGAACAAGGAAATATGTCCTCTTCAAAAGTTAACAAAGAACAAACGATTCGTCAATTCAGAAGCGTAACAAATGCAACGCAAAATGACGCTTCTCGTTTATTAAAACAGAACAATTATAGACTGGAAGCTGCGATCGATGCATTCTATTCTGATGAAGTCGCTTTGAACAATGCATCAAAAACATCAACCAATTCAACTTCAGCAAAAAGCGAAAAAGAGACTAGAGAGAAACTGGGAAAATTGTTCGATACATGGAAAGATGAAGATGAAGGTGAGATCACAATGGAGGGAGCGATGTCCATGTTGGAAGATTTGAAAATGTCACCAGAAGATGCAGTGGTACTGCCATTATCATTCTACCTTCGATCACCTTCTCTCGGCTCGTTTCAAAAAGAACATTTTATCGAAGGATGGAAGTCAATAGCGGGATCTAAAAAGTGCGATTCGATAGAAGCACAAATAAAACTTCTGGAGCAGTTACGGGAAGATTTGAAAACTGATGCACCCGTTCGTGGTGATCGTGCGAGCGAGAGCAAGCAAGGCCTATTCCACCGAACGTATGAATTTACCTACACTTTCGGTCGACCTGAAGGACAAAAAAGTTTACCATTGGCAAACGCATTGGCTTTTTGGGATCTACTCATTCCATATGCACCATCTTTTGGCACTTCTTCTGAAAGTTTTACTTTACGACAGTTTAATCTATGGAAAACCTTCTTGCAAGAGAAAGGTAAAGGTAGAGCGATCAGCAAGGATACATGGATGTTATTCTTGGATTTCACAAAAGAGATCGACTCCGAATTTCAGAATCACGATTTTGATGCCGCATGGCCAAGTCAAATTGATGACTTTGTTGAATGGGCAAGAAGTCAGCCTGCCAATGCAGGAGATGCAATGGATGAAAGCTGACGACCTTGTAAGCATGTCTGTCATTACTCTCAATACCTTCACATGTTCTTCCTTCTGGACTACAGACGAACCAGATCAATTAGATGTGTAAAATGTACAAAATGCTATGCAAGATTGAAAAGAATGAATAAAAGAGGCAAAACGGTGAAGCATCTTAACGCCTATTGTTTGTACCCTGTTTACGTTTACCAGAGTATAACCATTTGGGCATCTTTGTCTTGATTGCACGATCACTTTCACTGGCTTTGGCCAATCTATTACGTTCACGCAAACTGAGATCTTTGAGCTCACGTACTTTTTCTTCTTGTACCTTATCACGCAAACCATCCGTTGCACGATTACGAGCAGGGACACGAACAGGACCAGCACGAGCGTTTGGAACGCCACCGGATTTGGTTCTGTTCGCCAAAGTAGAAGTAGCTGAACGTGCTCGTAATAATCTTGAACCTTCGTTGGATTTTGCCAATTTCTTACGTGAAGATGCTCCTTCGCCATCTTCAACGTCCATCTCACCATCCGAATCATCTTGCCAATCTTCTTCCATGGCTTCTTGCATATCTTCGTCTTCGTCATCTCCGCCTGCAGAACGTTTTCGCTTCTCTCCTGAAACGTTCAATCCCTTTGCCTTTGCCAATAATTCAGCTCTTGCTGTTACGCTGCTTGGGTCAATACCAAGGCTGCGTAGTTTATCTGCCATTTCACTGAGCGTGCGTGTTTGCATCTTACGTGGGATGAGGGAACGTTTCTTGATCTTCTTTCGGTCTTGGTTGGCTAATTTAGCCTCTTCTTGTCTTCTTCTGATTGCTTCTGCAGCTTCACGAATTTCACGAATTTCGTCATCTTCTTCTTCATCCTCGCTAACATCATAGAATCCTTCTTGCTCAAGTTTTTCTTCTTCTTGTTCTAGAGCATCAAGTTTTTCCATAATATCTGGATCGATAAAGTCGGCAACATTCTTACCATTGCGAACTTCTGGAATAACGTCATATTTCCAATCATCATTCTCGAGCAAGTATCTCTTCTTCGTATCAATGTTGTATACACCTGCACCTCCTTTGGCTTCTTGATCATCACGTTCGATAAGTCTTCTTTCTGGATCTTCTGGATCGTATTTCTTACGATTTCCGTTTGCAATGACTTCGGGAATGAAAGGCTTACGTTCCACACCATCCCGAGATTTGGGTTGTGCTACGTGAATGCGGTTCAAGACTGCATTCATCTTGTTGCCCTTTGCCTTTGTCTCTAAACGCATAGCCAAGAGAGCATCGCACGCTGCATTTCGGGTATCCATAATTCCTTCTTCCGTGAATGTAGAGATTTCCATCATTTTGATCTTGCCGTTGGATTCTTCCACCATCGAATTGACCAAAGCTGCTCGCTCTGGGTCCAAAGTGGACAGTCTCTGGACATCGATCTTGTTTATGATGACGAATGTTGGCTTGTTGTTGAACAAAGGCTTAATGCTGTTGAACAATTGAACCTGTGCTTCAATCGTGTAACCGCATTGTTCACTCAAATCCATAAAGTAGAGAATGGTGCTCCGCAAATGTGCCAATGCGGTGATACTTTGCATTTCGATGGTGTTCATTTCCTCCAAAGGGTGATCCAAGATACCAGGTGTATCGATCACTTGCCAACGTAGGTATTTGTAATCCATATGTCCGACAAAGAGAGATTTGGTTGTGAATGCATATGGTTGTACATCTACATCTGCTCTTGTGACTTTGTTGATGAAAGAAGACTTTCCTACATTTGGGTATCCGCAAATGAGCAATGTACGGGTGGAAGGATCAATGGAAGGCAAACGGGAAATGTGTTGACGAACTTGTTCCAAATAAGCCAAAGGGTCCTTTTGTCTCTTCATGATTGTGGCCATACGACCAAGAGCGGATCTTTTGAGTTGCTTGCATCGGTAAAGGGAGTCACCAAATTTGATCAAACGAATGTAATCCTTTGCAACTTGTTCGATCAAATGGCGAGCGGTGTTCAATTGACCAAGTGCGAGCTTGTAGTGGTTCTTGTCATACAAGACATTCATCAAGGATGAAATGAAAGGATGCAAGTTATCCAAGATTGGGAAATCGGCCAAAATTGCATCAAGCTTTTCTGTGAATGCATCTTTGGTGAACATGACCTTTCGCATGTAGAATGAACGGATACGTGTAATCTTCCATCCTGGATGAACGACGGTCGGAGTTTTTCGTTGAGTTTTGGAGAGGACGATGTCCAAAAAGTCGGTTGCCGTCGGCACAGGCGCGATAGAGGCCTTGAAAGTGGACGACATGACTGGCAATTCGATTGTCTTGCAGGACAAAGATCACCTAGATGGTGAAAAGAGGAGTAGGAAACGTTGGCTGACGTATAGCTTATTGCTTCTTCTCAAAAGATTGTATGTACCGAAAGGCAAAAATTATGAAATTTGTACACTGCACTAATGCATTAAATTTTTCCCCAGAAGCTCACTTTCTCACTCGCGCCTTTGAAATTTATTTGAACTTTTTCCAACTTTTTTTTTCTTATGGTAATACACGTGATTGATTGTGTTTAAATTTTTTGGAGTAAAGTTAGCGCTTAAGAAAGAAGAATGAGAAGATCAAATATTGTACTGCTCTTTTGTGTTTGACATCCTACCATCACATACTCTACTTCACACAAAGCCATCGTATACCCTTGCAAAGATGGCAAAGAAGAATGGAGGCGGTGGATCACAGCTTGCACAGCTGAAAGCTCGTTTGGCAGGTGAAGGAATATCGGATAGAAGACAGATGAAACAATCAGCAAAGAAGCGAAAGAGAGGTCAAGCATCATCAGAACGTGATGAACAACAAGCAAGAAGAGAAAAGTTACAAAGGATAGCAGAGTCTTCGCAATTCAACCCATTTGAAGAAAAGATCACAAAGCCAAAAAATGTAGTCCTTGGTAGACATATTCGTGGCGCTGTTGGAAAACCTGGTGAAGCTCGTCAAGGTGGCTTGCGAGACCGAAAGGAAAACCTCTTGCCTGAATGGAAGAACCGTAACAAGAGCGGAAGTTTTGTTGATAGACGCTTCGGTGAAGGAAGCGGAAAGAATATGGAAGGCATGAATATGGAAGATGCAATGTTGGAACGCTTTACAAGGGAAAGACAGCAAAGAGCCAACAAGATGAGCATGTTCAATTTAGACGATGCGGAAGAAGAAGGCCTAACCCACTATGGCCGCAGTCTAAATGATTTAGACGAGTATGACGACATTCATTTGTCCGATGAAGAAAGTGAGTACCTTTTCTAGAATCAACGCCTTTCCCGAAGATGAACCCGTGCTTCTAAAGAGCACGAGTACCTTGAAGCCAGATCACAGTCTGCTTGATAATCGCCTTGACAAAGGCTCAAGAGACATTATGACGGTTCAAATAATTATGTTCTACTGGAGATTGCTGAGGGATTATGGCACGAAAGATATTTGTGTATGAAATGTGTCCGTTTGCTAACGCATTTTTACTTTTCTTTCTTTTAGCTGGTGAGGATAGGATGGCGCACTTTGGAGGTTTTGGAGATGAAGAACAGGCAAATGAGGAAGAAGATGAAGACAGACAAAAGACGAAAGCAGAAGTCATGAAAGAAGTTATGGCTAAATCGAAAGCTCATAAAATGGAGAGACAACAGATCAAAATGCAAGACGAAGATTTGCGACAACAGTTAGACGATGATTTTGGAGACCTACGTAGTCTATTGATGGGTGGAGGAGCTCTACCAGAACCAGCAGCAGAAGAGAGAAAAGAACTGCCTTCTGCTGAATCTGCGCCTGTCGATCCTAAGAAGGCCAAAGAGAATGCATATGACGCTGCTGTTCGCGAGATGGTATTCGAACGAAGAGCCAAGCCTCAAGACCGGTTGAAGACTGAAGCCGAAAAAGCTCAAGAGCTTGCTGAGAAGCTTCAAAAAGCAGAAGATCAACGATTGCGACGAATGAGGGGAGAAGAGATTGAAGATGAGAAAGGCAACGACCGCAAAGGAAGAAGAGGTCAGCCTGCTGGAGGTGATGATTTGGAAGATGATTTCGAGTTAGACGGCATGACAAGCCGAGATGTATATGGTCTTGGTCAAGGTTTGCGTGGAGAAGATGCGGAAGATGATGAAGAGGAAGACGCAGAAGAAGAGGATGAGGACGAAGAAGTCTCTGGTGATGCGGAAGAGGATGAAGGAGAAGACGGAGAGGGTGAGGTCGGATCTGATGAAGCAGAAGAAGACGATGACTTTGATGATCTTGCAGACATGAAAGCATTAGCAGGCACGGGTGAAGACATGGATACAGATGCAGAAGCCGAGCCAGAAAACATCGTCAGTAAATCTACAAAGAAGGGTAGCAAGGCAAAAACAACACACATTTTGCCATTCACCTTTCCATGCCCAGCCACGTTGGACGAGCTGCTAGCAATTCTGTCAGTCAACAAGGTCGAGGCTGATGATGTTCCTGTTGTGATCAAGCGTATCCGTGCAGTACATCATTCTTCTTTGGCAGAAGATAACAAGTTCAAGTTGCAAACGCTGCTTGGGGTCTTGCTTGATTATATCTTGCACGTTTTCGTCAAGCTCAATGCATCGAACAAGTCGGAAACAATGAACACGATCAATTCACTCGTACCTCAGCTTTACACTTTGACTAAGACATACCCAGTTGCTGCATCCGAACATTTCGTGGGCAAGCTAGCCCTAATGCAACGAAATCTTACAAGAGGACTGAGCAAAGGAGCTCTCAATGCAGATGCAAGGACATGGCCGGGAGTACCAGAATGTATCCTATTAAAGGTCACTTCCACCGTATGGCCCACCAGTGATCGTTCTCACCCTGTCACCACGCCTTTGGCTTTGCTCGTCTGCCAATATCTTTCCAGCTGTCGGGTGCGAAATGTTCAAGACATCATTAAAGGTCTCTTCCTCTCTTCTCTCGTCGCAGAAAACGAACGTCAATCCCGCCGTCTGGTACCTGAAGCCCTCAACTTCTTGCATAATTCAATCACTCTTCTCCTACCTTCGGTTTCGATCAAGCAATTAAGCTCAGTGAATCGTCAATTCGGTATCCCTTGGCCGGACATACAGGAGACGATTGCTAAAGAGATCCGTCTGGGTGCCAAAGTTCCATCGGAGGCACCTATCGAACAGCTCGACTTCGTGCAATTGATTGGGTCAAATCTTTCTGCATTGCAAAATGCTGAGCATGACGCAATCAAGTCTCAAGCACTAGTCGCCTCGATGACATTGGTAGAAGAGTTTGCTCGACTTTATTCTGGTTCTATTGGATTCGTTGAACTTTTCAAACCGTTTGATATGCTACTCAGTGGCTCAATCTCCAAGGCAAAGTTGCCTGCAGAGTGGCTAGAGCAAAAGAGAAACTCAACTCATGAAAAGGTGAGCCGAATGGTGAACAATACCGCTCGTCAAAGAAGAGCGTTACGCTTGCAAGCACATCGAGCGATCCCCATTGCTTCACACGTTCCTAAATTCGATCAAGGTTTCAATCCTGAACGTAAAGGAGGAAGAACATTTGATCCAGATGCACAAAGAGCAGAAGTTGCTAAATTACGTGCGTTGGCCAAGAAAGAACGTAAAGGAGCCATGCGTGAATTACGTCGTGATAATGAATTCTTGGCAGATGCTCGTCGTGAAGCAAGAGAAGAAGAAGATTCAAGGTATGCCAAACAGATCGACAAGATCATGGGCTCTTTCTCTGCCGAAAGAGGAGAAGAGAAGGCATACCTTCGTGAAAAACAAAAGATCAAACGTAGAGCGGGGAAGAAGTAGATCTTATTCATTGTACAACATATTCTTATCATTTTTTCAATTGTATATTACATCCTTGCAAATTTTAAGGAATTTACGATCAATTTGTATTTGCTGGGTATAAATACAGTGTTTGCCCGTGCTGCTTTCTTCGTCAATCATCTCGCCATGTTATGGTACCACGGGCCCATCGGTCTGCCATCAGATTGCGTCTATGGTATGTCGTCCGCAAGGCTCTATATCTGCGTACGAATGTGGCATCACCATCTGCATCTCTTCCAGTAGGAGTTGCTGCTCCGCTCTCGGGTGGAGTCAAGCCATGTGGATTAGCAGCGGACTGTAGAGGAAAGGGTGATGAGAATGTCAGCGAGAGAAGAGCGAAAAGCAATGCAGCAATGTATGGTATACTCACAGCAACTTCCAACGGTAAACCTTCTGCAAATGCACTTGCCAAACTTTCGCTCTGATCGTGTAATTTGCCAGCAGATTGTGTCAAAGTGAACAAAAGCGTTGAAGGTGAAAAACGTTTATATGCTTCTTTCATTTGATTATCCAACAAAGGCCATTCTTGTTCATATTTCCTTGCACGATCGTATAACTGTTGTGTTTCATTTCGTAAAGCTTCTAAACCGGGTTGCATAGTCATGTTTCTTGATGCCTTTTCTTCGTTTTGCTTTAGCAGTCTTTGCGATTCTTGACGAAGCTGCTGTATTTGTGGTTGTGATTCGATGAATGCTTCGAAACCTGTTTCTTCGGCTGGCATCGTTGGAGCTGATGGCTGGACGGGAATCGAGCTAGAAGATGAAGATGGTTGACTTGCTTGTTGTAGATACCAAGGCGGATCACTTCGATTCGGGTTATAACCTGCCAGCAGCGACTCTATCTCTTGCCTGCTCATAGTAGCAATAGCAGGGTATTCCTGCGTTAGCGGTGTTTGAATACCACTGCTCGCCATCTTTGTCGTAGGTTGATGGTTGTTGATGGAGAGAGTCCGCGTTATGATCTGTGCGTACACAGCTTATTCTCTACACGCGTATCAACAAGAAGAGGTAACAAAGCTACAAGCTCGTTCGAATATGATGTACGCACACAAAACATCACTTAGATATCCGACATCTTTGCGACGTTTTCTGACGATCAAATCGATCTATATTTGGAGGTAATAAGACTAATATACATGTTCTCTATCGGTACGAGGAATAGATTTAATCCCGATTGAACTTTTCCCGAAGCAGAGGCTGAACCAATTCATAGACACTTTTTGGGTTTGCAATTGGTGAAGCAAAAGTTGCCATTCCACGTCTTTCAATTCTGTTCAGCTTACTTGCAGTGATTGCATTGGTTCTCGTCTTTTGACCTCTGACGGGTAATCCAGCCACATGTCTTCTTCCAACGTACGATCCAATCGTACGATGATGACTTAGGTTAGCACGTAGTTCACGACGTAAATCTGATTCGAGTACCAATGATCGTAATGTGTCCTTCTCAGGTGAAGACTGTTGTGAGCCTGGTGTATATTCGTATGCGCTTGCTTTGGAAGAGGAAGATTGAGATCCGTCTATGCTGGGAAAAGGTGAGGTCGTTTCGGCTTTTCGGGCGGGAATTGAACTTGGTGAGGATAGATAGGCGGATAGTGCTGTAACTTGTGCTTCATTCAAGGATGAGACTGTGGCCAACTCATGTAATTGTAATCGTGCACATAGTCGTCTTGCTGTTTGATGTGAGATTCCATAAAAGGATGTAAGGGCAATCTGTAGGGGGAGGATAAAGTGTGTGAGTATTGGAACGTAGATTGGTCATGGAGGTATCCTTGTATTAACTCACCCTTACGAGCTTTGTATCGGGTAGATATGATCCCAAGAGATACATGATGCTTTGTTGTGATGATGCTTGATTGTGACCGAAGAGATGGCAGTGAAGCATGTGTTAATCCGTATTTCAAAATTGTGTCAACTTCTTCGCTCTAAGGTTTGCACGTGATTTATTTCTCTGCCGAGGCGTATTTCTTAGCCTGTCTGGAAGTCAATTCCGCTCTTATGAATGAATATGCACCCTGCGCAAAGCGCTTCGCGCGGTTTAGAGTTGATTAAAAGAGTCAATGCGAGGTGGGTACCATCAATAAGGGTGGAGGATAGTGGGGAAAAGAAATAAGAGAAGATGCACAACATTCTCTCCTCTCGCTTAAGTCCATCATTACAACCGAATGCGTTTCATTTTACAAAACAATTCTGTCCGAAGAGGCATTCTATCATCACAACAACGATCACTTTTTAGATCCGCAACTACTACTTCAGCTTTACCACGATCAATTGTCAATCCCAAAACAACTTCCAAATCATTCTCCACATCTTCATTCATCAAGATGCCGCAAATGCCAAAAGATATCGTAAAGGGGGGCAAAGAAGCTCTTTCCCTAAAGAATAATGATCTCTTTGTTCAAAAGGGTTACATCAATGGGGCATGGGTTGATGCAGACAATAAGTCCACTTTCCCTGTCCATAACAAAGCAACACAAACAGAAATTGGTTCAGTACCAAATATGGGCAAAGCAGAAACAAAGAAAGCAATCGATTCAGCAAATGAAGCCTATAAAGAATGGTCTCAAACGACCGGAAAACATCGTCAAGATTTATTGACAAAATTATTCAACGCTTTACAAGAAAATACAGAAGATCTTGCAAAGATTATTACGGTTGAAAATGGTAAACCATTGGCAGAATCAAAAGGTGAATTAGCTTACAGTAACGGATTCATTGAATGGTTCGCAGCCGAAGCTACACGTACCTACGGTAAAACCATTCCCGCTCCTTTACCAAACGTACGCAACGTGACAATCAGACAACCAGTCGGTGTTTGTGCTTTGATCACACCGTGGAACTTCCCTGCTGCCATGATCACTCGTAAGCTTGCACCCGCTCTTGCGGCCGGATGTACTGCTGTGATTAAAGCACCTGCTGAAACACCCTACACATCTTTGGCCATCACCAAATTGGCCGAACAAGTCGGATTCCCAAAGGGTGTGATTAACGTGATCACTTGTGCAAAGGGTGAAAACGAAGCAGCTGTCGGCAAAGAATTGTGCGAGAACTCAATCGTACGTAAATTGAGTTTCACAGGAAGTACAAGAGTTGGCAAATTATTGATGAATCAATGCAGCAACAGTCTTAAGAAATTAAGTTTCGAATTAGGTGGAAATGCACCTTTCATTGTTTTTGGTGATGCCGATCTTGATAAAGCAGTAGAAGGTGCTTTAGCATGCAAATTCCGCGGTGCAGGTCAGACATGCATTTGTGCAAACCGAATCTTTGTGCACGATTCAGTTTATGACGAATTTGCTTCTAAATTGGCTGCAAGAGTGGACAAATTCAAAGTCGGAAACGGTTTGGAAGAAGGAATTCAACTTGGACCTCTTGTTAACGAAGCCGGTCGCGACAAGGTTGCAGATCATGTCAAAAGATCAAAAGAAGCCGGAGCAGAAGTTTTGGTTGGTGGAAAAGCAGGCGAAGGATTATTCTATGAACCAACAGTTTTGGCCAATATTCCCGAACATGCACCAATGGATGATGAAGAAACATTTGGTCCTTTAGCTGCTCTTTACCGTTTCAAGACAGAAGAAGAAGTCTTGGCAAAGGTTAACGCCTCACCCGTTGGATTGGCCGGATACTTCTACTCAGGAGATGTTGCCCGTTGCTTCCGTGTTGCCGAGAGATTGGAAGTTGGTATGGTCGGTATCAATGCAGCCATCATCAGTCAAAATGTCGTTCCATTCGGTGGTATCAAGGAGTCCGGATTCGGCAGAGAGGGTGGACCTGGAGGAATCGATGAGTACATGGTTGATAAGCTCATGGTGTTTGGTGTTTGATTTGGTTTGAAAATGATGTACATATCTGGAATTCTGAATACAAATTTTATTGATCGCGCGCTATTATTACATGCATGATGACAGTGGCTTTTAAGCCGAAGATGACTTCTGCAACCATTCTTTTGGAAAATCTCTTATAGTTGGTGCACTTTTTCTGTCCAGGTTTGCTCTGCTTCGTTCTTGTGCTTGTGCATGCCTTAGATCCAAAGGTACATCCTTGACAGCTTCTGCATCTTTGTTTGCTTCGGCTATCAGGCTGTCGACCGCATCACTACACCACTTCAAATTCATCTGCGAGTTCGGGAATCGTTCACAGCTAATTTTCACTACTCCAAAACCACCGTTATCAAGAGCTTTACGCTCGAGCTTTGCATGGTCACCGAAAATATCAATCCTTTTGTTGGATTGCTGGATCATATCCTTCTTTTCCTCAAACGGGTTCCAACGCGGTCCGGCCAACAATAAGAACTTCTTCCTTGCATCTCTCGAAGATAGATAATCCCCCTTGAACAAATCGCTAACTTGAACCGTTACAACTGCTTTACGTGTGACAGGATGAGCTTCTCCTTGATAATGAATTTGTTTAACGCGCAAAATTTGTTCGTTTGTTGGGGGTATGTATTGTTTTTTGAATTGTGCTAATTTTGGCATTTCCCATTCTGCCAAACGAGCATAATGTAGCAATTGTCTTTTACGATCTAATAAAAAATGTCCTGCCGTTGGAATATCATCAAATTCAAACTTTTTCATCTTGTCTAAAGCATGCGGATCTTGTGATATTTTTTGTCTTCTTGGTTTGGCTTGTACGATTGTTGAAGATGAGAATTGTCGGGAAGATGAGCCGGAGCATACGCTTGATCGGCCTAGTGATCCCTGTAACTTCATTCCGCTGCCTCTTATTGATCCGCTCATCTTGATTCAGTGTAGAATGATGGCGGGACAAAGAAGAAAGTCGGCTTTAAGAGCATCTTCAGAAGAAAGGTTTTAGCGGGCGCTTATGCATTTTTATTCTTGTGCGTGTGCGTGCGTGCACGTGAATGATCCTCATCTTTTCCCACAAGCTTATCCAGTGTCACTTCTGTCAATCACGATAAAGAATCCATTCTTCTTGCTTCATAATATACGATTAATAAGAGAGATCATACGATACGATACTCTTACTTGATATCACTTTGAACAATAAATGACAAGGATATTGAGAGAGAGAGAAATAAAGGGAAGGGTAAATAAGACAAGAAAGTTGTAGAGTACAAATTGAGAACGCTTTAAAGTCAATTTTTTCCCCAAATAAATAAAAGAGAGAAGAAAGGAAGAAAGAAGAAGAAATTATAGCAAAAGAAGATTTTTTTTGTGTGCGAATTCACCTTCATGCTCAAAGCATAGCGACAAAAGCAACAAAAAAATCCAAAAAAGCCATTTTTCGTATTCGGTACAAGCAATTTGAGCCGAGATTATATCCTTGTTTAGCATCGTTTTTGCAAGCAAGTCGTTGGCATGATCCTAAAGCAGCAGCAAATGCAAGATCTTGCAAAAGTTGGTATCATCATTGTCCGCGCGGACCCATTTTTCCCCTTTATGATAAAGTGTCACCGAACAAGTTACCCAAATTCGAAGTATCCCATGAATCACTAAAAGCACCCAGACCTGATCCATCTCCAGAACCGAATGCGCCTCCTGATGGAAAGTCAAAATCGTTCAAGAATTGACTCATATCTCCGCTATTGAACATTTGACTCAAGTCATCCGTTCCAATATTCGAAGGAACGTTTGAAGCATTTGCAGTTGTATTCGCTGCAGAAGTAGCAGATGTTGTCGAAGAAGAAAGGGTGGCATTCGTGCCATTAGAAGGTGCCGTCGTCGTTGAACTTGCAGTAGAACTGTTGGTATTATTGCTGTTATTGTTGTTCAACGCAGAACTTTGCAAACCATTGCCAGAGCCAGCATTATTCTGTTCGAATGCGTTTGGCGGCATGGACATCATACCTGCCATCGCAGATGATGCAGGGCCTACTGGTGCAGTAACACTTGCATTCAATGCAGTAGAACTTGCTGCAGCGGGTGTGTTAGCATTCGTTGCCTTCGTATCACGACCGGGTGTGGGCATGTTGTTATTTCCAGCAGGCGTCTGAGCTTGAGTCGAAGGCGTTGTAGCAGCACCCAAAACTGGAGTCTTGTTTGCATTGGCATTATTATTGACAGCCTTGCTATTCTTTCGTCCTCTTGCAGGTTCCTTCTTCTTCTTCTCTGCAGCTGATTGAGAAGCAGGAGTGGCAGCATTGGCAGTCTTTGGCGTACTTGGAATTTGAGCAGGACTTCCTGTCACAGATCCATCTGTTAGCATATTATTCTGCTGCATTCTTGGACTTGGACTAGAGATATTCTGTGGTGGTCCCATACCCGTTGCCATTCGATTTGCTGCTGACAGTGGCCTTTGACCAGGTGCTCCCATCTGATGATTCGGTTGAACTTGTTGGAATGATCCGGATAATCCTGCACTTTGTGGATGTCCTGGATCATCACTCTGCGACTGACTCTGAGATCTGGCGCCAGCCGTTGCTGCAAACGGATTAGCAAATGCAAATGGAGTGCGCGGCTGATTCTCTGAACCGGGGGTGCCGGCAACTTCTGTGCCTTGAGCATTCTGATGATTCTGCTGTGCTTGTTGCTGTTGTTGATGGAATTGCTGAAGCTGCTGTTGCTGCTGCTGTTGTTGCATTTGCTGTTGCCGTGCAGCTTCCATCGACATCACACCTGCATTGTTGAATTGCTGCTGTTGCTGTTGTGGCGTCTTTTTCTGCTGTGCCTGCTGCTGCTGTTGCTGCTGAGGTGGTCTTATTTGAGCTGTCATCATATTCATCATCATACTTTGATCACCCTGAGGTGGTCTATTTTGCATTTGTGCAGCACGCTGTGCCAAGAATTGCTGTTGCTGTTGTGGCGTAAGTCCGGGCGGAAAGCCAGATGGTATTCCATGAAGGCCAGCTTGCATTCCAGGAGGCATGCCAGGTCTTCCGGCAGATGCAGCTTGTTGTTGCTGCAACTGTTGCATTTGTTGTTGAGCGGCAACCTGTTGCTGTTGTTGCTGCTGTTGTTGTTGTTGCTGTTGGAAGAGAGCTGCTTGTTGCTGTAATCCAGGTTGAGCTTTCAGCAGTGCACTCAATTGACCTAGCCGCATTTGAATCTGTTGTGCATTTTGGAATGACCTTTCGGCAATAGCAGGTGTGGGAGCATGTTGAGCATGGTATACTTCTTGACGCAAAGTCTGCTGTAAGGTTTGATGTTGAGACATTAGCATCTGTTGTTGCTCCGTTGTCAAACGTGGATGCATAGAAGCTTCTTGTCCAGCCATCGGTCCAGATACATTTCCAGGCGTTCCAGCAACTTGACCAGGCTGCATTGGCCGAGCAATGCCATTCGGTCCACCAGGTGCTTGACTTCCAGGCGTTTGGACATGCTGATTTGATTGCGGAGTTTGTGGATGCATCTGAGGTGTCGCCATCCCCGGTTGACCGGGAATCTGTCCAGCAGGCCTTTGCTGGTTGTCCATTCCAGCTTGACCGTTCATCGTAGGCGTACCAGCCCCACCAGGTGTTCCGGGACCACTTTGTGGACCTCCCATCATTCCAGGTCGCATGCCAGCTTGTGCAGCATTGCGTTGCTGTTGTGTTTGTTGTTGGAATTGCTGCATGCGTTGGTGCATCGATTGATCAAATGGAGAGCCAGCATTCATTGCGGTAGCAGCAGCAGATGCAACGGCAGCTCCAGGTGTCATTCCAGGTCGTACATTTTGCGCACCTGCTGCCGCACCCCCAACCTGATTCTGTTGATTGCCACCCGTTACGCTCTGTATCAGTGCATTTCTCATCGTAGGATTCATGTTTTTCAATTCATCTAGCGATATATTGTGCCTTTGAGCAGCCATGATCAGCATTTGCGTCTGTTGTTGAACAGCAGTACCTGGACCTGCGTTCCAGCCTGCCATTTGTCCTTGCATGGGTATAGGTGTGCCGCCTGGCGTCTGTACTGGCGTTCGTGCTTGTTGTGGTTGTTGCTGTAAGGCCTGTTGCTGTTGTTGTTGTTGTGCATTCATCTGTTGGCCATTCACATTCATACGTTGACCTTGTTGTAATTGGCCAAACATCTGTCCCGCTGCTGCAGCTTGACCAGGCTCTTGCTTCATACCACCACCAACAATGCCAGATGCCAATCTCTGTAGATTGTCTGTAACATTAATCCCACTCTCCATTGCCTCTGTCCTTCGCACGATCTCATTAATCCTTTGGGTCTTATCGGGGAATGCATTTGCATCTATATTGCCTCGACCGCTACGTGCTGCTAAACCTTCCCAAAATACTGCCCAATACTCATACAATAAGCCTTGCGGTGTTTTCAGAGCAACATCTGGCGATTCACCTAGCCTTGCTTCATTTTGTAGAATCTTTGCTGTATTATTGAAACCCCTTCGAGTCAAATAATCCCAAACATATACATCCAACTTTGATACTTCTTCACCTCCTTGTCTGTGCTGATCAGGGCGTATGCCATTGACACTTGCTGGCCTTGCACCAGCTGGACTTGCACCACCACCACCAATCTCACTGCGGGTTTTCTTCTCTTTTGCCTCCATAGAAGGACTTGCAGAAGCTGTACGTTTACGGGATGGCGTGCCGCCGTTGATGTGATTCCGAGCGGCATTTACCACAGCTGCATTTGTGCTCATACCTGGATCTTGTAAATTACCGGCAGGTTTCATCGATGGAGATGGATGGGTTTGATTCATCACGCTCGTGCCTGGCTGATTAGAATTCATTTGATGACCAGTCGGAGCGTAAGGCTGGGGTGGATAAACAGTTGTTGCACCGCCATTCGACATTCCGCCTGCGGTATGATTTACCTGCCCAAACATTATGGGCGGATTTTAAGATCCTCAGAAATGGATTGCGAAGAGCGTATTCAGGTTGCGATCTTGTTGTCAGTCGAAGAAGTAGTTGGAATACGTATCGCTTTGTGAAAGTTGTTATAGTTTCCACTTTTCAATATGCCGCATTGAAGGTAGGCATGTATCAGATCTAGGTGACCTACTTGTGCATCAGATGACAAGCAATCGATAGAGGAAGAGCAAGATCGAGCAACTCTTATCAACCTCTGACGTGAGATTAACAAATAAATGAAATCTCAATCTTTTCGAGTAGCGCGATAATGTCTGCAAGATCTTCGCCAATGAATCGAACTTTTGATAGATAAGTGTTGTCTCGATGACCGTCAGATGGACTGTTTTGTTTCAAGTGAGAAGCTTGATCAGACTTTGCAGTCAATTGCCGCGATCTTGCCAAGCTTAATCTTGAATTGATTTGAAGTTTTGGCGTAATACTGAAACTAGATCGAAATTGAACCGCGATTTGGATGGACGGTTTCCGAATAAATAATAATAGGATGTGCCTGTCTCCCCTCCAAGTTTATGACATCCAATTGATCAACTTTTTGATTGACTGATTGATCGTGATGAAGAATGAGGGATAGCAATCGATTGCATACACACGTGGGAGAGGGAAGGTTACCGTTTCTTGATTCTAAAGCGCGTTCCTTCTTGACGGCGAAAGGGCACACACACGCACGAAAGGCAAAAGAGGAGACTGTTTAGAACAACGGCGGCGAAGAGACAGAGAGTGAGAGAGAGAGAGGTGGGGAAACCTGGCAGGTTAGCACACACAGCGGCAGTTAAGCTTTAAAAAAATAAAAAACAAGTTAACACATATATAAAATACTCAAATAAACTATAATACACACTCTCTTTCCCCCTCAACAATCAATACAAATTACGCGCCGTACTGTTTTAGTGCCGAATTCAAACATTTGATTCAAACGGGACAAAAGTGAGCTTTAATATTGGAGTATTATAATAAGCTTAATCAAATTTGTTAGCATTGACAATGAGTTTCAAATGGAACCTGTCATGGAAGATCATCAATTATGTTCATTCGGCATCTTTGTATCTTTCAAGCTTATCGTCTATATGAATCCCACTTATAAAACGCGTACCAGAAATGCTGCTGCTCTTAAGCGATTCATCCGTGTCTCGCCCGAATTTACAGGTTAAGCTGTACGTCATTCTTTGACAAGGTTACCCTTGAGAGGTAAAGTGCTCTGATACAATTACCATCTCGATTAAAGTGATAAGATATATGAATCGGCATCTCCACAATACCCATTATCATTCCTCTTCCCGAGTTTATATCTTAATGAGAAGATGAAAAGCAATACCTGAATCACTGTTGATCTTTTTCCATTTATGCACTCGGAAAAACTATATGCAGTTTTGACGTGCGTTAGCTGGCAAAACAATGAAAGGCAATTGAGTAAACAGATAGAGCTATAATGTGTATAGGAAGAAGAAATATTAAAATGGGAAGAGTATAGTTATGGGATCACAATAAGATGACTCTATCTTTGAGATGGTCGGGATATCTAGTTTAGCTTATGATATTGACAGTTTCGATGAAATAGTAACAAATCAAGATCGGCGTTTTGTTCTTATTCTTTTTTCCTTTGATTACGCCAGCGTTTGGTTCTAGTCTTGTTGATTAGCGTATATACATTAGTATAGTGTACCAGTCTATGTTTTTAACCGCGCTAAACGGATAAGAAGAAGTAAGATTCAACTTTCGATTAGTGGAGAACAGTAGGTCACTCACTTCCTTACCTTCATCTTCTCATAAACATGACTTCAATACTATCGCGAGCGAGCACATCTCTGCATCAAAGTGTTCGCAGACATGCATCACAGAGACGCCTCACAGCTCTTCCTTTGAGATCTTTCTCAACAAGCAATGTCTGTTTTGGAAAAGATAAAGTTCTTCTGCTGGATGAAATCCTATTAGCAAACTCTGATCGGGAAAGACTAGCAACGGAAACGGAAGTGATCGTATCTCAAGCAAAAGATCGTCAAGGCTTCTTGGACGAAATCAATTCCGTTAAACCAAAAGCACTTTATAGACATTTCGGTGGAGATCGCAGTGTCAAAATTACGGGTAAATTCGATCAATCGCTGGTATCCCAATTGCCTACTTCTTTGCAATTCATCTGTCATAATGGAGCAGGTTATGATCAGTTGGATATCCAAGCTCTAACATCCAAGAAGATTCAAGTTTCAAATGTTCCGAAAGTGGTCGATGATGCAACCGCAACTACTGCACTGTGGTTATTGATCGGCGCTTTACGTCAATTTTCCACTGCTGTTCAACAGATGAATGAGGGAAAGTTCAATTCACAATTCCCATTCAAGCAAGCACGGGATCCTGGACCAAGACAAGCTAAAGTTCTCGGTATCGTGGGAGCTGGGGGAATCGGGAAATCTTTGGCGAGTAAAGCATCTTCGGCTTTAGGCATGCAGATCTTGTATCATAATAGGAACAGATTGTCTCCCGAACAAGAAGCTGAAATGACTAACGGAAGTTCTGTTGGACCAGCAGAGTATGTGTCCAGCTTGGAAGACTTGCTGAAAAGATCAGACGCTGTTTCTCTGCATTGTCCTTTGAACGATAAGACAAAGCATTTAATCGGCGCCAAACAACTGAGCTTGATGCAACCGCATTCCGTATTGATCAACACAGCTCGTGGACCTATCATCGATGAAGAGGCACTAGCAATCGCACTAGAGAATGATCAAATTGCCGGTGTTGGTTTGGACGTATTCGAGAATGAGCCTACGATTCATCCCAAACTGTTGAAGCATCCCCGTGCGCTTCTATTACCCCGTAAGTACTCTCTATCTTGTGACGTTTCTCAAACACCACTGACATATGTATTTCCTCCCCTTATAGATGTCGGCACGTTGGCATACGGTACCCAAAAAGAGATGGAAACGTTTTGCGTGGACAATATCTTACATGGACTTAAAACGGGAAAATTAAGCACTTTCGTTCCTGAGCAAAAAGATTTGTTTTAATTCCATTCAATGTTTTGACCGATAAATCCTATTTTGTAAAGTACGAGTATTCATGAATATAATATGGTCATTGAAAGACCATTCCCCTTTTCGGCCGTTGATGACCGAAATGAGAAGAAGATGATCAGGTGTTTGCTTTTAATTTCTTCTTAAATTTCTACTGCACCTTCCGGACGGCTTCTTATTCCCACCGATTGCCGATCGGGCACTTGAACAGTGTTTTACTACAAATCATAATTACCCAAGCGTGGCGCATAACGCGGGTTATGTTCTTATGCGGCACCACAATAAAGAGACAGCGCCTGTGGGGCGGGGTAAAATGAAGAGTTAACATCGAATAGAAAAAAGCAATGTTGTTCTTCTTCTTCAACTTCCAACCATAATCTCGTCTCTACAATAATCATTATGGCAAGCAGCTCTTTGTCTCGCACATTCGCATCCCAATTGCGACAATCATCTCGCAGAAATGGTGCTTTGTTCGCCACGTTGAACTCAAGCAAAAATGCCGTTCAACAAAGAAGAGCTTATTCAAGTGATATAGATTCAATGCAAGGTGAAGGTGTGAAATACAATATGACGAAATTCGCAAAATTTGATTGGCAAGATCCACTACGAGTTCATGAACAGCTCACAGATGAAGAAAAAGCAATTCAAGAAACCGCCTATGATTTCTGTCAAGAAACTTTGGCACCTAAAGTAACGGAAATGTACAGAAATGAAAGTTGGGATCCTTCCATCTTACCTGCTTTGGGTGAATTGGGCTTACTTGGTCCAACGATCAAAGGATACGGATGTGCAGGTGTCAATTACGTTTCGTACGGTTTGATCACACGTGAATTGGAACGTGTTGATTCGGGTTTCAGAAGTATGATGTCCGTTCAATCTTCACTTTCAATGGGTTCCATTTATCAATTCGGTACGGAAGCACAAAAGGAGAAGTATCTTCCTCGAATGGCAAAGGGTGAACTTGTTGGTTGCTTTGGTCTTACCGAACCTAATCACGGAAGTGACCCAAGCGGAATGGAAACTTGGGCAGAAGATGTAGGTGATGGAGAAATCTTGTTGAACGGAAGCAAAACTTGGATCAGTAGCAGTCCTTACGCTGATCTTGCAGTCGTTTGGGCTCGTTGCAAGTGGGACAACAAAGTTCGTGGTTTCATTGTCGAAAAAGGAACAAAGGGTTTCAGTTGCCCTCCAATCAAGCACAAGACCATGTTGCGCGCTAGTGTTACCGGATCGATCTTCTTGGAAGATGTTAGAGTGAAGCGGGATGAATCACTCATGCCTCACTCCAAACCAGGTCTTGGTGCTCCATTCGAGTGCTTGAACAATGCAAGATATGGTATTGCATGGGGTGCAATTGGTGCTTTGGAAGCATGCATCGCAGAAGCAAGACAATATTCTTTGGACAGAAAACAATTCAAGAAGCCTTTGGCTGGATTTCAGTTAGTGCAGAAGAAGTTGGCAGATGCAAGTACAGAAGCAAGTTTAGGTTTATTGGCCGCATTGCAACTCGGACGTGCAAAAGATGCAGGCACTTGGAGTCCAGAGATGGTCAGTCTTTGTAAGCGAAACAATTGCTACAAAGCATTATCTAATTCTCGCATCTTGATGGAAATCCTTGGTGGAAATGCAGCTTCGGATGAATACCACATCCCAAGACATGCTCACAACTTGCATGTTGTGCACACCTACGAAGGAACATACGACATCCACGGCTTGATTTTGGGTAAAGCTTTGACTGGTGAACAAGCATTCTTCTGAGAAGATTCTGTAAATATTCATCCCCATAACTTATCTGCTAGGCGAAATGCTCCTGTATCTGTATACTCTTTCATGCTAAAAAATCCGAACAATTTTTCTGACCGACATTTCACAAATTTTGTCGTATTAGACCTAGTAGTATACATTATCGCAGATGCGAATGCAGCTTTCCTTTTCTGTGGCAAGCAATTCAAACCTTTATGTGGGTCGCATAGGTTGATTTTCACGGACTTGAACTTCCATCTGTAGTCTTCTGAGATCAGCCTCTTGTCTTGCCTGGAAGTTGTAGAAGGATGAGTTAGCATTCTTCTAGCAATCATTTGCTAAAGACAATCAAGTACTCACTTTAACATCGCTGACAGTTCCGGGTGGAGCCATAAGCTGATGGGTGGACATTTCAACCGGGTCAATTATAATCCTCACCACTGTCATCTCTAAGTAGTCTCTTACTCACACCTTGCTCTCCTCTTCTGCTCTTCCATACTGCTGCCGTTAGCCATAGTCCCCAAACCTGTAAAGGATTGCAAGAATGGGTGTTAGGATAATCGCATATTACTTCATACTATATTTTCATCAATACTTACTCCTAAGCCCAATAATCCGAATGAAGTAGCCCGTTGAGCATAATCGAAAATGTTTGCTTTAGGTGCCATGATGGAAATGTCTTTTGTCAATACTATTTTGTGGTGATGATGGACTTATAAAAGGAAGATGTAGTGATACGCTGTGGAGAATGCACGTGAATGTAAGCAAGCCTCTCTCTCTCTCTTTTGTTTTAATTTTTTCCTGTTGCATAATTTTGAGTTAAAAATTCCAAAAGAAAAACACACTGCTCTGATGAACGAATTTTGGTCAATTAAAACTCCCGTTCACAGCTCACGCGGAGTGGCCGTACTGAGGGATGCAGAATACAGCCATTATTGTAGACATCTTCCCCTTCCTCATCCACCCATATACCATATACGAGAGATGCAAAGATGGTGTCCATAACCCTCCCTCAAGGTGGGACAAGGGCACCGCAAGGACCACCTTCTCCCACAACTCCAAAAAAGGTTCATGGATTCACTGGTAGTGGTATTGGTGGCGGAGAAGAAGTTACTGTAGGTGGAACACCGGGAAAGCGATCACAAGGACCAGATATGTTCCCAATCGTGACAAAGAGACAAAGAAGTTTTGCAGGAGAAATCAAAAAGGAAGATATAGATACAGGATATGGCAGAGGAGAAAATTTGATAGGGCCAACTTTACCCAATGGGGAAGTTACGCCGCTTGCTTCACCCATTACGAACATCATGAAACTTGATAATGATGCAAGAAGATCAAGCTCTCCCTCTGTACTCAAAAGTAGCCTTAAACCGACAACGCCAAATCTCGTCGATGCCGTAAAGGTTAGCATGGGTTCAGATTCACCAAGTGAAAGCGATAAACGAGGATTCTACTTTGACTACGTAAAGAAAGCTTTGGCAGACAAGATGCGTGGTCAAGATAAGGAATATCTTGAATTAGTTGCCCAATTTAATCTTCCATCGCAAACGTCAACGACTTCTGCACCACCTCCGATCGGTCTGCTGCAGATGCTCTTACACGCACTGACAGGAGTTGCAAGCAAATTGGATCGCAGAAATCATCACGCTCTTGTCAATGCGATCTTGACTTTACCTTGGGCTACAATGGGCGGAGATATATTTGCTCGAACCTGGATTCGTTTCGTTTGCACACTCTGCAGTGGTCGCAGCGAATGGGTCTCAGAAGTATTGGCTCGCGCGATCAAGGGCTTCAGTTATCGATCCGATTGGCGATCGATGTCTTATGCGCCAGCAGCATCAAGCTCATCCTCCAAACCTACCCGGCGACTGATCTATGGTCGGATTCACACGCTTTTACGCTCGCTGTTATCTCTGATTCCAACTTTGCCATCTCAACTTGCTCCTCTTATCCAACGTCACTTTCCTCACAAAGCTGACGGGATTCGTGAACATGTGGTGTTTGTGCAAAACATGTTTGAAATTTGCGAGTACGCCGATGATTTGCGACCAAATATCCTGGAACTCGTCATCGGTCGAAGTGTGGAGATTGATGTGGAAATCCAAATCGAACTTGATGAATTAGAGGAAGCGGAAGCAGATCTAGAAGACGCGGATCTTGACGGTATTCAAGAATCAAATCTCATTTCAGATGGAGATCTTCTGGACAAACCTCTGGATGCAGACAGCGATTCAGACGATGAGGGTGATGACTCTGAAGACGATGCTGCAGGCTTGGATGATCTTGATTCGGATGGAGATGATGATCTAGACGAATTGCGCAACGGCAAAGTCTTACCTGAGCGTGAGAGAATCAAGCAAGTGCGATCATTAGCAGAGAAGTTGGATGCAATGATGTCCACCTTATTTCGAAACATGGAAACTATGGACAGACGCTACTCAAACGCCAGTAAAGGTATTGGTGGAACGTACGATCTCAGTCCAGCCCGAGCGATCGCCCTTCGAAATGAACAATTTGGCAATCTGTTACGCATCTTTGAACGGACTTTATTGCCCACCTTCAAATCAAGACATGTCCAATTCTTATTGTTCTGGTGTGCATCATTGGAGAGAAGCTACAGCGAAACATTCATTGGAATGCTCCTAAACAAAGCTATTTACACGAATAGTGGCGACGAGTTCGACTCGCAAACCGGATGGAGGATCAAGGAAGGTAGCCCTGTGGTCATGCGAATTGCCGCTGCTTCTTATGTTGCCAGTCTTGTTGCAAGGGCAAAGTTTGTCGATGCCGAAGACGCTCGAATTATCATGTTGAATTTGTGTGCATTTTTGGACGCTCACATGGACGCATATTCGCAAGGCTTATTGGCTTCACAGAGCCCGATTGGCCTAGAACTGGAAGCATTGAATGGACCTCATGCGATGTTCTATGCGGTTGCTCAAGCATGCTTTTATATCTTTTGCTTCCGTTGGCGAGACCTGCATTCGACTGATGATGCAGCAGAGCAAGACGAAGACGCTTCTGAGGATGATGACGAAGCAAACGAATATGGAAATAAAGAAGATGTGGACGGATCAGGCAGAGTTCGCTGGTGCAATGGAATCGATTCGATCAAGCGTGCAATCTTGAGTCAATTTAACCCCTTGGCTCATTGTAGTGCTACAGTCGTGAAGCAATTTGCAAGTGTGGCACAACTGACTGGATTTATGTATTGCTGGAATATTATCGAACGTAACAGTCGATCGTCAAGCAAAAAGCACGATGGAGGTTCAACGCCCACACTGTCGCGCACCAACAGTATGACATCCCTCCATTCTCCTGCTCCTGCCCGTTCCAATAGCACTTCTACTGTCACGACCACAATGATCTCAGCACCTGGAGCGCAAGACCAGTCGACGGCACAGTCAACATTTACTCCGCCAACCTCAACAAATAATGACATCGACTCATTCTTCCCTTTTGATCCTTATCGTTTGCGCAGTTCTACCAAATGGGTCGAGCCATTATATCGTGAATGGGCAGATGTGGCGCCTGAAGGCATGATTGACGAAAGCGAAACTGAAGACGATGAAGAAGATGATGATGATGAAAAGCTTAATGACGATGCAGATAGCGCTAGCAGTGGTAGCAGTGATGAAGATGCTACTCCTTCACGTACCAAACCAATTGGCCTGGCTAGAACGGGTCTTACGATTCCAAACGGTTTACGCCATAGACCTTACCAACCATCAAAGCTGTCCAATGCACATGCAGGACAAAGCTATGGCGCAAGTGTTTCTACCGATGATTCCAGTTCTGTAGCACGATCATTGGAAGCAATGAGTATTTCACCTAGATTCGTCTAAAGCACAATTTTACTGTATATCTTTTTCTTTTGACATTTTGTACTATTCATTCTCATAATTATTCAATAATCGATATCAATCTTATGATCAATTGCACGATTTCTACTATTATACAATACAAATGAGATAGGAGCTTACTATCCAACAGCTGGAGAATCTCTTGCACTGGAAATCATTGGACTTTCTGCTCTATCGCTACCGGTATGCGAAACATGTCCGTTCAATTCCACATTTGCCGCTCCTCCTGATGCTGCTGCACCCATACCCATCTTTTTGCCATTCGTTCTACGGTCAGCTCCGTTTGCAGTACCGTCTTGATGAGCAAGTAAATCCAAATCATCGTATTCGCCCCCGACAACATGAGGAACAGAATTTTGCCAATCAACATCCGGAACTCGTGATCTGAAGAAGCTACGTTTAGGTTTCTGTTGTGCGAGATTGTTTGCTAGTCCGCTTGGCGGTAAGTATGTGGATGATTTCGGTCCCAATGACAATTCATTCGCAGATCCAGATGCATTTTTCCAAGGTGCCGATCCTCTTGGGCCACCAGCAATTCCAACATTATTTGCCGCTCCGTTCTTTCTCCTTGAACCTCTTCCGGAACGTGCACCGCCATCAGTGCTCATGCCATCCCAGTTTCCTCCATCTTCTGTATCGCTCATCTCATCACCATATCTTTCGATATGTGCATCTTTCATCTTTTGCGTGATACGTTCATCCAAATCGGAATCTTCATCCTCGCTCAGCTCTAATGAAGATATATTGAGAGATTGTTTTGGAGTTTCTTGCATTTGAACAGAAGGTGCAAAAGGCAGACTCCGTAGGTTGTCGAAGATCTTTGCTCTCATTTGCTCCAAGTATTCTCGTGAATTCTTGTTATCCATATTGCAAGGTGGCACTTCCAGTTTGTATTCTGGACCGAAATACTGAATGTAGTCATTGAAAGGTAGATTCTCATCCAATTCCTTGTTTGCACATACACCCGTTTCGTATGTCCAAGTCTTTGCAACGTTTCGGATTGTATATCCACCTCCTCCAAGTACCAGTAGTGGAACATCATATGCCTTCATGATGCGCACACACGCTGCATGGCCTTGCATACTTAGGTTGAAGCATCCAAGTTTATCGCCTGCTAGACTGTCAGCACCACATTGTAGAACCACAGCACCGGGTCTATACCAATCCATGATATACTGAATAGTCGTTGAAAACATCACTCCGAAAGTCGTATCCTCTATTCCATCTCGAAAGGGTACATTGACAGCATATCCTTTTCCTTTCTTCATTCCTACGTCGCGAACGTCTCCTGTGCCTGGAAAGAAATCTCCATATTTGTGAAAGCTAACGGTCATCACTCGATCGGTGGTATAAAATGCTTCTTCTACTCCATCTCCATGATGGATATCGATATCGATATATAACACACGCTGGTACATCCGTAGTAGTTCCAAAATTCCGACAACGATATCGTTCACGTAACAGAATCCACTGGCTTCTTGCTTTTTAGCATGATGCAATCCACCCGCCCAATTGATCGCTATATCAGCCTTTCCAGAAGATACTCTTTCGGCAGCAGCAATGCTTCCGCCTGCCGACATTGTACAGAATTCCCATAATCCTTCAAAAGCAGGACAATCTTCTCCGATCAAGAATCGTTGTCCATCTCCGGTCAAATCCTGCATGGTTTCCGGTGTTACTCTATGTAAAAAGTCCACATATTCATCCGTATGAAAAGCAGCCATTTGTTCTCGTGTTGCACGTTTTGGTCTTAACATATCCATATGTTTATCTAAACCATAATTCGATACTAAATTATGTGTCATACGCATTCGATGTGGCTTCATTGGATGTCCATATCCATATGAATAATTGCCAACATCTGCATCGTAAAAGTAAGCTACCGTTTTGTTTGGCTGTAATGTTGGACCGTTGGACGGTTCGGCCATGATTGTGAATGGATGCTGTTGATTGAGTCGAAAAGTCAACAGGAATGAATGATGATGGTTAACTTTCTTCCCCATCCACTTCAATGCTTCAAGCATTAGAATGTACTGCAGCACAGCTTAAATGTCCGTGCTCCCTTTTAATAACCAACTTAAGCGTGAACACGTGCAAATGCTGGAGAATATGGTTGATGGTAATCCAGCTGAGCTGTTATGCTGTTGCACGAGGATCAATTTTTTCCATTTATCAGTCTAATAGCATGCTCACTGGCAATAAGACAGAAGTGAGAGTATCTTTCGAAGTATTTTGCTATCCAATGAGTGTGTAGAATGAAGATAAGTAATAGTTGACTGTTCAGCTTATTTAAGCAGCATTGATTGAAGTGATTGGCAGCTTTATGCAATTAATGATTCCTACGCGTGAAAAAGCCCGCAAATGAGTTAATGGAAGAGGTCAAAGCGGAATTTCAAGCTTGTGAAAAGTCAGATCAGGAATGTGACCTTATTTGAACAGAAAGCGTGAGAAGAACATGTATTTGTTCGGCGCCGGTAGATTGTCATTCGGTCAAACTTGTTGAATGTGATCAACTTAGTGGCTTTGAAGATAAAGGTAATTCATATCAGTGTTGTTTATATTCTATGTTGAAAGAGAGGAAAGTTGAATTAAGAATATCAAATGAAGTGAATGAAGCTTTGAACGCGTTTGTTTCACAGCGCTAATGCGCCTTTAAAGAGATCCAAGAGCAACACTTGTGCATATATGCATTAATGCATATAGATAGTCAGATACAAATACAGACATTCACTATCCTGTTTCCATCATCTTGACTCCTATCTCAAATCAACAAAAAGGATGGCTACAAATGGTCAAGGTGGTGGTGGTATCATAAGCGGCTGGGTGGCAACATTTTTACGGGTTTCATTATTACCAGTCATCTGTATTGGTGCTCCGCTTTGGCCAATCGTTGGTTTATTGTGCGCCGTACCTGTGATTGGAATCTTTGCCATTCCATTGTTCTTGTTGTTGACTTTATTGCTTCTTTATTCGGTCGCTTGGTTTTCTTACTTACTCTTGGCTCAAGCAGATCCTCCAGCATCATCAAAACAAGGCACTTTCGCTCCTTATTTACCTTTCCTGCCTTATTCGCCTTTACGATGCTTAAAGATCAATTGGGCCGCTTTGCTCTATGCCTCTTCGGCCGTCAAAGTTGCACTGCCAGCCGTACTGGATTGGTCGTATAGACGTGTGATGGTTTTGGGCACGCAAGGTGGTGGTGGAATCGTAAAGGAGAATATTCTTTATGGTTCATCTTCCCCCAACAAACGTTTAGACATCTATCTTCCACCTTCTGCTCCCGCATCAGCACGAACGGGTGCAACATCATCAACATCTGCTTCCGTACGAAACAGAAAACATTCAACAAATTTCGCAGAACCTTTGCCTACTCCACCAATCGATGATGAACAGGCTACTCCTCGTCCGGGCAATCAATCACCCGGTCGTGCTCGTTCTCCCGTTGTGATCGTTGTGCCAAGTCCAATTCCACCACTTACTTGGACACAAAGGCGAAAGACGTACCTTCAATTGGCGCTGCGATTAAGAAGAATGGGCTATTGCGTAATTGTTCCGGATATAAGTTGGTATCCTGAAGGAAGAATAAAGACTTCAATTGTCGATTTACGATTGGTACTTCGTTGGGCAGCTGCCAATTGCAAACGATATGGTGGAGATGAACGTCAAATTTATCTTTTGGGTCATGGAATGTCTGCGCATTTGGCTATGCTCACACTTACACAAGAAGCAGTCGTCTTGAGCAGAGAAGGTTTCTTGCACAAACAATCAGAAGCACAATCAAAACGTGAACAATTGGTCAATTGGGACAATCGCAATGAAGACGATCAGGATGAAACGATCACCGCTGCAACTCAAAGAAACGGAAGACACAACAACGGCTCTTATCCTTACGGGTCATCATCATCGTATGCAGCCGTAGCATCTACTCCGGTTCACGTACCTGGCACGCAAGCACCAGAAGCAGAGGAGAATGCTTGGGTAGATGAGCCGGGTGAGGAGGATCTACCGCCTGGAGCTGTAATGAATGGCAACGAGAACATCGATCAATTGGGTCGTACGCGAGGTGGTCGTGGATTAGAGTCATTTGACAATGCACCTGGAAATGAAAGCGGGATCAGTAATATCTCTTTCCCATCTTCATCATGGCCGCCACAAAATGGTGATCATTCAACAAACGGTCAATCGTTATCCAACATTCCAACTTCCATCTCAAATGGGTTGCGCAGAGTGGAAATTTACGAACCGGAAATCAACGTTCCGCCTATTGCCGGTATTATCCTCTTGGCCGGTGTTTTTGATGTGATCAAATGTTTCAGGAACGAATCCGATCGTGGGGTGGAACACCTTAGTGTTCTACGAAGAAGTTGCGGACCAAGTCATACAAGTTGCTTATTGCATTCTCCTGCCCATCTTCTTTATGCAGCCAAGAACATTCTCGATACCTCTCTGCTTCCACCAAGATTTTTACTCGTACATGGAGGAAAGGACGCCGTGGTTGATGTAAGTCAATCAACACTTCTCAAAACATTATTGAGCGGAATCGGGGTGGAAAATGTTAAGCTACGTGCATATCGTGAATTGGGTCATGTTGAAGCCGTTGCTTCATTATTTTTGGGAATGGGAAAAGCTTCTACAAGATATTCGAAACAAATTCTTAGCGATATTTCCGATTTTATCTCCGCAAAGTAAGTCGATTTCCACTTCAACATTGTCCATCTACTTTTTGCTACATTTCATTTTCGTGTATATTATATAGGAATATACCTACTGTGAGGATTCAACTTCGATAGATTTTACGGTTTATGAAATTAACGATTTTACTCATCTCATCGCTATGACACATAAAGCGGGTCAAATTTGGAAACTTGAGTCAATTGAATTAGGAGAATAGTACATGAAATATTTCTATGTCTCTGATGTGAAAAATGTACATTGTAGACGTGAAGTTAATATGTTTTTCTTTTTTTTGTTTCTCTCAAACTAGTCGAATCGTTGTTGTTCCGCCAATCGGGTGATGATGAGAATGAGGACGGTTCGAGCCTGAGGGATGAGCATTATTGGAACCTGAACCATTCGTCGCATTCTTTGGATGAGAGATCACCCACTCCAATGCACGCAAGCTACGCAAAATGACCGTTTGACTGCTGCTTGGACTAGCCAATTGTGTCAAAGCAGGACTGTTGATATGCACAGTTGGAGCAGCTTGTCTTTGTTGCGTTTGTTGAACGATTGGAGCTTGTTCACCTGGATTGCTTTGAGACATTCTTCTTGATTCATCATGTTCATCTTCATTGCTATCTTGAACGGGTGCAGGCGGTAAGCTCTCCAAAAGCAAATCCAATTCGGACAGCAAATTTTTGCTGGCCATCTTTGCTTCTTCTTGCAATGCATTAGTGATCAAATCACGAGCTCCATCAATGGTGGCCAAATTAGAAGCAACTGCAAGAGTGTTTTGGAAGCCTTTTGAGCTGATGCTCGTGGACAATGGTTTGACGACTGCTGACATGCGATCAGCGGCAATTTGAGGCATACTCTCTGGCAAAGAAGTAGAATTGCTGCTTTCTTCGCCTTGAGCATTCACTTTTTGCTTGGCTTGATCAGTACTTTCACCATTTGAAGCTCCAGTGTTTGCAGTTGCTGCAGAAGTTGTATCAGCTGTCAATGGTTTATCCGAAGATTGCTTTGCATCGGCAGCCTCCTGAGCCTTCTTTACGTTTGAGGCGATCGTTGGCAGTGGTTTTGTGACGGTGTGTAACAATGCAATCAAATTATCAACCAATTGTGAATTTGCGAGAATGCTAGGTTTGCCCAACAAGATCAACAGAATATTGATTGGAGCATTGCTACTTTGAACAGCTTGTCCCTTTTCTTTGCCTTTTGGTGTTTGCGCATGATTCACAGAGGTGTTTCTCTTGAACCATTTCATCAAGCTGTGATTGTTTGGATCGTCGCGCAAGAAGTAATAAGCAGCTCTTTCGTTTGCACCCGCAAGATGCAATAACATCTCGATACTTCTTGAAGCAATCAAAAATGGTGCTTCATCACCTGTACGGGAGATTGGTGCAATGAAAGCAGGGTTTTGAGCTGAAGGATTGCTTGCAGTGCCACTTCCAGAAGCATGTGCCGCCGTACCAGGCGTCGAGTTGACTCTGCGTGCGTTTGGCCTTGTTGGAGTTTGGACAGGCTGCTTATTGCTATTCATCCTGCCGCTCATGTGAACGTAACTTCGGTCAACAGCATTCGTTTCGGTACTGCAACTGTCGGCTAACATCAACAACAACAAATTGAGCAATTCGTGTCTTGTCTTGGCATTTTCGGCAAGGTTGATCATCACATGGCGAAGACCACTTTGTTGAGCATCCATTTGAGGGAAGAACATCAATCGAACAAGAGCAGCAATGCCTGACTTGTCTAGCAACTGAATAGCATCGCGTGAACCGGGCTGGTTTGCCTTGTTCGCGGTGGAATCTGCATTTTGAGCATCTGCGCCTCTGTTTTCATTTTCACGGCCTGCACCATTCGTCTGACCAGATGGTCCGCTCTGATCACCCGCTGCGATCGGCATGCCTGTAGCATCGAATCTTCTGTGCAATCTTCGCATGTCCACGTGTCTGCGTTGTGTTCTTCTTGCTTCATCACCCTCTGGTAACATACTTGCCGGTAAACTATCCAAGAAGCTTTGATCTTGATCCAACAAAACAGCATTGCGCAAATCTGGTCCTAAAGTGGCCAAAAAGCTCACAGGATCAATCTCAGAAGGACCGCCAGAACCAGCATTGTTACCTTCTCCCCCTGTTCGACGGCTTTCTCGACGGGATTCTTCCAAGCGGCGTCTTGCTCTTTCCTGTGCTTCTTGTTGAATGACTTCTGCTCGAATTTCTGGTGGTAATGCATCCAAGAACTCAGGAGCAATGCTCGTCGAATCAGCATTTGCACTAGGATCAGTTGAAGATGTATTGCCATCTCCTGCAGCAGCTGCAGCTGCGGCGGCAACCCGGCGTTCCCGGAAGTGTTGATTGAGAACTTCTTCACGCATCTCTTCCGGCAAGGCTTCAAGGAAAGTTGGATCGATACCTGAATCTGTAATGTCAATCTCGCTACCATTGACAGTTGTAGTAACGCGCTGAGCTGGCTGAGCTTGAGGCTCATTCGGTTCTGCTGCAGCACTTTGTGGCTGTGTTTCAGCTTGCTCACTCTCGTTTGATGTTCCCTCACCGGCAGTGGTACGATCAGCTTGAGCAGAAGCACTCGTGTCAAGCTCGTCCAAGCCTTGCTGAAGAGAACCCAATTCCAAATTGGCAGGAGTGGGCAGTGTAGATTCAGCAGTAGAGGTTTCAGCGTTCTGTTGGACAGTATCATCGCTCATTTCTACATCATTTGCAGTATTCTGACTTTCTGTGCTTGTTTGCGCTGGCACTTCATTCTGCGCTGCAGATTCCCGCTGTTCGGATTCGTTTTGATTTCCACGGCGTAATTCTTCAAATTGCGCTCTGGCTTCATTCAATTCTTTCTCAACCCTCTCCTTCGCTTGCTTTGCTTCTTCCAGATCAGCTTTATTTTTACGCTTCTCTTCTTCCAATTCTGCCTCTCTACGTTTGAGATCTTCTTGATCACGCAAATAGCCTGATCTTAATGCATTGATCATGTATGGACGCAGAGAAGATGATCGTTCGTGCGCTTGTGGTCCATGCACGATTCGAGAAGCATCTGTCCAGCGAGTTGATGTTTGAGCTGGTGTGAATTCCTGAATGAGAGCAACAATATCGATTGGTCGGTTTGAACTTGATCGGTCAGAACTATCGCCCTCTTGATCATTCGAGCGTCTGCTTGGAATGTTGCCGAAATTTGCATCGAAACCACGAGTGATGGTTTGTCCGCCGATTGACATTCTTGACATTCCACCCTGCGAAGTGAGTGAGATACGGATTGGCTCATCGCTATTTCCCAACATGCCCGCAGCACCACTTCTGGACAAGATTGTTTCCAAGAATTGCATCGCACCGCCTTCCATCATCTCTTCCAATGATTGCGCCCAACCTTGATCACGCTCTCCACCACGTCTATGGGCATGATCACGTCTTGTTGCCAATGAGCGATGTAGGCGTGATGTTGGATTGCCTGAACGTGAGGCGTCAGATTGTGGATCTTGATGTAAAAGAGGATGCGAGACAATATCTTGATCATTTCCTCCTAAGCCTTCGCCCATCAATGGGCGACGGCCTGTGCCAGGATATCCATACACTCGACCACCAATAGGCGGCACAGGATGACCCAAAGGATCTGAATCCCAATCCAATAATCTTCGAGATCTTGAGTGACGGGAAGAAGTAGCTCTTTGACGGATGAAAGCAAGTGGGTTGACTGTAGTCGGCGCGGCTCCTTGATGTGGTTCTGCTGCATCGCCCCCATTACCACTTCCTCTGGCAGAAGCAGAAGCAGGATTTGGTACATTGGTCCATCCCCAATTTGCACCGAATCGGTCGACAGGAGCAGCGTTGAACGTTTCCATTGGATCCAATAGCCCAAGCGGTTGCAGACCATCCTCAAATACTTCTTCCAACACCGAACCTTCCTCATCTTCTTCCATAGCTTCTTCTTCTTCTTCGTCTTCATCATCGTCCTCGCCTTCAACCATGATAGGCGCAGGCAAGCCATCAGGTCCAAGGTCATCGTGATCGTGAGCGTGGAAGAACTGTCCTGCTTGCTCAAACAATGCGTTTGCTTGATCACCATCGCCGTCGATTACGAAGTCTAATGCTTCATTGTCTTCATCGCCCTCGTCTTCGCTATCGTCGAGATCAATAATGTCATCTTCGTCATCTTCATCGATCCAACCATCTTCATCTCCATCTTCATCTTCGTCGCCTTCTTCATCGTCATCATCATCACTATCGCTGTCGGTCATATCTGCATCTTCATCATCTTCTTCCATGACTTCAACGATTCGTTCTTCAATATCGTCATCGCTATCATCACTGTCATCGGTGTGTTCGTCATCAAATCCCATGGGATGATGCATATCATCATCCATGTCTTCGTCTTCATCTTCGTCCTCCTCCTCGTCTTCATCGATTCCTTGATAGCCACCTTCCAAATCACCGGTGTGCATACCAAGACTTGAATTGCGATAGAAATCTGGCGTTTCTTCTCTGTTTTCTTCGTGGTCGTGATGATCTTCTTCTTCATCCTCGTCATCATCTTCGTCCATATCATCATCTTCAATTGAGTCATCAGATGTAAATGTACCAGATTCATCTGAATCAATCAAAGTGCCTCGTTGCTTTTCACCTTTGCGTTCAGCTCTGTTCATCTTGATGGCAACTTTAGTGAGATACTCTAATGGCTTCAAGATTCGATCCAACAATGGCTTTACCATTGGCAAATTCAAATCAACATCTGCTAAAGCACTTGTCAAAGTGGTGACAAAGTTGCGTTCAAGCATTGTCTTGGCCAAGTGCAACATGGAATCATCCCAAGGTCGCGCAGATGCGAGCGAAGAAGGGTTTGCATTTGGCTGTGCTTTGAGCAAACGGTAGGTCAAATCGGCCATAGAATATAATCGACCATACCTTGTCTCAACAGGCTCCAATGTCTTGGCAGCAGGAACCGGAGCTGAGCTGGACGTTGATTCTTTCATAGCTTTGGCAAGCGCATCCAATACATTTCTCCTTGTTTGACCCACTTCGCCATGGTTGTCCTTTGAGATAGTTGAACCAATATCAGCACATAATGCGACAATGACAGACATTGACCAGTTGGAAATGGTCATCACTCTTCGCATATCTTCATATTCACGGGATGAAAGGAAACCAGATGGGATCAATTCAGTCAGGAAGAAGTGTAGAATCGAGCCTTGATTCTTGGTCTTTAAAGGCGTTGAATCCTTCTTCAATGCTGTGCTGCTGGTATTGAAAGCATTTGTGCTGCTCACGGCTGTGTGCAAGGCTTTTCGCTTGGTAGAGTGCAGGAAAGATGTCTTGCACACAATGTAGGAAGACAATAATTCTGTCAAAGTCTGCAGCAAGAAAGCTGTGTAGAATACCTGCTTTTCCCTTTCATTTCCTTCTACTCGGGTCTTTTCATCTTTCTTAGTTGCAGAATCAACCTCCATTTGATCGCCTTGTGGCTGCTTTCCTGAAATTGTGCTGGTTTGTGGCTTTTTCGTAATGATTTCGCGTGAGAAGCGTATCAATTGGGCCAAAAGGAACTGCATCACAGTATCGCTTACTGAACTTGTTTCGGCACCTCCAGCAGCACCTGCAGCTTTTCCTTTACCAGATTCATTTTCATCGGCATTGTTGGCTTGAGCAGCACTTTTGCTCGGCTTGGTAGGAGATTCTTGGGTTTCGTCCATCTGTTCGTCTGTATCACGGTCCAAAGGAGATGTGAATGGTTGAGAGTCTTGGGTATTGTTGCGGTCTTTTGGCGCTTCAATCGCTTTGACGAATCCTTGACCTTTTGCTACCGAATAATCGACAAGATGAACAGATTCTACCAAGATTTCTATGAAGATGTTTGGATCACGTAACATAGCGTAAGACAGAGCTCGAGATAAAGCAGTCGTGTCAACAGTCTTTGTACGTTGATGGGATAGCCACACGAGTACGTCTTGCTTCATGGTAGAACGCAAAATGTGCACATCCGATTCAAGCACATTGCGCAAAATGATGACAGACAATGCACGACAACCAGCAATTTGATCAGGCTCCAGAATAGCAAAAGGTTTCATCAGCTTTTGCAATTCATCTCGTTGACTAAATTGAGCAGCAATTGACCTACGTCTTGTCAAGATGACAAGGAACCGATATACGGCCAGCCAATCATCGCGCGTTAACGAATTGAGATGTTCAAATTGAGCCAAGCAGAAACTTAGTAATTGGGGCAAGTCATCGTCGAACAAAGTTGAAGGGGTTACGCGGATCGTGCCCGCATCAGCTGCAGCCTCCTTTTCTTCAATCTTGACTGTTTCAATTTCGTACTCTGCTCTCAAAACAGATGTTAGCACCAGAAGAAGAGAAGCGAACCATATTGGACGTGAGCTATTCTCCTGCATTCTTCCTAAGTATGAGTTCACAAGTGTTACCAAAGAGCCCATAAATCTCTTTGCTTTTTCGGGTGACAATTTGATCGTAACGGTAGTGTCATGGAAGATTAACGCCAAAAGATGTAAACGAACAGAGATTGACTTTTCTCCTTCACCATTCGTGTCCGTCTTTGACTTTTGCTCTACATCATCGAAAAGTGATACGAGTAATTCGCTGTTGGCAAATGAATTGCTGACCAAGTGAACCGCTGTCTTTACATCGAAGACCAAAGAGCCATGTCTCTCAGCTAGTTGAAGAGCACGTTGAACCAAAGTTTTCCTGATCTCAGACCGTGATTCGTTCAGTCTCTCTGTCATACGCTTGAGTTCTTCAAGTTCTGCTTCCGAATTCTCAGACGCACCAGCATCATCCTTTTGAACAGACTCTTCTACCTGTCCTTCTGCGTCGGCATTGGTGGAAGTTCCCATCTCAACATCATTCTGCTGTGCGGGATTGACTTCATCGGCAGGCGCAATTGGTAGTGCTTGTGAGAGCATGTCAACAATACTATCGCTTGCGCTTACTTCATCGGCAGTATTGTCTCGATTCTCGGGTTCTGCAGTTGCATCGCCTGTGGCAGGAGCTGCTTGACTTTCTGACGCAGCCTCTGCTGTATTGGAGCTGCCTTCGCCTTCTTGGGCCGTTGTGGGAGGCGCAGCAGTTGAGTCTGAGGCATCTTCTTGTCGAGCACCAGTGGGCTGTTCTGGAGCATCATCATCCATCATGGAAGTCACAACTTCTGGATGCATCAACAGATACTCTGCTGCAGCACTCAAATTGTTCGCACAACGAACCAAGGCATGGCGGGCTGCACGTCTTGGGAAACCCATATCCATCAATTGTCGAATACGATTCTCATCAGGTACCAAAGCTGAACCTCGACTTCGAATGCTACCCAAACCACCTGTCAAACCGGCCAAAGCGGCTGGCAAACCAATTGCGCCAGCAGAAGCAGAAGAGCCTGCCAGAACGCCTGTTGCACCGAGCGGATGATGAGTCTGAGAAGATGTTTCACGCTTTGGTGGCTTTGTCTCTCCATCAGCTTCCAGAATTCGTAGAAGGATCTGTAAAACAGTGCTACTGATTCCAGAAGGAGCATGCTCTAACCAAGCTTTATTCCACACTTCCAATACCACAGGCAAGATCGTTGCACGCAAATTGATCAAAGTCTCGTATGGGTCGAAGAAATCGGAAGATGACCTCTTTACACCCTCTTTGGACGTCATTGTTTGAGTTGCAGGTGATTCGAGAAGCGCTTTTGATGATACCAACTTCAAGAACAAGTCCAAGCAAGCTCGGATAGCGCTACAAATGTATCCTAATTGCACTGCATCATTCAAGTCGGAGTTTGGTTTAGGCTTTCCATCAGCCTCGAAGTGAGATTGCAATTCGTTCAAGAGATGGTTCCAATTCGCAATCAATTGATCCAATCCACCTTCCCGCAAGAAGGGGATCAGGACAAAGGTTTGCGCATTTCCGATATTGCTCGGCCTTTCATCGTACAATAACTTGAGAGCTTGTTGCATTGCTGAGGTTGAGTAAGCACAACTCAATACTGCTTGATCGCATTCCTTCCATACGAGGAATTCACGTACACCTTTTCCGATTTGACTGGCGGTAAGCATAGCAAGACGTTTGTGAGTATGATCATGCGAGCGACGCGAGGAGAGCAGTCTACCCGTTTCGGAGAAGAAGGCTGACAAAGACATCTTGACGGCAGAAACAATGTAGCGCAAAGCTGCAGCATTTTTCATGATTGGATCTGACTTGTCAAGCGTACGATTTTGCATATTCTCGATGGTTCTCAGACCCTCCTCTTTGCTTGGAACGTTGTCACCTTCGGATCCTTCTACTTCCATGATGATAGGCAAACTGCTAGCTTGCGATACTGCATTTGCTCGATCCTGCTCCGTTGACTTGTCCTTGTCGCTAGGAGGCGGCGATCTTGCTGGTGCAGAAGCACGGAAAAGGATGCTTTCCCAAACCCAATCTCTGTGAAAGTGAGACAAGTCTGCAATTGTCGAAGCACTTGTATTTGATTCGCCATTACCAGAACTGTTGGTGCCATTGATTACCTGCAAGAAGGGAGCTGGTGTCTTTGATCCAGCATAGGTGAGCGTTGGCGCTACATCAGAAAGTAATTGAATACGAGCGTTCATCTTGATCAATTGGCGGAATTGCGAATCATACTTTTGTAGATCTTCGTCTGAAAGGGGTGCGATAAGCTTGATCAAATTCGACTCATTCTGAGAGTGCGCCCAGATGTTTTTCGTTTCGTCAATTGATTTCTTCACTTCTCCCAAGAGACCTTGAATGACCACAGTAGGGCTGATTTCTGCAATGTAGCGGATCAGATGGACAATTGAATCGGCAGCCGTTGAGGCTCCAAAATTGTAAGATATGCAAGGTAGATCGTAGAAGTTCAAAAGATGAACCAATCCATCCACTTTGATAAAGTCCTTGCAGTGATTTGCCGATTGGAAGAAAATTTCTAAGAAACGAGCGGTCACATCTACATATTGACCAACGATATTAACATCCTTTACTGCCTCGTTCTTCTTGACTTCCGAATCATCTGCCAAAATATCACCAAATGCGATCACACGCTCCGCTTTAGTAGAATGTAATTGCTCCAATGACGATTGCTCTGCTTTGGAAAGATGATAAGCGGAAACATCCTCTACAGGGGGTGCTTCGAATTCGCTTCCTGCTTTTTGAATTTGCTTCAGAACCTCAACCAAACCTTCGATTACCGCCTGTAACATAGTTGGCTGATGTCGGGTCAACTCATCGATTGACGCTCCGAAAACAGTGACATTATCTTGATCGGAAAGAACCTTGATGTGTCTCTCTGATGTGAGCAAAGAAAGAAGTTTGGGGATGATTGGCTCTGCTCCAAACATGTCCAGACCTGCTTGGTTCAAGCAAAGTGCACCAACCGCATTTGGCACAGCATTGATTACATCGAAATGAGGCTCGATGTCATCTTTGATCAAAGCTAAGAACGCTTCTGGAAGCTTCTTCTCTTGAATGATTCCGAGCGACGTTGGTTCATTGTGCACGAATGTTGCCATGATATTGATGCTGAGGGCAAGATTTTGCGGACCAAAGATCTTTCGATGAGCCATTATTGACTTGATGGAAGCCAGCATTGATGTATCCACCAAATTTCGTAGACCTTCAGCAGTACCAGTGGAAACCATCATGTGTGAAATAGATTGCAAGAATGCCCGTAGTAGATGTGCGCGTCCAAAAGGAATCTTGCCATACAACGACTCAAGAGAGTTCTTTGGGGGTGTTTCCGCTTCTTCTTCTTGCATTTCATCCGCATTGGCTTGAATGCCTCTTTCCACTTCTTCTTCAATACGACGAACAAACACTTCGAGTCCTTGTGCTTGGCAGAAGAGGTTGAATGCGGGCAAGTATGCATAGATGACACTATCCAGCAGGCCCAAAGCACGGGTCATACTGCGTTGAACAATGTATGTCTCTGGCTTGGCACGATCAATGAGTTGGACTAGCAATTGTACAAGACCTGCTCCAACCACAAGTCCACTTCCGACGGAAGTTGAAGTGACAAAGGAGACCAGGCCATAGAATGCGTCAATCAATTGGTCACAACGTGAAGGTTGTCCAGTTGCCAAATCATCAATAACCGCGCGAAGCACCTGCATCAGCACACCGTGGTTGACTGATGCACTCAACGAGCTGAGCACCTCATTAAGCTTGCTACGATAACGGCCAAGTGCGTCCAATGCATACAGAGCACCTGCGACAATGCTTTGCGGCAAATCGTGCTCGGGTTTGACGAGCGCAGCTAAGCGACTGACGATATCAGGTTCATACAAGAACAATTGTGTTGATGCTGTATTTTCAGAAGTGATATGCGCATAGCAAGCAATGGCCAGTAATCGACAAGTCAATAGCTGACGACGTTGCTCTGTGGTTGATAAGGATGTGGCAAATCTGAGCTTTTGAAACAGCTCAAATTGATCTTCTTGAGGGATATGATGTGTTTCAATTGCATCTGCCAAGATGTCCATTGCATCCTTTCCCGACGCTTGTACATCGCCAAGATCGATAGTTGTCAATCCTTCCTCTGTACTTGCTGATGGTTCATTGGTAACATTCGCCGATGAATGCGAAGTCGAAGGAGCTGCATGTAGCCCTGAAGTCACACTGGTGCTAGCAGATGACAATCTGTCGCGTGGTCTTGGACGAACAGGCGTTGTGGTAGGTGTTGCTTCTACATTGGAGGCATCTTGCATGGCACTCCATGGATCGGCTTTGCTTGTACTTTCACCATTTGAGCGACGATAAAATTGAAAGCGTACATGAGAGAATGATGGTGGAACTTGAATCGAATCCTTCACAAAGTCCACGCTATCCATTCCATGCTCGCGTGGAGCCCAAGTGACTGCCATAGTGGCAAGTCGTTCTTGCGATGGCAAAAGCTCAGCACGAGGATGTTGACCGCTATGCTGTTGAGCAAATCGTAAGAATAAACGAAGTGTTGCTTCGAGTACATCGATATCACGAGCAAAGAGTAAATTTCTCAGATGCTCGTAGGAGTTGTATAATTTGCGACTTGTGCTATTCTCGATGAGTAAACGACTGAAGTGTAAAACGGAAATGATTAATCGTTTTCGCAATGGGGTGAATTCGTTTATTTGTAGGTTGGATAGATCGTAATCACGACAGGTTTCCTCCAAGATTGTATCAAATCGATTGAGAGCTGGTACCCAGAAGTGCAAATCGCCACGTGGCCAGCACCACTCCACGATGCCGTCCAAGATATTTGGTAATTCGTCATCGCTAGCATTCATCACTGATTCCATCAACTTTTGCACCTGAGGAATAGGCTCAGCCAATCTCTTTGGCATCTTTGTGATCTTCATCGTGCTTTACCCCCTCCTCTGCTTGCTTTACTTGATTTGTGCTTCTTCTTTGGAGTGAGATATCGTACACTGTTGTACAAGATTAATTCGTTCTGAAAGAGATGTGATCGTGGTATGTCTAAGCACGCTCGATTAAAAGTTGCCAAGTACGATTTGCAGATATGATTTTGACAAGACTTAATCGAGCGTGATGAAATTGCGTCACTGTCAAGATCTGTCTGATTATTTTGACAGGTTTTGGTTGTTGTAAAAAGAGACAAGAAACAAATCATACGCCAATCAATCTTTCTTTTGACTTGGCTCGCCTAAATTGGCCCTATGCTTTACTCAGTGGAGGAATAAAGGGATTTTCACTGGGCCAGGGTGCAAGCTTAAGCTTTACCGTGTGGGCGCTGCGCAATTTTTCTCGCACAGATCACACACACACACTAAGTGAATAGGATCGACATATGAAGTGATCACCATCAATCCATCAACACATCGATAGCAATAAATCACCTAAAAGATGCTATCCCCACCGCAACACGCTGGTCAAGGTGTACTGAGCAGAGCATTCGGCAGGGATGATAACTTAAAAGATGGCAAAGTAGGTTCATCCTTTGCTGCTTTCGTTTCACAGGCTACTCAAAATCAAGGAGCATCTGTATCCCAAAGAAGTACTTCTCAATCTTTCAACGGTCGCTCGCAAAAAGTACCTATCTTGCAAGTCAGAAACGGTCCGACACCTGCCAAATCTTCGATCGCAATTTCGGGAACTCAAATCAATAAGATTGGTCATGCAATTCGTTCAATTTATAGCTCCAACGATAATTCCCGATTGGGAGCAGGTTTCAGTTTTGAAGCCCTCTATCAAGCAACAGATGAGGTTGTAGTGATCTCAAATAAAGGTTATGACCTATACGAACGTGTAAAGATGGAAATGGAACGTGCTGTCGGTCAAATTGCTACGGGACTGAGAGCAAGCTCAAGCAATGAAATGCAGAACGATCCCAAAATGCACTTCGCATGGCTTTCTAAACTGGGTGAAGCTTGGAAAGACTGGTGTGAACGAACGACGTTGGTCTGCAATATCCTTGTTTTATTAGATCAAAGGTATCTTTTGGAGCAAAGTGAATTGCCTTCACTCTGGAACCTTGGCATGGATCTCTTTAAGCATTCGGTATGCTTAGGTGATGAGATCGAATCTCGTATCGAGACAAGTATTACGCAAGTTTGCAACATGATGAGGCAAACGAAATCGAACGAGTACAAACAACTGCACACGACATTGTTACCAATCTTTACCACCCTTGATCTCTATGATTCTCTAGAGAACGTTTTGTTGGCCGCAACGAGATCTTACTTTGGAGCTTTATCGAGCGCATCTATCGCAGATCATAGCGTGAATGCATATCTCGTTCAAGCTGATGAATTAGTGCAGCAAGAAAAAGAGTATGCAACGTGGCTATACAATGACAAAGCAGGAGGCTCAAAGAATCTGAAGATCGTGTATGAACAGCTGATCACTCAGCACGCAGAAAAGCTTATCGGAGACCTTTCCAATCTTTTGTCAAATGCGGAAAACTCCATGCCAGCATTAGCATTGTTGTACGCTTTCTTGTTGGACGTCAAGAAACTTCCACCTCTCCGCACAGCCTTTGGTCAATACATTCGTGAACAAGGTGAAAAGATTGTTTTGGACAGTGAAAAGGACGAGACGATGATTGAACGATTGCTGGAATACAAAAGTACAATCGATCAGATTGTTTCCAATGCGTTCAAAAGTGACGAAGGATTCCTACAAACGCAAAAAGATAATTTTGAAACCTTTGTCAATAAACGACAAAACAAGCCTGCCGAATTGATTGCCAAATTCCTCGATTCGCGCTTACGAAGTGGTAATAAGACGATGTCTGATCAAGAGATGGAACACGTTCTCAATGAAGCACTCGTACTTTTCCGTTATACGCATGCCAAAGATATGTTTGAAGAATTTTACAAAAGATTGTTCGCCAAAAGACTCTTGCTCAATCGGTCAGCCTCTTCAGACGCAGAACAGAGTATGCTGTTGAAGCTAAAGGAAGAGTGCGGCGCAGCATTTACTCAAAAGCTGGAGACGATGTTGACAGATATTGCACTTTCTGATGAAATGATAAAAGCCTACAATTCCAGCAAAGAGAAGATCCTTGAACAGCAAGGTAGCATCGAGCCATTCGAATTGAATGTAAATGTTTTAACACAAGCTCATTGGCCAACGTACCCGCAAGTCGAAATCATCATTCCACAAGAGATGGCTGCGGCTACCGAAAGGTTTGCCAAGTTTTATGAAACCCGTAATCAAGGCAGAACGTTGCATTGGACCCACTCACTGGGAACCACAAGTATTACGGCTCAATTCGCCAAAGCTGGAGAGAAAGAATTACTCGTCAGTACCTTCCAAGCTGTCGTTTTGCTTTTGTTTAATACGTTACCCTCAGGTGCCAAATTGACTTATGGGCAGATCAAACAACAAACCGGATTGGAGGAAAAGGAATTAAAGCGAACATTGCAATCGCTTGCATGTGGTCAAATCCCAACACGTGTATTACGTAAAGAACCTCAAGGAAAAGAAGTGAACGAAAGTGATCAATTTGCAGTGAATGAACAATTGAAGAATGAACGCAAACGAATCAGGATCAATATGATTCAATTAAACGAAACTCAAGAAGAGCAAAAGAGTACGGTTGATAGGGTTATGTTTGATCGTGAAATGGTTTTACAGGCTACTGCCGTTCGAATTCTTAAAGCGAAAAAGACGATCAAACATGCTGAACTTTTGCAAGAGATTGTTCAAGCTATCGCTTCTAGATTTACAGTCGATGTTGGTGAAATCAAGAAAGCGTTTGAGATCTTGATCGATAAAGAATACATGGAACGTGTCGAAGGTCAAAGAGGCATGTATCGCTATCTAGCTTAATTCTTGTAGTACTGATAAAATATACATGGTACATTGAAATTTGATAGCAGCGACGAACGAGCAGTCGAATAAAAGATGTACACAATCAAAAAAAAAGTAGAGAGAAAGCAGGATATGCGTATGAACTTCAGAAGCGAAAATGGTAAAAAGTTGAGATAATCTGTGTATTAATAAGAGTCTAATGCAAAGTAGATAGATAACACGAAAAGGCGTATTGGAAGCAGTGTTGCGAGGTCTGGTAACATAATGCCGAAAGGGTATGCTGTGAGAATTGTGTCCGCTCTTGAGGATGTCAAAGTCATAAAGTGATGATTTCAAGGCTTGTTTAGCACTCAGGAGGAAGTAGTGGCTACCGGAGCAGAAGCGTTCAAATTGTGCGGTGAGGGAGATTGGGTATTTCGATTTTTTGTGGGCTGATTAGGACCTTTAGGAGTTGATAATTCGGCCGGTTGAGTGTTCTGATTTTGATGATTAGACATTGAAGATGAAGAACTAGCTTGGCTATCCTCTTGCATCCTTTGCATCATTGCTTGTTTAGCAGCCAATACTTCACTTGCTCGCTTTTGTGCTTGTTCAAGCGCATGTGGGTCTAAATGAATAGGGGAATTGATACTGCTTGCAGGAGATGCGCTGATCGGTTTTAAGGCATCCATAGCATCAGGATCGAATCGGAACATTTGACCATCATCTGTGCCACTGCCAACGGAAAGTGAGTGAGCTCTGGCTAATAATTCCAATTCTCCCTCTACAATGACACCATGCAACCATTCGTGTTCTAGCATTTCCTTCGCGCTAGCTCTCTTGTCAGGATGCAATCTGAGCATTGGCATGATGAATGAAGACAACTTATTCCCTTCTTCGTAGGGCATCAAATACTTCTCTTGCAGCACAGAAATCAACGGCCAGAAGCGCAATTTATGGATATGTCGAAGTTCTCCGCGTCGGTTGAATATGTCAGCACTGTATTTGCCAGAGAAAGCAAGATTCTTTGGGAAGTCTCCCAACAACTCAATCACTTGAGCGATATGATCATCATCTTTGTTGTACTTCGTTCCTGCCGCAGGATCGAAGAGATAATCTCCCGTCAACAATTCGAAAAACATCGCAGCCGCACTCCAGATATCCGCACTTGGTCCCCATTTAGCACCAAGGATCACTTCTGGACATCTATATTGTCTTGTCTGGATATCATTGGTGAAATGATGATCAACCCAACATGCGTTTCCCAAATCTGCAATCTTGACAGTAATCGTTTCCAATGTTGCAGGATCATACGGTGGTGGAGGTGGAAGAACATTTGGATCTCCAGCAGCAGGAGCAGGCTGATGATAAGAAGGCTCTTCGCTTGGCGCAAGATCCGAATCTGTGGCCATTGGAGAAGCAGATGATGAAGATTCACCGGAAAGAGGTGTTCCGGATTGAATTTGCTCAGCCGGTCGATTTCCTGGCGCTTGTTGGGATAAAAGGGAAGGTCCTTTGCTTTGTATAGCTTGATGTGGTGTGGTTTTACTACCAAACATCGTATCACCTGTGCTCATTTGCGCCATACTTTGCCCTATAGCCTCAAAACTCTTTTCACGCTCCAATGGTGGTCCTCTACTACTGGAGGCAGATGTTGGTCCTGCGGAATCATCACTCTTCATGCCTGCCTCGCTGCCCGAGCCCAACATGCTACCAGGCTTATCAATTTTGGACATTGCAAAAGCCCATTTGTCAAACATTGGACTCGATCCTAAACTGCTGCTGGGGCTTGGCAAAGGTTGTGATCCTGTGATAAAGATACCATCCCGTCTTGGCGTTTGCGTTCCTCCTCTTCCTTGACTGGGTGGCACTCCCACTAGTTTCGTTGGAACGGCAGCTGGATTGGTGCGCAACTCGGCTTCAACGACAGCTTCGACATCATCGATACATATCAGTACATTTTCCGGTTTGAGATCGGTATGTATGATGCCACATTCGCGATGCATATAATCCAATCCGATGAGCACTTGTTTTGCAATCTGTTTTACAATATGAGGAGGTACACCACGATGCTGATACCTCTTGATGAGACCTAGCAAATTTTCACCGAGAACTTCGAAGACCATGCAAACGTGTGATCCGTTTGGACCTTTGTGTTTAAAGTGATCTAATAAAGACACGCAATGTCGTCTTCCCGGATGGGTCGGATTTGCCGCAACCAACTTTTGCAGCAATTTAATCTCGTCCAATGCTGTTTCTGTGTAATGCGGAGCAGATTTGACAACTTTTAGTGCAACGTGACGTTTCATTCTGATTTCAAGAGAAAGAGGGTCAGTCAATGTATAAACAGATTAATGCGACACCCCTTCTTGTACTCACTTGGTATCCCTCGCTAGCCAAACGGTAGAAAAGTGACCCCATCCCAATTTTCGAACGATAAGATACCTTCCATCGGAAAATGTGTCTCCAACGTGAACAGGATGATAGCCTCCTTTAACGTAATCCTCTTCATCTTCTTCGTCCTCCGTCATTACACTACCTGAAGCTGAGCTGGCTGCAAAACTTGTGCTGAGCTGCTCTCCATCCGAAGCTGTCGATAATTGCATTGATCCTGTCTCCTGATCCGTAGCAGAAGCATGATGGGAAGAGGAGTGGTTCACGCCACTTGAAGAAGATGCGATATTGTGCGGTCTTGCTTGACTGTTTTGACTGATTGGCTGAGGATGTGAAGGTGTTGTACCAGGAGATGGACCTGGGGTAGTTGTGGACGTGACCACATTTGAGAAGCCGCCGGCACCTTGTTGTATATCCTCCATCATCTCGACAGTATCAATGTCTGAATTCCTGAAACTGAGGATATGCCTTTGTGACCTCGAATGTTGTCCTGGTGATTGATCCTTTTTTCAAACAGCCGAAGAGGTATGATCTATTTGTGATAGATTGTCTATATATGTTGTCTAATGTCGAAAGATGATAACACGTACGAATGGAGTGAGCGAGCCCTTTCTCCACTTTGATGTCTTTGTCGATCAATCAATGCAAGTTCAACCCAAATGATAACAATGCTTATTTCTTTGATGTTCGGTAGAAACAAGAATATAGCACGTTGAAAAAGCTGTTTGACGTAAAAGTCGTTGTTGTCTCTGCGTAGAGTTGGTTAGATTAATACGTCATACCTTGCTTTCTCATTTATGGTCAATGTGGTGAAGAAGGAGGAAAAGAGATGTCGCACGCATACATGAACCAATGATCATTATCGAATTTGACAAAAAACCACCGCCAAAGAGAGCAGCAGCTAATGAAATCGGTAAACACTATTCCGCTAACAAAAGACTGCCCGTGTGCGCGTGCATGCATGTTTTGTTTTTTGGACAGATGTATGTGTGTACGCAGGCCACTAATTAAAATCATAATCAACAGCCAAGCGCGAAAATGCTCACTTTTGGGTGCAAATAATAATAATCTTCCGCGCCCGTACGGGTGAAGTGTGTATAGAGAGACTTTCATTGTTTGTTCATTGTGTTCAATTGAGGTACAATACCCAATCATGTACTTGTCTTGCTTGTCTTTTGAACTTTTGAGCCCTTCGTAGTGGAGATAAGAAAGCTGTGTAATTTTGCATTTTATTTTGTTCAAATTTTTGCATTCTTGTGACGCAGGCCTGCAGTGCGTGCGTGCATTGGCCGAACAAAAGACACAGAGAGAGCATTAACTTTCTTATCTTTATCATGAACTGACCGCGCGCGCGTCAAAGGCATTCAAGCAGTCTTGGTTCTTCTTCGGCACCGTTTCTGTCCAACACTTAAAATTAAATGGAAAGCAAGAAAAGGGAATCACTAGTGTTTGTATCATTGTATGCACTTTCTTCCTTCTCTCCTTTTTGCATATTTGGGTTACCTACTAATTTCATTCATCATATACACACACACATTCATTTCATCATGTCTAAAATATCACTTCCACCTGACAATTGGACACAATGGGTTAGTGTCGAAAAACCAAAACCTGTCAAACACATTTATATCGAACAACATTCTCAATCCATCAAAGGAAGATATAGTATCTCACCTTCAAGTCAAGACGTTTATCCACCAAAATATGACTCTCCAAAAGAAGAATTAAAGAAAGAATCTTCATCAAGTGCAAATTTCGAAACTCACAGTAGCGCAGTCAATGTTACCGTTTGGGTTCATAATGGAGAAGAACAAATTCATAGACAAGAAAAAGGCCATGGAAAGCATGGAAAACCGGTAGTCGTCATGGCAAAGACAACGATGGGAAACTTGAAGATTGACGTTCCACAATTCACATGTCCACAACCTCTACATATCCGTGCAAAGTCACACACAGGAAGTGTATTGGTACATATACCTCCTACCTTCTCCGGATTGCTGAGCTGGCAATGCGAATCAGGAGGATTTAAACCATCGGCCGATGTATTGGCACGATACACACCCATAGGAGAACAGAAGAAGCATCGTGGAATGGGCAAGATTCGAGTTGCTGATTGGGTGCACGATCAAAGTGAAAGAGGAGATTCAGCTCAATTGATCACAGCAAGAGGATCTTTGTACTTGTATGAAGCTGGAGAATCTTCAAGTGCAAGCCGTTGTACCATTTCTTAACAATCGCGATTGCGACTTTGCTCTTCTTTGCACTTTCTTTTTCACCACTTAGTCGATTCATATGTATCATACACATACCAACTTATTTACACTTTTTTGCATTCTTTATAACATTGATGTACATGCTTACAATTTATACACTTTGCTCGCTGGGATGTGGGATTAGGTGGAATTCGTTTTAATGGTTATCGAATAATAGTGGAGAAAGCAGGCACAATATGGGAAGAAGCAACTCAGCTTCTTCTTTCGGGCTTTAGCTCCCGTCCCGGGTGTAAGTTTAGTTTATGAGATCTGAGAACCTTTGCCGGGCGCAGCGCTAAGCCAGCCGGCGCGGGTTAACTTGAAAGTGTAACACATGATGCACGCACAGCACATGCACAACAAAACACGCGTCAAGATAATAAACACCAAAAAATGGAAACATGCATACATGCAACAAAAGTTACACACACTCAAAGTTCTCTTTCTTATTCCAGACCAACACTTCACAAGATGTCAAACAGATCAGAAACAAAGGGGAGAAGGTTATCAAAGGCGCCACGCAAATCATCACTTTCTGTACGTGAGGCAAGTACATCATCACAAATCTCAGATCAGCAAAATGCAATGATGGATGATTCGGATGATCCTTTGTCCGATTCATTTGATCCAAGTCGATTAAAGGTGGTCGAATTGAGATCACTCTTACTTCAATTTGATGTTCATGTCAAATCATCTGCACGAAAACAAGATCTGATCGATGCATACATTCGAGATATTCGTGAAAACGCAAATGAATTAAGAGCAAAACGCAATAGCGATCTCAATGTACGACCGGATGGAAGAGGAATCATTTATTTGAGTAATGGACAGATACAAAGGAGTCAGGTAGGATCGGAAATAAAGGAAGAAGAAGAAACGTCGGATATTTTGGATGAGAGCGTAGATCGAAACAGAGCAAGGAGATCTGTTTCTTTTGTCGATGAATCCTCCAGCGAGACAGGTGAAGATGTGATTACACGTGAACAAGATCTATCTGCAGATGTATCTTCCTTTTCAACGGACAATCCTTTCCAAAGCAACACACCGACAAGCAAGAGCTCAACAAAACTCTCGGCAAGAAAGTCAGAACCTGCAAAGAGCACCAAAAAGCAGAGTAAACCAAAAGCCTCATCATCTCGTCATTCTTTGTCAAATATGCAGCGATCTTCACTAGATGATGAAGATGAGGCAGACGATAGCATCTCCAACTCACCCTTGAGTCCGACGCTGCGCAAACAGAAAAAGGCGCGGGATTGGGTCGATCGTGGAAAGAATTTGCTGGAAAGAGAAATCGGTCAACCTAGTGAAACGGCTGTGACCTTCTCGAGCATCGTTTCATCGATTGCTTTGATCACCTTTTCCGTTTGGTGGATCTGGTATACACGAGAGAGCAAAACTATTGGCTTTTGCGATTTAGGACGAAAGAGCAATATTGTCCTTGATACGCGGCGAATTGAACATGCTGCCAAGATTGTCCAACAACGTGCAGAAGGACGAAATGAGCTATTACTCCAAATGCAGATACCCCAAGCTTTACAACCGTCTTGTACGCCATGTCCTGCGCATGCTCGATGCGATGATGGAGCACTTACAGAATGTGAATCTTCCGATTACGTTCTACGATACCCTTTCCTAAGCCAGATTCCGCTTATTGGTTCATCTTTACCGCTTTCTTACATCGCTCCTTCTTGTGATCCAGATGAAGAGAAAGTGTTGCTAGCAGCCGATCTGGCAGACGAAATTGAAAATCGGCTAAGGACATGGAAAGCTGACGTATACTGTAACCGACAAAGGGCAAGACTTGGTCCGCGTGATGAACCTGATTGGGGACAAGAAGGAATTTATGCAGTTCCATTGTCGGATTTGTATCATGAACTCAAGAGTGCAGCAGAACGTGGTCAAGTTTTACGCACGCAAGGCGAACAATTCTTCAAACAATTGTGGGATCTGGCAATGGCGGATTTGGAAGCTTCAAATAGGGTTCAAGAAAGATCTTCTCGTCTCTTGGCCGTACGTGGACCAGTTGGCGTAGGTCTGTCTTGCAGGGCCACATTGGCAATGTCAAACGTTTGGCTCAGATTACGATTTTGGCTTGCAGGAACGCTTACTTTGGTAGGAGTTTTCTATTGGCTCCTTTCTCGTTTACGCGGTACTTCAGAATTACAAAAGAAAGCTCAAGGATTGGTAAAAGTTGCACTTAAAAGATTGCAAACGGCAAAACAACGTCATATCGTCTTTATCAACAGCTCCAACGCATCGCCGGCGTCTTCACCAGGATCAACGGATGCTTATCTTTCCATAGCACAACTACGCGATTCTCTCATCCAACAAGGTGAGAAGGGAGCAGAGAAGAAGAACTTGTGGAGCAAGGTGACCAAACTTGTTGAATCGAATGCCAACGTACGCACAAGACAAGCAAAAGTTCAAGGTGAATGGACACGTGTATGGGAATGGGTTGGTCCTTTAGAGGGAGAGCAATACGACATGGTTCAAAGATCGCCCGCCTCTCCTGCATCACAAAAAGCCTAAAGAATGGAATAATCTTGCTTGGTTGATTAGACAGATATATCTTATAAGGAATACATGTATTACTGTACAAATAAGAGGAGAAAAAAGAGCTAAAAATGAATTACTTGAACAAAAGAAAAAGGATTAAACTCTAAATTCAAGCGACTGTTGCATCTGCTACTGCTGCTGCTTCCGGTGTGATTGGCATGAACGCACGTTTTGGTGCACTTCTGCCTTCGGTTATATATCCATTCGAGCGTACCAATGGACTTCCACCCATTCTCCATTGCTTTCCTAATCCACCTGCGCCATTGTCCCATAATTTTGCTTTTCCTAGTAGAATTAAAGCAGTTTCATGCCAATATTCAGTCTTTTTCAGATAATGCACAATCACCGTTCCTCCATGTGGCTTGTTCAGATATCTTCGTGCATGCAATGATGCCCAATCGCCATATTCATCTTTAGGTGTCGGTCTTGGCAAAAAGCGTGCATTACTCTGCATGAACGGGTTCTCATCATCCTTTTCTTTTGCATCGGTCGAAGAATGCAACCCGATCAATTTACGAGGCCAAGAAGATATTTCATCCAAAAAGTTACGTTTGCCAAGCTTCGTCTCTGCTTTTTGTTTTTCGACGGGTATTTCCATTGTTGTGTTGGTGACGGAAACGGGCCCATAGATTGGCAGACCAGAGTTCAACTCCAATCCAACATCAGACGCTAGAACGGCGTTTCCCCGTTCATTGGTCGAAGAAGGCCGCAAACGCAAGTCATCATTTGTAAAGACAATATCATCACGGTGTGTCCAGCTTTGACTTGAACTTCCATCGGGATTACGAACCCACGCTCCTTCCCATCTACCGCCACCTTCTATCATTGCTTCCAATTCTTCTTCAACCGTAAGATCATTTCTTGGAGGTGAGTACTTTTGGTGCCATTTGCTCACAGTTGAATACGATTGTGCTCTACGTTCTCCTCCTCTATATGCGATTTCCTGTTCACTTAATCCATGTCTCGCTTCCAATTTAATCTGTTCTACGTGATCGGGGAATAAGAACCCATGCGAATAAGGCGAATTGCCTTTTGGATGATCGTAAATCCAACAATGCTCAGATACCCAATTGATCGATGAACGATTGGGATGCAAGGCAAGCCATTGAGGTGTGCGGGTATCCTCTTTCCCTTTTGCCGTCTTGCTTGCTTCGGGTGAATTGGCAAGCCATTGTACTAGATCGTGGGATAATGCATACGCTTCACCTCCCATGAACCAATTCTTCACCAAATAGCCCCAATATGTCATCCTTCTTGGTGAAACACGGAGATGGCGCTCCAATTCGCTCAATACGATGAAAGTATCATCATCTGCTTTCACAACGTAATCCACATTTCTCCATGCAACTTGATAGCGCATCTTTTCGCCATCGCTATCCCCTATACTTGAAGGTGTGTGTAGATCATGTGATGAATCGTAGGCCCAGTTGGAAAGACCGCCTGGCGCATTTGTGTTTGGGATGAATGTATCGGCTACATCACCCTTGAAGTCCTTTGCAGGTCCTAAAGGTCGAAGGAAAGGTACAGTTGCATTCTCTGCAGCCCATTGGAAGAACGAAAGTGTTTTCCGTGCACTTTGCGTTTCATCCATATCCAACACAACAATGTCATTGTATGCTTCCATTTCCAAGGCTACACGTTTTGCATGAGCTTTCCTCACCCTTCCTAAGATGAACTTTACCTGTACATTTGCCAATGGCTTGCCGTCTTTGCTGACGGGAAGCGTATGTCTCGCATACGTGCTTCGAATGGTGTTCCGCCTTTCATATTTGCTGTCGATCGTCATTACTCCGACGACAACATTGACTGGAGCCAAAGCATCGGCAAATTGATGTGGGAAGGGCATTTGTTGTTGACAGTACGTTCTCCAGGGTAGAGGCTCTTTGTCAGGATTCAGGATGTACATAATTGTCATCGTGACAGTAGTCACGAATCCCGCAATCAAAAGAAGCGCAATGAAGATTGTGATCGGGTGAATTGGACCAAAGCATGTTCTGAAAGATTTGGTAAGGATGGAAAGGATAGCACGTAGAGGATTTGGCATCTGTGCGTTTCGATGCCTCCTCCTCTTGTATCGTTTCCTGCTCTCATCTTGCTGCGAAGCTGTGCTATGAGGTGATGTACTTCTATCGAATAATCTCTGAGAAGAATTTCTGTCGAAACCCTTGCCTCTTTGGCCGGCTACAGTATCTGTTCCTATATCTCCCTGTCTACTCGTACGTCTGGTGCCCAAAGGATGATAATCGTACCTTGAACTTCTAGGTCTATGTTGTCCGCCTAAACCAAGCAAAGTGGCTGCCCAACCTGTTGCTTGATTGTTGTTCTGGTAATCGGAATCTTCATCGTCTGATTCTGGTGAGATACAATCATCCGGATTTGGTCGTTTTTGAGAAGTTTTTTGATGTGAGATAGGAGTTGGCAACATTCTCACAAAGAAAAGAGGAACATTGATGATGATGGTGATGATGAATGTTTAAAAAGAGAAGGTGGACTTTAAGGTTAAATCGCACGACCTCTCCCAGAAAACCTAGCGTCGGCATATATAATAAATTGACAGTAGTAGCACATGGTTCTACAGACAAGTTAGACAGACACGCATACGCACGCACAACACCGCTCTAGGCGCTATTGCAGCGGGCGCGTTGCATATTTCAGTGGCCTACCTACACGGGTTTCCGTTGTTGTTATTGTTACTCTGCATATTGACGCACAAGATTATATTGATACAAGGTCCAAGCCTATGGAAACACATACAAAACACAACACAACAATCTTATTCCAATTCCACCGGTTCGCTCATCTTGACAGCTTCAACGAAGGATTTGTAATCAAACTTTCTACCGCCTCTGTCCATAAAAGGTCCTGCCAGTAAACGATCAATTTCTTCTTCTTTCATACGATCGCCCACTTCTCCAAGCCAATATCTAAGTTCGCCTGCATCAATTTTACCTTCATCCCTTTCATCAAAGCATTCGAAAGCAGCCACCAAATCTGTTGCTTCATCCATCTCCGATAAATGTTCTCCAAACATGGTTAAAAATTGAGTAAAATTAATTCTTTCCCTTTCACCTTGTCCTTCTGATAGAGCGTTTTGCATTAATTTATCCACACTTGCTCGATCGCATGGTTGTCCCAAATTTGTCAAGATTGCTTCAACATCTTTGCGTGTAATGAAACCATCTGAATCAGCATCAATTGTGTTGAATGCTTCACGTAAACCTGCGATTTGTTTACTACTAAAGGTGTTGTATACTCCAGATGATTGACGTGGATGTGATGAAGTTGCTTTGTTTCTCATACGAGCATGTGCCTGACCACTTGCTTGAGTAGATGGTGAGAGTAGTGACATTTTTTTGCAATTGTCGACTGAGTGATGATTGTGGTGAGGAGAGCCAAGTGTTGGTTGAATAAAGATCAACAAGTGTTAATCAACACTTTCTCTGTCTGCCCTGATTTGCCTGAAATCAATAGGGGTCTGTTCTCCACGCGTTCTATTGCAATTTAATATACAGTAGTCTGCACACAGCAACAGCGGGGCGGGCGCAGCGTCTAGGATGGGATGATTGTATGCTTGCTTGCTTGCTTTGCTTTTGCTTCCTTTTGTGCGACACACAACCTTTAAGACACCGTTGGTCCTGCGTAAGCGTCCTTTTTGTATTTGTGCAACTCAAAGTCATCGTAACAATTCCGATAGAACAGACGCTCACTCGATCGGAGGAAAATCGTCAAGGCTCTTTTCCATCCTTGCCAAGCCGAGCAAGGTGGCGAATAGAGATTTGGCGACGGACTTACGGGAGTCTCTCATATTTGCGAACTGAAAGAGACGGATATATGCTGATATGAACACAAGGATTTAAAGAGAGAAAGATTGTTTGCTGTATGGTCACCTTCTAGACTGCAAAGCATAGCGAGACAAAGGAGCAGCAGCATCAATCGTACTTTTTGTCGGAACATTAGCCCTTCTTGCCGATGGCATCCTCTGTTGAGGATGTGGGCAAAGCCAGCAATGGAAACGATGACAAGACACACAAACTAGCTTTTCCACCTCCTGCCGCCATCTTTGCGATTCCTACTCATGCAACCACACATGCTTCAGCTTCAACATACGGCGAGCCAGCAGAGGATGAATCCATTACAGAAGAAAGGGATACGGCCTTGCAGGGTAGGCCTCGACCTTCACCAGGTTTGGAGCTCGTGGAGAAGTCCGAGGCTGCAATGGAAGACTACAGATACATCGATCCATATGCAGGCACCTCTCTTGCGTCAACCGATCAACTCGCAGCATCCAGATTTGATGTGCCTTTAAGCTATCCAGCTTCCGGTCCTTGGAGAACGGCAAACACAATCCTAAGCAAAGACGTTTCAGGCATTCATAATTCGGACAATATTCTCAACCACACTGAAAGGCAGTATAGGCCTCCAATCACTACGGTCACACCAACTCAGAGTCCACTTCCGAGCCCAGCGACTGCCGAGGAAGCGCCGCCCAAATATCGAAGAAATCATTGGCCACCTTTTACATCTCCAGGAGGAAGTCCAGCTGCAGATAGAGGTGTGGTGAATGGTGATCCGCCTGCACAAGGAGGAAGGTTTCCACGATGGAGAGGATGGCTAGAGAAAAGGGCCATGGAAAGGCATTATGCACAAGCAGATGCAGCAGCTGCAGCAGAGGCAGGTCCTTCTGGCTCTGCAGAAACACGAGAAGACGTGCGAAGGAAGAAAAGTTGGGGAGCCGGGGTAGAAGACGATGATGCATTGAGCGATGCAGAAGAAAATGATCAAGACCTACCGTTCAATATCGATTGTCCATTACACATTCACAGCTTTGGCAGTCGTTTTATACCCCATATACCTTCTCTACCGCTTTGTGCGGTGACGATCGATTTGCCTCCACCCACTACTTGGTCTACGGCAAGATTGCTACGAAGAAATATACCCGAAGAAAGCAAGAGAAGAGTTCTACTCGTAGGAACGGTTGATGGATTATATGCTGTTGAGATTCGCCGGCAAAAACGAGAAGAGGAAGGTGGTGATAGTATCTCACGCAAAATACGGGGTGCTGATCCACAATCTAGACAATCGAATCGAGGTAGCTGGAACGGTAACGTTCGAGTGACTCAGATTTGGTCAGGCGTAGGGGTCTATCAATTATCACTCTTGTCCACTCAACAGCAAGAACCCGATACGCGGACTGGCCTTTATGGCTTCACATCACGTCCAGCACCCGTTAATGAAGCGGGAATCATGCTTGCGCTATGCTCTACAAAGACTGAGTCAAGCAAGAATCATTCCCCTTTTGCTATTCCTACAGCCAGTCAGAGTGGTTTGTTGGGTGAAATGAACCTTGGCGGTGGGACTGGAACGACATCATCGGCTCATGGACATCGCGATCCTGCGCAGCAAGTACTCAGTACCGGTCATGTTGGCACAGGCGGCGGTGGTGGTCAGAGTAAGATGTGTCCTCCAAGCGGATCAGGTGAGGTACGAATGTGGAGTATCGAAGCAATCAGACGAATTGTGACACACGTCTTAGATTCGACAGACCATCAACCACTTGACCTTCTAAACAAAAGCCGGGCAAACAAGACCGGAAACGTTCGAGCAAATTTGACTGCTCGATTACGACGGGCATGGGCACACCTTGGCGATCCTTCGAGCGATAGAAAGGCAAACAGATTGTCAAGACAATATTCCAGCGATCAATCACCCATGTCGCAGACGGACGGATTACAAATGCGTACATCCAATTCAGCTGATGGAAGCAAAATGGCAACAAATGCACATCGCCTCAATCACGCACGCTCTCAATCAGAGCAACTCTTATCATCAAGCAAACGTTATGTATCCGAAAAAGCACCTGTTCCGGTACAGGAAGAATCGCCCGTCTTGGACTCTGCACATCAGGAATGCTTACGTCTTGCACATACGTGGGTGCCAATCGTTTTGCCCGGTTCGCATCCTTATCAGTCCGGGGGTATGGGTCATTCGGAATCAGCTTCTTCACTCTTTTCTGATGATAACCACGTCGGAACGGGTCCTACGAATAGCACACATGGTCATTCGACACCTTCATCCACAACTTTCACTTCTTCCGGTAAAGGAGTTTCGTTTTATGCTCTGATTGAAGCAGGTGCAGAGCTACGTAATTCGGGAACTTGGTATTTAGCACTTGCACATGCCAAATCGATCTTACTGTACGAGTCTGTAAGGCCGATCAGTAAGGGTGATTCTCGCTCTTGGGCATTTTTGAAGGAGTTTTACACACCTTCCGCACCAAAAGGAATGGCATTTTGCTTTTCGGCATCGCCTGAAAATGACGATCAGGCACGCAATTCAATGTCATCCGGTCCCGGTAATTCGTCTATCAAGCGACAACTAGCCTCTCAGAGATCCGTCAAATCATCTTCTTATTCCAGTGTCTTTCGCGCACATCCAAGTTTGAACCTGTTTGTCAGTCTAGGCAAAAAGGCAGTCATGATTCGTGCTAGCGATGGTAATGTGAAAGAGATGGAAATGTTGCCAATAGCAGGTAAAGGACATGATCCCGAAGCATTAAGTCCTACATCCGAATCAGGTAATCAACCAAGCAACAAGAGCTCACTTGGTCATTCTCATTCGCGCAAGGCATCTGAAATGTTTGAAAGTCAATCAAGTTCGAAAGAGTATTGGGTTGGCCTGGAGCGTGTGACTGCTCAGGTAGCCATCAGATGCAAACATCACGGTCCCGTGCCTGTTGGTGAAGCTGGTGTTTCAAGCAATGCTGCTAACGATGATGACGACGACGATGACGACGATGAATGGGATAGCGATGGACCAGCTACGCCAGGCGAAAGGGGTGTTACGTTAAGAGACACTTCTACAGGATTGACAGGTAGAGCTGCACTTTTGCGTAGGCAACAGCAACGTCGACCTCAAGTGCCAGCCCATACCATTTCCGCTGGTCTAACGATTCTGAGTAAAGGAACACAAACGCAGGTCTTGGCTTCACCTCTGCCGAGAGATGTCTTCCAACCAAGACCGTATGAGTCCGTTCAATGGTCCGCAACCCCAACAGCCGTGACTGCATCCGCACGAGTGATTGGCCTGGAACGTGATTTGAGCAGTGGAGCAGTTTCGATTGATAGTTTAGGCAGGGCAAATCAGAAGAGGGCATCAATGATGAGCGAATATTCTCTACCGGGAGGATCGAGTAATGTTGTGATCTTGCATATTCTCGTATCCATTTTGGCTTCTTTGCCATCAAAGGTTGAAATGAAACGGATCAAGGTAAAATTACCGATTCGAACACCGTTTATGTTCCGAAGAGATTCGGAATTGGAGCTCGAACCGATCGTCACGCCATCTTCTGCGAGTAATACACCAAACAGAACGCCAAATCTTGCAGCAGAAAGCGGAGAAGATGATTTTGCGGGACATAGTGAAAATGTAGAAGCACAACAAGAATTGGAATACCTGTGCGGCATGCTGGTTCCAACGCATTACGATCAAATCTCATTAAAGCCATGGGAAGCGGGAGGCGATGGAGGCGCATGGGCTTTCGATTGGCGAGGAGCAAACGATTTCAGAGTATTTTATTGTGGTGTACAGATTTGATCTGTATACTGATCGATTTGTTTTATTTCATTTGTATATTGTATATTGTACGGACATTCATATCCATTATCTCTCACCCTTTTTTCACACAAGCATATGTATATAATCCCTAGGAAACGCTAGCATTCACAAAGCATATCGTTCTAGTCAAATTCATCATTATTGTACAAGATGCAGTGAGAAGTGATATAAGACAATAACATGCCATGAAAAGAGCATGCTACGTTGATTGCTAAATCCGAAAAGAGCCTAAGCAAAATGAACCACTGGTGTGAGTGAGCTATTTCCGATGTATGCACAAGCGCGCACACTTCTCCACCTCGCATTCTACTTCTTCTCCATCATCATCTGCTGGAAGCCAATCAAAACAAGTCAAGATGTCAAAAGGAAAATCATTACCACCAGCATTGAAGCAATTGCTAAAAGAGCCGACATTCCCGGCCAGGACGTCAAAGTTAGCACCCTCGATCAAATTACCCGCAGGAAGGGCAGCGGGACCGCTAGGAGCACCAAAAGAATCCAAGCTGTTTCAAACATTCCAAACAATTTCCGATGATGCAAACGCAAAAGGATTAGGATGGGGAGAATGGTTGAGTTTTACAACCGCAACGTTAGTCACTTTAAATTCACCAAACGCATTACAATCTTTACATAGACATGCAGTAAATCCTTCAGGATTATCGATAGAAGATCGTGTTGCAAGAGCATGTTTGATGCGTGAAGTTGGATTGAAATGTATCGGATTTATTGGTATTCCAAAAGTGATTAATCAATTGGCTGCTTTACGAGCTGCTGTTGATGAAGATGCACAATTGAAGGATGCTCTACCGAAAGAGCCGCGCAGGTGAGTATGCATGGAAGGAGAGAATTATCATGGGACAGTGTTACTGACATAGTGACTTCTTGTCCCTTTGTCAAATGTTTAGAAAAGTCACTGCCAAGGATACTGAAGCTGTACAAAAGGCTGCTTATGCTCTTTGGGATGATATCTACACACCAGTGTCAGATCGATTGATTGATATTCTAGGTCACTCTCATCCTGATTTGCCTGTATTCATTGTTGATGGAGAGTATGGTCCACTATTCTCTATTCCAAGCACGTTCTCCTCTTCTCCTGCATTAAAGGAAGAGCCTGTTTGGGAAGTCAATCGATTACGTACAAGTTTAGTTGCTATGGCAGGTTTACGTGCACAAGGTGGAGTTGGACCACAAGTTACAAGTCATGTTTGGGGATTGTTGAAAGCGTCAAAGAGTATTGCAGAAAATGATCCGAACAAGAAAGGATTACAATGGCTCACAACAGAAGAAGGAGCACTTTGGACGGTAAGAATGATCGATCACATTTGTGAAGCTGTTGAAGGAGGGGCACAAGAAGAATCCCAACAAGTACAAAGGGAGAGCAAGTTATAAGTAACGTATGTTAGAGCGATCAAGAGTATCGAGATTGGCATTCTATGATCAAGACAAACGTGTAAGATCGTCATGAAGCTCTCGCTGCAATCTTCCCCGCATAGACAGGGCCTTTCGGAAAAAGGATGTTCAGGCTCTAGCGCGAATTGGGGCAAATGAGCGAAAGAGAGAAAAGCGCCGGCGCACGTGTTAATAAAATTTCATAAATATTGCAATGCATTTAATCTTCTTAAGATAAGAGAAAATCAACCAGGCTTAATAGAAAAGCTCTCGGCTTTCATTCTTACCATCATATCTATCTCTTTTAACCACAATGCGTGTAAAGAAAAGAGCTTCTAAACGTCTTGGAACGAAACAACGTGAAAAGGTGAAAAGAAAGGTTAGAGAGCATCATCGCAAATCCAGAAAAGAAGCAAAGAATGATGTCACTTGGAAATCCAAGAAACGTCAGGATCCCGGTATTCCAAGCAGTTTCCCATACAAAGAACAACTCTTGAATGAAATTGAACAACGTAGAAATCAGGTCGAACAGGAAAAGCTAGCTGCAAAAGAGGCTAGAAAGAATGGAAACGCAGAAGCAGAGGAAAGTGAAGAGGGCGAGGAAACGATGGATGAAGATAACGAAGGAACATTTGAAGATGCTCAAGCTTCAACAAGTGCAGATGTCCTACCCACATCATACACTGGCTCTCTTAAAACGTTCTTATCGGAAACATTGGCTCGTGACGCAGATCCAAATGTTGTCTTGACAATCTTGGTCCTTGACGCTCGTATTCCATTCAAATGGCGTGTAGAGGAAGTCGAAAAGCAGATCAAAAAGATTGGTTGTCCGATGATATACGCTATTGCAAGAACAGATCTAGTACCAAGAGAAGAATTGTGTGTCTATTCCGCTCAGTTGGCTCTGGAACACGCCGTCTTTCCCGTCTGCAGCCCTGCACCCGCCATGAACGGCATTCCTGCCAGACAAGGCGGTGGTATAACAACTTTGGTCGAATACATCGAAATGCAAGTTGCTCAAGCAAAGAAGAAGAAGAAGAGCAGCAAAGCTCCAGCAGTTGCTATCATTGGAATCGAAAATGCAGGTCGTACATCATTGGCTAACATTTTGGCATCCTCCTTGCCTGAAGTGACAATTCTGGATACTCCGGGAATCTTGCTAGCCTCATCAAGGATTGCACATCCGGATGACGTGAAAGCCGCAGAAGAACAAGAAGCTCAGGAAGAGAAAGAGAAAGAGGATGATGAAGAGGAAGAGGAAGACGAATTTTATCAAAGGCAACGTGATCGTGATGCTGCTTCAAGACTTCTCATTCGCAATGCAGGTTCCATCTTCAAAGTTCACGAGCCATTGCCGCTAATCAACGAATTGATGGATCTTATCGCCAGCAAGAAAAATTTGATGATGATCTATAATACACCTGCTTTTGTCGATGCAAACGATTTCTTGATCGGAGTTGCTCGTTCTTCCGGACATTTAAAGAAAGGTGCAATTCCTGATACAATCGCAGCCGCAAGAACGGTTTTACATCAATGGTCAACCGGCACAGTGGGATATTATTCCAGAGCACCAAGCGCAATCACCATGACTGAAGATGGCACAGAATCGCATTATGATAATTTGGAAACTATTCAAAATGTGATCGAACATGATGAAAGCCTTGCTGCAATTTGTCTACCACGAAAAGAATGGCGTAAAAAATGGAAAGGTAAAGAGCTTCGCTTGCTTCCTGAAGGCAGTGGTATGTTGGGCTTCGAACCCAAACTTGCCTTTGTTAAGACGGAGGATGAGGTGGAAGTGGCAGAGAGCGAAGAGGACGATGAAGACGTCGAGTTTGACGATGATGAGGACGAGGAGGATGATGATGAAGACGAAGAAGAGGACGACGAAGAAGATGAGGAAGAGGACGAATGAGGCCATATTTTATCGCACGCATTATATTGTACTTTATTTCTTTCAACTCAATCATACTTAGGTTTCTCTCTAGTAAAGAGTCTGATATCATATAATACATACAACAGGTATACTCGACAACCCTTTAGTCGTCGGCCAAAGGTGCCTCTTCTTCCAAATACCGCACCAGTCTAACCCGTAATTCGGTGGAATCATCTCCACGTAAGATATCCGAAACGAAGAAGCATTCAGTTTGCATTTGCACCATTTCCAGACAACCTCGAACCACACCTGCCAATACGTTACTGAACCATAGACCTCCTTGTCTTGCATCATCAGGAAGCTCAACAAATTCTGCCAGTGGGTTCTCTTCAAATGTCAAAGAGAACTCTTGTGTTGTACTGTTTGCCAAAGCAGAAGCACCTGTAGCAGCTGTTGCATCATTCGCAGTTCCCGATTGACCGGCCGTATCACCGCTATTGCTTGCATTATCAACGGATCCTCCCGTTTGCGTTGAAGCTCGATTATGATGTGTGATTGTTGGTGTGATATTCAAAAATGACTTAAAGCCAACTTTGCTAACAACTTCTGCTGTTTCTTTAAAATCTTGACATCTTTGAATGTTTGACCTTGCAAGGAAATCTTCGATCAATCTTGTACCGATATTATAGCCCATCTTATCCAATTGTTTATTCACCTCTTCGTAATCTTCATAATCTTTTATCAGTTGCACTACCAGTGCACCATATGTCAGAGCAAATAATTCGGCATTCTATGCGATTTGAGAGAGAAGGATGTCAGCATTCCGAGTGCATATCATCTCTCTTCGATCACGATAACTTACCACTTTTTCCGTCTTATTCTTCCAAACATCCTCCCCTGTTGACTTATATTGCTTTGAAGACATCTTTTATTTGAACATAGATGATGGTGATCAGAGGCAAGGAGGATATGGTTCGTGCGCGACTTCTAAATTGGATCTTCTGTTAAGCATACTACACGTGTAAATCATCTTTTCTTAGAATTATCATACTTCGCGCAAATGTACCTCCCGCGCCGCTTACATTCAAACCAGCAACGCCTCTCTGTTTGTGAGTATGAAAGGATCTCACGGATTTGCCAATTTATCTGCCTGATCGGAACGAAGCATTCCGGAGGCTGATATGAGCTGAGTTAGTTGTTTTCTCGTGTTTTATGCGGTGTAAATGCGTTCGTCCGAAGTGGAATCAATTTTCAACGGACTTTTGGGATTGCTTTACTGACATCCATCTTTATCCTCATCCAATTGTGAATTGCAAACCTCGTTCATGAACAATCAAGCTGAATGCTCAACTTCGAGCTTTACAATCACACTCTCAAGTGAGGAGAATAGTACTGATTCAGACATTGTCGATAAAACATTGACAACAGAGAAAGGACCTGAGGCTGAGCAAAGCGCCGAGATGGTTCGGAAATCCAAAGTAATCATAGGACTAGAATCTCTCCAAGCCAAAGAGGCTGCATCCGCCCAAAGCGATGTCTTAGAAGATATTAAAGATGAAGATACATCTACCAATGCCAAAAAGGGTCAAGCCAAAACGAAATCAACTCGAAAAAGACAATCTCCTGCCACATCCGAGACTTCCACTAGACCAAAGCGTAACAAAAAACTTGAGGGTATGCAAAAAACAAGATCAATGTATCAAGATACAGCTAATAATGTCAACGATAATGAAAGCTCTCAAGAAAGTGAGGTCGTTGAAAGTTCCCAAGAAAATCAGGCTGCTGGAACGACAAAGGGCACAAAGAACACAAAGAATATCAAAAAAGTACGAGCGAGTGATCCCTCCCCTAAACCTCGCCAAGCAACCAAGAGACACAAGAAAAACAATTCAGAGAGTGCTGTCACGTCAGAATCTTCTGCTGCTGTCTCTTCTTCATCATCAGCGCCATTGAAATTCTTTGTTCCCATCAGTCCGAGTAATGGCAAATCAAAAAAAGCAGCAAGCGATTATGAAAAGATTAAAAAGAATCTTCCGTCCAAGGTGCGCACGGGTATGGAACAACTTTTGAAGTCTGCTGATGCTCAGAGATTCAACATCGAAGGAATTGAATACGAAGGCGTGGATGTAGAAATCCGAATGGAAGAAGAAGGAGATGAAGACGGGATTGATCGAACGGGGGAAGAAGAAGTTGAAGAAGGTGAAATTACACAATCGGCTAGTGTTACAAAGACTACTTTGTCGAATGAAACAGTACAGAATGAGAATGTCGCGGTGCCGGAAAGACAAAGACCACGTACTTCCCCATCAACATCATCTGATGCAACACGTGTTGCAGCCAGTTCTCCGGAACAACTTGCTGAGCCAACAGTCTCTCAAGTTCCAAAAGCCATACGAAACCTCCTGGGCGGTCTTGCGAAAGACTTGGCAAAAGATGCTAATGCGGCTAGCACTGTAGAGCAGACCGGGATTCCAACAGCTTCTCAAGTCCCAACAGCCATACAAAGATTCATGAGTGAGCGTTTGGAAAATTTTGCAAAAGATCATTTCGACGCAGCGGTGGTAGAAGTTTTCAAAAAACCAGAAATGCAACGAATCCTCTATGATCTGATGGAGAAAGTGCTCATGAATCTTCTCCTCAAGAATGAAGGTGCATTGCTGGAAACAGCTCTGCACAGATACATTACCAACTTGGACTCGTTTGGTGATCCAAGTGGCGAGCGTGAGAAGGAATAGTGTCGTGGTGCGCCTTGAGAATCATAAGACCGCAAATCCATACCCAATCAATCATGTATACTATCTCATATCTTTCTGTGATCAATGAACGAATACATCATAGCATTGAATGTAGGTACAAGAATAGAGTGATATCTATAATCCAGCAAGCTCTAAGACGGGCACTAAATTCGTTTGAATGTCACCGGCAAATTCCCACCACATACAACCTGATCTCCAACCTGCTGGAACAGCGAAATTTGCAATACAAACGGCCAATTTGTGTGGATCAATGTATCCATTATCCGCATCTTGTGCAGTTGCAGGTTTTCCGACAATCATTTTTTCAAAAGGTATATTGTATACTTGATTAAGTTGAATTAATGAAGTATTTGGCCATTCTGTTCCTGATCTGAGCAAAAGCGTATGACAGGTACTATAATCATCTTGATTGTAGAACTGAATGTTATAGAAATCGATCAAGTTGCCAATATCTTGTTCGATCCAAGTATAGCCTAACGGATACAAATCCGTATTAAATAAAGGAGCGACTGGAGCGTGAGAGAGGTAATACTGATTCTGTGGCAACCTTGCACGCAATCTTCGGGTGAGTGGGATGACCCACTTTGTTGCAATCCTATTTTCAAATGCGTCATATTCTTCGAAATCAACATCAACGCCTTGAAGGTTATATTGCTCAACGAAATCTGCAATCTGATCAGCAAGATGATAGGGATTATCACCGTTTGCTAAAGGTGAATCCGTTTCACCAAATACAGACATTCCTAGTCGGATGCCAGCATTATTGTATGCATTGACGATTGCTTTTCTTACTGTTTCACTTGCTTGCATCCATGCTTGTACGTTGTCAACACCACCACTCGTACTCACCCAAAAAGCAATGTTATAATGCGTAAAGCCTTTCAATGCTTCAGGATGGGGAACACCAAAAGATTGATTATTGACGTATGCATCTCCGTATGCGACATATCTTGGTAATGAGTCAGTATAAGTTGTTGTTTTTAATGGTACGTGATCATGGCCAAAAGGTCGAAAAGGAGAAAATTGACCGCTAAGCCAATGCCATGCTAATGTAAGCCAAGGTGATGCAAAAATGATTGGTTGTTGATTAAGTTGCTCTTTTTGTAATTTCAAATCAAATGCTCTTGCTTCCTTTTCGATATCCAAACTTTCGATCCAACCAAGAGAATCGTCGTTTGATTGATGGATTCGATCAAGTTTGTTCTTTCGATGATGTGGAGATCGAAGGCGGGTTTGACTGGGGAAATGGAATGGACTTGCGGCAACAGAAGCAAGAGCGATAAAAAGGAGTGCACTGTAAACAGATATAGTCTTCATTGTGTGATAGGGTCTACATCTTGAGAAAGACAAGATTGATGTATGCTCCTTTTATAGGTGATCTTTTGAATGTATAGCCGATATGTTGTTCGGCTTACATTTGAACAGAGAAGTTAGAATAGGAGACGCTAAGATTTCAATCGTGCTTATGATTGGAATTTGAGCTTGTTCAATGACCGATCTACATGTGTAAAGACACATCTCGACAACTCTAATTTCGACCAACTTTGTTGTTTCCCAAGCAGGTCCAAGCGTACAAAGCTAATTCTTGCAAGATGCAATTACTGTCCTTGTCCTGACATGGTGCCTGCTTCCTAATTACCTTTGTTTTGTCTTTGTGAGAAACAATAAAGTTGACCGAGAAGTATGCGAATGCAAATGCAGCACGATCAACGATAGAATCATTCTAGATCGTTATTAGCGCATGCATGTATTGCATCGCATTGGCGGTATGCATTGTTTGTTTGTTTACAAGCATTAGCGTGAAAGATGGCTTGTATGTACCTACTGCTATGACCATTGTCCAGTGAAGCATCCAACCAATGAACAGCATATACATGAATCAGAAACATTTGAGAAGACCGATCAAGCCATCATTCTTTACCATGAAACCCTCTCTATCCACTTTTGCATTGCAACGCGCATATAGTGTGATGGAACAAAACGGCATGAGACGAGAATTGCCGGCCGACGAGCTGCTTTAAATTAGGATTTCGGCATCTTGTCTTATGATGAACAATTTATTACTCTATCTTTCGCCATCGTAGATGATGTTTATGATGTGACTTTGTATTTCGAGAATGAAGTACGGACCTCTTCTCGTTCACGTGTCCCCCACTTGGCTCATGCGCTTATTTTTTATCCCCGCGGCTTGAGCGCTTAATGCGCTTGAATCTTAGCTCCCCATCCTTATATTCTATAGCCGTGGCCTTATCTATGATAACACACACACACACACAATCAATCAAATTTCTTACTTTCCCACGGCAGGGGCACCGAGATGCCAATAAATGAAAATGTAATAAACGCTTGATTGCGCTAAAAAACCAAAGTGAAAGTGTTGTTGTTGTTGTTCGGATATCGTTGAGAACACAACGGCTTTTGCGTTTGAATAAATGCTATCATTACCGTCGTTTATCCGTGGAATAATGATTCAAATTTACCGACCAGAATAAAAGTACTTGGCATTAAATCTACTTTATAACATCAATATTTGATACCCCTCAACTCTTTTTCCTTTTTGGAATATTACCATCTTCGATTAATTCAGCATCATGTCAACTGCTTTTGATGTCATTTGCATTGGCATCTTTTTTACTTTAGCTGCAATATACTACATATGGAGGCAAGGAGGTAAAGGTGAGTGATATGAAAAGTGTTAGACAAAGACCTCACGTTGACCTCCAATTTTATCGTCCGTGATACAGAAACGCCGTTCACCGTCACGGAAGAAAAGAGCAAGGATGATAAATTCATTACCGATCCAAGCCCACTCCACTCCCTCTTTCCAGAGATGCTGGACACATACAAAGGTGAACGTGATCATATCTACGTAAACAAAGTTCTTCGTCAACCTTATCATCAAACCATGTCACATCAACCAATGAACGTAAACGATTGGATCGAAATTGATGCAGATTATAAACAAGATCTTCAAGCAAAACAAAGGTTGATTCAAACGCAAGGAAAAGTAGTTTTGGATCTTATTGATGATGATAAAGTTCGGCTAGGATGCCAAGAGTTGATGGAACATGTTTGTGATTGGATCACGAAACGGTATCCAAACCTGTTTCAATGGCAATCTTCTTCTACTATCCTCAACAAAGTTACTGGTGAATCAATGTCTTTGATCGATTCATCAACAGAAAAACTCAAATCAGGTACAGAAGCATTACGTGTGGTCAGCAATTTGGTCCAAGATGATTTCTTAATTGCTTCACCTTTGCCTGATGGTCATTGGTTATGCGCCGGAGGATTGGTATGCTTTCCGGGTTTTTATTTGCTATCAGAAAAGATTGGAACGACACTTTTTGCAACACATAAACCTGTTCCACAATTCAACGAAAAGATTTTGTTAAGCGTTGAACGTACATTGACAAGGTTACAGCCTAATGCGCCAATCGAACGTACATCATGGGAAGTTGTTGATTCGAAAGAAGATCAATTTTGGGTTCCGATGGCAGGTCCTTTACCAACCTCAACAGGCGCAAAGCCAATGTATCCACATCATACAACCGGTCGTGATGTCGATGCAACAAAGTATGAAGATGCATCAAAATTAATCTTACGTTTAGATCATCAAACATTCTCAAAAATGCCAAAGAGTGGAATCATCTTTTTTGGCATTCATCCGTTCAGAAGACAAATGTCAGACTTACGTCATTCTCCATTGTTACCAAGACTTTTGCTGGAGATTCATCGTACAGGACCGAAAGATTTGATGAAATATAAAGCAGCCCCGCAATACGAAGCAAGCGTTATACCTTATTTGCAAGAATTGGACAGATGGCAAACCAGCGTGGGTCTAGCAAAAGAAGATGATCGAGTGCAAGATTTCCGTTTATGCAAAGATAGGAAAGCAGAGTTGTAATCTTCACATTATATATTCATACCAATTCATTCAATTCAAATGCATTACAAATGACTGAAAATTAAGGGTATTCGTCGTTAGTAATGATTAGTGCTTTTCTTGCTATCATACTCATTCCACTTACGCGGCAATGAGTTTTTGCAATTCTCCTTTTGAGTGTAAATCTTGCAAATCACTGTTTCCACCGATGTGCTTTCCGTTGATGAAAACGTTTGGAACGCTGTTTTGTCCGGTCTTGTCTTTGAGGTAAGCTTGGATGTCTGATCCGTTGGATTCTGTGTCCAGTTCCAAGATACCGACATTAGGTACGTTCAAACCTTGTAAAGTGGATTTGGTCTTGTGGCAATCTGCAGAGTGGTTGTTGGTCAGTAATTTATCTCTATTTCTCGCATATCTCATCTACTCACATGGACAATATGTCTTTGAGAATACGGCCACCTTGTGAGATGAGATGAGCTTCTCAGCTGCTTGTTTTGCTGCCATGATGATTCGACTGATTTTGACGTTTGTTTAAGGATTGGTTGTGTTGTTTGAGTAAAAGATGGTTGTAAGAAGGATGAATTTATACTTTTCCTCGTACTCCACCTGATTCTCTTGCGTGTTAAGCAAAAGCCGATTCGGCGCGTGGCAAGTGCGGAGATAAAGAAGTTGGCCTTAAGCCCACGCATTAATAATTGTACCACTCCGGATTCTACTCTTGTCGTATTCTTTCGTCTTTAAGCAGAGATATTCGGCATTCATGGCTTACTCTTATCCATATCATAGAATCTGCCGGAAGATAGAAGAAGTATGAAGACTTGGTGTATATTCGGAAGGCTAGATCCATAAAAATGGTGAAGAAGTGATGGATATATGATGATTAGATAATCTATACTCTTTCTCCCACTTATTCGTGGTTAAAGAGTACTCTGCTGTACCTGCCTGCAACGGACTGAATTCTTGAAGAATGCGTCGGAGTCCAAGTGAACGCGTCGCGCCTGCGCACTTTAAACTTTTTGTCGCGTCTTTTTCCCTTCATTCCAAGCAACACTTTGGTTGACAGACAACAGCAACAACAAAGGGACAACTGAAAGGCACTGTACATTCACTCACTTTATCGTTCAAGATCGTTTGTGCAACGTTTCATTTCCACTTCTCCAATCAGGTATGAGATCAGCCAAGTCGTGCATATAGGTCTGCATGAACAGTTTTGTCATTTATCATTTTAGAACGTCAACAAGAACCGTTAGTACAAACACTCGTGAACATCGGCCGATCTGTACATCTTTAATCGATGCATGTCAATCGGTTCCTTTGTTGATTTCAATCAAAAAGCAAGCATGGCACCCAAAACACGCTCACAATCCAAATTGAAGGCCGGCAGTCAATCTGCCTTGACGGCAATCAAAGATAAACAACTGAATGGGTTAGTACATAATATACAATTAAGCATTTCTATGCTCATGCTGATCATTTGTCCCTCCCTTTCTCATCATCATATACACCTTTCGAAATGATTGCTACTCATCAAAGCATTCCTCGCATTCACCTCCAACGGGACGCCAAAGCAATCTCTGCAATGGAACAACAACATCTCTCATACCACACCGATCAAGCATCTTCATCTTCCTCAAAGAGTGTCATTGGTGAAGATGTGGTAGTAATGCAATCACGACATGTTGCCATGGCATTACCTACCTCTCCAGAAAGCATGTCACCTTCTAGCTTATTCGATTATGGCGATGAGGAAGAGGAGGAATCATTCGATAACAACGTACGTGGCTGGCTTTCACAGACATCAAAACATTTGCAGAGTTCAGAGATACCTAGCAGTCGATCTCCCAAGAAGAAGATGCAGGTGATCTCACCTTGGAACGCTCAAATTGGTGATCTGGAGGAAGATGAAGAAGCTCAAGAATTTATGCCAACTTCTCCTACACTACAGATTGGATCCCGAAAGAATGATATTCGTCGAGTGAAAAGCCTTCCAAATTGGCAAGGGGCGGGCAAGAGCAGAAGTGACTTCGGAACTCGACAGCTAAGCAGAACAAGCAGTAGCAAAGACGCAATCCGTTCAAAGACGACCCCAATCCAAACGGATCAAAATGGCAGTCGACCTGCTACACCTTCATCATCCGTTCGTAGAAGGGAGGCTATGGGATTACCCGAAAGACCTCAATCGGCTATGAAACATAAATCTGCAAATGAGTATAGCTCAGGAAAGAATGTTCCGACGATTACGATTTCTTCCGGCAGCCTTCCGCAATCGCAAGATGATGAAGAGGAAGAGACAATCTTCAAAAGTACAACGTTGAGCAGGACGAATAATTCATTCTCCAATCGGATACGTGGAGTGACTTCGATGCGAAAAGAGCAACTGAAAAAAGAAGCTGGAACAAGACAGATCTCATCACCTATTCGATCAGATTCAGATGGATTTTCACCTTCTCCCATCAAGAAATCCAATTCGTTTCCTGCGCTCAAACGTAAACCATATGTTTTGCATTCAAGGCAATCTTTGCCAAACAATGACTTTTATCAACGTACCAAACAAGAAGAACGTAGTCCAACGCCCGCTAAACGGATCAAAACCTTTCCACAATTTGAGTGAGAATGATGGTGCAAATCTTGGCTCTTCTCATGTATTCTATCTTACCTTATATGTATACCACCACCACCACCTTTTGTTCTCGTTTAATAAGTATGATTATAACATCGTTATTGCTTATCAGATGCTGTGATAGACAAAGAAAGACTGATTGTGGCATGTTGTGACAGATTGGACATGATTAGTATCTGCAGGTAGGTGAGTGAGTGAATTGAAAGTCCTATCCGTTGGAGAGAAGAAGAGAGAAGAGAAAAAAGGGAGAAGTACATGGTGATGATGTTGAAATGCTGTTTGCTTGTGTGCGTGCGTGCGTGTTGATAGTGTCAAGATCTGAAATGAAGATGAGGTGTATTCGTAGGGTTTGATTGACAGAAAGCGTTTAAATGCGAACACCTTTTGCTTCGAGCTGATGGAGGGAAGGAGTTGAAGTGGTCGTCAGTGTCTGAAGTGTCAAATCATTGATATAGAATGCTGTCTTACCTCTGCCTTCCGACGTTCAGCAGCTGCTAAACGTTCTTCTAATTCTTGCAATTCGTTTGTCTTACTCTGAACGACATTTTGTCTGTGGGGTTGGTGGAGATATTAGCCATTTGACCTGAGCTGTCCGTTGAGAGTCTTTACTCACTTTTCCTTCACACGTTCTTCCATTTCTGCCAATGCTCTATCTCCAGCTGCAGAAATTTCGTTTCCCATCGAACCAACATCATCGGAAGAAGATAAAACAGTTGGTAAAGTTGGAAGTGTATTATGTGCTGTGTTTGTGCTTGCGCCAGGTTGATTCTGTTGTTGAAAAGAAGACATCTTTGTATGCTATGCTTTGTTCTCAATTCGATGATTGGAAATGATGATTGACCAAAAGAGAGTAACACACTCAAATCCGTTTCTTGTGTGTGTGTGTGTGTATGTGTGTTCCAGCTAGCACACATTTGCACACCTGACAAGTGTACGTGCACATCACATAGTGTTGTATGAATACGTTTCCTTCAGTCAGGCTTTAAATGCGGGCGCACGGGCATTTGTTCATTCAAGCAATCGGCCAACCCCAAGTGTTCAAATGCGAAGAAATGCAAGAAAAGGTGACTAAATTAGAAAGCCGCCTCATTCATTAGCGCGGTGGGAAGTAGAAGACAATACGCCGTACAGAGTCATCCTCCCGCAACACCTTTTTAGTGACACACAACATATGATCAAATAGAAATTACAGCAATACAAGTACATACATCACTCTATCTAGCATCTCACTTCTTCCCTCTGTCCCATTCTCGTATTGACCCTTTTGAAGTATACTGTGTATCCAAGATTGGATTTCTTGATTCGCTGCTATAATCTTTCCCTCCTTTCTGTCTTGAGTGGCTGATCTCGTCTTCACTTTCTCTGTGTCTCTTCTTGTCATAATTTTTTGATCTCTTACGCTCTCTTTCAATCCTGCGAGTCTCTCTACGTTCTTCTTTCTCTCTTTTTCGTTCTAGTATCACGCTCATCGCTCGTTCCCAACCTTCATCCTCAACGAGATTATCTTGGTTCACATTCACCTTTGCATCAACATCAAGTGCTGGATCATAATCGGATCTGAAATATTTGTCCATCTTGGATTCGGGATCAGGTGTTCTGTCTCTTTTACCCTCTCTTCTTCTGTGTGAATGTCTTTCTTCACGTTTTGAATCTTGTCTCTGGCTTTTCGATCTTGATTCATCATGCCTAGAACGCTTTGAATGTTGGGCCATGTCATTGTGATGGGAGGAAGATGAAGTACCTGATCTATGCGGACTTTCGCTCATGTTATCTTCCCAGCCATGCATTTTCCCTTCTCTACGCCCTCTTCGATCACGCTCTTTCCCCGCTTCCGGTTTGTCTCTCGCAGCAAGAACCGCACTCCTCTTCTCCTCATCCTTCAAATGTCGATTATGCCTCTCCACACCCTGAACGATTCCATCCAAAAAGCGGGTATTAAGTGATCTTCTAGTCGATGATCCCGATCCAGATCCGGCAGGAGCAGCACTGCCTCCATTCCTCGCTACTCGATTCTTCTCCTGTGCTTCCCGAACAATCAAATCCGCTACGATCTTGTCTAATTCTCCATCACTCTCATCGCCGCGAACGATATCACGAATTGATCGTTCTAGTGCTGACATTTGACATTGCGAATTTGTTAAGATGGTAGTAGAAAAGGGGAATGTCGATTTCTGTTACAATTCATACAAATGAACGCCCACTCTCTCTCCGCGGCGCCGCGCTTTGGGCGGTACCGCTCTGGCCTGCCTTAACGGAAGGAAGATTGCATTTCCGATCCAATCTTTCGGGTTCCGTTCTGCTACTTTAAAGATGAAGGATAAAATCTTTTAGAATTGTCTATATTGTGATACATGAATGCAGCAGAAAAAGAAGAGATAGAAAAAGGTGCAAAGAATGCAAAGTCTAAAAATGATAAAGGGATAAGATTATATACAGTTGTTTTTTTGAGTTCGGTTCGATTCGATTACTAAGATATGGTCATAAGAGCGAGAATTGTGCTGAGAGAGACCGCCGAAAGAACAAGCACAGATGGAGCATTCAACAATCCTGATAAACCTCCACCATTTGTACCTAATTTCAATTGTCTAACCGTTAGCAAAGCCACACGTCCGTCAATCGTTGTTGAATTGGGAAGTGCAACGGTTGGATGATTGACTCCTTGACTTGTTGCATTCAACAAAACTCCTGCTTCGATCCATTCTACCGTTGTATTATACACGTTTCCTTCCCATTGTGTTCCATTTGAGACGGTAGCATTGCCGACTGCAAAAGAAAGGGGGAAGGCAGTCAGAATCAAAGTCTGTTTTCTCATCAATACCACATATCACACTCACCAAGTTCATCTCGTCCATTATTGTATCCGTTCAAAGCGATCATATGATGATTGTCAAGGTTTAGCTCAACACTGGTTGCAAGAAAGAAAGCACCGGTAGATTCTTGTTTGAACCATCTAAAATGATTTCCGCCCATAAAAGTTTCTTTGCACGTTCCAATATAAGGCATACCATAATTCCATCTCAACACTCCATTATCACCATTTCCTGTTCCTTGTGTTTGATTACCGTCTCCAAGGTTTGCATATTGATTTGATCCGTTCGCTTGACCTAAACAAGAAACTCCAAAATTTACAGATGTTACCCATAGTAGAAATCCTTCATATGTTAAAACGGATTCATCGGATAAACCTGAAACGATTGCATTTAATGGTTCTCCTAAGCCGGGCAGATTTGGTAGAATCTGTGTGGGATGAATTGATAAGGTTAGAAATATTTCGCCAATTTCTGCAGTACACGATTCACTCACTGTTAACATTTGCCCTCCTACATCATTAGGGTCTGTGTAATTCTTCCTTTCTTCCCTTTTCGATAGCCATCTTTCGGTGATGGGTGATTGTGATTGCGATTGCGACAAAGGTGTGGCATGAATGGAAGGTAAGACAAAAGCCAAACAAAGGAATGATAGTACTACAAGTCGTATTATCGATCCTTTTCTCTGTGCAGGATAAAATGTGGACATCATCGGTGATTGTTTGTTGCTTTCAAGGTAACACAAGGTGAAAGGGTATGGTGATGATGATGGTTATGGTATATGATAATCATGAGGTTAAGAAGATGGTCTTTGACATTTCATAGCTATTATTCAAATCCGTTGCTCGCGCATACATAGAGTGTACATGTATTGCGTCGGTCAATCGGACGATTTATCACAAAAATCTTAAAAAGAATCACAAGAGAGTCTGCATGAATTGCATGCATTATGGGCCTCTCTTGCCTTTTGTACGGAAAATTACTCCCGCTTAAAGCATTCATTAAGTCAGTTCTATAGGCCTGCTGACGTATAACATTGTGTCACTCACTCAAAGAACAAAACAAAAAACTTTTATATGCAATTCGCGCCGAAAGAAGTGGAGATTTGATTAGCCGGCAACAACCCTGGGTTCACATACACAATTAAACGCCGAGTAAAATTAACGCGCGGTGCACTCACTGCACAGTGAAGTTCTTCCCGCCCGCCCGCTTATTCGAAATGATGTCGAAAGTGGCTTGTGATTGTGCAGCGCTTGGCGAATAGAGCCAAGTCGTTATTGCTTGCTGCTTCTTTCTTCGTATAGTGAACATCACCTTTCGACCACTAAAAAGAGATAATATTTAGTATCATGAGACAATGGATGAATTCCGAGCCTACTTGCTACATAAAGCCAATTGCAGTGTTATTTGATTAGTAAGAATCCTCTATTCGTAATGCCAATCTAACCCCTCTTCCAGCTAATGTAGAGCGGTGTCTAGCACTTTCTGCTTTTATAAAGTACTTTTAATAAGGAACAATTGAGAAAGTTGAAAAGGGACACACTGCTATTTTCACGAGGAAAAGGAAAAAAGTTCGCAACGATCTCGCTTCCGAGATGATAATATCGTATTGTATGCATACATCTTAATAATCAGATAACGTAAGAAGATCCTAACCAAAAGCTCAGACCCTATTGCCCGGCCTTTGAAGCGTTGAATCAAATAATCATTCGATGCGTGTGCAGGGTTAGCGTATATTTTTACCAATACATGCGCTAGAAGATCATTCATGGTGTTCATTAAACAGAAAAGGTTAAAAGTGGAGAAAGAATCACTGTATTCATCTTTCTACTCTTCTCCAAACCATCTCAACAATCAAATATGGCATCCACCCGTGAACCAGCTTTTGTAGCACCTTCAGCTATTATCGCATTGGACAAACGTCCTTTGAAGGAAACGTTTACGCTGCCCGATCTAACACCGGTTCAATTTGATGAAGATGAAAGTACACATCATATCAAGATCTCACTTGGGACATCACCGGAAGAAAAGCAAGATAACTCACACGCCCGCTATCCTCGATCAAAAGAAGAACAAGATGCAACGCTACAGCCAATCATCGAATTTGTCCCACTAGGAAGAAAGGCAAAAGCCAGTCATTTACAGGTAAAGGAAGATCGTGCAACACTGACAGAAGTTTTGGAAATAAAAGCAATCGCTGGACACGTTTCCTTCAAAGATCTTTGGTCAGCACTGTATGCCTTTTGGATCAGACGTGATGAACATGAACGTTATCCAATCTTGGTCGGTGCTTCATTTCCAAATCGAACAGATATCGTTCGTTATTTCTTGAATTGCGGTTTAGGCTTACGTTATCCTGACGCTCAAGGAGAATTTGATGTCGTCCTTGATCGTTCTGCATTTTGGCAAGGTGCTGGCTGTCCTCTCTCACGTTCTTGGTTACGTGCACCTGAACCTTCTCCCAAAGAATTCGGAGATGTGATGGGAACTGCATTCCCGCTTGTTCAATCGTTCACACGTTCAAACGATCCTCCCGTGTTAACAACCCATCCTTTACGTCCTCCAAAACCATCTGCAGGCACAATCATTTATTCACGCTATGTTCATTCTGTCAAATCGCATTATCAACTCACAATAATCGATTGGCGTAAAGAAGAACATTTTAGTCTTTATGCAAAATGGCAAAATAGCGATCGTGTAAATCATGGTTGGCGTGAACGTGGAGATGAAGATCATCATCGTAAATACCTTCAAGAACGCGAAGCTGATCCACATAGCATGGGCTTACTTTCAAGTTGGGATGGAGAATATGCCGGTTATAGCGAAATAAATTGGTGCAAGGAAAACGGAATGAATGCATTCGTGGGCGGAATGGGAGACTACGATCAAGGTACGCATTCTTTCGTCGGAGAGGAAAAGTTCAGAGGTCGTTATCGATTCGCGCATAATATGATCAGCTTGAAACATTTCTGTTTCTTGCGTGAATTCAGGACCAATATCGTCATAGGAGAGCCTCGCTTTGACCTCGATATCATTCCTTTATTGTCTGCTTATCTACCCCAAAGTTTCCGAAAGGAGATCGAACTTCCTCACAAAAGAGCCGTTCTGTTCATTTTGCATCGCGATCGCTTCTTTTCCGAGGGAATGTTCTACTAGTGTATTGCATGTTTGTGCGAATAGAGTGCCGGATAATACAATGACTAAAATGTTCAGAATGTGTCTGTGTTGATTAAATTTCTCTCTTTGTCGATATCCATAACAAGTCCTTTCCCAGCCCAAGGTGCATCATCCCTTCGCGGCCCATCGCCGAATATTTCATAGCCCGGCATATAACGTGCAACGAAGTCATGTACTTGATCGTCAGCCATTCCTGGCTTGCCTTGCTCTTTCATAGCATGTTCAGCCTGTAATCGCCAAGCGAATACGTCAAAGAGGTTTTGAGGTCGTAAGACGATGAAAGCATCTATCAGTCTATACCAATCCAAATATCCGGCTAAGATTGTATTGATCTGTTGTAGACTTTCCAGCGAATGCTGTGTGAAATAAGGAGCCTTTCCACCACTTCCAGTCGCCCTTCCAATCTTGGCCGCTTGATAGAGCTCCTCCAGTGCATCTGCCGGAATGGGATAGAAGCCCATGCACCATCCTTCAAAGATGACAACGTCTATTGGGGTGACTACATCGACCGTCTTCTCTGTCCGATCTCCTTCTCCATCAAATTTGCTCTTATCAAAAATTGGCAAATGAACAGCTGTTCCATCTGGACTCTCTTTGAGTTGTGATAAGATCTTTGTTCCGAGTTGCATATCATGTGTGCCAGGTTGACCTCGTCCATGTAAGAGCTTATTTTCGGGATAGAATTGCTTCAGCTCTTCCAGCTTAGCATGAGTGAGGTAGAAATCATCAATGCTCAACACAGCCGTTCGCTTCCCTTCGTTCTCTAGATTTTTCTGAACACCTTGCGTCACTGTCGTTTTTCCACTCCCTTGTGGACCTTGAAGACCAACGATCATTGGAAGCTTGGCCTTGTGCCGGCTTAAATGATGTAGTATATGCTTTGTTATCACATTTGCTTTTTGTGTAGCCATATATTCTACCATTTCTTCCAGAACAAAAAGGTGATTGGAGTCGAGAGAATGTATGTGAAATGGCATTCCCCCGGATTTGAGAACATCCCTCTAAGTCCGTGCAGGCGAAATTAATTCGCGTTTTAAATGCACGCCAAAGAAAAAAGTACAATCTTCTCAATCCATCCTTCGACCATCTTTCGTCAAATTTCACTCTCGACAACCTGTTTCATACTCTCATCAGACCAGTATCTTATCGAGTCGCATCTCGATCGTTCAATCAGCCAGCTTTTCGTCCAATCTCAAAGCACAGCATAATAGCAAGAATGGCTACATCCGGCATTGATACCAAACGAGCAAAGCTTGAAGGTAACGAACATATTGTCACACACAACGGTACCCATCATGCAGATGAAGCTTTGGCAGTTCATTTGTTGAGAAAGCTACCCCAATACGCTCAAGCCAAGCTTACGAGAACTCGTGATCAATCCATCATCGATTCGGCCACCATTGTCGTAGACGTTGGAGCACAATACGATGCTGCCCGTCATCGTTATGATCATCATCAAAGAGGATTCGAAGAAACATTTGATGCCGATCACAAGATCAAATTGAGCAGTGCAGGATTGGTTTGGAAGCATTTCGGAAAAGAAATCGTTGGTGCACATTTGCAATTACCTGTTGAAGATAAACGGGTTGCATTGTTACACAAGAAACTTTACGATGACTTTGTTGAAGCAATTGATGGTATCGATAATGGAATTCCACTCTTTCCCGCATCGGCTGGTCAACCGGCCTATTCATCAAAAACAGATCTTTCCGCTCGTGTGGGATATTTGAACCCAGCCTGGAACGAAACCTTGCCGAGTGATCCTGAAGAACGAGAGGCAGATTCTATGCGTAGATTCGAACGTGCAAGCGCTTTGGCCGGTGGGGAATTCTTTGATCGTCTAGACTTCTCTTTCCGATCTTGGTTGCCTGCTCGGGATATCATTGAGAAAGCCTTGAAGACTCGCAAAGAGGGACCTTCTGCCGATTCTCAAGGTAGACTTTTGATCTTTGACGATTTCGCTTCTTGGAAAAGTCACATCTTTGACTTGGAAAAAGATCTCAACATTCCGGAGAACGAAAAAGTGCTATACGTCATCTACCCAGATGAATCAGGCAAATGGCGTATTCAATGCGTTCCTGAATCACCTGATAGTTTCGTTAGTCGTAAACCACTTCCAGAACCTTGGAGAGGTATCAGAGATGCAGAACTATCGAAATTGATAGGAATTGAAGGATGTGTCTTTGTTCATCAAAGTGGCTTCATCGGTGGTAATGCAACAAGAGAAGGTGCTCTGAAGATGGCACACGCCGCTTTAGCAAGCAATGTGTAAGATCATGTATTACGTTCAACAAAATGCAATGTCTATATTATTGTACAGTACTCGATTAGCTGGCAGATGGTGTGGCATCCAGAAAGCGTACGATCTCGTTCACAGATGATTTGACCACGTCATTTATATGTGTCCCTTGTCCTTCTATCAGTAGCAAGTTCTTCACAGGAGCTCCATCCGTAGGTTGATCTTCTTTGACGTCTACCAGCGAGCCATGCTCGATGTCCTCATTTACGAACATGTTCTTGTGTGCTTGAACGTAGCCTGGCCAGATCACATGCTCAAAATATCCTGGTGGATCTTGCCATACTGTATTCTCAGCAGTCGCATATCCTCCTCGCTCGTTCCTCCTGCTTTCCAGAGTAGCTCGATCACAGCGTAAAAAGAGTCTGATATCCATCTGTTTCCGTACCTGAGCATCATAATAGAGCAAGAATCCATCAGCAAAGATGATATGTTGAATTTCAGGATGTTTGCGGAGCGCATCAGCAAGTCTTTGTTTGCATTCGTTTGCAAAAGGCGTGTCGAGTGGACGTTCAGGTTGTAAGTTCAAATGATCATGTGAAGAATGATGATCGGGTAGCTTTCCAAACGCTTTGGCGTGCTGGAGTACTTCTTTCATTCGTTTATAATCAATCGTTCCTATCGGATTATCCCAATCCCGCGCTTGTAGGGTTTCATTAAAAGGTAAACTTTCTTCCGGTAATGCGAAATCATCTTGATGTAATATTACTCCGATCTTTGGTGGTATTAATGCCAGCAGGTGTTTTGCTATTGTTGTCTTGCCTGAGCTTGTTGGTCCTCCAACACCAACAACGATTGTCTTTGCCATCTTTGCTAGCATTATGTGGTGTCAAGAAGGAAGAAGGAGTGTATGCTAATGTTTAGCCTAATCGGATTTAAAGTCAATTAATTATCCGTGCGAAGAAACAGAGGTTAAATTATTGTTTGTATCTTAGCGTCATTCTTTCGCACTTTTGACTGCTCGCGTGCCTTTTTTAAGATTTTAATGATTGTGAACAAAGGGACATCGAAATGCATATATGGTCAACACCAATGTCATTACGACAACCTTCTTGACCACCATTTCGACGAAACCTATAACATTGCAAGATGCTGCTTGGCGGAGGAAGGCTGACGGGGACCTGCTGGAGATCAGCATGTCGTCAAGCCAACTTTCGCAATCTAGAGGGAGCAGTAGTATCCTCTCCACAAAGACAAGGATCGATTCAATGTAACTCAAGTTCATCCTTCTCGAATCTTGCTCATTTTCCATCTTCCAGCGCAAAGAACTCCTCGATAATACTAGCCGGCCCAAGTTCCACCACAAGCTCAATCTTATCAGAAGTGGAAATACGGAGGAAGAGTGGCCTATATACCAAATCAAAGAAGCTTTCCGACTATACCGACCTCTTTGCAGCTCACTTCGTTGTCTTTAGAAAAGCACTGCAGTCACATCCAAAGGCGTTACGATTCTACACATTTTTGCAAACCTTCTCATCCAGTAAAGCGGGATCCAAAAAACAGCAAAGAGTCGTACATTTGCCCAAACCATCACATACAGAAGGACAACGACCAGCTTCACATACAGAAGGACCACAACCAGATTCACCCGAACAACCCGATACCCAGCACGTAGTCCCGTCAAACTTTATGTTTTGGTTCATCATGGGCCTAAATGTGATAGTCTTTGGTATGTGGCAGCTGGCCATCAGTCAAGCTGAACAAGGAGATCCAACACTATTTTTCTTGATGTTTAAAAATTTCACTTCAGGTCTTAGCAACTTTTTCGAAGGTCGATATTGGACTCTTTTGACAGCTTGCTTTAGTCATAAAGATTATGCGCATATGTTCGTGAACATGCTCACTTACTTCTTCTTTGGCCGTACGATTTTAAATTTAGTAGGAGGTCGTTCATTTTTATTCTTTTACTTTGCAGCCGGTCTAGCTTCCTCAAGTCTTTCACTCTTTTCGGATTTCTTAGGTCATGATGCTAGTAGACCAAAAGAAGGACAACAGAAAAAGCCACAATTCAGTCTTGGTGCGAGTGGATCAATTATTGCTATTGTGACCTGTTTCAGCAGCATCAAACCAAGAGCAACGTTTTTGTTCTATTTCATTCTTCCAGTTCAGGCACGGCTATTAATACCGGCTTTACTCCTTTACGATCTCTGGGGTATGTTCGGCACAGAGCCACACAAGACTTTGTGGGACAAGAATACGTTTGTCGATTCAGCTGGCCATGTTGGCGGAATCATCGCAGGTCGATTATATTGGATATTTAAACTTAAAAGATTCCGGGTTATGTGGTAAAGCGGAGCGGGAACACTTTTGTATTCTAGTCATTTTTCGGGAGCCTTTCATATTATTTTCATTTATGCGATCTTTACATCCTATATACTCCTCCAGCATGTCCATTACCGTCCCAAGCAGTATGACCATGAGAATTTCCGCTTCCGTTTCTAAGAGCGCTTCTTTGACGACCTTGATTGGCAACACTCAAAGCTAAAGCAAGTGTTCCACGAGTATCAGTCGGCCGGATGATACCATCATCCCAAAGTCTTGCAGAAGCATATTGTGGTGTACTTTGTGCTTCGATTTGATCACGTAAACCTGCAATTCGCTTTTGATCAGAAGAAACGGTGCTCATTACGCTTGCCAATTGATCTCCTCCCATCACACCGACACGCGCTGTTGGCCACATGAACAAGAAACGTGGTCCGTATGCACGACCGTTCATTCCGTAATTTCCTGCACCGTAACTTCCTCCGATCACGACAGTCATCTTTGGTACATCTGCACATGCTACCGCTCTGACCATCTTTGCACCATCTTTTGCGATTCCTGCTTGTTCGGCTTTTGTACCAACCATGTATCCGGTCACGTTTACGAGGAAGACCAACGGGATTTGTCGTTGGTTGCACAATTGAATAAAGCTGGTTGCTTTTTGTGCTGATGAAGAGAATAGAACACCATTATTTCCAATAATACCAACTGGTTGTCCAGCAATACTTGCAAAGCCAGTGACCAAAGTGGGACCGTAAAGCTTCTTGAATTCATGGAATCGAGATCCATCGACAAGACGAGCAATCACATCACGCATGTCGAATGGTTGACGAAGGTTGGTGGGTACGATTCCGTGCAGTTCAGAAGGATCGTAGAGCGGTGCTTCGTAAGGTGCTGTTGAGGTGTTGGCGGGAGAAAGAGTGGTAGCAGAAGGTACGCTTCCACCAGCACGTCCAAGATTAGCAACCGCTTCTCTTGCCAAAGCGATAGCATGTGCATCATCGATAGCCAAATGATCAGTTACACCACTTTGCGAACAATGCATTTCACCTCCTCCCAACGTTTCATCATCGACATCTTCTCCTAGTGCTGCTTTGACAAGAGGTGGTCCTGCCAAGAAGATTGTTCCTTGATTGCGAACGATGATATTTTCATCTGCCATTGCAGGAACATATGCACCTCCAGCGACGCTGATTCCATGAACGACTGAAATTTGCGGGATACCCAAAGCTGACATTTGTGCCATTTCCGCAAAGATGCGTCCGAAATGATGTGCGTCAGGGAAGACATCTGCTTGATGGGGTAAAGCAGCACCACCTGACTCTACCAGATAAACACATGGAAGTCTATTTTCTCGAGCAATTTGTTGTGCACGTAAATGCTTTTTGACAGTGATAGGATAGTATGAACCACCCTTTACGGTTGGATCATTGGCTAAGATCAACGTTTGCGTTCCCGAAACTGTTCCAATACCAGTGATCACACCACCGCCTGGTACTTCATCAGGTGCGCCATACATATCCCAACCTGCAAGTGAGCTAAATTCCAAGAAAGGACTTCCAGGATCCAACAGAGCACCAATCCGATCTCTTGCCAACATCTTCCCACGTTTGATATGTCTCTGTCTTGCCTTTTCTGGTCCTCCTAGCGCAATCCTGCCATGCAATGAGTCCATCTCGCTCACTAAGGATGACATTGAAGCATAATTGCTCTTGTATGCATCTGAATTGACGTCTACGTTGTTTGGAAGAACGCTTAATGGGCTATAAGTCCGATTAGAGGTTGTGAAACATCTTGATTGATTGACAGTACCTTTCAGCCCTTGCCGTTGTAGGCTACCGTTACAGGCCAGTCGCCTTAGAAGCATCTTTTATTGTATCAAAAGGTGGGAGAAGATGATAATCACAAGTGAAGAAGAAGCAAATGTTTGTTTTGTATGTATGCGGGGTAGTAATGTAGTAAACGCGGAGGTCAGCCGGTACAGAATTAAAGTAACACGCCTGCCTACAACGCGGAAGCAAACAAACCGTCTTTCCGTGGATTGTTCGGGCGTTTTCCCGGCGTGCCAGAATCAGATTTTTAACGCTAGAAGCTTCACACTGGGGTGTATATTGTTCACAGTGATTATGATTGTCATTTCTTGTCCATGATGATGTTGCTACTTTTTTCAAATGCGATGCAAAGGACAGACTTATCCGTTGCATGTGCTACATGATAGAGGAGGAAGTAAAGAATGATATTAAAAATTGTCCTTTCGAAGGGAGATGAAGTACGAATGCGAATCCAGTCATGGTTTTGTGCTTAGTGAAGCAAATCCTTGTATGAAATTTGTCCTAAAACGTATTTTTGCAATTTGAATGCAGTCTTTGGTTGATCTTGAGGGCTAGAGAAACGGGAAAGAAGATAGAAGGGAAGAATCAGTATCAAGGCTTTATGTGACACACTAAAAACACTCTACTCACACCATGTGTCCAGAATGATCAATTCTTGCAAACGTCAAACCACGTTCGGATTGAATATGGCCAGCTTGTTTTCCATTCACGATCAATTTTGTTAATGGATGTTGTAATCCTTGTTTACCGTTCCAAGTTGTATTTTGAATGGCTAATGCACTTCCATTTGCGATCAAAACTGCATCCAATTCACCATGTTGAATCAAAGTACGTTTTGATGGACTTTGTTCGATCACATTTCTAAGCAAACTCGTATCAGCAGGAGCAGGACTTGTATCAGTTCCACCTACAAAGACATCATTCACACATTCCAGCCAAGTTTGTTTGGGATCAGCATGGACGTATGATTTGAATCCTGTGATATTGTTGATAAAGTTGGTCGCTGAAGGGTTTGAGTCTTGTGGTGGATATCCAAGAGGATCAGTTACACCGGGGCATTTGTATTCGATTTGATAAATGTTGAAGCATGGATTTGCGTCTGTTGCTGCATTGATTAAATAGTCAAATGCATCGTAATCGGGTGAAAGTTGAGATGGAAGTTTGATTGGACCTTTTGGTGGATAAAGAAGGTTTTTAGAGACGAAGTTCTCGAGTCCATTTTGTTGTGCCATCTGTTTGAGATTAGTGATGGTTGAGTCGTTCAAGCCCAAGACCTTCTGATAAGCTATCGCAAATTCCACGGCGGGTATTTGTTCAAGGACCAAATCACTGGCGAAAGAGGGGTCATTGATTGCCATACCTTGGAAATTGATACCTGTCTCCTTCTTCTCTGCTGCAGATTTCTTCAAAAGATTACCAGAGATGTATGGGATGTACTTGCCGGCGTAACTCTCACCGGTAATGTAGAGTTTCTTGTGTTTGAGTTCGGGGAAAGTTTTGAAGAATTCAACCAAGAATCCGTAAAACTGATCTGCAACTCCGTTTTCATTAGTGATGTCAGGGGTACCTTTTCCCAAGCCTACGCCGACGGGTTGTTCGATCCATAAAACGTTTGACAATTTTGTCCAACTGTATGGGTTCTTTACCACTTTTGTCGAATTGAATGGAAGCAACCAAGGACCGTTCTCTTGTAAAAGTCCTTCTAGCGAACTGCAACCCGGGCCACCGTTTAACCAGATTGTCAAATCATCTTTACCAACATCACCTTCAGCTGGATACCACCAGAAAAAGAATTCACGACTTTCGTTCTTCTTTGCAGAGATTGGTAGAAGACCTGCATAACTATCGGAAACGGCGAATGGAACGCCTGGGATATGTTTGCCATCAACGAAGAAGTCTTTTGGGGTCTTTGCTGGTTTGTGAGATTTTGGCTTAGATGGGATGGGTTCAGCAGACACGACAGACGATAGGGCTACGAGACCAATCAAGGCCGAGCCCAAAGAGAAACGCATGATGAAAGGGAAGGGAGGGAGAATATGAAGAGGAAGAGATGATGATGATGTTAATGATCAATTTATCTTCTCTCCTCTATATTTGATTAGAAGAGGAACCAGCGTATGTATAAACACAAACATACCACGCGGTCAGAAGCACTGTAACACATGTATTCATTACGCTAAAATTCATGCAGATCATGTCAAAACAACAACAAATTGTGTGTGTGTCGCATACATTCCCGACCCAAGGTTAAACACCGCTTAGGGAATTCCCCCACCCCCCTTTTTGCTTCGGACTCTATCAACGCGTTCTTCTCCCGAGAACATGCATACATTCACGCGTGTGTGTGTATTACTGATAAGGAAAAAAGCAGCCCTTCTATTCAAAGATTCAAACCTAAAGGAGCCTTTTGGTGTTTTTCCTAATGTTAGATTGTCAATTTGGAATTAGGAACACGGGTTTATTTTTAATACCGGAAAGAAGAAAGATAACAAGGACAATCTATATTTATAGAAGTGAATATAATACATTCTTACTAAGCAATACGCAACATTATCCGCGGAGAGCGACGCGAGAAGTGCAATTATTGAGTGCTTCCCCCGCACTACAATGCCAAGCACAAGAAGCGTAACAACACCTTTCTTCTTCTATTACGCTTTCTGTCACCTAAGCAGTTGCTAGCAAGATGATCACGACCACTTTGACGAGCTCTCTCAGACGACAAGCACTTACAAGTACGATCTCCTCGTCATGTGTGTCGTTTGCAAGAGTTGGAAGGATCGCACTACCTTATCGTGCTTATTCTAGTGCGACTTCATCTGCTCAAGCATTTTTAGAGCCACTTTCAGGAGAAGACGGACAAGGCATAACAGTCCTGACATTGAACAGGCCAGAAGCAAAGAATGCAATCGGCGTACAACTTCTTGGCGAGCTAGAAGAATGCATTGAAAAAGTTCATTTTGATCGATCCACAAGGGTATTGATTGTTCGATCAACTGTCCCGAATACGTTCTGTGCTGGTGCGGATCTAAAAGAACGTAAGGGTATGTCTGTTGCACAAGTTGATCGATTCTTGAGCTCGTTGAGGAGAACGTTTACTGCGCTTGAAAAGTTACCCGTACCTACCATCACCGCTTTGGACGGTTTGGCGATGGGAGGTGGAATGGAATTGGCACTGTGTACCGACCTACGATTGTCTACCGCCAAATCAGACAAGCTTGGTTTGCCAGAAACAAGGTTAGGTATAATACCAGGGTAAGTACGCAAAAGGAATAGATCTTCGAGTTAATGCTTATTGACAACATTCTCCCCTCTTATTAGAGCTGGAGGAACGTATAGAATGACGAAATTGATCGGTCCTGCACGAACGAAAGAGTTGGTATTTTCCGCACGAATGTTGAATGGTCAACAAGCCTACGATTTGGGCATAGTAGACCGATTGGCAGGGGAAGGACAAACGGCTTTTGATACCTCGATTGAATTAGCAAAAGCAATGGCACAAAATGGTCCTTTGGCTTTGCGTGCTGCCAAAGCGGCGATCGATAAAGGTCAATTACTCGATACGGAAACGGCACTTGATTGGGAACGTGCTTGTTATGAAAGATGTTTGGCTTCAAAGGACAGGTTAGAGGGATTACGAGCGTTTGCTGAGAAGAGGAAGCCGAACTACACAGGTGAATAATCCATGTACAATAAATGCAGATTGAATGGTATGGGATATAAAAAGTACAATTGCATAATTTATCAGTGCGGTGTTAGATTTGCAGAATAATGACGTTCGTTTTGCGAATCGCTCCTTTGAATGTTTCCATCTTTATCAATGATGTGAATGTCTCTTTCCCACCATTGCATCGGGTAGCTAACCTCATTTGTCTTTCCATTTCTGTGGACCAGAAGCACTGTTGATGTTCTTGTGGCGTACCAACCAAGCTGAGGATGTCGTAGTTGTGGCTCTACACAAATAGATCGTGGCAGATCTGTTCTGTCCTTCACTTCTCCCGGCGAGGTTCTGAAGGAAGGGCCAAATAAGAAGTCAGAAATCCAATTAGGATTTTACACCATCACACTGTAGCACTCACGCAAGAACTTTGAATAGATCCTGTGCCAACTGTGCTTCGTTCCCATCGCCTTTGTTGCTCTTTCTCTCATCATATCTACTGATAGCTTCCTCGAACAGTTTTCTGCCTTGAATGACCTTACTCCAAGGTTCCTGTAGCTCTGAATTACTCAAGCCTATACTTCGACAGCCACCTGTAGCATTTCCGTTATTGCTTCCATCGCAGGCTAAGCCTACTGAGGTATTTCCGTCCCCTTTTGTCGGTAGATAGTAAATTCCATCATCTGCTTTCGTGCGATTGCTCACATATCCTATCCGGGGACCTTGTTCCTTTTTCGGGAACAGTTCACCAGCCATGAAATTGAATCCAGGCCATTCATCTTTCCGTTCTTCGATGCTACCCAAGAATTGATCCAAGTTTGTATCTGTGCCTTCTGTCAAAAGCCAATCTTTTGTCAACTTTCCTCTACTTCTGTACGTATCTATTCCTCTTCCTTGAGGTAGTGGAGGTGGTTTGAGTTCTGTAAAGTTTGTCAAGATTGCAAGTTTACCGGATTTGCTTATTCCGATCCACGTACCGCCTCCTGATGGATGAGCGTCTATTCCGCTCAAGATTGGTGTTTGTGAAGATGGTTTAGAGGTCACCGAACCGGGTCTTGCTCCGTTTGAATTGATTTGGTCATGATATTGACTTTCTTTTCTGTAGTGCGCTAATGAAGGTGTTTCGTTTGATATTTTCTCAAATTCTGATGGTGATGGAAATGCATGCCAATGTGATGGTGCTGTAGGCCGAAGAAGGAATTCGTCTCGATTGCTAGCTATGATTCTGTCAGAGCCAAGGAAATGATTAGATAATGATACAATCTACTCACAACAGTCACACTCACAATGCGAAATCCGGATGATGCAATTGCATCAAAACGATACACATAATTTCATATGTTCCTGATGGAAGATGTAAGCAAGTGGAGCGGGGGGAAAGAAAGCCGAACAAACAAAACAGGAATTCGGCTGAGTAAACACAACTATGCGGCGTTTACTCGTGAAACGCGAAGAGGAAAAAGGCTAAAATTAGACTTTACCGGCCTTAAAAGACAGGTGATTTGTTTTTTATCAGATTAAGAATTTGTGTTCTAGAGATCAAAGAATAAGCTAAACAAACAAAAAAGGGAAAATACTTCTTTGTACCTGAGATCCTTCTTTTACGCCACATCATACCCATCACAACAATGTCATCTTCATCATCTCACACTTTTCGACCTTCGAGAACTGTTCTGGTTCTGGGAGCAAGTTATGGTGGACATCATGCAGCGCAGGTGTTGGTAACTCAATTGCCACAGAACTGGCGTGTGGTGGTGATAGAACGTAATACACACTACAATCACTTGTATGCATTCCCGCGAGTTTCAGTCGTTCCGGGTCATGAAGAAAAGGTGTTTATCCCCTACACAAAGCTCTTCCAACCGCCTTCAGAACGTGTCACAAGTTCAAATAATGAGCTCATTCATGGCGTATTGAAATCTTTGGGACATCGCGAGTCAGAACAATCGGAAGGAAGAGGAGTAGCAAGGTATATACCTATTGATGAAACTTACAATCCAAACTCTCATGAACAATCACAAATTCGCACGATTGCATTTGATTACATGATCTTTGCTTTGGGTAGCATTTTGCCTGCTCCGATCAATACATGGTCTGTACCTTCTGGAAAGTTGGATGATGAAGCCAGTAAAATTCTTCAAAACGGCAAAGCAGGATTCTGGGGAGGAAAACAAAGAGGTGTGAAATGGTTAAGGGAAACACAAGATCGTATTGCTGCTGCTGAATCGATTCTCATAATAGGTGGAGGTGCTTTGGGAGTGCAGTATGCTTCGGATATCGCTTGGATGTATGGAACTGCCACATCTTCACCCAAAAAGATCACAGAGAACATCGAATCGTCGCCCCCTGCCACTAAGCCGTACATACCAAGGCCAAAGCGTGTCATCCTTCTGTCTTCGTCAACAAGACTTTTGCCACGATTTCAGGATTGGATGCACGAAAATGCAACTGCCGAACTGGAAAAGCTGGGAGTGGAAATTCATACTGGGGCAAGAGCTGATCTCTCTACTTTAGATGAGACACCAAACGGAAAGAAGCGGGTTATCAAAACCACTACAGGAAAGGAGATCGACGCTGATCTGGTTCTGTTTTGTACCGGACAGAGGCCCAATACGGACTTCCTTGCCGGCTTTGCTACAGAGACAGGTAAAGAGCCCTCAAATCCATTCATCAACCCTTCAAATGGATCAGCATATGTGACGCCCACTTTACAGCTCACACTGGCTGACAGGAAGCCAAACCCGGAATTGCAACACATCTTTGTGATCGGAGATGCTGCTGATGCATATGGAGCATTGAATGCAGGCCATACTGCATTCTCACAAGGGCACGTAGCAGCTGAGAACATTGCCAAGCTTGTATACGATCAAGAAAGTCATACGATGGATAATGTATCTCTCAATGGAGATTGTCCAGAACGTGCTAGTAGTGAAGAAAAAGTACCTGGATTTCCTCAACCTTTACAAGCATACGAAGTTGAATCACACAAGATTAAAGTTTCGGTTGGATTAGATCGTGCTATAAATGAAAATACGGGAAATCATAAAGTTATAGAAGGTGGCAAAGTAGATCTCAATACGCCTGGCATGTGGACAAGAAGAGGCTTGGATGTTTCTGATCTTTCTGCTTAGTGTATTTATAGTAATAGATGGTGTTGAGTGTCATTGTGGTGTGCGGGATCGGCCATATGTTTCCCAGTCGTCGGTTTTGCGTGTCTATGTGTGGCTAACAGCAGCAGTCCTTGGCCGGGCTTCCTTGATTATTTGTTAGACGCGGCACAATCAAAATCCACTAAAATTCATGCAGGGCTCCTGCAAAACGGCGGCCTCCGTGGAAAATTATAATGCACGCTGTGCCGGAATGCAAAATTGATTGATGGGCTGACTTGAGAATAATAAAAGACTTCTCCTCTTGTCTACCTTCATTGTCATATACGAATTAACAACGATGGCTGCTCATCGTCATCGTGCCAGAAATGCACGTCCTAGTAAACGACTGGACGTTCACTTGATATTCGCATTCGTATGCGCTCTAACGTTGGTATTCTTTGGACAAGCAGCTCGAGCACAATCCAATAACACTTCTTCAGGCGACAATTCATTCGACAAAACGGGTAGCGTCTGCAATGTGAGCAACAGTCTCTTGTTGACCGCATCCAATCAATTAATGACAGATTGTGGTTATTTGGCTTGGTGTGATCCTACAACCAGCAAATGCGCAGCTCGTGGCTGTAGACGAGAAGATTATCCTTTCGGATTCAGTACAGTGGAAAGATCACTATGGCCACCGAAATGCGATGAAGAACAATTCTGTCCTGATGAAGGAAGCCTGTGCATGTATAAAATCGCACTAGGAGGAGCATGTCAACTCAACCGAGACGATGAATGTGCAACGTCTGCTTCTGTACCAAACGTACGTTGCTTACACAACATTTGCACTTCCGTCAACGCTACCCTAAATGCAGCTTGCATACACGACAATGTGGTCTATACAGTTTTCACGCCAGACAACTCTTCCTATGGAAGTATTATCAGTCGAGACAATTGTATGAAGGGATTATATTGCAATTCCCCAACAAACATTTGTCTTCAAAGAAAGTCTACAGGAACAGCATGCGCGGCAGACAAGGAATGCATGACAGATTTCTGTCAAGATAAAAGTTATACTGCCAATACGCCTGATAACAATAATCCAACCGGAACATGCGCCGTACAGCCAATTTTTACGGCAAACAAACATCAAATTTGGGTTTATCCTGTGATCATCATTGTTGCCGTCGTAGCTTTACTGATCTTGATCGGTACTTTACTAAAAGTACATCAATCTCAAGGCGTACGTAGAAGAGAGAAAGCAAGAGCATATTGGGAATCGCAAAGACTAATCAATGAAAAAGCTCGATTGTACAAGGAGGACAAACGTCAAAGAAGTATCAGTGGATCTCCTTTGCTATCAGGAATTAATCCAGGATCGCGTTCGCGCTCTTATGGAACAGCGGGAAGTTCAGACCAACTTCGTTCACCGATGGAAGAGAATCGTAGACTTTTACGATCTGATTCACCTGCCGGTCCTTCGACACATGCTTCATATGATGCAACGTATACACAATCATCCGCAATTCATCATACCGGATTGACGGAATCTTATCCTGTAACATCTTCACCTCATGTACCCGGACAAACGTTTACCGATCATCCAGGAGACGATTCAGAGATGATGAATACGACGATTGCCGGTATGCACGGTCATCGACAAGAAGACGATAGTGCGGATGCAGCACCGGTTCATCGCTCAAGCACGTATGCACGTATACCCAATCAATCCAATATCAGTTTGGGTGATTCGCCGTTGGTAAACGAACCTTTCTTGACACCATCACAATCCCGTACAGATTTGATTGCTGGTTCGAGCGAATTCCATGACGGTTTGAGCTTATACGGAACGCCCGGTCATCATCCAACGATGCGTAATCGTGAAAGTGTTGCACGTAATGCGCCAATTGGCAGTCCTGATGCAAGACGTGAGAGCATGGGAAGCGAATGGTTCTATCATGAAGAACAAAGAAAGTGAAGGCTGGGCTGATAGAAATACCTTTCTTTTTTTCGATTCACTGTATAATAATTTCATGTTGATATTCATAATCTATGTGTGACACAGAAAGTGGCTCTGAGTCTGGTTTGGTACACTTATATAGACAGACGAGGTATGAAGAGATCATACATTGGTTGATGAGAGTGACAGACAACGTACATGAACCAGGGTATGTATGTAGAGTGTTCATGCGCGGTGTAGGCTTAACGCGCTGTGTGCGGCCTTTGGATTTCGCCGTCATTATTTCACGCTTCCGTGACGATCACAAAGAATGAATGATTAAGATTTCATAAAATAACAGCAAATCAACCTCGTTGTGCTACATGTCCTGCCTGTCCCCGAGCGTTGTAGTCAAGATGTATATAGCTTCTTTCAATCCCGCTGAGGAGTTCCATGCCATAGGTGATGACTTCTCCCGCATCATGAGCTTCTTTGAGTGCCATTGTGTGAGGCAAGACGACATCCGCTTCAACAATCATATCATCACCTGCATGATAAACTTCCAAAGCACTGACACTGTTTACGCTACGGAATCGTAGAATTAAATAAAGAGCTCTTGAAATATCGTGTGATGATCCAACGGCTCCTGAAAGTTTTGTAACGGTTTCCGTTAATGTTTCCAACCATTCAGCAATGATATAAATCGATAAACAAACACCACCAATAGGATCCAATGCTGGCCAACCTAGTTTTGAGCCAACGACAGGGAAAATTAAACTTGCGATATTGAAAACGACATCATTCTCTGCATCTTGCGCAACTGCACGAACTCCGGAACTATGACTTTTACGATAGATAAACCACATAAAAGCTTTGATAATAATTGTCAAAACCATAAATGCAATTCCAATCAAAGGCAATTCTGCTGATTCGCCTGGTGCTTCTGTTCCTGTACGCATGACAGCAAACAGACGTTCGATTGATTCTACCAACACTTGACAAAAAGAAGCGATCATCAAAACGGCAAAAATAACAACGCCCAATGGCTCGAAACGCTTCTTGCCGACTGGGTATTTGAAATACGTATGAAAGCTTCGGTAAGAGATTGCTTTTGATGTACCAAAGATGATCACAGTTGATAGCAAATCCAACGCTGAATCGACCAAAGAAGCAATAAGCGAGACGGAATTCGAACTTACGACCGCGATCGCCTTTCCTGCCAATAAGAGTACATTGACCGCCAAATTGATATTAATTGCAAATTGAACACCTTTCTCCCGTTCCCCTTCACGTTCTTGTCTGCCGGGGACATGCTGCAATAATCGCATTCGATCACGTTCAGAAACACCTCCAAGTTGTGCTGCTTTACTTTGTCGTTCACGATCTGTTGATGTGCTTTGATTTCGTTCCACTTCATCAGCTTTGATGGTCTCTCCATTTGTGCCTGGGATAACAACCTCTCTAGTCTTTGCTCTAGATTGACGTTCCTCATGTTCAGCTGCAATCTTGGCATCCAATTTACCAGCTTGTATTCCTACTTCATCATCATCTTCATCAAATTCATCGTCAGAAGCAGTACCACTATCCTCTTGTGATCTTCTTCGATACATCTTCTTTCGAGGCTGACCATTGCTTTTTGCCAGTTTAGAGGAAGCAGCTCCATTTTCCAGCGCACGAGGCGTTTGACCAGAAGGCGTTACAGAACGAACGCTGCCAACATTTGGAGGAGAAGTGCTCATACGTCCAGCAAGCTCTTTGCCGGACAAAGAGGGCATACTTTCGGTATCTGCGCCAATGTCATCATCGATTGTCGTCAAGCCAGAGCCAGCATTGCGATAAGCACCAGTAGCACCATACTTCTTTGCGAACGTTGGAGGTCCAGGTTCACGTAAAGGTGTATTGGAAGCTGAGCTGGACAACAGTGCCTGTTCTTCATCACGACCAGCACCATAGAGACCTGCTTTTTGATTAGGTGGAGTTGCAGAATTTCCGCCAAACCAACCGCTCAAAGCGCTTGCTGCTCGTGCAAAGCTACTTCTTTCAATTTTACGATGCATCTCATCATCACTTTCTTCGCTTTCTTCTTGATAGCCGCTTTCTGTACCTTCACTGTCTACTCCACCTTCTAGCCAAGGTAATCGCTTTCTTTTTCCGTTGAATTGTTCCACTTCTTCTACTGAACCAAATCGAAGCATAACTTCTTCGGGAAACTTACTATCGAGAATTTCATCGACCTCACGCCATCCGTCAAGTATTTCGTTCAGCTTTTCATAGTATTCGCGAAGCTCTTTGCCATTCTTTTGCTTTCCGATTCGATTCAATTCTTCATCGGAAACCCGCTTATCCTCATGATATCCTGTTCGATCATCAACCAATCTGCCCAGAGAAGACAAATTTTGCAGGGATAGATTGTTCTTTGATAGAAAGTGTCTGCCGAGCTGTTCATTTGGATTTGCAAACGGAGATCCATGATGTGCTTGATAAGAATGATTTCGAATCATGCCGTTTGAATGGTGCGAGAAGCTATGGGACCTAGGCGACTGGGTACCATTTAGATGATAATGATGATGATCATGATGAACACGATGTTGACGACGTGCATACTTTCGTAAAGCTCTATCGTGACTCTTTGTACCGTCTATTGGATCGAGTGTTGGACTAAATTGACCTGAAGGAGAAGGTGTATCGCGCATTTTTCCTAATCTATCTTTTGCTCTTTCTTTGTTTGGTGTACTTGTTCCTGCATTTGATCCAAAGGCTTGATCGTTTATAGAAACCAAAGCAGGATTTCTTTTTTGATTTCTTGTAATAATGGCAGAAGGAGAGCTATCCCTTTTGGGTCTTTCATGATGTTTATAGGCGCACATTTTTCGGTTTTTTCTTGTTTTGTTTTTGTTTTCAGTTCAACTCCGTCATTCTAATTAGACGCCGTAAGAAAAAGGCAAATTATTAGTTTGTGGCGAGAGAAGGTTTATTGGTTGCGGAAGTGAACGCCTTTTTGCAGAAAGTTGGGAGTAGTTAATGATGACTGTTGCATGCCATTTAATCTTTCCATTTTTCCCGCTCCTCCCCCTACTCAATAGGAGGTAAATTGTGTTTGTTGAGTAAATGCACTTTTTGTCTGTGCACAAACAAATTCAATCACAGGCGTAGCGCGCGCTGAGCAGAAGAGAGCATGTACTGTACTGTACATACATACGCCCATCATATTCAAACTCAGTTTAACGGCGATCGATCAACACCATCACACACTCCTACCCGAAAACAAGGTTTGAATGAGAATAAATTGCGTCAATGCATAGTGTACAAAGCGGTCTGTAGAATAACAAAAAAGATTTGCTATTCTAGCAAGACCGAATGAGATGCCGACAAAAAATGTGCTTACGATGGATAAATCGTTCTGAAAGAGAAAAGATGAGGTGACAAAAGTGGAGAAGTCCCAATCCAGAAAATACTACAGCCCTAGCCCCGTTGACGATGTCCTGAAATGATGATGTGAGATGATCTTGACGGAAAGTGAGAAAGGAAATTGCTATTTTTTTTGGTTGAATTCAATGAATCATTTGAATGCTTGACGATAATGCTTGCGATTTAACATTTTTGACCGACAACAAAGTCAATTTGCGAGATACGAAGATGGAACTGTGGGAAGAAGGGGTCAGCAAGTGGTTTTCGAAAGAAGTCACATTTGTACCCACTCTTTGTCCTGAAGGTAAACAGCATACAACACACGGTGGAAACTGCAAGAGAAAGTGATTGTGTCAATCATGTGTGCTAGGAGTGCATGATCATCTCAGAACTGTGACTTACATCTTTGGTGACCTTTGTCATTGTCAACGAGAAAGGATACTCTGTCAGTCTCTCTGTCAATTGTGTGCACCATCTCTACTACTCACCTCACAAACGGTTGCTGATACTTGAAGATCTTCTGCGATTGTGAATAAGATTGTTGCTCCGATCAAAGGACTAATTGACATATCTTGTTGGTGATGATGAATTTGTTCAATGATGTCTTGAATTTGAGTTCGCATAAGTTTTCGCTTGCCACCAATTACTACGAAGCATCTGTTGCTGAAAGTTGAATAATTTCCTTAGTCGATTGGGGAAGAAAAGTGTTTTGTTTGGTTTTGTGTAGGCAAGGTCTTGCTCAAAATTGATTTTGATCAAAAGTGAGGGGATGGTGGTAGTGAAATTGAATAAAACTCGCCCTCTTTATATGATGAAAGTCAATAGTGCAATTCTTTGATTGTGGTCCCCACCAATTATTGGCCGGTCAAAGACGGACAAATCCAATTCAAGCGGCCTATCTTTGATGGAGAGCCGAGTGGGGTAAATGGCTGTTCATAAAAAAGGTGCTCAGTCATCTTACAAATCGATGGGCTGAAAAACAATGCGATGTTTAAGCACACACAACACAGCCAATGCATCAGAAGAGAGGCATTTTTTTATTGGGGAGGCGGGGAAAACGTATCAATTGCGAATACTTACGGAGCCTTTTTTTCCTTTCCTTTTCTTTTTTTCAATTTTAACGCCCCGCTCATTACTTGGTCACATGCGGACTTATGAGGAGGATTCGGGTTTTCCCTTTGTTCGTAAGGAAATGCATTAATGCAAACTTGAACGCCCTTTGTGTGTGTGTGTATTTCATGTAGAACGCTCTTTTCTTTTCATCAACAACCTTCTCACATAATGTATCACCACCGCCTCTTTCTCTACAACTTTTTCGGCGTTTGTTTTGCCAAGTGTTTTTGATTTGATAATATCTGAAAGGTAAGCATGATTGTTGATGCAAAGACTTGTATGTATGCATCTCTCTTTACTCAAATGCAGTAGAGCATATGGGGGTGGTAAATGATATACCTTTTTCTTCCGTAACGGACCGAAAACACTTTTTATAAAGATACCGCGCACGTCATTTCTTGTAAGATCACAAATGGCTGGATTCAGAGCGGAGTATGCTATTCATGCTTGGCATCGCTTCATCAGCCCAGCTCCTCATAGCAAATTTCATGGAAACAAACGTGTCTTTCTCCCTCTCTCTTTGCCACTTTCATTATGGGAAGGCGGCGGGATATCAGCCACAAAGTTCACTTGACTCCGACGGCATTTGTATTAGGCAAATAGTGCAAAGGACATGAAGTTCGATCGTATCTGATCGATCGATTGAATCGAGATAGGCGTAAGTATATACTCAATGGCAAAGTGAGCAGCTCACTTTGGACAGATGTATGCATCAATACATGCTAGATGACGATGACAATCAATTTAGCTCATAAATGCTCCTGGGAAATATCATGCTGCAGGATTCTGCTAATCTTGATTATGCTTGTCCTTGAAAGATGAGCAAAAATTAGCCATCCTTTAGCCGCTCTTGAAAGTGTGCATCCTGGTGTGCAAGCGGCAAAAATAGAGCAGACTTCCGATCAGATGCCCCGCTTGGCGCTCATTTTGCGCGTCCGTTTCTCAAAAATGCAAGATCGTGTGTGACTTGACTTGGCATCAATGCACAGGAGTAAGTACAATACCATCATCATCTTTTGTTGTTAATTTGTTGCCGTGGGAATATGGGGGGCCATCAATGCTACAGATCCAACCAAGCTGTGTCAACATCACCTTTATTAGCAGCAGCAGCAGCAGCAGCAGCAGCAGCAGCAGTGTCGTCATCGCTTAACAGCTTTTCCGGACTTTTTCCTTCAAATAATCCTTTACGTGGCGCTTCTTTGATCAGTTTTGAAATCTTTTCCACATCATGCGGACATCCCATTACATTTGGAAAACGCACTTTTGCGAAAAAAAAAGAGAAGTTAGTACCGGGTCCAGCCTTTTTTTCTCATTCTCTTTTTACTCACTGTCCCAATGCTCTGCTGCTTGAGGATATGACCCTATCATCGTGAAGCCAGAATGAGATTCTACTGCTCTATGTGTATAGCCCGCGGGTAAAAGCAGCACATCGCCTTCTCTCAACTCGACATTCTCTGTCGTCTGTTCGCTTGATCGATTGCGAGGATGAGCACGTTCATCCGTCCCTCCAAGTTGTATCGTTGCATGTCCCTTGATCACTACCAACAACTCATGCGTTGTCTATCCAGGCACACAGAGAGGGAGAGGTAAGCATCCCAATTAATAAGATCTCGCAAACACCACTCACGCTATGATAATGGGCTTGTTTGTACATCCCAAATCGCCATTGTGGATCCCAACCGCCTTTTCGTAGTCGTTCCTCCACTTCGTCAGCATCAATGTTGGCTGCTAATGATGCCCATCGTAATGCTGCCAGGCCATGCGGGGCAGACATGGGAGAATACTTATCGGATGAAAGTAAGATTCGTTGAACATTCGACATAGATACAAACCGCTTGTGCATAGGGAGATGATGGCGATAAGCAAAGATGAAGTCAACACCCTTGCGACTGAGACTAAGTAGCATGCTTATTAATATTGTAACAAATTTTGAAGACCTCCTTCACACTCAAGCCTTGCTGATGACAGACAAGGACTGACTATACGACTCAAATTAATGTCATCCCGCTCGAAACAACGCACTTCTTTTCATAGTTTATTCATCATATTCATTTGTGATAGTGTATTGTATCAATGTACTTCCAGTGTACGTATACCAGGGCATAGTCTAAGTGGCTTTTTTGGGCGGGCAGGCAACTTTCTCTTTCTTTTTAACTAGATTTGGCAAAGATGGCCCCAATGGATTTCCAGACGATATCTGGAGCTTGAGATGCATCAACAGGCGCTGGAAGAAGGAAAGAAAAAAAAGGTCAATTTGGTCCCAGATGAAATTCAACATCTATATGCACTTACACCAAATTCCTTGTTTGCGGTAGTAATCGGTCACAGCGGCTGTTTGAGCATGATACGTTGAAAGACGCTTTTTGAGTGTTTCTGCGTTATCGTCCGATCGTTGGATGAGTGGTTCTCCGGTAATGTCATCCTTCATTGGCTTCTTTGGTGGACTGAATTCTTTATGGTAACTACGTCCACTGCCAGGATGAATCAAACGACCGGTAATACGTGAGATCAATAATTGATCGTTAATCTTTAATTCGACGGCATGGTCTAATTTTTGGTTCTTGCTCTTTAACATATCGTCCAACTTTTCAGCTTGAGGAGTAGTACGTGGGAAACCATCAAGGATGAATCTGTAGAAGAAAGAGGCGGATTAGTTCCAGAATCTCGTAGAGTTACCACTGTCCTACTCACCCTCCACTGCACTTCTTGTTGGATTCCAATTGATCTTTAATCATACCAATCATGATCTCATCGCTAACCAAACCACCTTGGTCCATGATTTTCTTGGCTTGTTTACCCAATTCTGTACCTTGAGAAACTTGTTCACGTAACATATCACCTGTTGCCAAATGACACATGCAATTATTAAACTTTTCCAAAATTCTTGGAGCTTGAGTACCTTTACCTGCGCCTGGTGGACCGATCAAGATCATACGAACGCCTTGTGTTTGACCGGTAGGTGATAAAGATGAAACGGCAGAAGATGCATTCTTTTCCAATTCACCAATCTTTTGTTGTAATTGTGCGACTAAGCCTTTCAAATAGGATAATTCGTATGATCCACTGCTTTGATCGGGCTTCTTTCCAACGATTGCTACAAGTGAGCGGGAAGGGAGGTTTGTCAGTAAACAAGGGTCGTGATTTCAGCTTGCTGTTCAATTCAACATACATGGATCAGGAGCGGCAGGTGTTCCTGCTGTTGTACTAGTTGCCATATTGTGATGTATGCTAATGAAAGGGATATGATGATGATAAGAAAGGTGAACGTGTTGCGAAGATCTGATCTTCTTAAACCTCATTCAAAACACTCACGCGTAGGGCGTAAGTGTTGCTGCTTTTGCCGCCTGTTTCGGATCTTCCGGATGCTCACACAGAGTGAAAAAATAAGAGTGGAGGATTAAAGCACTGTAAAACAAACAATCGAACGGCTCTATCTTCGCGCGTGTGTGCCAGCTACCTACTCTACAGTGAAGAAAGACTCTAGGCTGGGCTCTGCGCACTTTGGACGACGGGTAACGCGGACGTTGTAGCGAGAAGAAAAAGGGCGCGTGCGTGCACAATTGCAAAAAACAGCATGGAGAAGATTGAACAAGAGGAGCATTCTATGGCTAGTTTCCATCATCATCTCCCTCTAACATATCGATCACAATGTTGGCCCCTCTACGCTCTGCTCAACCTATCATCACACGCTCTATCTGCCGTGGTGTTCAAGCACCAAGAATCGCAGCAATCCCGCTTCAACGTTCTTTTGCTTCTTCTTCAATCGTTCAAAAGACTTCAATTCGTTATACAGCCGAACATGAATGGGTAAAATTCGATGATGAAAATTCAACAGGTTTGATCGGGATTACGGATTACGCTCAAAAGAGTCTAGGAGATGTTGTTTATGTTGAATTGCCAAAAGAAGGTTCAGAAGTTCAACAAGGAGGTGAGTATATGCACAAAGCTTGTTAATGATGTGCAAGATCTGATCACTTTCTCTCCAAACACACAGAACAAATCGGTGCAGTCGAATCTGTAAAAGCTGCTTCCGATATTTATTCTCCCGTTACTGGCCAAGTTGAAAGTGTGAACAGTCAACTTGGTGAAGAACCTGGATTGTTGAACAAATCCCCAGAAGAGAAAGGATGGTTATGCAGAATCAAGCTAAACAATCCTGCCGAATTTGAGGAATTACTCGATGAAGAAGCATACACGAAATTGACAGAGGATGCTTGATCAATGACAGTCTTCTTTTCTTTTCTTCATCTGGAACATATCTATGTAATTTCAATTCGATCACATCGCCTTCAACTGCCAGATCGAAATCCGTTGTACGAAATAATAGATTGAATGCAAACAAAGGACTAGGGTATGATACAAGAAACAAAGAAAAAAGTGATACACTTGAGAAAAAGCCCGAAAAATCCGATTGATAAAATGTCCCAAAAAGTTCTTTTTTTAAATGTCTGCGCCAGGGATGCGACCTTTTGGCGGAGGTGACATGCTCTGTTGAGGATGATTTCCATAATCGATATAAGCAGGAGGTACTGATTCGCCTGCATTACTCTCATAAGATGTAGGAGCGACACCACCATGATTATACGATGCACTTCCAGCATGCATATGAGAAGGAGCAGCGGAGTGTGAACGGGAAGGAGGTGCATTATAAGCGTTTCCATATTGATCATAAGACAATTGAGATGCATGAGAAGCATGAGAGGGCATACCGCCATAATTGGCAGAATATTGACTTTGGTCTTGTCCGTATCCTCCGTAACTTTGATCGTATTGTGGTTCTGCAAATCGTTCTTGTCCGCCTCCATAACTGTAGTCATATCCTCCGTAAGAGCTGACGTATCCTTCTGAGTGACCGGCACTAGGATGATTATAGTCCTGTCGGAAACCTTCAGAGCCGCGATAATAACGATTATTGTTATTCATCTCATTCATTGCCATTCCGTCTTCGTAATCCGAAGGTCCGCGTTTGTGATAAGCTGAATCTCCATATGATATACTATTCCGTGGACTTGAAGCAAAAGCGTCATTATCATAATCATCTCCTCTAACGGGTGCGAATTGAGCTCTATGAGCGGCACTTGCATTTCTTCCAAATGTTGGAGGTGGATGATATGTTCCTAAATCACCACCAACTGCTGCCCTACGCATGCGTTTCTTGTTTCTACTTCTCTTTACGCAACAACAAATTGCAATAATCAAAGCTATCAACACTACAAGTGCAATTCCTGCAATCAATCCAACGAAACCCCAACGTGATCCACCAATCTTTGGTAAATCTCTCCATGTGCTCGAACTGGGTTCATATCGTTTCACTATCCTTGAAGGAGGAGCATTTGTTGTAGATTGCATGATGATAGTATCTCAGCGGGATGATGGTGAATGCTCAAGAGGATTGGATTCTTCCTTGATATCGTTGCTCCCCTTCCTTTGAGCGGATGACAAGGGAAGCTTTTAATGCGCGCCCTTCAAGCGGGAAAAGTGGAGCGCATTTCCTGAGCCAAGCCCGCTAAAGGGAGTAACTTGTCCTGTCAAAAAATAAAGATGATAATGCAGTGCAGTGCAGTGCTCGATGCAGCGTAGATTTCCACATCAACCGCCTCGCCCGCACAAATGCAAATTTTAATCATTGAGTTAATGTATCAGCCAGGAACCTAACGCGGCAGGCGTAAGCATGGCTTGCGTCGGGCAATCAATTGAGCCGATAAGGCACCGAATGAATTGTACCAGACTCTTGCATTGCTTATGTACGCGAACACCTCCATATTTTAGAATGATTGGAGCTAAAGCTGAGCATTACAAACTGATACCATCACATTCGAAATGCAATGTCGGATGATTGTAAGCGATCAAATGAACAGAATACTATGACGTGAAACTGCTTTGATGGAGGAGCAGCTCATACACAATGCCACCAAAAGAGGGAAAGCCGAGCACTTCTCATCGTTCAAAGCCTTCTTATGAGGATGATGAATTGGACGAAGAATTCGCAAAAGAGCTGGCTGCTCAAGCCGATCGTTTGACGCCAACAGTGAAGTACTATTTGACCGGGAAGAAAAAACGAAAAGCTGGAGAAGAAGAAGAGAAGGAAGAAGACTATCGAAATGACTTTGAACCGACTCCATTCGGACCGGATCCATTACAAGATGGCAATTTCACCATACAGGATGAAGATGGGGAAGGCAGTGCTCATGCTGAAATGGATCAATCTAATGATGGACACATCAAAAAACAAGAATACATGGCCAGTGAAGCATACAAGCCAAACACGTTTGGAGGCTTTCGAGATTATATGAAAAACAAACGACTAAAATTAAAGGTACAAGAAATGTCCATGTCAGATGATGAATTGGTTGCCAAAAGACGAGCAGAAGAAGCAAGTGCAAATGGCTCAAGCACCACATCAAAACATCAATATCAAATCTTATTCACAGGCGCAAACATATACATTAACGGTCATACAAATCCACCTTATGGCGAACTTCGAAGGTTGATTCATTTACACGGAGGTGAATTGATGCCTTATTTGGATACAAAATCTACCGTTACCCACATAATTGCGTCAAACTTAACAGCCAAAAAACGAATCGAATTTAAAGATTATAGAGTCGTTCGACCTGAATGGATTACCGAATCAATCGCACAAGGTAAAAGGCTGGATTGGAGAGATTTTCGTTGTAGCGAAGATTCTACTGGTGCAATGAATGCAGGTGCTTTGGGCGCACAATCTATCGTTGGACAGAAGGAGGCTTTGATTCAAGCTGAAAATGCGAAGAAGAAGCTTGAAGATGCAAGAGCGGCTGCAGCTCGTAGTGATTGGCGTACGGCGGGAAAGGTTCAGCTTGGAGATACTGCAAATGAGCTGAGAGCATATGCACAATCTGGCTCTGGTGCTGGGATCGAGAATGGCGTCGGTCCCTGGGGGAAGTCTAGTCGTCAAAGAACATTGGGAGGCTGGGCGCGGAAAGATGATGCGAAACCAGCTACTGTCTCAGCCAATGAACAAGTACCGACTAAAGAGGACAATGCCAGGGATGAAGTGCAAGATGCTGGTGCCAATGTTGCACCAATAGCACACGATGATAAGAATGAGGCTGTTGAAGAGATGCAAGACGAAGTCATACTGGAGTATGAGGCGAATGACAAAGCCGAGATGACTCTTGACCCACAGCGCATCAACTCACAAAGAGACTCCGACATGTTACCACCTTCTATCCAAATGACTGCAGAAGATGAAGAATGGGAAGACGCGCCCATACTGAATGAGAGGCTGGACAACGAGGAAGAGCACCTTGAAGACTCCACACTTCCGAAAATTGTTGAAGAGGCAACAACAACAGTCAATCCTGTCACGCCGACAAAAGATGACAGATCAAACGAAAAGATCTTTCCCTACCTCGGCACAGATCCTCCCACTGAAGCACTTGCTGTTGCTGCCGGCTTGCGCAACGTCAATCATCCGTATTCCTCTCGACCCTCGAATTCAAAAGCTGCTCAATTGATGGCCTCACCTTCTTGGCGAGAGCGTAATACAGCAACGAGTGATAGTTTCTTACAAGGCTATTTTACCAAAAGTCGATTGCACCATTTGAGCACATGGAAAAGTGAAATGCGTGAAATGGTTGGTCAAGCGTTGAGAGAAGCAAAAAGGGAAGAAGGAAGCGTTGATTTGCCTGTAGGAATGGAACGTGTCATCTTTCATATCGATTTTGATGCATTCTTTGTCAGTGTTGGTTTACGCAACCGACCAAATTTACAAAATCGAGCAGTTGTCGTCTGTCATGCCGATTCTGAAACGCCGGGAAATTCAAGTACATCCGAAATCGCATCTTGCAATTACGTCGCACGTGGTTTTGGTATTCGGAATGGAATGAGTTTAGGTCAAGCTAGAAGGTATTGTCCTTCGATTGCCACGATACCTTACGATTTTACGGCTTACAATGACATCGCCATCAAATTCTATACCCTCTTGCTCACACATGCTGATGCGATCGAAGCTGTGAGTATTGATGAAGCTTTGATCGATGTAAGCTTTTTGCTTGATGAGATGCGCAACAATATTCAAACAGAGGAAGCAGATCGAAAGACTCTTATGACATCCTACAAAGATCATCAAAGCAGTCAAGGTGCTAGCTGGACAGAAGAAAAACAATTGGCAGAAGCATTACGTGATGAGATTCGAAAGCAGACCGGCTGTGAAGCAAGTATAGGGATTGGCTCGAATATCTTGCTTGCCAGACTTGCAACTCGAAAAGCAAAACCTGGAGGATCTTTTCAGCTTGGAGATGATGAAGTTTCCGAATTCGTTCAAAAATTGGACATCGATGACCTTCACGGTGTAGGTTGGAGCATTCGAAACAAATGCAAGGATATTTTTGGAACGTGTAACGTCGGTGAGCTAAAGGACAAAGCATCAAAATCAAGATTTGTCGCTCTGTTCGGCGATAAGCATGGAGTGACTTTATGGGAAAAGCTACATGGTAAAGAACGTGATAAATTGGAATCTGTCAAGCCGAGACAAAGTTGCGGTGCAAGCGTCAATTATGCCATTCGATTTACCACTGAGGATGAAGTGAAGGACTTCATTCGCCGATTGAGCGCAGAAGTATCTAATCGATTGAAAGCGATCAACTTGGTGGGCAAGATATGTTGTGTTTCACTCATGGTTCGCAGTAAAGATGCTCCAGTAGAAGCGCCAAAGTTCTTGGGACATGGCATTTGCGATTCATTCAATCGAAGTACACCGCTCCCTCGACTAACAGATGATAGCGACATCATCTTTAACACCGCATGGAAATTGATCTCTGCCTTGAAAGTGAAGCCTGATCATTTACGTGGAATGGGTGTAAGCCTGCAAAAGCTCGAGCCAAAGGATATGATTCATACGCCGGCCAAAAGAGATGCAGGCCAATCGATGCTGAATTTCAAGAAGCAAGAAAAGCCACCGGAGAAGGATGTCCCTGTCGTAACAAACACGGCCCAAGATGACTTGCCTGAAGTGGAAGAAGAGGAATCCTTTGATGATCACAAAGACATTCGAGATGAACCGGAAGATCCTGCGCCCAAAGTGCAAGCTATGCCTGCTGGTACGCAATTTGTCATTCCACCTATTTCACAGCTTGACCAAAGCGTGTTATCGGCACTGCCAGAGGCTATTCGAGATCAGATTTTGAACAAGCAGGCAAATAATGCCAATTCAACAAAGCCAGCAGAAGAGCCTGCCACCAAGCCTGATAAGGAGAGGGGTGCTTCTCCAACAGATAGCCCAGCATCATCTGTCACAGCTACTCCCAAGAAGCAGCGAATGATTGACCCATTCGAGCGAATGCGTGCAGCTTCAATGACGCCAACAAAGAAAGCAAAAATGAAGAAGGGTACAATCAGTTCAGCTCCGTCAACACCGAGTGGATCACAAAAACGTGCAAATGCAAGACAAGCTTGGGAAGAGCCAACGTGGTCACAAGTAGATCCAAAAGTGTTATCGGAATTACCGGTTGAAGTACGTGAAGAGATTCTTCGACAATTTCAAGGGGCAGCTGGAGGTTCTTCAAACATGGCTGCAACACTTGCAAATTCTTTGGAAAGAGTAAAGAGCGATGATCGTTTATCCAAAAGAAGCATTTCTGAATCACCCAGAAAGAAACAAGCTTATTTGGACGTTCTGGGTTTGCGTGCTAAAAATCACGAAGATGCAAATGCGAAAGCAATCCTTAATAGCAATGCTCCTTTACCACCGATCATGCCTGCTAATCGTGTCAGATTTGGTGTTATCTCAAGATCAAGCCCTGGTCCGAGTGTACAGCCTGTCTTCAAAATAGACCCTAGAAAAGTGACAAGAGAAGAATTGATTGAGTTGGAAATTGATCCAGATGTATTTTCTGCTTTACCTCTTGATGTGCAAAGGGAAACACTTGATCAACAATCCACTTTGGTCGCAGGTAAAAAAGCACGATTCAAAATGGGTAGACATGCAGATGATTTGACTTATGCTCAACAAAGGATAGCGCAAAGAAAGATTGCCGTTCCAGAAGAATCGGAAGAGGCGAACCAATTACGTGCGATTCGTAAATCTCATAAGATCAATTCGCAAATTGCAATAAAGGGTAAATCAACTACCCAAGAAATTTGTGAATTGATCACTGCTTGGGTCGAGAGGTTTGCTCATTCGGGACCTCGCGAAAGGGATGTTGATCGATTCAAAAAGTTCTTGATCGAATGTTTAGAGGGTTTGAACACTAGAAAAGCATCGTGTGATGCACCTGTTGATGGTCTCGAAAGGGTGCATGCAGTGCTGACGTGCTGGACAGGATTATTGCGAAGGATAGAGTGGAAGGTAGAGGAAAATTCTACCAAGCAGAAATGGTGGGATACTCTAGATGGAGTTCGTGAAGAGGTGAACAAGAGTATCCAGCGTAGATTTGGCGCACCATATTCCATCAAGATTTGATTATCAATGCTGTATCATATTTCATGTACATTATATTACTTTAATTGTATGCGTACTTCTTACTAGCCATGCGTGCCAATAGACCAGGTCTGGAGAAAGGAGGCAAGGTGTCAGTTCAGCGACGGTATTCGTTTGATACGCATCTCTACTCACGCAAAAGGGAATGCTCTTCTTGCAGCCCAATACTTGAAAGGGATCTCGTCTGTTCCTTCTTTGTATTGATCGACAGCTAGGATAACATGTTGTGCTAAATGTTTGGGCAAGATTGCATCACTCTTTCCACCTCCTTTAACGTTCCAACTGCTATCAAACGCGGAAATTTCATCTGGCGAACCATCGACTGCACTTGCTCTAAAATTGGACAGAATTGTTCCTGGAACAGAAGCGTAAAATCGAACATGTGCTCGTTTTTGCAATGATCCTTCTTTACGTGAATGTTTTGCTTGTGCTGCTGCTTCGATCGCAGTGGCTTGGAATAAGATCAATTGAGCAGCTTTTGATGCGCCATAAAGTGGTCTTGTAGGCGCCGGAATCACAGCTGCAGCACTTGAAAGAAGATGAATAGAAGGAGAAGGTGATGTCATTTGCAAGAAAGGTAAGAATGCCGAAAGAACCATTGATGTTCCCGTTATGTTGACTTCATTGATCCGTCTGGTTGCCTCTTGTGTCACAAGTATACCAGCAACATCGGCTTCTGCGGCATTGGTTTTTGAGCTTTGTGGCAGGTTGGGCAGCAGATCAGCACGTTTCATCGGTCGAATTGGGTCAACACCTGGTATTCCTAATAAAGGTCTCAAAGCCGAAACGCCAAAGCAAATGTGAACAGTATCGATTCCTTCGAAAGCTTTTCTGCATTCTTCTCTGATTCGAACGATATCTTCCGCATTTGAACAATCTGCTGTGATAGCAACTGTTTTCTTTGATTTGACGTTTTCATATCCTGGTGCTTCATCACTCATGTCCCATTCTTCTCCTTTCTTACGTTCTTCATCACATTCTACCGCAACTATTTGTAATTCCTTTTCACGTCTACCAACGATTACCAATTGACGACAACCACGATTTGCATAAGCCAAAGCCAGTTCACGTCCAACACCTGAAGATGCACCTAAGATCAAGACTCTTTCGCGGTAAGGAGGTAAGATTGTTTGACGTGGTCTTTTCCATTTCATGAATGCGAAAATGACTGGAATCGGCAACAAGATTGCAAACAGCGATGCAGACCGTTCGATCCATAGTCGAGAGGCCGGTGATACATTGAGTAGCGATAGAAGTTCGTTTAGCCAGTACATCTTTTCCGAGATTGATGTGGATGATGGTAAAGAAAGTTACTTCTTTTGTGGAGTTGTCCTCCCCGCATACATAATCCGATTAAAGTGGGAGTGTGAATGCTCTCTCTTTTCGGGCCAGGAACGCGTAAGAAGAACAACTTTAAGCTAAAGGATCAAGGTGAGAAAGTTCTTCAACGAGAGGGGGGATATGGAAATCTAGACAAGAAAAAGAATATAAGAAATCAATGAGTAATTCTGACTGATTGGACAGAGGCAAGAAAGATAACAACAATATTAAATGGTACTCGAGCGAGGTCATGACTTGTGCAGTGAGCATACATTCGAAGGCAATGTGATTATATAATCAGTAGTGAAATCCTCCAAATTTTGAATATTTAGTCTTCTTCGCGTGAATGCTGTTGATTGACACTTCTTTCCTTAATCAATCACAATCACCAAAAATGACAACATTTGTTCCAACATTCCATCGAAATCCAGATGTGGAAAGAGGTGTAAACTACTGGCAAAGCGTTCCTGCTACGGTAGATGGTGTTTTAGGAGGTTTTGGAAATGGAACGTTGCCAATCGTTGATGCACAAGGTTCAAGAACGTTTTTGTTGGAAATGCTACCAAGACTTTCAGCAATCGCACCTGCCTCTGCTTCATCCTCTTCAGATAATGCAGTCTCGAATTGGTTAGCAGAGAGAATCAAAGAACGTGGAGGGCCAGGAAGAGCGGTAACACGAGCATTGGATTGTGGAGCGGGCGTTGGAAGGGTGACGAGAGATGTATTGAGTAGATTGGTAGATATCGTTCATATCGTTGAACCTGTTGAATCATTTCTTGATGCGGCAAAGAAACAATCTTCTTCTTGGCCAAGTATGAACTTACCTCCAAGCAAGACAGCTTTCAAGGCTCGGAAAGCAGTTCATTTTCGTTTGAGCACTCTGCAAGCTTTTGATCCTGCTAAACCTTACTCGTCTTCCATCTCTTCAAATTCGAAATTATCAACAAAGAGAGTCAAACTACAAGCGGGTTCAACGGAATCACTCTATGAACCCACACTATCGATTGGAGACGAAGGAGAAGATGCAACCAGCTCGCCCGGAGCACTTGAAGCTGTTTCAAAACAAGAGCCAATCGAATACGATGTCATTTGGGGTCAATGGTGTTTGCAACATTTATCAGATAAAGATTTGATTGCATTTTTAGAGAGAGCAAAAGCATGTCTACGAAAGCCAACAACATCAAACAAAGAATCTTCAACAAATGCAATTTTAGACGGATCAGGAATTATCGTAGTGAAAGAAAACGTTTTACGTGCAACCGAAGATGGATCTGAAGAAGTTTGGTATGATGATCAAGATCATTCAATCACTCGAACGCCAAACGCATACGAACGTGTTTTCCGTCAAGCAGGATTAGAAGTCGTCAAGACGCAATTACAACTCGGTTTACCAGAAGAATTATTACCGGTACAAATATGGTGTTTGCGTATTCCATCTTCAACCTAATCTTTGCAGCAACTCTTTTATCCCCGATATATGTATTATTTTCGAGCATTTCCAACAGCCCACCACCACCACTTTTACTGATATTTGAGGCGCTCATCGCCGTGGTCCTCCTTCTTCAATATGACAAACACTTTCCTGTGACAATGTGAAAAACTTCAGTTTATGATTCAAAGCTTATTTGCGGGTGATTAGGGTAACTATAAGTACATGGCAATGACAGATGGTCATTTAATAAAAAGTGAGAAAAGAGGTGAAGATGGGTTGTAAAAACAAAAGAAATTTTTCGTTTGTGAATTCCCTTTATTTGTGAGAACGAACTTCTTATTTGAGGAGTTGTGTAGTATACTGAACCAGAACAAGAACCCAATTTTTTGCGTAATTAACAATATGTGCTTTGGAAAAAACATTAATTTGACTGTAAGTTTTAAGTGGTGGTTATCTTGAGTGGTGATCATTTGATATAAGACGATGTATATTCAATGATTTTGTTTCTCTTCAAAGTCTAGGAGCGTACGCCGCTAGATCTCCGAGTGTTGCGACGAGTGGAACGAGTGTTGGTCGTTGGTGACGCTTTTGATACGCCCTTGGTCTGCTTGACTGGCGTTCGTGTCTTCTTTCTTTGACTTTCATCTTCCACCTGATCTTCTTCGTCTTGCATGTCAGATGTACGCTTACCGCTGCTCGTGTCTTTGATGGGACCCCGAACATCTTCATCAGCAATCTCGAAGGAGGTATTGGCCAACTTTCTAGCTCGAAGTAGATATTCGCCTTGCTCCCATGCTCTGTCTAGTTCCGACAAACAAACACTCTCCGGTGGACCGAATGCCATAGGAATTTGACTGTATCCGTTTTCCCCATCGTCGTCATCTTCTTCAATATCAGAAGAGCTTGCTGAATCAAAGCGAGTAGATTTGCTCAATTTGGACTTTTCATTACGAGCCCCATCAGCGTATGAAGGCGGAAGAGCCAGAGGAGTGGGCTCGCTTTTGACCAATTGAACGTTTGACATTAGAGGACTGACGAAAGCACTGCTTGGGTTGGGGCTTGAGAGCATTTGACGTTGAACATCCAAAGAGCCTGCGGGACCAAGTAATTCCGATGCCACACCTCCGACATCAGCTTCGTCGTGTGAGGGGTGAGCGTCTACATCTTCCGCTTTAATGACACTTTCGGTGACCAAAAGAGCTTCTTTGGCGCCTGAATCGTCATCGTTGGGATTTGTCATCTCATCATACGGCAGCGAAAGCGTCAATGCTCCTGCATGAGTATGCGGTCGATTGGCGGACGGCTCCAAGGCGTGAGCAAAGACGGCATCCCGAGTCACTGTTCGACTTCTACCTTTTGGTTCTTCCACTTCTTGACTGGTTCGAGCAATCGTTCTATCCTGACTGCACCTTCTCTCATGTCCATCGCATGTCGATCGTGGACTTTGAGGAGTAGTAGCGGGCGTATCGTCAATATCGCTACTGTCATGACTTTTGAATGCGCGTGGGCTGCTCTTTGTCGATGCTGTCGTTGCTCTAGGCTCATCTTCATCAGCATCACTCATCGCATCAAAGTTGTCATTATTGAGCATTGCAACATGGAAATCATCTTCCTCTTCTGCAGCGCTGCTCTCTTCATCCTCAACCTTTGACGGAAGATTGTCCAGCTTGAAACGCAAATATGGCACATTAACTCCTGCTCGATCCCATGACCATTTGTGCGAATTTGGCTGGGTTTGATGATGACCATAGCTGGATGGTTTGCTGCTTTGTCGATGAAGTGTGATGCTACCTTTCAATCCGCCTCTTCGCGAAATCAGTGGAGGAGGTTCGGAACCAGCGGCTGAAGCTGCGGAAAATGATCGCATGAGATCCACTGTCATTTCTGCGGGCGCTTTCGAGATGGATTTACGTGACATCTTTGAATTAGATGCAATCGGAATGCTTTGGAAGCCACCATCAGAGTCGTATGCGTCATCTTGAGTCGTGGTATCAGCAGGCAGCAATTGACTTGCTTCCATAGTGTCAGATTCAGAAATCGTGCTTGTGCTTGGCCTGCTCAGCTTGATCTTTTGAATATGACCAGGTTCACCCTTTGTCTTCTTTTGAATCGACTTTGGCTTTTGTGATACATTGCTGATGCGTTCAACTTCCTTCTCTTCTGGGCTCGTGCTCTTTGTTGAAGTGCGGCCCTTGCTCTTGGATACAGGAAGTGTAATTGCATCATCCTCGACGTCTTCCCCTTTTGTGATTGTTGAAGGCGGTCTGGTCATCGTGCTTGGACGACGTTTGCGCTTTCCAGGACCAGATACTAGCTCGCTCATGACCGAATCTGTACTACTATCGCCGATTGCCGGAAGACCGCTAGCTAGGACACTGATTCTATCTGATGATGGGGCGTTGGTTAATGGTACCGAAGTCTTCTTGGTTCCACTACTTCGCTGTGGTGGTGGAGATGGAGATGGTAGTAGTCTGCTTGACGGTTTGCGAGTTCTGGTTGATTCTCGACGGCGTGGAGGTGGGGATGATTGTGGTTGCTTTGTCTGCTCATCATTAGTCGAAAGGGTGTGTTGATCTTCGATCTTTTGCTCTGGCCTGATTGACGCAGATTGTTCCTTTTTCACCTCAGGCTCAGTATTCTCGTTCGTCGAATCCGCTACAGTGGCTGCAGAAGTGGAAGATCGAGTCGACCGTTTCTGCCCGTCTGATTTGGATGTTGAAGAAATGGATTGAGAGATCTGGTCGGCCTGGTTGGGAATGTGATTTGAGCCAATCTCAACATCTTTGAGAGACTTTTCTTCATTCTCATGTTTGATCGAGCCAGATTTTATATCCTGCTTTCTTGCTGTTTCATTATTTCGAAGTGATCGAGCTGCCACCTTGTGCGCAGCAGCTAGTGCAACTGCCATGCTGTATTTTGGGCGTAAGATCTGAGGAGAAACGTCAGATGTGAATCTATCGTTCCTTCTTGGATCGAGTCGAGGCGATTGAAGAGGCTCTACCTCCAACTGAGGAACAAGGTACGAGTGGCGAGGAGAGAAATCTTCTCTGACGATAGGAGTGTGTAAAATATGTTGAAATGAAGAACTTGCGTTGAATGAAGATTAGGCAGGCACAGACCTCCTAAATGTTCGCAACAGTATAAATGACCGATAGCCCCAGGTCGTGCTTTTGTGCTCTGGGCAACTTTGGAGGTGGAATAAGGTTATCGAAGCTCCTTAATCAGAAGCTATGCTTGCTGAGCGTATATTGCCTCTGTATCATTCCTTGTTTCCCCTTACGCACAAGTCAAAACACTAATCAACAGGCCCAAACGTTGATTAAAACGTTAATGACACTCTGTAGAAGTTAGTGATTTGACAATATAGAGACAACAACAATGTGTGCCGGCGTATAATTCAGTGGGACCAGTGCGAATGTGACGTATTTCTTCTTCGGATCGACACTAAGCAAGCGGCGGTGCTTGAATTGATGAAAGAGTGATGACAGAAGCTGTCCAGTGACAAGGTGTTGATACAACAAAAAGAGATTTGTCGGATGATTCAAGGTCGAGTTGACAATTCGAGATGCAAAGATGTCAACAAACCGGATCGCAAGTCCGGCAGTGTTTATCCCTACCACGAAGGCGAGAAAAGTTGAAAGCTGATAAAGGGTGGCGTATACGTGAATTTGTTTCCAACTTCAATGAAGAGTCAGAACAAGATATCGTAACAGGTTGGTCGTAAAAAAAGAGTGATGAAGGGAAGGAAATTGGTAACAATGGACGGCTGAGCAAAGAAGTTGATGACCAAGTAGAATGTGAAGCAAGCAACCTGTTGAAGTATTTCTGGAAGTATGGCCAATAATACTTTTTTCACAAGTGTGCTAAAGTGCCTTCATTCTCTGCCGGAAGCATGACACAGGCTATTGTGCGTGATCGGAAAGAGGCTGAGCTTGACTTCATTACACATGCTAAAAACGGCGCGTTTTTTTTTTCTTCGCTGACATACATACGAACACGTTTGTATTGTTAAAGTGCCTTACAATGCACACAACACGGCCGCATAAGGATGTAAAAAAAGAGATTGCTGCCGTGCGCGCGCGCGCTTTCCAAAATTGTTCGCCTAAACTGATTTCATGCACCGTTTTAGGGAAAAGAGACAGTATGCAGGTTTAAATGTCTTCTTTTTTCCTCCGTGCATAGAGTGGCAGCTTTGTGAGATTCCATTTCTTCTTCTCGTACCACATCAATTTACAACTTCCAAAAAATATACAATACTACTAGCACGCGACGCGCTCCCGATATCCTATCATTACCGTGAACGATTATCCATTGAAAACTTGATTGTTATTCATTGGTTACAAGCATCACATTTCAACAAACAGCAAGCATTCAATCTACTTTGCATTCACTTTTCACTCGATCAGAAAAGCTAATTTGATTGCAAGAAAGAAACCATCCAGCACGCGAACAGTTCAATTCCACTTGACATCCTTGCCATCCACTTTCATTACTCTTTTAATCAGCATTCATCCACATCTTCATTCATCTTATAATCAATCACCCTTCCATCCAGCTAGGAAGATGACTTTCTCTTTCAACGGTGGCTTTCCATCCGCTCAAATGCCTGCATCCGAGATGCAAGCTACTTCACCTATGCCATTCTCAAACGATCTCAACCGCAAACGCAAGGATATGGATGAGACTGAAGATGATCAACAAAATAGCGATGTTGAACGTCAATCAGTCTTCAAAGGCTTGCGCAAATTCGCCAGTATGTCAAGGAAGAATGGCGGGGATGAACAAGCACAATTTCATCCGCTTCCATCTGACTTGAACATGAGGCTTTTGACAAATTTGGGTTACATTGATCCATCAAATCAAATGCAATTCGATACTTCCTCAAGGCCAAGCCATTCACCCACATCATCTTTCTCCGACTTCGGAGGTCCTTCAACTCCAATCGATTTCAGTTCTGCCGAATCATACTTTACAAAAGGTATGCGACGTGATTCAGAAGCAGAATATCCCGACTTCAACTTTTACCCCACCGGCGATAATCGTCCAAGAACGCCAGGCCTTTTGGGTATGCACATGGAACCTCCATCCGTTGGCAGTCAAGACGCCAATGGAATGCAAGTTGACGGCATGGAAGATGTTACACCCGCTGCGCCAAAACATGGAAGTCATTGTAGATCCATTCCGCAATTACACGTTCGCAGCGAGGCAGGAATCTCTTCAGAATTGTGGGCATTCTGTGCCGATTGCGGTTCCAACAGCAAAGTGGAAGGTGCCCCGATCGGTGATTCTCTCTCCTACTCCCCCTAAATGTACACTATGACCGCTTTTTCCTTTCTTCTCTTATCTGTATCGTTCGTTCCCTAGCCGCTCAGCACATCAAGCACAACAAGCACTCTCAGAGACTTTTGCTTCGACTCTCTCCTTCGATTTTTACTTCTCGAATCATCATTTCGGCCTATCCATCGAAAGCAGGCATAGATCGTTATGACCTGTCCCTGCCCCTTTTTTTTCTCGTTTTCGTTCGCGTCCCTGCCTGTATCATTATTTTTCCGGATGTGGAAATGTGTCTTTCCGGAGTGGTTTATCAAACAAACTCCAAGTCAAGGACTACCTTTCTGTTGTGTACCTTTTTTGTATTTCATAGAAAACAACAAACATGGATTTCTCTTATCACTTGTGTGCATTTGTGGTATAAATTGATCGTGATTGATGATACTATACAGTTTTCGAAATAAAAGCATCAATGCGCCACCTTTTTCGTCAATCCCATCCGCCTGCGTTTGCGATCCAACTTTTTGCGACTCATCTGAGGAGGTGTACGTGGGCGTGAGGATGGTTAGCAATACAATTTTCAAACACAAAGCTCTTCTTTGTTTACTCACCTTCGCAGCCATTGCATCTAAACGTTCTCTTTCCTCCTTTTTTCGTTTTCTTTCCAAAATCTGATCACGTTTTTGTTGAGCGATATCTTCTTTTGCTTGACGCATTTCACGTTCTTTTTGTTTGATCGCATCTTGTTTTGCTCGTTCTTCTTCACGTTTTGACCATTTCGTTTTGCGTACAATTCCTGCTGTATTGGACAGTGCAGGTGCCCTATGGGGACGAGAGGCTAGTTTTGTACGTTTTGGTGCAGACAACAAAGCTGCTTCTGAAACGGCTGGATCATTTGCGACTGTTGAGCCTTCTTTACTGCTCGATGCAATTGGATGTGACATCTTTCAATGATCGATCAATGATTTGGTAGCAAAGGAAGAAGCATTTCATACTCCAAAAGTTTTCGCGCGAAAAAGCTGCAAGATAAAAAAATTAAGACTGATGCAGAGCCTTAAATTTGTGTGATTATTTAAGCAGATATTTTTTTGAGATTTTAAGTTCTTCTTGAAAAAATTTGGTAGAGCCTTGCATATACGCTACTATCCAATCAAATACTCTTCTGACCATCATCAAAAAGCATCGATTGAAAAGATGCCTGCACTTGTGCCAACAGCACCTGTTTTGGCTGAACCTATTCAAGTTGCCGCAACATCACTTTCAGGTCTTGCAACTTCATCAAATTGTACTTTACAGGCAATTCCAACACAATCTTCCAATTGTCATGATGTATTTGCACTGGGTGAAGTATATCGATTCTCAGCAAAGAATATTCGAAAACGTTCAAAAGTCTTGATCGCTTATGTAGCACCTTCCACAGGTGTGGTGGTCTTGGATGCAAACACGCAAGCCACTGTATCTTCAGCCTCCTTTTCGTCTTCTTTACGACCAATCACTCCACCACTCGTACTGCAGGACAATAAGTTCTTAGCAAGCTTTGTTGTTTTGAAAAGTCGATCATCTGACGATTGGGCAGAACTGCACGCTTGGATAGAAGAAGATCAAGGACCATCAACTGCTCCGATTATAAAATCGTACAATTGTCAAATCGATGACGATATCATCTCACTTCATCCTCTCTCGACATCAGAGCTTTTAGCACGTCATCATGATGGACACTTTTCTATCGTCGAATTTCAGTCATTTAGCGAACCAAAATTCCATACAAAGTCGACCCAGTCTGAAAAACTGCCCTCTAATCGTCACACGCTCTTCATTGATGTTTTTGATCGTACAGATATCGCATATTTGCCCGGAGATTCGTCCGGTAGAGCACCAGCACAAGCCTTGATTGTACTTTTGACAACAGCAAAGGAAGGCAGTAGTGCATCTACGAACCCAAAGCGAAAAGGCAGAAAGAGTGCGATGGAAGTGATCGATGCTGCCGAAGCAGGGAATATGAACCAAAAGTCAGAAAGTGCAGTCAAAGTAGAATACTTCAGTGTTGGAGTAGAAGGTTCAGCAATCGATTCGCGAATAAGGAAGCTTGGGCAGACAAAGATACAGCTAGAAAAAGATGAAGTGATCTCTAGTGCTTCAGTACGATCAAGCGGTGCTCTGTCCATGATCTCAGAAAATGGCCGATTGATCAGCGCAACACTACTTTCGTCACAAGACGGCTCACCAAGAATCGAAGGAATTAGCTCTTTGAATGTTTCTGGAATCACACCTTCTTCGAATACAGCAATCCTGCGGACATCGTTATCGACCGCTCTACTCACTTTCTCAACAGTCCCATCTTCAGGGCGAGCACTACTCAATACACTATTAGTGGACACCGAATTGGATTGTGTATTGGCAGAGCAATCATGGAAAGCCCCTGAAGACCATGCGCAAATATTCATGCAACCCTTGAATATGACAAAGATCGCATCTGCGATCACACTTGCGATCCCAAAATCGTTAAAGCAAACCAAGCCATTGATTCACATTTGGAACACTTCTTATCAAACGGGAGAGGGAGGTCATCTAAGATGGGCATTAGGCTCGCGTCATCTTACACACAAATGGATCGTGTCGGCAGTAGGAGATGATCAAATAGGAGCATCGAACGAAGTCGATGGAGCAAGGAGCCATGAAGGATTGATTGAAGAGCTAAAAAGGATTTCGACTTCTGCAGATAAAGGAAGTTCAAATGCAAAAAGCGTGGAAAAGGCGTTCGATGATTGGCTCAAGTCGCATCAAAATGAATCTCTTCCTCAAGCTTTTGTATCTGAGCTTTTGACTATTGCGCTACCGTTGTCCGATGTCGCAAACGATTCCGAGACAAGTTCTGCCAAGCCTTACCCGAAAACAATCGTGCATCACTTACTCGATCAGAATCTCGTTCATGGTGTTAGCCTTGAGCCTCGTACTCTGGTAACTGCTTTGAGCTTGGTGGGCGATTGGGATGCAGTGTATAAAGCATTGCAAAGCGTCAAGGATTTAAGCGAAGACGATGTAGTAAGGACGATTCGACGGGCTGTTCATGAAGAAAGTGCACCAACAACGAGGCTGCCAACGATTCTCACTGCGATTACAAGAAATCAATTCTCATCCGCTGAATTACGCAAAAGTATGAAAGATCGATTGGACGAAAAATGTGTTGAGGCAATTCTGAGCATTTTGAACAATTGGCTCGCTCCAGCAGATGGAGATGCATTGTTGAAAGATCAGCAAGCAGAAGCCGAACCAGACAAGCCGAGCTTACTGCAAGCACTGACATTTTCAACGGAAGTTTTGGACACGTTCTTCCCTTTGATGCTCGTTACACCTTCATTGCAAGCAGACGTACAGCAATTGTCTACGCATGTTGAAACACATCTCTCAAAAACAAATGTGTTGAACCTTTTGCGTGGACCATTGGCAGCATTTGCCAAATTGAACGATGATCGCGTACGTGAAGCAGAACATCAAGCTGCTCAATTGACAGCCGAACTTGCTGCACTTCAAGGATTGGAAGAAGTGGATGATATTGAAGCATTGAAACGTTCTGAAAAATTCGCAAATGGTCTTTACAGAACAAAGGGACCAGATTCATCTCGTGGAAAACAAGGCAAATCCAGTTCACAAGCCAGTATCGCTCAACAAATTGGTGCTGGATCTTTATCCAAATCTGGACAACGTCAACTTACACGCAAACAACAAACATACGCAAACAATTTGGCCGTTGGACAATATGCATTGGAAGAATTTAATCCTTAATTTTGAAACATATGTACTATCATCAATAGGGAGAAAATAGATGACAATTATCAAGAAATATCAGACAGTGAAATGTTAAAAATGCTACAATTGAAAAAGTATGCTGATTATGTTGCTCCGTCCGGGGGTGAAATAAACGTTCCGTTGAAATAAACTGTTGCAGCTCTGGTGAAATCGCCGAGATTTCCCGAAATAGAGTTATAGTATGCTAACCTTAAATAATGCGGTTGAGAGACGAGAGTGGCTAAAATATTGCTTGGATCTTGACCGCCAGGATAGAAAGTGAAATTAGATTGTGTGTTAGCCAGTTCGATTGAAGAAAGACTTGAAGTAGCACCTGTACCGTTGAAAGCGATGAAATTATTGGCCAAAGTACCGAGATCGTAATACGTTTGACTGGATTGTAGACGTAAGACATCATCGATCAAGAGTTGGTAAGAATCCCATTGATCTGTTTGATTGGATGGAATAGGCTCCCAATTTACCAATCCAGACATCGATTCGGACAATTGCGTCAAGTTGCTAGAGGTGTTGATGACCGTTGGTGTAGTTCCATTAAACGGTGTAACACCTACAAAGTTGGATGCGGCCAAAAAGACTGGAAGTGTACTTCCTGAGGTTGCAGATCCTCGAATTACGGCAACATCTTGAATGATACCATCATAACTCCAACGACCAACACCGTTGAGGAATACACCCAAGAGGAAAGCGGAATAAATCAAAGATAGTCGAGTCTCGAATGCACAGAAGGGAATGATTGCCAATGCAATGATATAATGGTGCAAACGTAATCCTGTAGTTGGAACAGCAGCCAAAAGTCCGATTAAAATACCTCCAATTATGATCATTGATAGATATTTGGGTAAATAACCAGTTTTTCGGATTACACGTATTTGATTGATGGCGAGAACGAGGACGATAACGATTATCACGATCAAAGAAGTTAAAGCGCCAGGCTCATCTTGAATATCACTGAGAACCAATCTGCTCAAAGGAACATTTACAAAAACTATATCCAGCATGACACCGATCCAGTAAAAACCTTGAACCCAAATTGTACCTTCGATGGGAATTTTGTTTAGCATTTGAGAGGTGAAACGATAATTGACACGCCATAATGCATAAGCCACGAAAAGGGTAGGAAGGAAATCTCCAAAGACGTCACCGACAGACATAGGATACTCCCTTGGTTCTGATAAAAAGTTTATGTGGAAAAATCCAACACAAACCAAAGTGAAGAAATAAACGATTTGCTTTGGTCGCAAAACAAATCCAATCCAAGCCAGCAAGATTATATTGAGAATATAACCATGACTTCGATTGTCCTCGCATTGTTCGCCATGTACACCTTGATCGAAATAAAAGCTGACGGGGAAAGTAGAGTTGAAAGGCGTCGATGAGATTCCATATCGGTCTACGCCTTCATATCCACTATAAGCTCCCACAAGCCATGCTGAACCGCAACCACCTTTGCTTTTCTTGATTGCGCCAGCATGAATGGCGGCAGCGCAAACAAAAGAGTCTCCACGATAGATATAGGGTGAATCTGTGCCAGCTTGACTTGATTCGATGCTACTGCTAACATTTGATCCTCCTACAACAAGAGGTACCCAAGCAGGAAGCTGATCGCCTACTGCTCTAGGACTTCCAAGGACTGTAGTTTGACAATTTGCAGGACATCTAAAATTGTATGGAGAAGAAGCACTGAAAGGAGCACAAGATTCCCCATTGTATCCGCATTGCGAGTTCGCAGTCCAAAATGATGTCGTGCAACCGTAAAAGACAGTGTCTGACTGAGCTCCGTCACTCGAGACAACACTTCCTTCATACCATAGAGATTTCGCGAGGAATGAGAATCCTAAAACCCATCCAATCAATGTTAGAGCCAAAATGCACCAATGAAGAGCGTTTAAGCGAACATCACGTTTGACGCCTTGCCACCATGGATCGCCATCCTCTTCGGCCACCTTTGAAGAAAGGTGTGTGCCGCTTTGCAAAGAGTTCGCTCCGTGAGCAAGTTCGACATCTTGTCGAGCGTTGCGTTTATGGTGATAAGGATCCTTCCAGGCGACTGGCGCGGTAATCTTTTGCCAACCTCTCTCAACGGATGCGAGTGGCCACCAAGGATAATGTTTGATGGCTAATTGTGCTCTTGGTCTTGGTCCAAGTAAGAACGATCTGGCAAATCGCATGAATCTATTTGAACGTCCTCTAACTTCGAACGTAGAAGATTGATTACGCATTCCATGACCATCTTGCAAGATAGGTATAGATTGATGATGGAAACTAGCATCTTTGGAATCAGTCTTGGAACTGATCTCCTCGCAAGGCGTTAACATTGGATAAATGTCATCGTCGCTATTTAGAGTACGAGATCCGTGAGAAATTTCATTCTCTGGCACGGCCATCCTTTCGGACAGAGAACGTGGATACATTACCCATAATGCTGCCTTGTGAATTCTGTCATCGAGTTCTTTGCCGGTTTTATAGGTGGCAAGATTACCCTCGTGCGCTTGTAAACGAGTCATATCTCGAACGAGCCATTTAATGCTGCTTATATTCGTTGTTAAAAGTGTTTGACCGTGATTGAGAGCAGTCATCATTGACATGATCGTATGACGGGTTTGACGTAAAGCGGCAAAAGCGTTATGGGATGACTTTGAACGTGAATCAAAGGTTTGCATTCCCAGTGACAGAGATCTTTTGGCAATCTGAACGAATTGTTCATCAAAGGTTGTGGTATTCGTCCCTTGTCGTTTAGAAACCTTGTCCTCTTCTATCACTGCAACCGGCAACACGATCTTACTTCTGACACGATTTTCCCGATCACCGTCTTTTGACCAACGAGAGGATTTCCAAATATCTTGCGCTCGTCCTTCTTGATCGAACAGACAAGTCGCCCTTCTCTTTTCATTATCACCACCAACCAACGAAACAATCTCTGCCATCTTGTCGCGCGCCTCACGGGTACATGTTAGATGAAGATATCCATCCGAAGGTTCTTCATCGTCCACGTCCTCCAAATGACGAACGAGAACGTCAAAGAAACAATCTTCCGTCATTTCACGACGAAGTTGGTCGCTCAAAGCACGTGAATGTTGACCTCTTCCTTCGCCATTTTCACCTTCTAAATTGGTCACTTCCGTATCTTCTGCATCTTCGGTAATATTGTCATTATCCTCTTCACGCCAATGCGTTTTAGCGAAAAGAGCTTCCGCATTTTCTGCACGATCAGGGAGAGGCATATGAGAAATGTGTGAAACGAATGCGATAAGAGCAGAGAGATCAAGATGCAAAGTTTTCGTTCCACGACTTGGTTGCAATTTGGGAGGCATCGGGATTTGCATAAGTTCATTCGCACCACCATCTGTGATAAAGTTTGTCAAACTTTGAGCAGATAAGGCGCTGGATTGTTCGGCTTCTGCTGTTATGATCTCAACGTTGCATTCTTTTGCGTACTTTATTATAGCACGTAATCGGGCCTCATATCGATATTTTTCTTGATCATCATAGAATTTACCTTCGATACCTGTTATGCCAGCGAGCGGTAATCGATTAAGCAAGAGTTCAATTGCTGGCCTGCCATAATGAGAAGTTTTTGCAAGATGCGAGGCGGCAGTGTTCAGATCGTTGATCAGCTTGACTATAGATGATTGCTTTGCTGCTATATCCAGTTCATCCTTTGCAAGACGATTGTTCATTTCCGTTATCGTTTGTGAGCCATTCATCTGTTCCCCTTCTGTGTCACTTTCATCATCTTCGCTATCGTCATCGTTTGAAACGTAGCTTTCAGCGTTTCGAAATTCAGACAAAAGGCCGATGGGCTTCAGGGTTGAAATTCGAATCCATCTCTTGCCACTCTCGCACACGATGTCCACCTTTGCAGGTTTCTTTTGTTGTCTTGATGCTGAAGGCGTGTCATGTACGGCTGGAATGGGGAAAGTAGCATCCAAAGCAACCAAAGGACCTTGACTTTTCGCTGCGTTAATTGCCCGTTGCCAAATTGTACAAATATAAATCGCATTCGATCCAACACAGGGACCATCAGTTGAACCTGCATCTGAAGCTTGTTTTTCTAACCAACTCAATTCTTTATTGATTGCTTGTTTTAATCCACGTAATCCTCTTATAGAAACAACATGTTCAAAATTGAACTGTTGAAAATCATGCCAAGCATAACCTGTGATTGCATTATGACCTCCTTGATGATAAGATGACCATGCTCTAGATGCTTGATCGAAATGATGAATGCTATTTGCCACACGTTCTAATGCTTTTTGTAATTCTGCGATTGTGGGTGTGTCTTGTCTGGTATCATTGTCGACCATGATTATAACGAGTAGATCTCAATGGTGAGAAGATGAGAGGGATAAAAATGATGATAGCATGACTAAAAACACTTCTTCTGCTTTTGACTGCAGGATTATGCATTGTGTGCATACAGCAAGCAAGCAATATAGAGGCCCAAGATTTAAATTAAAATTAAAAGTACAAAAACAGGTGATCAGCTAAGAAGACAGAGATCATCTGCACTAATTGCCGGTCCCACTATTCTGGGGTAAGGAACGATAAAGATTCCCACTTTACTTGGCTTGGCTTCCCGACTCCCTTTAACGGTGAAACGTGATCTAGGCGCGGTCTTTTTTCGCGTTTAAACGTCTTCTTAAAGAATAATATGATTGTGCATACATTCAAGTTCAACACTGTTCAAAACAAATAATCTTCTTCTCTTTCGTCGATCATACCATCTTCTATCGCATCAATTAAGCTTTCGTGCCTGATCTTCCATTGCTTATCCGATGGCATCCGGCAGTAGCGGCTCATTCTTCGGCGCCGCTCAAAATGTCGGCGGCTTTGGGTCATCGCCTATGCGAAGTGGATTGAATACAGGGGGAGGTGGAAGTTCATTTAGCACTGGACAGCAACAACAACAATCTTCTCCTTTATCAGCCAACAACCCCAACAAACAAGATATGTCTTCTTCAACATTCTCATTCGGAGGATCACCTCAACAGCCAATCACTTCGTTCAGACAACCTGAACAAAGTGGAACTCCAAGACAATCTTCTTTTCGCAATTTACGCAGATCAACGAGCGGGGGAAATCCTATAAGCGCGGCATTCGGCCAGGGCAGTCATTTGGACACTACCACGCCAAAGTCCGTTCGATGGGAAGATGCACCAGAGTTCCCGATGCAACAATATCAGCAACCAACGAACCAAGGGTTTGGAAGTTCGACTAGCTATAGTCAAAGTCTGAGCAACAGCTTTGGACAGCAGCAAAGAAGTAGCACTTTTGGTGCTTCCCGCAGTCCCTATCAATTGAGTAATTCGACGACAAATATTTATCCCAACATCTATCCATCCCAACCACCAATGCAGCCTCAGCAGAACAAGCCTGCAGAGCAGAACCAATTCGCTGCATTTGCACCTCAATCGTCTCTGGCTGTCACTCAAACTAACAACACACCGGCAAAATCTGCCTTTAATTCATCTTTGGCCAGCTTGTCCAGACCTCTTTCAGTATCTACAACGCCAGCTAGAGCAACTGTATCAAAAGCAGCATCAATAGTCAAACAGGCAACAACAACACAAACACCTCTTCCAAACCCAAGTCAAAATGCACACCCGCCAAAGGAGGCTGTGATCACACCGAGATCTGCCATTGTGAATCGGATCAAATGGAATCTAGCAGCTTTGCTATTGAACTGGTTCTTGCCTCGTATACACCCAATCACCACATCGTATTGGTTATTATTGAGTGCAACATTGAACGTATTCGGAGGTGATTCAGACGTACAGCTGGCAAGTGCGTTGTCGTGGTTGAGGAATGCATGCTTTGTCGTTTTGTTGGCCAATTTGGCAGAAGCTTTCATTCGGTTGCAAACGTATCAGGATACTCCAGCCAGTTCGGCATCTGGACCTGGTTCAGGCACAACGATCGGACAGACTGCTCGTAGACCTTCCCTTGCCAATCCACCCAATCGAATTGTGTCCTCCTCGTCACCCAACAACGCTGCTCCGACGAACACAAGCCTGTCAAATGCACGCAATACGCCTAGACAATATGCTCAAGGAAGTCCATTGCGCGATAGTATTCTTCGTGCAAGTGCGAGTGCAAATGCGTTCGAGGGTACATCATCGCCATTAGGAGAAGGATTCAGAGGACCAAGTAATTCACCAAGATTGCAATCAGGTCGCAAAAGTAGTTCAAGTCCAGCAGCAGCCTATTTGGCACGTAGACAAGATCGTTTGGTGAGCGGAAGTGGTTTAGCAGATAATAGTTTCACAGGTATGGGGGAGTACGATGATTCGGCAGATTTTAGTCATGATTCCATCGAGGTGAATAGGGCTATTCGAGCTTTGAGCGCGAGCTATCAGAGAGAACTTTCACAAAGTCTTTCGAATGAGACGGGATCAGGACGTGGAAGCGTTGCAGTGTAATTATAATAAGCATTCAAATGAACATGATCTAGATGAGATGAGAAAGATAAAATAAAGATAAAATTCTAGAAACGAATCGCCCTTAGTTCCATGGTTCTTCGTATACACGGCCAGATGGTTGACCGGAACAGCCGTTTGGACTGTAGTTCTTCCTTGCGTATACATCCAACAAGAAGTATAAGTACGTATAAATGTTATGTTTTGCCATTTCTGGATCTCTGTGTGCCAAATCCAAAACATTTGCATAATCACGTTTATCGAGTTGCATCAAAGGTGAAGATAATTGTGGTACTTGCATAAACAAGGATAACAAGCTGATTGGCCAATATGTTGTTGGCACATTATCATTCAACGTGAAATCGTTTTGACAAATTTCTTCAAGATATAAACGATGCGTTGAAGGAGCAAAACTTTGCGGACAAGTAATCACGGAAATTTGTTTGGAATGCTTGCGATTAATTTGCTCTACAAAACCACCTTCTGATGAGAAACGTTTTGAAGAATTGCAAACTGTCCAATCGTCCGTTGCGATTCCATTGTCCTCGGTTTCATCATCTTTTGTTCCGCAATGCAAAACAACATTCTTCTTTGTACCTTTTTGTAAACGTGTTAAAATACCGATTGGAGTGATCAGTTCAGCACCATGGTTGATATGACCAAAGTACTTAGCAACTACCGTCGAGGTTGGTGAGCTGTACAGGGTATCCAATCCCAATTCAACAATTTCTTCTAAATCTTTTAGAGCACGTTTAATTTGCAGTTGATGACCGTTATGCGTGCATGTTTTGTTATCAACAGGAAGAGCGAATGGATTGTCTGTGCTAGTACCAGCATTAGCACGTCCATAGCCACCACGCTTAGAAGCAAAGACGATGTTGAACGCAAAGGTGAATGCAAGAAGCAAAAATGATGTTTGAAGATGCATATTTGTTAAAGACCCACTCTATTACAAAAAGAAGTGATAAGTGAAAACAGAAGGTTCTGTGAGAGAATATTCTTTATCTTATATCATTTTAGTGTTCCTCCTCATTTGCGTCATTTGGCTTTCAATTTCGATGACGAGTACTGCTGTGCCCCAAAGCACGTTTGCGGATCTCATTCATCGTACGACCCGAACAAAAGCATCTTTACGCCGTTCAATCTTGACAAATGGGGTGCTTCACTCGCACGTAAAGGATAGAATGTGTACTGCTCATTCTAGTACACATCAATAGCCCCATGAATACTGCGGTGAATGATGACTGAATTCATGGAGCCCCAAGCCTCCCCCTCAATGATGCATGGAAGTGGGGAGGAGTGTTGGTCATGTGGCATTGCCATCTTGGCTTTTAGCTGTGCATGTATTCACGCTTATCCGTTTGGCAGTGGATGGATGATTTACGTGTCTGTGTGCTTGTGCGTGCGTGTGTGCGCCACGCAAAATAAAGGGCCGCTGCTGAATTAACCCCGTCTGTGCTGAAAAATTACTGTCAGACACACGAGCATCCAATGTAAATCACACATCACAATCAAACCAATCATTTCCCCCCCTCCCATCACTGATTTCGAAAAAATATTTGGCGGCGTCATTTCTTATTTTTGCGGGGAGATTGTTTTGGATAGATAATACGCGGCATCAAGATTGCATGATACGTACATTATAGTTCGTCCATGCTATACGATCTAACAACCTGATTCGATCATAGGGGCACCATTACAACGGTTGCCCAAAGATCACAAACAAGATGGCTGCAACTACGATGAGAAGAAAGGGTAGCAGTAGCGGAGGAGACCATTCTATGGGCACACAAGCAGGCAACCAAACGACCTCACACGGAAAGCGTGCAAGCGTAGGAGGCGGTGGTACGCATAGACAAAGGTTTGTAGATCCTAGCTTGATGATGTCCACGAAAGGATCAGATGAAGGAAGACCCTTAGGAGGGGCACATGCAAAGAACAAGTCATCCGATCGATTACATCGCATCGGAGGTGGAAATAGTAGTACCAACCTATCACATTCAAAACGAAGCAAATCCTATTCACAAATTATGAATGCTACCGGACAAAGCTCTAACAAGAGCAAATTAAAAAGGGGCAAAAGTGAAGGGCAACCAAATGCTCAACAAGAAAATGAAGACGACGAAGGTTGGACAAGTGCAGATCAAACGACTGATACAGATACGTCAGGTAACCCAAAATCGCAGGATGATAGCGAGGAAGAACCAGATGAAGGTCTGGTATTTGGCAACAAGAACGCCAAAGGCAAGGCAAAAGCTACAGCCAAAACTCATGAAGGCTTTCAGATAGGCAATGATGCTAACCAAGCATCCTCAGAGCAAATCACTACACCACCTGTCACCCAGCCCGACCAAACGCCTCTTGCAAAACCAGTCACAATCACAGACGATGAGCCCATCCCTCTCACAACACCTCAATCTGTCAGTCATCAGAAAGTCCAAATCACTGCTGAAAAGGCTCCTGATGCTCAACACACCCGTCAATCGTCCGATGAGACCTTGGCTGTGACGCCCAGAGAAGAAGCTTCTCGAGCAGTCTCTTCCAGTCCAGAAGAGCAAAAGACGATTGAAAGGCGACCAGCACTTCTCTCGCGTCACACATCATCTGCTTCAACGCATACGCTCACAGGATTCAGAGATGATGTGAGGGGAGTTACATCGTCACCTATCTCTACACGATCAGCTAAGAAGAGGATGTCTTTGCTGCCACGAGAATCGTCCATTTATGCTCAACCTCAACTAAGTACGGAATATGCATTTGCTGGTGGAAGGCATGGAAGTGAGGGCGTTCCTGGAAGCAGTAAAAGTAGTAGAAATGTAGGTCATCGCTCTTCTGATTCAAATCTTGGTACTGGAATCACTGTCAGTCCCAGTGACTCTAGCCGATTACATGATCGTATTTCAGAGTCAACACCACACTACCGATTTGGAACGACTGATTCGATGGAAAGAAGAAGAAAGTCGAGTGTGAGCAGCTCAAGATCAAGTTTTATCAACCTACCGGGCGTTGCGCCTACTTTGGGTACAGTCTCTCATGATTCTATCAAGGCAGAATCGACAGGAGCTCAAACTTCTAGAGCTTTGGAAGCTATGCAACGTGCTTCGATTGGAGCAGCCAATTCAGTCTCTTCGCAATCTGCTTTCTCCTTACCTCATGATCGTGATCAGGCTAGAAGAAGCCTATCTTTCGAAGGCGGAAAGGGTGCGATTAGTAGCCCCAGCAGTACGGGTCCATCTGAAGCAGCCCGTTTGGCGAACAAATTACGAATGACAAGAGGTAAAAGTGGCGATGACGTAAGTACCGGAGCATCGATGCCAAGTACAGCTTCGCAAATGTTGGCGAATAGCGGAACGAAGTACTTTATGGGCATCAAAGGTGATGGACCAACGGCTAAATCATTAGCACGGTATAACAAGCCAACGGTCAGTGTTTTTGTTAATCGACAAGACGATTTCAAAAGTGCAGAAGAGACGGTGGAACGTGGTAGTCTATTTGATGAAAACTTTACTCGTGCAAGTGTTGGACATGCAAAGATTCCAGAACATGAAGAAGAAGAAGGTCATGGGATATCATCGAGGGATGATAGTGGAACTGTTACCCCGTCTGATGGCACCACTGTTCGATATGTGATGGATTATGGTCTTAGTGGTCCAGCTATTCAAAAATCGCAAACTATTCAAGCATTATTAGCGACTTGCATTGACAATGACGAATTTGAATCATCCTTTGCTCCCGCTTTGGCCAATGCCGCTGGCTTGGGTGATAGTGGCAGTCATGGCAGAGGTATTTCAGCGGGAACTTATGCAGGTCAAGGTGAAGGTGCAGGATTGGGTGCAGGAGGCATTTATATCAATGGACCTAATGCCACTCCATTGCATTTCATTCATGGGCTCACAAATACAAATGACAGTCCATTCCCACTTGACGAAAGCGAAATGAACGGCGGAGGAGGTGATCATGGCATGTTGGACAGTAATGGTCAAGATGGCGAATATGTTGATGCCAAGAATTTGCGGGCCGTTGCGTTGACTTGGGCTGCATTGAATGCGACAAAGAATCACATTGTGACAAGAAGATATGTTGATCCGATGCGTGAAAGTATTCAACGTGTTGCACTTGCGGGCGGTATGAATATCAATCCGGATTCACAATCGACAAATAAGAATGATCTTATTGGCTTAAATCATCATGCCAGCGGATCACATGGAGATTCTTATTACGCGTCTGGACGTTCTGGAAATAGCGGAGCGATGACGCCGGGAGGCACATTGAAATGGGGATGGCGTCACTTGTTCCAAGAACATAATTGAATGAAGAGCGATTCAATTCTACCACGAATTTTCGTTTTTGATATCATTGTACTTGTATGTTAATCAATGCATTTTTTCTTCTTTTAGCTTTGGTTAGAATGTTCTGCCTTCCAAAGACGGCGTTTGGATGAAAAATGAATACAAAGCGGAAGCGTAATTCGTCGATCGCTGCCGCATAAATAGCGGACGGACGTACACGCTGTTCCGTCCTTTGTTTCCTTCTTTCACTTCCAGCTCATTTTGCGCCCTCTTTTACATCAATACACATACGACGTCACCGAGTTTGTTTAAATACCCCCCTTGGCTTTACTCAAATTCGAATTGGAAGGCCGTCGCTGTCCATCTCCTACTGCTCTTCCTCTTTCCCACCCTTTCCATCTTTCAAAGGTGTTTTAACATTCGTTTCTTACCTGATCAAATTGATCTTCTCACGATGCGTTCCTCATCAAGCAATACTTCGCAATGGATCGTATTTGGGTTTGTATGGCTTTTCAGTTCACTTTTGCTGGTTTTGGCATCCTCTCCAGAATTATCGTTGAACGAAATCAAATATGCGCTTCATAAAAGAGGATCTGGTGAGCCTGCTCGATTACACAATTTCAATGGAGGTATCAAAAGAAGCCATTCAACCAGGAACCGTAAACGTGATGAAACTGAAAAAAGTTCAGGTTCAGATGATAGCAAAAACAACAAGACTTCAACTGCTGATACTAGTTCCGGCACAGATGACTACAAGTTGACGTGAGTATGAAAGTGGCAGCTTATTCCAGATGAATGATAGTGACTGACTTTGTCCGTTGAATATCAGTCCCTCTTACTTTGCTCCAAATGTGTCTGAGGCCCATGCATTGCTTTCGAAGAAATTGTCGGTGAACAAATGGATGGGTACACATCGTACAGATTTTATTGCTTGTTGCAGTGAAACATTGGCAGCGGAATCGGAAAAATTCTCAAAGAATGAGACCTTTGGCTGGTTCCACTTCCAACAAGATTTCGATAAATCAAAAGTTATCGATGAAATTATTGTTACGGTTGACGTTGCTTGTTATGAAGTTTCACAATATGATCCAACGGGAGAAAAGCCAGGTTCGCCCATCAATGAATACACACAAGATGTAATTGATAAACTTCAATGGACCAAAGCAAAGGCAAAAGAAGATGCAAAAACATTGCGGGAAGCATTCGCCAATCAATCTTCTTCAAATTCAACCTCTACACCAGAGAAGAATACAACAGGCTCTGGTGCACAAAAGTCGCAAGGTGACAACTCCGAAAAGGGGGATAATACGAGCACAGAGAAGAAGACAGCCGAAACAACATCTCAAACATCCAATGACGACAGCAACGAGGGAAAGACAAACAACGAAAGCGGTGAAGACAACACTGCAAATGACGAGGCCAGTTTGAACGAGTCTTCCACCACAGATGACAGCTCAAAGGGTGCAAACGATTCTCAACAGTCCACAGAAGACAAGGGCAGTAGCTAAGAGTGGACGAATGCATGTCATATTACGTACAAGATTAGAGTAAGTTGGGCGACAGATTCCCATCATATATCAGCGAAGAGGTGTACTTTGTTACCTTTACAGCGCATTCTGAATACCGCTTCCGTATTATTCATTCCTTTCAATTCAACACATTTTGGTCCTTCTAAACGGATTGGATTGATGACTGGTTCATCATTGTTCATTCTGCCGCCGCCGCCGCCGCTACGTCCTTTTTTGTTATTTATTGTCGAATTTTTTGCCATCAATCTAAGATATTGATCTCGTTCATCAACAACTCCGATTGTGAATGTGAAATCGAAAACACCATGTGCATCGATGGTGAAATTACTGCGAAAGGTGACGTTATGATAAACTGCATTGTTGGCAACTGAAAGTTGTTTTGAATGTAAGGTATAGCCGCCCGTCAATGCATGTTGAGAAGTGAATGCAAGCCATATGCCGCTCAATCCATCTTGCGGCATGATGGATGTAGTATTTGTGGTTTTTGTTTGATTACCGTGAGTTGTAGAATTTTGAGAGACGGAGGAAGTAGAATTCGAAGAGTTTATCGTTGAATTTGAACCGGGAGCATGTGGCTTATGTGTCTCATTCGTTCCACCTCTCCATCCCAAAGCAGACATTGCTCCAACACTGCCAAGCGGAAAGATTGTACCGTTCAAAAGTGAAACGATTGATCCTTTACCATTATTGTGCGGTTCACCAACTTCGATCTTATAGTCATACGAAAGTTTCGTTGAATGTTTTGCAAAAGGGTCTAGTAATCCTAAATGAGAAACGTTGTACTTTATCGATTCTTCTGCCGGTAATGTATCTTTCAGTGCTGTCCCATTTCCGTTCTGCGGTAGGTTCTCGTCAGTCATATTGAAGTACATCTTCGTCGCCCCGTCCAATCGTCTTCCATCATCTCCTTCTAATGGACTTTCATTTCCGTACAACTTTGCAAAGAACCAAGAGATCGGAGTTTGTCCAGGTACGATCGTTCGATCACTCTGTATATCCTGACCAAAATTGTTGGAATTATTGAACGTACTGGAGGATTTTGATTTGATCGCTTGTCCATTAACAGGCAAAGGAATTGCTTTTTGTTGAGTGACAAAATTGGTAAAATCGTATGCATTCGATTCGGAAGCGAATTGTAGAGTGCAAATGCAAATCAGTGCATTCGCGAAAAACGCTTTCTTCAAAGTCATAATGATGGTTTCGTGTCGTGGTCATTTAGTGACAGATCTCTGTCGGAGAGTCTTTCAGTATTTATATCTTCTGGTCATCCTTGTCAAAGGCGCTCTCAAGTGGTTTGGCGCACGCTCATGTTGACAGAGGCGTATTGCGGCAAGAAGGGCAAACATGAAGACAGCTTCGCCATCAAGCTCAATAAATAGTATCATCGGGTCATAGATTGTCCAAATAAAGAGATGTAGTAAAAATATAGAAAAGAGTGCTGAGTGTATTCAAAGAGAGTTTGAATGATGTATATTTGAATGACTGCATCAAAGCAACAGTCATGAAAAAAAATCGTGCACAAAGGCATTGTTGTAGAATTTCCCGATCAACGGAAAGAGAAGATCAAACACAAGCTTAACTCCATCAAAGCAACGCAAATACGATTGCGCCTGCTGTGCTTGCCAAAACCAATTTGCCAACATTTAGCTTAACGCCATCACTGCTCACACCGCCACCGCTAACGCCTTGCGAATTCTCCTTGCCCGTATAACCGGGTATTTGGGATGGTGAAAGAATTGTTCCTTGACTGAAATTGGTAGGGGATGGTACAGCGGTGTTTGCGGGTGGAGTGTATCCTGAAATTGTCTGTAGACCTGTTTGACTTGTGATTTGACCGCCACCACCACCTAATGCAGCCTGTTAGAGAGAAAGAGAAGAAGAGATTAGCATATTGCCCATACAATCTTTAACATGATTCGAAGCAATCATCATCAAACCAATGACAATCATGATGACACAATCATCCATAAACCACTTTCCCTCCCAAACAAGATTGAACGCAAAGAAGAAGAGAAAAGGGAAGTAGCGAAGGAGCAAAAAGTCTATAGTATGCAAATACCACTTCAGATGAAGTGGTCAAAACGAAGAAGGCAAAGTGGGAACGAAGGAAGGATCAAAAAGAGTTAAGATTCTTTGTCCCTGACCAGCCATTCTTTGACCATATGCACGATTTTGACCGTGACGCAGGAGAAGATGCCCAAAGGGCATTCTCAAATCTGCTTAATTCCCTTGCTCTTCTTTTGCTCTTTATGAATTGCTGTTCAGATGAATGGATGCAATGAGCACACATCTTTTCACCTAAGACTGTCTGTTGTCAATGTGCTGTGCACGGATATGACAGTCGTTCATTCATACCCCTCTTGAAATAAAGCATTAAACTTAATCCTTCGTTTCTGATGCATCTCTTCCCCTTTTTTTCATGTTTCTGTTCTTGTTGCATCATGAAACGTTGTATCTTACCTGTCGTCGTTGTAATTTGGGCTGGTCAGGGCTGGCTGTGTGTAAAGCGCGTCGATCGTATTGTTGGAAATGAAGTTGTTTTGGAGGTGATTGTTGGTCGTCTTGGTCGTCGTTGTTGGAGATGACGTTTACTTCGGATTCGATGTTGTCTTCTTTGTCGTCGTCAGAAGTACTCACGCCTCCGCCATTATTTGCTGCTACTGCTGTTGTTCGTACGGCTGTCGTTCTAACTGGAGGAGAAGTTGTTGCTGCTGCGCCCAAAGTGACACCGTTTGAGATTGTGATTGGATTACCGTTTGCATCTACGGTTGTGATAACTGCGCCTGCTGCTGCACCTGCACCAAGTGCACCTCCAGCTGCGACTGTACTGTAAGGTCTATCTGAAACGGTATCGAGATCAGGATCAAGAACGCCAGTATAAACGACGCCACCGTTTGTATAAGTGACTGGATCACCTGCCTCTTGTGCTGCCACTTTGACAGCAGAGAGTGCCAAGATGGTAGCAACGGAAGTCGATGCGATTGATAGACGCATGTTTAATCGACCAAGTAATGCTCGTTTTTGTCAATCCTTTTTAATCGTTGTCGGTAGGATGGATAGAGGAGTGATGATGATGATGATAATTGTTTATTAAAGGGAAAGAGAGAGTAAAAGTGAAATTGGGGTCAAAATTGGAGTTGCGCTGCAAATAGTAACGCGAAATTATGGGCAAAAGGCGGGCAGACAGGCAGGCAGACGGGCAAAGAAAGACACGGTGCACCGCTACTAAGCAAAAGCAAGAGTTTGTGTTGTGCAGCGCACATATTCGTAGAATGTTTTATCCCTCCCTTTAATGCAATGCGGGATTTGCGCGCCTGTTTATTTTCAACACATAATTCCAATAAGCAGCAACAACAGGCACCGGCGCACTTGAAGAAAGTAGAAGAACGAAAAGAATCTTGTCTGCCGCGCGCGCGTTCGATCAGCAAGCAAACTTGTACGGCTCCCTCAGGGGTCTAAAATTAAACAGATATTCCCTTAAATCACTCTCAATCTTATATAATCTCAATATGTTCTATTCGGCACACATCTAGAGGTCGGTGAGTCCTTATTTGTAAAGACTCCCATTAATGGTTGGTGAGTCCTATTTTTATCCCACTCTTGTCAATAGGCATTAAAGTCAATTTCATCATGTCCATGAACAGGCATGTCAACTCTTTATCCATTTTAGGCACTTAGACTCTGTAAAGATGCCGGCGCGTCAACTACGCTTTGCTTAGTCTGGCAATGTTGAGCCTATTCATCACGTGACTGTTGTTTTCCAGTGCGTGTGCGTGTGGTTAGAAGATTTGAGAAGATCAAAGATGTTAAGAAGAATTGATATCAAAGCTACTTTCTTTTCCTCTATCGATGGCATGCTGAATACCGTTTTGATCATCACACCACATTTACGACTTCCCGCATCGTGTTCAAAACAATTCAGTAAACAATTTTCAACTTCATTCACACTTTCAACCAAAAAACGTGTAAAAATGGCACCAAAGAAGGCCGCCGCTGCAGAACCAAAAGCCCGATTGGGTAAAGTATCGAATAACTTACGAATCGGTATTGTTGGAATGCCAAACGTTGGTAAATCATCATTTTTCAATTGTTTAGCAAAAGCAGATTTAGGAAAAGCTGCAAATTTTCCATATGCTACAATCGATCCAGAAGAAACAAAAGTTCCCGTTCCTGATGATCGTTTTACATGGCTATGTCAAACTTATAAACCAAAAAGTGAAGTTCCTGCTTTTTTGACTTGTATCGATATCGCAGGTTTAACGGCAGGTGCAAGTACAGGTGCAGGTTTGGGTAACGCTTTCTTGAGTCACGTTCGTTCCGTTGATGGTATCTTCCAAGTCGTTCGTTGTTTCGATGATGCAGAAGTCATTCACGTTGAGGGAGATGTGAACCCAGTTCGTGATATGGAAGTGATCAGTAAAGAATTACGATTGAAGGATATCGAATGGGTCGAAAAGCAAATCGATACACAAAAGAAATCCGCAAGATCAGCAGGTAATAACAGTCTAGAAGACAGAAAGAAAAAGGAAGATTTGGGAACGATGGAAAAGGTTTTACATATGATCAAAGAAGAGAACAAAGATGTTCGTAAAGGAGAATGGAACAATAAAGAAGTGAGTATTTGCTAATTGCATTAATCTTGAAAGATGAAAAAGAGAGCAGAGACTCTCGATCATTATAACCCAGCTCGTCGATACCTCTTAACGCGGGGTTCAAATGAGAAAAAAAGTTTTACACTGACTTTGCACAGATTTAGGACGGACATGATTACTGACAATGTTTGTTTTCTTTCCAACAGATCGACGTCATCAACTCAATGATGTTGCTAACAGCCAAACCAGTGATCTACTTGGTCAACTTGAGCGAGAAAGATTACGAACGCAAAAAGAACAAATGGTTACCCAAGATCAAAGAATGGATTGATACAAACAATCCAGGAGATCAATTGATTCCATTCTCGGTTGCATTGGAAGAACGTTTGATGGGCGAAGGTGGAATGGAAAACACAACACAAAGTTTAGCACGTATTATTCGTAGTGGATATGATGCACTAGATTTGATCAGATACTTTACATGCGGTCAACCTGAATGTCGTGCATGGACGATCAGACGTGGAACCAAAGCACCACAAGCAGCCGGTGTGATTCATTCGGATTTCGAACAAAAATTCGTATGTGGTCATAAATTTTCATTTGATGATTTGAAAGAGTTGGGATCCGAAAGTGCCGTTCAATCTGGCGGTAAGATTTCTCAAATCGGTAAAACTTATGAAATGGTTGATGGAGATATCGTTACTTGGAAAGCAGGTGCTTAGATTAAAGTTTTTTTCATTGTACATCATACCTATCCTTACCTTTTGGCAATGCGATTGCTTACATTTTATTTGGCGTGGTGAAAAAGAAGAGTTGCGCTTATGCGGTGATACTCAAAAGCAACAACAGCTTACAATGAGCAGATAAATCACGGCTCTCGAGAGGATGAGGTGTCAAATTCATTAAAATCAACCTTGTGAATCTATATATACAGCTATCAATACGAGAGAGAGAGAGAAAAAAGCCATCAGATCATTCGCCCTTTGCCATCATTCTACGACCTGCGCAGCCAACACGATGAACCATCTTTGTTACAACGATCAAAAAACCTTTTCGGGATGATTTTTCGTCATCTTTATCATCACCCTTGTGATGATGCCACCATGGCAATTTTCCGTGATGACCATGTCTGCCAAACGGAGGTGGTGGTCGGACAGGTAAGCCTGATTTGATATTGAAAGGAGCTCCTGCCGGGAAACGGAAAGCCAATGAAACAGCAGGGAAATTTGGTTCAACTGGATGATGAGGATCTTTAGGCTCTTCTTCTTTTGCTGCTGAAGGTGGTGGTGGAACAGGTTCTTCCGGTGGTCCTTCATGTTTTTTGTGTGGTGGCTTGTGGTGGAATAAACCAAGACCAGTGCCGGCAAATGGTAATTTGAGTGTGCATACGTACACCTTCTTGTCTTTCTTTTCCTTCTTTTCATCATCGGCAAAACTGTCTGCTGTTACTAGAGGAGTTTGTCTTGCTTTCTCGGCAGTACGACTGACGGTGACCATAACTGTTTCTGACTTGCCCGGTGGATGTGGACCATGAGGGTGATGATGAGGTGGTGGAGGTGGGCCATGGGGATGACGAGGAGGTGGTGGTGGTGGACCATGAGGATGGTGATGTTCTTCTGCTGGTCCACTTGATACTTCATGTTGAATATTGATCGTTGCTTGTTCTAATGAGTGATCCAAATGAATTGCAGACCAAGGACGTTCCAATGTTAAGCTCAAATTGACCGAAGCTTTTGCATCACTGATATCCAAACATTCGATCGGTACAGGCAATGGTGGCCCATGCGGACGATGATGAGGAGGATGAGGAATATGATCGGGCAAATGTGGTGGGTGAGGAAGTTTTGGTGGAGAAGGAGGTTTTGGAAGTGCAGTTGGGATCGAGCTTGGGATTGGCAATCCAGCTGCATGTTTGTTGTTGCCGGGATAGTAGCGTAATGGGTTGTGTGCTTCTTTTCCAATAATTTTTGATAAAGGAGAGTAATCTTTCATGAAGAAGACTAGACCGCAAATAGCAATGAGTGTGCAAGACAAGCGAACAATATGACGAGCAGCGCATTTGCTTTTAGATTGGCAACCAATACGTTCCTTCTCCGTTGGCTCATAGGCGATGGGTAATTGTGATTTACCATCAACGTCTGCCATCAAAGATGCTTTCTCATCCTCCAATCTGATGCTCATTTTTGCGAGAAGTACTTGGTGGTTAGCTTTTTGTTGAGTTGTGAAGCAAGACTTGTTAAAAAGAATTTCTGTATGTCTCTATATATGCTTTCTTGTGTATCGCAATAAGCGGTGCCTTTTCACCCGAGAGAATTCTCCTGAACTGTCTAAATGAAGTGTTTCGGCGTTGTTCAATTTTGGCAAGGAGATCGAGCAGCTGCCGGAATGCTGTGATGATAAGAAAGGAGGGGGGAGAAACAATAATCAGATTACCATCGATCCTTTCTGTATTTCATCATATTCCAAAAGATACACACCCAGACCTCTCTCTCTCTCTTCGGGATTATGTGTGTGTGTGGGTGAAACACAATCCTGGTGCCGTTTTTGTGCTGTAGTGTGTGTTTGTTCTTTTTATAGTATTGTAGTATGCGCGGCTGCAGCACAGTGCAGAACAGCTGATAAAAATAAAAAAGGCGCCGCTTTAATTAGGTACAATTGCCGCCGCTTTGTGCTGTTGTTACACTTGTCAATCGTGTCAAAACGACAAGAAGAAATTAAACACTTAAGATTAGGCTCTGCAAGGCACTGCTTCTCAGCCGAGAAGCCACTTCACAGCGCAACGGCAAAACGGCGTGCACAGCCCGACGGCTATGAGCAATGAATGAAGCAGGAAGAGTCTTAATCTCAACAAGACACACTCTAACATTACCAACATGAATTTGCGGAGAATGAAATGACAATTGCTGGCGTTACAATAACTGATGGTCTATTTACATAATCGGCTTAACATGATACATATTCGTCTTTGGCTCAGCGGGCGTTTGACTGGCAACCGGTTTAACTTTGTACATCTTTGAAGATGAATTAGCCGCTTGTTCGATCGCATCATTTGCGCCAACAGTGGTAGCAGTAGCCAAACCAGCAGTTGTAGCTGCTGCTGCCACAACTTCTCCCGTTTGTCGACCACTACCACCAGACTTCTTTTCTGCTTTCTTCTTTGCTTTTTCTTCTTCTTTTTTAGCCTTTTCTGCTTTTTTCTTTTCACGTTCTTCGGCAGCCTTCTTTTTGCGTGCAACTGTATCTTCACCTTCTGCTGCTGCTTTGCTCTTACTGCTCTCCACCTTTCCATCTGGGATATGAATGAATTCTCTAAGTCCATCTTGTCCTTGTTCGTTGTCCAAGATGTAGTAACCCTTACGTTCGAATTGGATTGTATCTCCACGCTTTAGCTCAGTCACGTTGAAGTCGGCCACTGCATCTGTTGTAAAGATTGTTTGTGGTGTGAGGAAATCGCTAAATTTATCATCTTCTTCCAATTTCATTTTTGTGATCAAGAAATCGAAATCAAGCAATCGGACTGGTGTCAATTTACGTTGAGTATTCTCATCTGTTGCCAACCATGTTACTTTCTTCTTTGTCTTCTTGAAGTCACCTTCAAAGTGTGCGTCCAATTCTAAACTTTCCACTACACCTTGTGCATTGACCTTCTTATTGCGGACGAAGACATTTCCCCAATCCATCAAAGTAACCTCTTCATCTTGATCAAATGATTTTGCATCTTCTTGTTCAAGGTAGACAACTGAATCGAAAATGGTCGTCTTTGTACCTGCATCAGGGTTCTTTTTGTGCTTGGGCATAATCTTTTCCAACACACCGTGAGTAACCCCATTGATAGTGCATTTGACGATATCTTTCTGTGTAATGGCAGTGAAACGTGGAACGACTGGATCCAAAATTCTCTTGTTGATAGTCCAAATGCTATCCCATTCCATATTGATCACTTGTTGACTCGGTCCGGTTGCCAAGATAAATTGTTGAATACAGTCAACAGTCATTCCGCGACGACGAATACCGCGAATTGTGGGGAATCGAGGGTCATCCCATCCGGTAACGTGACCGTTATCTACGAACCATTGCAATTTACGTTTACTCAAAAGAGTGTAAACAAAGTTCAATCTTCCAAAGTCCCAAATATTAACAGGTCTGAGCTTGAGCTTTTCTAACATCCAGGCGTATTGCGGATTGCGGTCACGGTACTCATTCGTACGCAATGCATGTGTGACACCTTCAATAGAATCCACAATCGGACATGCGAAATCGTACGTTGGATAGACTTTCCACGTTGTACCAGTATGATGATGAACGGAATCAGCATTGACGCGATAGATCACAGGATCACGCAAAGCTTTGTTGGGATCATCAACGCTCATCTTGGCACGCAAGCACCATTTACGTCCAGTTTCAGAACCTGTCGTCATTTCTGCGAATCTTTCCAAATTCTCCTCAATACTAGCATCTCGTCTGCGAGAAGGGATACCGTCCATTCTTTGTGCACGCATTTCCTCTTGTTCTGTATCATCAGCGTATGCATCTCCTTGCTTGATCATTTGGATTGCGCGACGGTAGAGCTCATCAAAGAAATCTGATGTATGACTTGTAGCATCAGCAGTGATACCCATCAAAGCAAGATCTTCAATGATTGACTGCTCAAACTCCATCTTTTCCTTGCTTGGGTTAGTGTCATCGAAACGAATGATGAGCTTTCCCTTGTATTTGCGTGCAAAGTAATGGTTGAGGATAGCTGCCTTTGCGTGACCAACGTGCAAATATCCAGAAGGTTCAGGCGGGAAACGTGTGACCACTTGACCTTCTTTAGCCTCATCTCCAAGGAAGATATCGAAAGAATGAGCTTGCTTTTGAGCAACACCGCCGCCTTCCTCTTTCTTGGGAGCGGATGAAGCAATTTTGCTCTTCTCTGATGCAGTTTCTTCCATGGCAGAGATGCTGGAGGCCAATTTGTCAATGTGAGCAAACCATCTTGCAAGATGTTCATGAAGACCTTTCTTCAATACACCCATGAAGACTGGTGAAGATCGGAAAGCGCCCCAAACGGCAAAGTCGGCAACAGTGAGAGTGTGACCGGATCCGACAAGGTAGGTGCGTAGAGACACTCGCTGATCCAACTCATTTGCTTGTTCAGCTGCTTCGGTAAATGCGCTCACTTTGGCTACTTTGTCCACTGCTTGATCGACATAGTGAGCCACTTGACCACTTTCAGTGCTGTCCTTACCAGCAACTCCCAAGCTAGCATAGATGTCTGCGATTTTCTTCAAGACTTCCTGTAAGCCTGAAGCTTTCTCGTTACCATTATTGACTGTTAATCTAATGGCATCTTCGTTTGCCTCCACTGAAGTCCATTGAACGGTAATAGGCAAAACGGTTGTGGTTGAAGAAGGCAGGGTAGCGATGTATTTGGCTAAAGCCAAAGGAGCTTGCAGGGGCTCCTTGCTGCTGATTGATAGCAGCAGTGTAGGTGTAGTTTTGTCCATCCTTTTTACTATGGTAGGAAGAGGTAAATGGAGCAGACTTTCAAGATCTTCCTTTTCTGAAAAAGTCTTTCAAAAAAAGTTCCCAGCGGCATCTAACCGCGCTAAGAAAGAAGTCTGCAAGGATTGACTGCTCCAGCACATCACGCGGACTTTGCAATACAGCGCGGCGCACTGGCGTGGTCCAAGCGGGCAAGCTTCTATCAGGAAGATTCCATCATTCTTGCCATCATCATCAAAGGGGACTAGTTCGCACAGTAGATACGATGAGGATCCAACAATCCATTGCTCTCACACTTTTGGCCATCTTTGCCACTCTTTGCAGCCTCATACAGGCTCAAAAGGCTTCCGGTAGTAGTGGAACAGCAGCAAAATATCGAAATGCATCGAAACAGAGTTCCAATAATGTCGTTCAATTGAGTGGTGAAAGTGATTTCGAATCGCTCGTCAGTAGTCAAAGAGATTATTCCGTTACACTCTTGTTGAGTGCAGTAGACTCTCCACCCGTTCAATGCGGTCCTTGTAAAATCTTCCAACCTATTTACGAACAAATTGCAAAAGGGCTACGAAAGTCAACACAAAAAGACGCAACAAATCAACACATTTTTGCCTATTTGGAATTCAAGAATGGCAGAGAGGTTTTCCAAAAGATGAACCTACAGTACGCCCCCGTCTTGCTCTTCTATCCACCCACTGTCGGACCTCGTGCCTCTGCAAAGAAAGAACCAGAGCAATATGACTTCAATCGATTAGGATTTGAGGGAGAGGATGTAGCCAATCACATTTCACAAAAAGTTGGCTTCAAAGTGCCTTACACGAAACCATTCCCATGGCATCTAGCAGGTGTCGCCACTGCAGGAGCAGGTGCGTTGCTCTTGCTTGTTTTCGTCATCTTGCCTCGTCTTTCTAGAGCGATTGGATCAGGTACAAATCCCGATGGAACTCCTGCAGGAATCACAGTAGGTCTTATTATCGGATTCATCTTTAAAGCTCTCGTTTTGGCTTTCATCACAATCATGTGTGCTGGTCATATGTGGAACGGAATTCGTAATGCTCCTTATATCACTACAGATGGCGCAGGAAAAGTTCAATATTTCGCAGCCGGATTTCAAAATCAAAATGCAGCTGAAACGCAAATCGTTGCCGTTATTTATGGTATCTTGGGCTTCTCCGTGGTTTCATTGACGGTATTGGTGCCCACGCAACGTGATCCTGTCAAACAAAGAGCGGGCGTTTATGTTTGGTCGGCAATCTTGCTCTCGGCTTTCAGTCTTTTGCTTTATGTCTTCCGACTCAAGAATGCTTCGTATCCGTTCAGGTTCTTATTCTGAAAACAAATAGCTTTGCTGAAAGCTAGGAATCCACATCACTGATCAGTATGTCTAATCTCAACCACATAATTTGAATAGATACATCTCCATTCTATTCTTCGGTATAGAAATACATCATTTATAGTGGAATATGTGCTAGTGTTCCAAAGGGGTAGTGAGGGAAAATGCAATCTTTCTTGTAGAAGTAACTAATAACGATCGGAAGAACAGAGTAAATTGTTATACAAGAAAAAATACAAGATGAAAATGAGATTCTTTTTCCATAGCACAATTGCAGTTCAAGATTTTTGGTACTTTGACATGTCCGAGGTGGATTGCTTCGTTTGGCTAGCAGCAGATGGGACAGTATTCTTGTAAGCACTGATGGTATGTATGAGCGAAGAAAGAACCTTGTAACTGAGCGGTTTAACGATGAAGCCATCTGCGCCCATCGCAAACGCACGTCTTTTATCCTCATCCGAACTTCTTCCCGTCAATGCAAAGATTTTTGATCTTGCCTGTGCAGATGGCCTACTGCCGCCTGGTGTGCCCAATAGCGTAGCAGGAGCCGATGACATGGCTGAAGAGGAATTGCCATGAGAATGATTACCGCTCGTTGGATTGGCAAAATTTCTTGAATTCTTTACCCAAGCCATCGTATTGCTTTGCTCGTTCTTGAAACGCTCAGCTTCAATCTTTCGAATTTGAGTCATTGCGCCAATACCGTCCAAGACTGGCATAGACAAATCCATAAAGATTACATCAAAATGGAAAGGTCCATAAGCTTCAAACGTACGAACACCTTCTTCACCATTTGTTGCTTCAACCAAATCAACGTCCATCTTGGCAAAAAATGCTGCCAAGACCTTTCTGTTGATACTATTATCTTCAACGCTAAGGATTTGCAATCTTTTCTTCGTACCTCCAAAACCAGATGCTGTATTTGTTGACAGATGTGTGTTGCCAGGGTATTGAACGTGATGTCTCATAAGTCCGGCTGTTTGGATCGCTGTTCTCAGCACAGCTCCTTCTCCTCCTTCCAAAGAAATGACGCTGCCGGGCGAATTTGGATTTGAGCTGTTGCTGCTGGCGTTCGTTTGGTTGTAACTGTTCTGATAGGCTGCCGGGCCAAAGTAATCCACTGCCTCTACATCATTGCGCAAAGGCGACATCAAAACGTACCTTTGTAATCGAGGTTCGTGATAGGTAATACTTCGAGTTGGCATCAAGGGACGAGAGACTGCACTGCTATTACTGCCATTGCTGCTTCCACTGCTGTTACTTTGCATTCCATCTGTTAATCCACTTCTAGGATAGCTATGTTCGGTGCTCATATGTGTATCGCCAGAGCTCGTATGTATCGACCCATCTCTCTCCCTGGTAACATTATTGGCCGCTGCTGTTCTTCCCTCTGAAGAATGCCTGCGGATGAGCGCAGAATCAGCCGAAGTAGGAGGGCCGGGAGAGATGTGATGCGAATTCCTTCGTAAATCGTTGCTCAATTTAGGTCTCATACCTGGTCGAGGCACGACACCATCTGTAGCGGTAGAAGTGGAAATTGCTGGAGGCCCTCTCGGTGTGACTGCGTCATCATTTGTCACATTGTCCGCATTGGCAAAGTAATCCTGTCTTTTGCCATCCTCTCTGCTGACTGCAGGACTTGGGAGTGGAGTTGTGTGTGCACTGTTCAAATCAATCATAGGCAAACCTGCTTGCCCTCTTTCGAAGCATTGCAAACAGAAATCTGTTACAGCCTCCAATTTTGCCGGTCCTGCGGGTTTGAAAAGCAGACGAACAACACCACCACTTTGTTGATATTCGTCGCATAATTCTTCCACTATCGAACTTCCTCGTGCACCAGTCAATAAGATAATGGGCGGAAGAGGTGCTGATCGTACGTCGAGGACTTTTCTGATCAGACTCAAGTCATCATTGATCAGAATCATATCTCCCTTTTCGATATTGTCAAGGAATTCAAATCTCCACCAATCTTCAAAGTAACTTCGTAGGACGTCTTTAAGATCGCTTTGACCGCGCAACTCTTCATCAAAGCCCAAGAAGCTTATGCTTCTTTGATGTTCAACGTTCAAGAAAGGTTTGTAGATTGGTCCTTCAGTCTCGTCATCTTTGCAGAGTTCTAGTTCACATGTGACCCGAATTTCGGTACCTTGACCAACGGTGCTCCAAACGTCAATCTTTCCGTTGATCGCAGGGGACTGCACAATGCTATTCACGATAGAGAGACCTAATCCTGTACCTGGACCGAGGTGATTTTCTTGAGTGAAAGGATGGAATAGTTGCTCTTCCAAAAAGCTACGTGAGATACCTTTACCGGTATCTGTAACTCCAAGTTCGACCAATACATGCGTTTCGCTACTTTGAACTTCGCGTAAGGAAACATGAACAAATCCTTTCGTTGTAAATTTGAGTGAATTACCGATCAAATTCATCAAAACTCTTCGAATTCCACCAGCATCACATTTGACCAGCCAGCCTGCGGTACGCATTGAAACATCGATAACCGTTTCAACCAAATTGTTATAACCAGCAGCGATTGGAATTTTTGTTTCAAGAGCATCCAAGCTAGAATGAGAAGATGAAACTTCTGATCCATGTGCATACGCACTTCCAATTCCAGCAGTTTGTCTACTTTCAAGATTTTTAGCCATTTGACCGATCCAGCTACTCTCACAAACCTCTTGTACTAATTTTACCAAATCGCATCGTTGTGAAGGTTTGACAACTGCTTGTTTTGCATGGAAATTTCCAGACAATTTCGTGAAATCTAAAACGTGATTAACCAATTCCAATAAACTCTTTCCGCATGCCTCAACCGTTTCTAGGTAAGATCCTTGCGTTGAATTCAACTTTGTTTCGTTCAAAAGCTCTGCCGCTGCCAAAATACCATGTAAAGGAGTGCGCAATTCGTGAGAGATGTTTGAGATGAAGTGACTCTTTGCTTTGTCCGCTAACATGATGTCTTTCTTCAAGATTGCGCTCAAAATGATCGTACCCATAGCGCGCAAGTATTGCAAGCCAGATTCCTTGAAATCTTCCAAAGTTGGTCCATCGTCTGTCTGTCGAGAATAAGCGCACAACAAAGCAAAAGGCTGCCTGTTCAGTCCAAAGATGGGAACCAGTAAAAGGTTTGAGGTGCTTGGAGGCAAAAGATGTCGAAAAGGCGCAGGAATGTATGAATAAAAGAATCCTGCCCTGTGCCTGCGAAGAAAGTTTGCAATTCGATGATAAGATGATAGAGGTACTGGCTGTTCTCGCGTAGAGGGTGGTGCTTGTGATTCGCAAGCTCCCAACACTGCCATCGGCGGTACTTTACGTTCTTCCTGTTGAGAAGGTGCACTGCCATTGCCTGGAATTGGTGGCGAAGATGCTCGGCTGTTGACGCTACTCGGTACTTGAGAAGAAGAGTTAACAGAATCCGGCAAATGATAAGGGCTACTTGGCAAAAAGATTTGACCATCAGGTCCTACGTCCGTGCCATCTCCTTGTATCGTCGGTACCATCAGCTCAAATTGTGATAGATCGAAAACGATTGCTCCGGTTGCCTGCAATGCCTCATTCATACTCTTTGCTGCCAAAGCGTATACCTGATGCAGGCCTTGCTTATGCTCTTTATCGTCTTCTGCTTCAATCGATTCCATCTCGATACATTCTCGCGTGAAGGATTCGATTGAGTGCTGCATTCGGTCTTGAGTACGAAGATGAATCGTATCACGAATGAGTTCCATCTCTCGCATGACCACCCTTCCGAATTCGCGCAACGTGTGTCGCAATCTTGGATTGAAATCTGCCCAAGGCACATCATCAATGATACATAGACTTCCCAAATTATGACCATCAGAAGTGCGCAAAGGTGTTCCAGCATAAAATCGGATATGGGGATCACCAATCACCAATGGGTTGCCTGCAAATCGCCAATCTCGCAATGTGTCCAAAACGACCAAGGGTTCATCAGCCGGTTGTAAGATTGCATGTGCGCACATCGAACAATCTCTCGGTGCTGCCACTTTTTGCAACCAATCTTTCGTGTAGCCAAGTCCTTTCGCACCCACTTCAGTCTGGAAGAATTGAGTTTGTTCACCAACCAAGCTGATCAAGACCAATTTTGTATTGAATACCAATTTGACTAAATGCGCTATCCTTTCAAAATTCACATTTCCACGTACAGTCGGAGGTCCATAACGCCTCAGGGCTTGTCTTCTTTCACTTTCGTCAGGTGGCATAATAGCTGGAAGATATCCGTGCTTTCTGTAAAATTCTTCTACCCTTCTTCCTAGGCCAATATGTGTGGACAAACTAGGACTACTAACGGAAGATCCCAAAGTTGCCAATTCGACAGGCATCCTTTGAACGAATGCTTCTGAAGTGCGCCGACTACGGTCCTTTTCATCAAATTGTTTCGATTGGCGTAAGGTACCATTCCCGGCTCCCGTTCCACCAGAGTTGGCACGACTGGTTGCCGTCGCAATTATGACATCGGCCGGGCAAGAACCTTGATTTTCTGCCTGCGATGCATCTTCAGACCTCATCGCATCTTGATCTTTCTCTACAATCTTCCTTGCATCAGTATCATCCGGATCATTCATTATACCCTCAAGTTTTCCCCTTTCATTTTCAGTCAAGGCCACTCGGCTATCAGTTTGCGGATTAGCAGAATCGGGAGACGTAGTCTGTTGTCCCTTTCCACTATCTTCGTCTTTATGCGATTGAAGAGGGATAGGTGCCGGTCTCTGTGTTGCAGTTGATGCTGACCCGTCCTCACCGTTTCTGGTTGAAGATAGCGATGACGATGAATCGAGACTGACGAGGTCATTTCCTCTGCTGGTATGACTTGCATTCAGGGTCAATTCGCTCATTTGGGCTGCCAATACAGGTCGAGTGGCGGCAATCGCTGAAGCTGATGTAGACGAAGCAATTGCCGAAGCCGAGGCAGATGGAGTGATAGTCGAAGAAGAAGTGGATTGAGACGACAACCTACGCTCTTGAGCCTTGGCCGCTAATGCTTCCGCTTGTCCTGATAAGATTCGAGCTTCATTGCTTACGATACGTTTATGAGACGGATCGGAGGGTAGTCGAGCGATACTATTTCTTGTTATAACAATGCTATCAGTCTTTGAGCCGCCCTTTTTCTCTCCTGCGATGTCTTTGTTTTCTCGATCGATCACACGTTGAGCAAGATCTCCCAAAGCAGCCAGTTGGCCAACCTGAGGAGCACTGTTGGTAGACGCAATCTGAACGATCCGGAAAGGATCGATGAATGCGGGAGCTGAATCTCTTTTCGTACTAGCATCACTTCCTCTTCTCTCCTGTGCGTCGGATAAACCATCAAGTACGGACTTTGAACGCTGTGGCTCATCAAGAGAAGAGGTTACGTTGAAGGGAGGTACTATTTTCGAAGCAGTATTCGTGACGGCGTAATTTGAATCGGATAGTATTCTATTGGCCATTTGAGGACGTTGGACGTATTCCAAAGAAGGCCTTCGAATCCTTTCTAATACATCTTGCGCGCCTTGATCGTTCACTTTCGTGCTCTTCACATCATCCATAACGACGCTGATTCGTGTGGAAGTGCCTGGGTATAAATTTGACTCGCTGGGCGGATGTGGAAGCATGGAAGGGTCCCATCTTCCTCGACTGTAGGCGTATACGAAATTTGCCCAATCGTAATCGGCAGGCGATCGTTGTGAGTTTGCTTTCATCCAAGGTGCATTTTCACTACTACTTTGTGCTTCGTTTTGACTTGCAAGTGATATACTTGGCAATTCGTTCATCGCGCCTGGTGGAGTTAGTGCAGTATTTGAGGTTCTTACAAAGTCATTTGGATCCCAAACATCATAATCTTTCGATAACGTGCTGTCTCCGAATATGTTGCCATCGTTTCTCCTTCCTTCATCTTTGGTGTCTTTGTTGTTGTTTGAAGTTGGGTCTATACTTTCTTTTGATGGATTGATTCCATCATCCTGTGATTGAGGCGTTAGATGGCCAGATTGAATCCGTGACCCTCTCAATGCACCAGCACTTCTCCTAACTGCTGCTGATGCATTTGAGTTGGATGGTCCTCCTGGACTGTCCATCTGAATGAATGGGGATCGAAATAGGATAAAGTAATCAAGTTCCGATTTCGATACGATCAGTGGTGGAGATTTTGATGAGTAGGATTGAGTACCTTTTTTTCACAAAAGGCAATCCCTTGTCTCTCTCTTCCGGCTTGTTGTTACACGTTTATTGCTTCTTTAGATGATCGTTCGCCATTCGTTTATTGTATGGTAGATTGTTGATGGTAAACGTTTAAAGAGCAGCTCATAAGTTGCATTTGTTCTCACGTAGGGTACTGCGCAGCGCACTGAGAGAGCGAGAGAGACAAGAGGCACACACACTCACACTCATACACACACTCTCATTAGGTTGATGGCCTTGCGCGGCGCACACACGCGTACATCAGCCAGGGAAGGCCTTTAGGCTTGAGCTTGTTTGCCCCAGGCCTAGGGAAATGATACGATATTTTAAGCTCCTACAGAATTTGTGTAGAACAAATTAAGATCCCGATCACAAGGGATGTACAGTGAATGAATTATTGACAAAATGATGATCATTTGTGGTACATAGTGTTGCAGACATAGATGAACGATTCTCTTGCGGAAATAGTCAACTGTAAAAGCCAAAAAGAGTTGATGCTAAAACTCCGTAAGAAAGTGGAGGTTTTTTTCATTAGGCTGGGCGCAATCGCTGTGTGAAGGACAAGACGCGGATTTCATTAAAGTTTGTGCTTGAGAGGATTAATGCTGCTGCTCAACCAAAGACCGCAAAATGACGTTCACAGGCGACGTACGCGTGTCAATTAGAGGGAGAGAGACAGCAAGATAGAGCATATACAGTAGTACATCCAGGCTCAGTCTTGACTTCCACTATTATAGTGATCTGAGAGTTCATCATGCATTTTAGAAGATCCATTCTTGAATTGACAAAGGGTGAAAAGGGTTCATATAACGCTAAACGTCAGAAGAAGGTTTGTGCTTGTATTCCTCATAGGCTAAAATGAAATCAAGAGGGGTTTGATGAACTTGTCCAAAGGTTCATTTGATGCCCAGATCCATACAAAGTGACGCCAAGTGATTTTGTAGAAAAAACACTAATAGTGTGAATCCCGATTAGCATCAATACTCTACATCTTTCTCTGCTCTATGATAAAAGACACGGAATCACCATTCCTATTTCGCTGCTTACTTCAGCTATTAAGTTCAACACTGACTGAAGTGCTTAACGCGCCTGGCTACATCGCCCTGTAGACGCGTGTACAGTCAGTGTGCTTCCCTAAACTGCACGCGTCAATGGGCTTTCTTCTTAATGCAGGTTAAGTGTTCCTTTCGTTTCATTTCATGGACTTCTTTGTCCTCATCTTTCACTGCGATCACCGGCTCATTCTCCTTTAGACTGGCAAGCAGACAAGATGGCAGACACTGACATGCACGAGCTGGAAGAAGTGAGCGCAAGCTTCGCAAAGAGTAATAAAGGAAAAGGTAAAGCAAAAGATGTTTCGGAAAATAAAGCAGGGGCCTCTGCTATAGATGAAGATCTGTTACCTTGGGTGGAAAAGTACAGACCTGCAACGTTGGAAGATTTAGTATCACACAAGGATATCACCTCTACAATCGAACGATTTATCGAAAAGAATCGATTACCCCATTTACTCTTTTATGGACCACCGGGAACGGGTAAAACTTCAACCATTCTTGCAATGGCACGCAAGATTTATGGAACAAGTTTCAGAAATAACGTTTTGGAGTTGAATGCTTCGGATGATCGTGGTATCGAAGTAGTACGTGAACAAATCAAAAGTTTTGCCAGTACAAGAAACGTTTTCAGCAATCAAGGTGGTTTCAAATTGATCGTCCTTGATGAAGCTGATGCAATGACGACAGCTGCTCAAGGAGCATTAAGAAGGGTGATCGAACAATATACACGCAACGTTCGATTTTGCATCATTTGCAATTACGTCAATAAAATCATTCCTGCCATTCAATCACGTTGTACAAAGTTCCGCTTCAATCCACTAGAATTGGATCAAGTCGAAGGAAGATTACAGGTCGTGATCGATCAGGAAAAGTGTAATTTGACACAAGACGGAAAGACTGCATTGATCAAGCTGTCCCGTGGTGATATGCGAAGGGCATTGAACATCTTACAGGCATGCCATGCAGCCTATGATCGTATTGATGAAACGGCAGTATACAATTGTACAGGGAACCCACATCCGGCAGATATCGAAAAGATTGTCGAGACGATGATGCAAGCAGAATTTACAACTGCATATAAACATGTTAGCGAACTCAAAACCTCAAAAGGGATGGCATTGGCAGATTTGGTGACGGGAATCTTTGATTGCTTGGCAACGTACAAATTACCACCGCAAAGCAGGATTTATCTGCTAGATCAACTGGCTCAGATCGAACACCGTCTCAGTACTGGAGCCTCAGAGAAGATTCAATTATCTGCACTACTGGGCGGTGTCAAGATTGCCCTTCAACTGTCAAAGAAGTAGAAATTAAACACATCAAGTCCCATTGTATACTGTCAAATTAGCTTATTCCTGAATACATCTTTTTGTTTCTCTACTCTATATACAGGTCTATCAACGCCTACAAATGACCGCGACCTTCTTCTTCCAATGCCTTTCGCACTGCTTCGATAACCTTTGCATGTACTGATGCATGTGCTGCGACCACACCCTTGTTGTTCTTCAAAGTTCGTCCGATAGAGAAGTCCAAAGGTCTGCCTTTTGCATCAGACACTTTTCCGCCTGCTTCAGTGACGATCAAACAACCTGCAGCATGATCCCAAATCTTTTCTTGATAAGATCCATCTCCGACAGGAAGACGAAGGTAGATATCACCATCACCGCGAGCGACGCTTGCATATTTTGCTTGACTGTCCATGCGTACGCTTGGGGAAGAGATTCCAAGAAATTCGGCAATCTTTGCATTTGTACCTTGAGAAGAATGCCCTGCTTCAACACTTTCACAGAAAGATGCTTTTGATAGAATCTCTGGTGTGATTTCACGAGTTTTGATCGGTGTAAGTTGAGTGGAAGAAGTGGCATGCAATGGACGCTGGAATGCGCCTTTTCCTTCAGATGCAACAAAGATTACACCAAGATCGTCACGTTGCTTCACTTCGTCCAAATTACCTTCTTGTGGCTTCTTTGCACTTTTGTCGATTGGCAAATTCGGACATCCCATAACGCCCAAACGAACCTCTCCGTCAACGATCAAAGCTAAACAAACGGCATATTGTCCTCCACGCAAGAAACCCTTGGTGCCGTCGATTGGATCAAGAGTCCACATTCTACCTTTAACGCCTCCTTGACAATTTCCTTTATCGATCGCTTCTAAAATCTCTGTTTCTGATAATGGCTTTTCCAATTGATCTGCTCCTTCTGCCATCAAACCTTCGTTTACCAAACCGATCACTTTTTCCTTTAGTGCAACTTTGTCTGCATCTTTGCTACGTAAATCATCTGCATCTTCTTCTCCTACGATCTTATCGTCCGAAAAATGTTTAGCGAGGATTGCATTGATGATAGCTTGTGCTGAAAAATCTCCAACTGTTACTGGTGATTTATCCGATTTTGTCAATGATGAAATTGAAGTTTGAAGTACTTTTTGCGTAATCAATGATGCCCTTCTAACGGCTTCTATTGCAACTTCTTGTTCTTTTCTGTAATCAGACATTGTTCCTATTAGTCGTATGCTTCCTCTAATATTTCCTATTTTGTATATGCTACGTGCTGTAAGTAATCGTCTACAAAGCATTCAAGCAAACAATGATGGTTTGAAGTATTCCCATTCGAAGTGCAGTCTTCTCAAAATGCATTTCACTAAAGCCAAGCATCAAAGCGGTGTTTAAATATTCTCGCATACATTCACGCGTAATTCGTTCACGCTCGAGCAAAAAAAAAGGCAAAAAATCTAGAAGCCCTCGGCGGGGCTCGAACCCGCAACCTTTCGATTAAATCTGAAAAGTCTCTTTACCAGTCAAGACGACTACTCTGTATAAGAGTCGAATGCACTACCGATTATGCTACGAAGGCTTAGATGTTTAGATGCCAGCATATAAGCACATATAAACCAACCTGCTTTTCGCCTACTCGTATCTTGAGATTTATCTTTTTCTATACTTATATAAGGCATAATATATCTTACAAATATTTCTCCTTTTATCATTTTCACCGCAATACTTAGACCAAGAAGAAAAAAAAAACAGCAAAGAAAGAAGAATAACGGTGAAAAGAATAAAAGGAGAAATATTCATAAGATATATTATACCTTATATAAGTACAGAAAAAGATAAATCTCAAGACACGAGTAGGCGAAAAGCAGGTTGGTTTATATGTGCTTATATGCTGGCATCTAAACATCTAAGCCTTCGTAGCATAATCGGTAGTGCATTCGACTCTTATACAGAGTAGTCGTCTTGACTGGTAAAGAGACTAAGTGTAATATTTCCTTTATAAAAAGTTACCTAGTGTAGAACTTAAAGTATATCATAAGTATCTTTTATCTAGGTGATAAAATAGAACTTTATCCTGGATGAGATTACTGTATCACAGCCCCGATACAAGCTGATTTGCTTTCTGTATGCATCTCTTTAAGCGAGATATTGAGGCAGTATCATTCTGAGAGAAGCGAGTATTCCTTGTCGGAGTTACTTATAAGTGCTCTACCGAAACTGTCGATCGCCGCTCGTAAAAGCTAGTTGGATTCGGTCTTTTAAGCGCAGATAATATAATAAACTTCTTGCATACCGATCAGATACTGTAGAGAGCTGGTATGTATTGAACGAATTTCGATAAATATTGATAGATTAGTATGGCTTTGCTGTTACACTGTTCTAAAGGAAAATAAAAGCAACTGGGACATATAAAGCATTCTTTTTCTCTGAAGCCTTCTTTTTCTCTGAAGCCTTCTTTTTCTCTGAAGCCTTCTTT